TCGATCGTTGAACAGCAACTGGCGGCGCAACGGAAAGCCTACTGCTGGCGAGCGTGGTTGCGGCCGTTCGTCTCCCCCTCTGTCGTCTTGCTTCCTCGCGGCGGTATTACAGGATCTGGGGGGTAAATACTTAATCCTACGTGCGCTTGGCGCCAACCTCAGCGGCTCCGACACGGTGGAGCACTGACCTCCGCCACGGCGCTGGGAAGAGCAGGAGCACTGGGGTAGCAATGACAGTAGTCGCGAGGCTGCAGCTGCCACTTGCACTTTCAAAAGCCTTTCTTCGTTTTCCGCCCGAGGTGCGAGTTTTGGCGTTCGTTTTTAGTTTTCATTTTTATAGTTGGAATTAGAATAGGTCTTCTGAGCGCAAAGCCGCTAGAGTAGATCAGGATACTATAGATGCCAGTCAAGACTTCGCTTGGTGGGTGTGGAACTCTCGTCCGGCAGGTGCTGGGAAGAGCGGGTCGGCGACCGATTCTTCCTCGGGATGCTGCGCAACTGCTGATAGACGTCTGCTGCTGGGCAGCGCCAGGGAGACGCTGGCGGCGATAGGCTGCGGAACGGCTGCTGCTGGTGCGTTCTTCCTGCTGCTGGACGAGAGTAGCGCGCGCGGAAGAAAAGGCCCGGCGGCAAGACAGATGTGTTCCAGCAGCGGCGTTGTTTGTTGTACCTCGCCCCGCTGAGTAGCGCGACGCGCCTCGCCTTGTTCCACTCTAAAACTGTACGACGGCGTAAGAGGGTGTGCGGGAAAATCTTCGCCGTTTCGCTTCTTCTTTGTTCGCCTCGCCTTGTCCCACTCTAAAACCCCACTTGCTGCTCTTCTTGGGTGACGAGAGTAACGTGCGCGGAAGAAGAGGCCCGGCGGAATGAAAGACGTGTTGCGCGGCACGTCTCTCTCGCCTTGTTCCACTCTAAACCCGGGGCTCCTCTACCTGACTGCAAACTGTTCTGCTCGGCGGCGTGAATGGGCGTCCGACAGAATCTGCAAGCTCGTATGTCTTCAGACACGGCGGCACTGTCGAATTTCCGCCAGAAAAGCGCTGCCGGACCCCAAAAAAATCCGGCGTTGGGTCGTGTCTGAAGGGAAACAGACACACTTTCTTGTCGGGAGCTGGTGGTGGAGCTTGTTCGTAGCAGGAAGGCAGGGAGACACAAACCGAGGTCGTTAGGTCGATGCTCGGCAAAACCGCGCCTGACGTCTCCTGCTAGAAGGAAGGACGAAGAGCAGGTCACCACCGGTGCAAGACTGTCGCTGTCCGCTGGTAGGTACGGGAATGGAGATTTTACTTGTTGCGGCCTCTGCCGTCTTCTTTTTTTTTTCTTTCTTTTCTTTATTTTTATTTTCTTTTCAGCCAGCGACTCGCATTGCTTCAGAGAAGCCAAAAAACCTGGAAACTCAGCAACTCCTGATAGAAGTCGGCTGTTGGGCAGCGCTAGAGAGACGCTGGTGACGGACGGCTGCGAAACGGCTGCCGCCGATGTGTGCGACTTCACAACTGGTTGGCGGCGCTGTTGCGTCTCTACCGTTGGTCGACGCCGTTTAACTCACCCTCTGTTCCTGTTCCTCTCTATTACCAGTCGGCCACCTCTGCCTCCACGCCGTGGTCCGGCGATCCCCCCGTGTCCCCTACGCGCTTGTTGTTTCGCAGAGCTTCTACCTCCCGCTGGGCCGCGGCGGTTTCGCGTTGTAGCTGCCTGTGCCTGTCCCAGAAGCGTGCGGTCGCACCTTCCTCTGCTTTCTCTTCGATTCTGGATACGAGGGCCGGGAGTGCAGATCCACCGTCTAGGGGCGAAGAGATCAAGCTGACAAGGAGACGGCGCGCGTCACTCGTCTCCCCAGGCGCTTGCTGGATCGCCTCGACCTGCACAAAGCAACTCGGCTCTTCCGCTGTCAACCGGAGGAGATTCTTGACTGCTGCGGCTACTCGATCGCTACCGACAAGGATCCTGTGCGTAGGTCTGGCAATGATCAATTCAGCGAGCGGGTCGATGTCGTGGAATTCATAGATGAAGTTCGCGAACCCCCCGAAGAATGGCGCGAATTCCTGGAGTCCTCGGCCGCGATGTTGTAATACCAGGCCCCGCGTCCTGTCTTCTAGTGCCTGCCCTTCACGGTCGCGCTCACGCTTGATCAATACCGTTGGACAATAATGCAAGAAGATGGGGATGTGCGATAACTCCGGGAGATGCTGCTTCGTTCTGCTCGTCTTCTCTCGATGTTGTTGTATCTCCTGGGCGGTTAGCAGCTGTTTGGCAGCCAAGATATCGAGGAGAGGTGGTTCTCGTCTGCACGGCATCTGCTACTGCTTCCTCCCACCCTACATGGGCGAAAAGGCGCCCCTTCTGTTCCACCGCTGTTTGGCTGCAGTTGTTGTGTGTGCTCTTTGCCGGACCTCGTAAAATTACTCCTAATCTAAATCACCGGCGACGGGCCCCAGACGAGCTGCAATGTTCTCGCTCTGCTCCGCTGGACTATGGCGGCGCGCCGCGGTTCACTATTAGTTTCTGACTGCAGGTTCGGCCCGGCTCTAGCTCCTGACGTCCATTGTCATCTTGAGGCGTAAAGGAATGCTGAAGTCGCGACGTGCTGCTGCTCTGATTTGAGTCCAACAAAAATCCCCACCGACCGGCCCCGGGTGGTCTCTACCATGCAAGGGAAAAACACCCAGACTATGACGACCGGCGGCGGTTCACAGGTGACTATCTTCGCAACACGAATGACCCGGGATGACGTGGCGGGAGGGAAGATGTTCGATGGGCAACGCGGATTCGCTGTGTGTTCGGTCCTTCCTTCGGTCTCGCCTCCGGCAGGTAAGTTTGTGCAGCGGCACTATCAGGCCCCACACTGCTCTTCCACCTCGGCTGTCTCGAAAGAAAAACAAAAGGACGAGGAAAAAGGGGACAAGGTCACTGGGTGACTGAGTGTTGGTCTGGGTCAGCGGCCGGGGGTGGACATGTTCTTTGTAACAACTTACAGCCAGTTTGTAACAACATGATCAATTCATGTTTGTTTGTTTGTAACAACTCACAGCCGTTTTCCTCATTATCTTTGAATATATATTAGGTTTCCTCATTATCTTTGAATATATATTAGGTTTCATTTATGAATATATTTTCTAATTACATCGATATGATCTCGATCAATCTCCTCCGGCCAAACCATAGGCACGCACGGCCATACCACAGGCGTGCAGGAGTGACATCGGCTATGGCGTGGATGTCCGTGTGGTGGTGCCCAAGTCATAGGGCACGCACTTCACACAGATGCCCCATCATAGGCACTAGCGTGCCCACTCACAGGCACGCAGCGGAGCAGGAGCCGGCGCCTCAGCGCAAGGAGCCTAGGCAACCTTCAACTGAGGAAGCCGCCGGAGATTGCACTAAGGCAGAGCGGGTGCCGCACCTGCTGCGCTTGCCTTCCCCCTGTCACGCCGGTATGCCCGAAAGCCGTAGCACTACGGCCCAGCTTGAGAAGATCCGAGAAGCCCACGCGCCGTCAGTGTCTCAAGCCCCCCGTCCAAGGTCGGACCGGGACGAGACCCGCGGGGGATCGAGAAAAGCATCCGGGCCCGCCAAGGGGGTGAGGTAGTCGCTAGGGCGCAGAGGGTGTGTTGTTGTGTTGCAAGGAAGGCGGGCGGGTGTAGCAGGTAGCGCCGGCGGGCCTGACGGATCGACCAAGGCAGCAAGAACGCCAGCAGCGAAGTCGGGTGGGAAGCTGGTATCCAACGAGGCGGGGCAAAAAAGGGTGGCAATCCCCGTCGCCCGCTTTGCTAGGTAGTGCCACACCATAGGCCACAGCCCTAGCCGCCACACCAAGGCGTAACGGAAGAGAGCGGAGCCCCGGCAACACAGGACCCGGGACAAACATAGCCCAAACCCCCGGGCGCTTGTTAAAACACGCAATAACCGAGCCACAATACCGGGCCCCATTGCAAAGCCAATGCGAGCGGGCCGCGCGCCCGGTCCAGCACCTCGCCATGGGTGTGGGGGGTCTTCAATAGTCAAGCAGGACATATCATTGAGCCCCGGCGAGTAAGGCCACGACGGCAGGATAGGATACAACACTGCAGTGTTGTCCTGCACCCCTCGCCCCCCGTGTATGCAGGTCCCATGCCTGGTGATCCTGGTACGGCAACTGGGAAACACCTAAGGGATCTTGGTCCGGCAACATCCATATTGTACACCATTAACCTAGAATAATAGATCTCGATCAATCAGAAATTATCGATGATGATATTTGTTGTGTATTATTCCCTTCCATAATCCGAGAATAATTGAACACCAAAAAAATTTTCGAGAATCAATCGAATATCTTCCGGATTTTCTTCTAATATTTCAGATCATATTTGAAAAAAAAAATCTAAATGAATCAATTCTGGAAACCCAATATGAAAAAAAAAATTTCAAATAAATCAAAATTTTTCATGATATGATGATGATGACCTCTTACCGAAAAATTCGATCGACAAGAATAACACTCCATCTAATTACCCATATCTCACAAATATTAATCGACAATTTAATAATATTGTCTTTCTTTCTTGTCATGTCAGGGCATGACTCAAATTTATTGTCTCATAGGCCCGGTCCGAGATTGTCTGTCTTCGTTCTTGTCTTCGTTCTCATCATCTTGTCGCTCTCTCAAAGATAGATTGATGAAGAAATAATAAAGTAATATTGAAAAATATGAAGTTGTTCTTTTTTTGATAGATTTGGAAATAGAAAAATTAAAATAGTTTCCGAAAAATAAAGATAATATTATCTCACAAATACTAATAATTCTCGATTCATCATCTTCGAATTGAATAATTTCGAGATTGATCAAAAAGGATCTCTCTGAATCCATCAGGAAATTTGATGAAAACGGAAATTAATCAAAGAAAATAATCTGAGAATATATCCTGAATCCCGATAGATTGGAATCTTTCTTGGATGGTATTCATGAATCAATTTGAAGTGTAAAAAACTCGTGGCCATGGGAGATTCAATCCATTACCATTGTGTGTCCTTCCCATTTTCATTTATTTTCTTGCATCATCTTGAACATTCTTTCATCAACATCATGTACACATCATCCTGAAACCTATTATGTGTCGATAATGAGGATTCATACACTCCAATATCAAAGAAGATGCGAAATATCGAGTGACAAGACCAGACACCCAACGAGCAAGGGAAAAGAAAATGTTCATGTTGAAAATGTGAGGTAATGATGTAAGTAGTTGAAGTTGTTGATGTCGTTTAGGGTTGCTGCAAAAGTATGTCGAGATGAGGAGTGTGATTCTGGAGACTCGCTGCATTTATTTATGGTTACAGGAGAATATTACCAAATATAGCCGCCGGGGCGGGGGTAGTGAGTTCGTGGGCGTTTTTTTCCGACCGCCGCCTTGGCCGCGGCTTTGCTTTTTCTGGGCTCGCCATACCGCCGTGAGTAACGTTATGCCGCACGGTATGGCGGTCACTTGAGAAACATCACAAATATTGGCACATTTCCAAAATTCCTTTCCGAAAGCGAGCCCCGATGCTATGGGGCCGATCCGGGCGCCACGGGGGGCGCTCAAAAAGCAAAGAAAAATCGGGCCCGCAGCATGCGGGTTGGCTTTGCGCGTCTGGCGCGCTTTTTCCCTTTTGCGTTTTTATTTTTCACGCCGGCGCTTTTTGCAAAGCTCCCCAGGCTCTGAAACCGGCGAAAAGGCGGCCGCTTTCGCGGCCGCCCAAAATGCTTCGAAATCGCGGCCGTGCCATGCTGTTTCGCTTTTCTGATTTTGGGCGCGCTTTTTGCGCGCCTCTTTTTGGGCGCCCCAAATCGCCAGAAACTAAGGCGGTGGGCTCCTCAGAAGGGCGCCCCTTTTGCCGGCTCCCCTGCGTCGTTTTATCAAGTGCGAATCGATAGTTTTCGACCGGGCTTGTTTGATATCAAAGCCCCGCCCGCTTGATAATTGAAAATTTTTTATGTCAAAAAACGCTTTCGGCCGCTTGAAAACTGCCGGTCGTTTTGCTGGCTGGGTGTCAAAAAAACTCCCCGGTTAGAACCGTTCGGTGACCTCACTACATATGATGTTTATCGATCTGCTCGTGGAACCTCGGCGACGCCGATTCATTGTGCCTCTCTCTGCAACTCCGACACTCCTCTACAGCAGGTCCATCACAGCGCAATTCCAATTATTTCATTTGGATTTGGATTTGCGCTGGGGGAAGATGTTCAGTTCTTCATCGCCGATAATTTCGATTAGTATTTTTCTGCCAGCATGCAGATCGCGTACGCTTCTTTCCAGCCACCATGCCCCCCGCATTTGTAAGCACTCCGGTTATTATCGGGCCCATTCCAGGAAAAGATCCACTTTCCCCCCTGCACGTTGCATCCGCCTCCTATCAGCGTGTACTTTTCCGGACACCAAGCCGTGGCCCAGTCGTTGCCCCATTTGTTCACAATCGTGACAGGCAGGTCGAGTTCTGGCGTACAGATCGCATATGTTCGCTTCTTTCCGCCGCTGCCTCCGCACCGCCACCCGTTCTCCTCCGGAATGGAATCTTCGATGCGCCAGGGGCGCTTTTCGTTGTTGCATCCGCCGCCTATCACTTTTGTGTTCTTTGGGCACTGCTTCCGAAACCAATCGCCCCCGCGCTGGGACACGATCTTCACTTTCAGTTCGTGATCCGGGATGCACACCACCCAAACCTTTTTCTTTCCGCCGTGCCCGCCGCATTTCCAGCCACGCCCGTCTGGCGCGCTCATTTGCACGATGTGGGGCGGTCGTGTGTTGTCACAGCCCCCTCCGATCGGGGAATAGTTTGCGGGACACTCAACCTTGTGCCAATCGCCGCCAGTCGAACTGATTCTTTTGATGTTGTATTTCGTTTTCGCAGGTAACGGCGGGCACGAAGGGCAGTTCGGGCAGGTTGCATGTGCCGCAGTTGAAGAAGACCCCACAGATCGTTGCTGCGCGTAATTTTTCTTTTGCTGCAGATCGCGAAAAAGAAAATAGCGGTAGAGCAGATTTGCGCGGTTTGCAGTGAGCGTTTCCTCGTTCTCGGCTTTTGTTTTGATCACCTCTGATGAAACGCTAACGCCGGACCTGGAGCCTGACCCGGCTGCTGCAGAATAGCTAGAGTTTTCCAGCAGGAAGTTTTGCGCGGCAGCATTAGCGAGTTGAGAAGAAGATCTTGTTGCTTCGTTCTCAACAGCCGAACTGCTGTGTGACTCGTGCGACGCCACGTTGTTGGCATGCGCAGCTGCTTGCAGGCGCTTCGTTGCGTCGGTGAGGGTGTGCAGAGCAGCACCACGAGCACGACCCTCGATATTAGTCCCTTCCGTCGGCGGATCTAGTAGAGCTTTCTGTGCGGGCTCTTGCATCATGAGCAAGCTTGATCCTTCTTCGACAACGTTTCGCAAACATGTCGCATACGCACGCTTCTGACTGCCGTGCCCACCGCACTGGTATTTATTTTTGTTCTTGACCCCGTGCTTCTGCAAAATGTGTGGGTGTTTTACCACATCACAACCACCACCGATCATCTTGTAGCTCTTTGGGCAAGTGGCAGTGACCCAATCACGGGCCAAGTTGAACATGTTCACAATCGGGATTTCCAGTTCCGGTGTGCAGATCGCGAAAACCTTCTTCGCGCCCCCCTGCCCCCCGCACTTCCAGCCGTTACCGCTGGAAACGGAATCTTCAAATCTCCACGGACGCTTGTGCGCGTCGCAGCCACCGTTTACCATCCGGGTGCCTCGCGGGCAATCGAGGACGGTCCAGTCTCCGCCGGACTTTTCGATGACCTGTAGCTCCAGATCCTCGTCTTTGACACAGATCGCGTACGCGCGTTTTTTTCCCCCGTGCCCGCCGCACTTCCAAGCTCGATCTCCCTCGGGTGCGTTGTACCGCAGCCTCCACGGCCGCTTCTCGGAATTGCAGCCGCCGCCAATAATCTTGTAGCCCGCGGGGCAGCTCGCGGTGGTCCAGTCCCCTCCCGAAACCTCAATGCGCTTGATGTGGTAGTCCCGCAACTGGGCTGGCTTTTCGCACCGGCAAGTCGGGCACTCCGGTTTCGAACACAGAAAGGGGTGCTTGGAGTTGCACCCGATGTCGAACCACTTGCCGTCGCTGGCCGGGTACTGCTTGATTGCGCAGTCTTCGTTGCGCCAGTTGTTGGGCTCCTTGTGTTCCCAGTTCTTCCACTCGGCCACGTCCCCGTGCTCGAACCAGACGTGCTTTTTTTCCTTCTGCTTGTCGTTCAAACCGATTGCGACCTTTGCTCTTTCGTTGTACCGAAAGCCGTGCAGCAAGTGGTTCGTCAGCTCATTCTGCTTCTCCGTCGCGATCGTCGCGAGCGAGGCGCCGAATTCCTTCGCACAATACGCATTGGCTTTCTTGAAGTTCAGTTTCTTGTTCACAAATTTGTAGGCGGTGTGGTCGATGCACTGCAGGCCGTTCCTGCAGGGACGAATTTGTGGCTCCTTGCCGGTCTCGTCCTCGGTTTTCGGCTCAAATTCGTACACGGCATTGCTCCAGCCGCCACCGCAGCGCTTGAAGAGCGCCCCGTCCTTGCACTTGCGGTGGCCAGCCGTGCACTGGTTGTCGTCCAATTTTTTGCCGTATTTGGTCACTTGCTCCATAGTTTCCGCGCAGAAGCACTGGTTGCCCCACTGCAACGCGAAGTACTTGAATTTGCCGGATTTGTGCTGCAAGCAGGCGTCCATGCAGGAATCCACCGTGTGTGCCCCTTTGGGCCAGTGCGGCATGGCCCTCTGCGGTCGGTCGCGGAAGCACCCGACGTACTTCAGCACTGGCTGGTGCTCGTAGACGGAATTCCGCCAGCCGGCGCCGCAGAACCCGGTTTCTTCTAGCTTGTACAAATTGTTCCGCTCACACGGCTTGCACTCAAACGCCGGGGCCTGTGCGTACTTGTGGTTCGACGAGTCCCCCTGCGTCGGCAGCGCGACAAAGCCCTGGTTCCCGCACCGGCATTCCGAGCCGTTTTGCAGCGCAAAAAAGTTGTAGTTTTGGCACGCAATCTTGCAGGAGACCAAATCGAAGCCCGAGCCGAGCTGCCGTTTCAAGTTCCGCTGCCGGTTGTCTTTGAAGCAGCCCTTGTGCTCCACCACGCCCGCCACGGTGTGCAGCAACATGCTGGCAGACGGTTCCGTCTGCTCCGCAGTTCCGTCCAGGTTTGGTTTGGAGCAGATGAAGCTTCGCTTTGCGTTGCAGTTGATGTCATTCCACTTCCCTCCACTTTTACGGACGGTGCAGTCTTCCCTATTGCTATTGCCCCAGTTGTTCGGTTCTCTCTTCTTCCAGTTCGTAAATTCCTCCGGCGCATTTTTTTTGCCCCCGGCGTTTCCTTCGACAGCCGTGACTTTTTCCCAGATACTGCCACCGTCACCATCCGAGAACGCCTTGACGCCCTTGCCGCACTTGCGGAACCGCGCACACACGTACTTCTTTTTGGCCTTCGCGTCGAACCGCCACAGGTAGAAGTTGCACCGTCCGTATCCACAGAAAAAAACCCATTCACATCCAATTTGGCATGCAAAACACGCATCAAGTCATGTGCTTGTCATGCAGAAAATGGATGTGGATGGGTTTTTATTTTTCTGTGGATAGTCCGTCGTCGGCACAGGCCTTCTCGCACAGCTGCCGGGAGCTCCACGGAGCTTGCTTCCCCTTTTTGTTCCAGGCGTTTGTGCCTGTGTCGTGCGCGATGCGGTAGTTTTTCCCGTCCTTCTTACAGTACTTGTCGTCGTTATGGGTGTGTCAGAGTTGAAATCGACAAAGTTCAAATAACTTGTAATGCATAAAATCGATACCGGATGGAAGCCCAATTTCCAAGTGGCGCATGGCAAATTTAAGTAGAGCCGAAATCCAGTCTGTAATGCTGTTTGGGTAAGGAAGACGCAATTTGTCATGCTACTTTAGCACCTCTACTTCTACCCCGAAACAGGCTTGCAATCTGCTTCCCTTGCCTACTCTGCAAGACAGGCACTTTCTGCGTTTCGTCTTATGCATGACAAACTATTTCAACTTTGACGATTTCAATCCTGACAGTTCCATAGTCGTGGAGTTTCCGGAACTTGATTTTCGGCAGCACGTTCGCCAGGCCGCGGTCCGCCCACTGCCACACGCCCTCCAGTATCCTGAGTAAAAACGTCCCCACACCAGGGTCAAGTTGGGGACTTAGCTACACAAATCCAGAAGTTTTGGGAGCCACGCATGACAAGTTGCAGTCCGTAGCGTAGTGCATGTTAGCAAGGAAAACCGCATCACAAATCCATCTTCTTATCCTGTTTGCAGCATTACAAATTTCAAAACACGACTGGTAATGCCTCTCATGGAGATGCGCATTACAAGTCTTCCTGTCATCGCAAATCTGCATGACAACTCTGGGGTTGGGACATTTTTACTCAGGATATCCAGGTCCTTGTCGTTGTAGCCGATCAGTGCCCCGTTGTTGCCGGCCAGGTACGACAGTTTCTGGTTCACGGATTCCGACAAAACGGTAGCGAGCGAGCCCCCGCCGTACTGGAAACAAGTCCGCAGGGCGTCGTTGAAGTTCTTCTTCTCGCTGAAGAATTTGTAGGCAAACTGGTCGTCATCCGCAGGGCAGCGCCAGCCCTTGCTGCACGGCAGCATGGAGACTGTCGCCGGTCCTTCGGTAGCCGCTTTTTCATTGCGTGCTGCAGTAGCTTCACGACGAGCCGCATCAAGGGCGACCACGGGAAGAAGATCTTCTTGATCTTCTTGCAGATGGCCAGTAGTACTGATGCTTTTGCTTTTGTCCTCGTCGTCCAGTGAAGTCAAAAGTGGATCCTGAGACAACTTTTCATGTTCTTGTTCAGAAGTAATACTAATAGTTTCTTGGTGCTCAACTTGCAGCATGTTGTTTCCACCTGGACGACCTCCGACGCTGGCTGGGTCGACGTCTTTGTACCTGTACACGGCGTTGGTCCACCCGCCCCCGCACCGGTCGAAAAACGCGTTGTCCTTACATCTTCTGTGCCCCACCGTGCACTTCTGGTCGCTCACTATCCTGAGTAAAAACGTACCCACACCAGAGTCAGGATGGGGATTTTGCAACACAAACCTAGGAGTTTTGGGAGTCACACATGACAAGTTGCACTCCGCAGTGTAGTGCAGGTCAGCAAGTGCAGCTGCATCAGAAATCCATCTGCTCATCCTGTTTACAGCATTACAAATTCCAAAACACGATTGGAAATGGCTCTCCTGGGGATGCGCATTACAAATCTTCCTGTCTTGGCAAATCAGCATTACAACTCTGGTGTGGGTACGTTTTTATTCAGGATACTCACTTTTCCGTATTTGTCTTTCATATCGCCGTTTCCGCAGGCACACTGGTCGCCCCACTGCAGCGCGAAGTAATCGTAGGAACTGCAAATGTCCATGCACTCCTCCAAATTTTTGCCGCCGGGAAACTGCATTTTCATGGCGCGCTTTGGCTTGTCCTTGAAGCAGCCGAGGAACTCGACGTTCGGTTCGTGCTCATAGACGCTGTTGCGCCACCCCCCGCCGCAGAACGTTTTGTCGTTTGCCTTGCAGGCGCGACAGTCGGTGAGGGGCGCTTCCGGGTACGCGGGTCTTTCCCTCAGCTTCACGAAATTCTTGTTGCCGCAGAAGCACTCAGAGCCGTTCTGCACGGCGAACAGGTCGTAGGACTGGCACTGCACCTTGCAGGACTCCACGGTGTGCCCGTTGCCCTGGTACCGCTTCAGGTTCCGCTTGCCGTTGTCTTTGAAACAGCCGAGGTACTTGACCGACCCGACCGCGAGCTCGAGTACCGGCGGCTCCGGCGTTTCGATCGGCTTGCTGCAAACGAAGTCTCGCCTGCTGTTGCAGGTCAAGTCGTTCCACGTCAGGCCGTCGCCGGCTCTCCGGACCGCGGTGCAGTCTTCTGATTTTCTCCAGTCGTTCGGCTCCCCGCGGTTCCAGCTGCTGTACGTTTGCGACACGAGTGAGCCGTCCCCGGGCCAGACGAACTGCCTCTCCGTGTTTTTGTCGTTCGCACCGATGTAGGGCTGCGTCAGCTTCCCACTGAGCGCACGGACCACCTCGTTCTGCCACTTGCTCTTCACCGTCGCAACTGTCGCCCCGAAGGACATGCAGTAGTCCATGGCCTGGTTGAAGTTGAGAGTGTACGGAAAGTACTTGTAGTATGGAACTCCTGTCAGGATCGAAATTGACAAAATCGAAAAATTTGTAATGCATAAAATACATGACGCGAAATGTGTGTGATGCAGAGCAGGCAAGTGAGGCCGATTGTAAGCCTGTTTGGGGTTATAGCTCGAGCTGCTAAAGCAGCATGAGAGAAGCAGTCTTCTTTGCCGAAGCAGCATTACAAACTGTATTCAGGCACCACCAGAATTTGTCATGCGCCACTTAGAAACTGGGTTCGAGCTGGAATGTATTTTGTGCATGACAAATCATTTCGATTTTGTTAATTTCGATTCTGACACTCCCATATGTAGGCGAGGTCGCCCGCGCACCGCCAGTCCGAGTCGTCCTTGCAGCTGGGGATCGTGACGGACTTGTCCGTATGCATTGCAAAAGTATCGTACTAGTAGGAATTGCAATACAAATTCGCTCAGCATAACAAATTCCCATTTGTCATGCTGATTTGCCTTGGGAACCAGATTTGTAATGCATAATTGCGATCACTTTCACTACGAGGAGTACGATACTTTTGCACAGGATAGTCCGCGTCCGGGCGGTCCTTGTTGGCTTTGAACCTGTACACGGCGTTGGTCCACCCGCCGCCGCAGTACTTGAAGTCCGAATTGTGGTTGCACTTCCGGTGCGGCACGTGGCACTTTTCGTCCGGCAGCCGCGCGCCAAACTTCTTGTGGTCTTCTTCCGTCTGCCCGCACCCGCACTGGTTGCCCCACTGCAGGGCGAAAAACTTGCTGCCGGTCTTGGCGCAGCGGTCCGCGCAGTAGTCAAAGTCCGCGTTCCAGCTGACCATTTTCAACGCACGGGCCGGCTTGTCCTGGAAGCAACCGACGTACTCCACGTCGGGCTCGTGCTGGTACACGGAGTTGCGCCAGCCCGACCCGCACTTGTATCCCTGCTCGGGGTCGACGTCCCGTTCTCGCGTGGTGCCCACCGGCTTCCAACAGAAAGCACACTCGGTCGGGGGCACGTCCTGGTACTTGGGGACACTCGTGTCCCAAAACCCCTTGTTCGCGCAGAAGCAGAAGTGATTGGCTTGTATTGCGAAGTAGTCGTAGTGCGAGCACTGCGCTTTGCAACTGGCCAGCGTGAGGCCCCGCCCGTGGTAGCGCTTGATGGCGCGATGCTTGTCGTCTCCAAAGCAGCCCAGGTGGGTCGCTTTGCCGGTGACGAGCGTGACCTCCTTCTTTTCCAAGTCCAGCATGGACTTCCCCACCTCCCGCGGCTTGGAGCACACGAAGTCGCGCTTGCCGAAGCACGCGATGTCGTTCCATTTTCCGTTCGGCTTGCGCTCGGTGCAGTCCTCCTTGTTGCGCCAATTGTTCGGCTCACCCTTGTTCCAGGCGGGGTCGTCGTCGGGCACGACCTCGCCGTCGGCCCAGATGAACTGCTTCCCCGTTTGCACGTCGGAAGCCGCAATGTAGACGTTGCGCCTCTTGCGCGGGACGAGGTACTGCAAAACCTCGTTTATCCTGAGTAAAAACGTACCCACACCAGAGTCAGGATGGGGAATCTGCTAGACAAATCAGCTAGCTTTGGTTGTTTGGCATGACAAGTTTGTCCGCGTAGTGTAGTGCTGTTTGAGCTAGTTTAGCAGCATTACAGATCTAGTATCTCGTGCTGATTGGAGCATGACAAATTTCAAAACCGCACTAGAAAATGCTTCTCATGGGGCTCCGCATGAGAAACATTTTAAGCATGCAGAGTTGCATGACAACTATGGTGTGGGTACGTTTTTACTCAGGATATCGTTTTCCTCTTGCTCATTCACCTTTGCGAGCACCGCACCATAGCTCCAGCACGTGCGCATCGCATATCCACAGTAAATTTCCTGTACACGTACAAATGCAGTCTCTGCATGACAAAACTTGCCTTCAGTCCTAGTGTAGCATGACAAGCTGGACACTGCAAGTTAGCGAAATTTGTCATGCATTTTGTACATGTGCAGGAGTAGGAAATTTACATTGCATATCGCATTCTTGTAGTTCATGGGAGTCTGGAAGTACTTGACCGCGATATCGTTCACGCACCGCCAGCCGTTCTTCTTCTCGCAGGCCGGCAACGGCGCATCTTGGTCGGTACCGATGTACTGGTAAACCGCATTACTCCACCCTCCGCCACAATACTTGAAATTCGCGCCGCCTTTGCAGGCCGGAGCGCCCTTGTGGTTGCACCTAATGGTTGTAGAACAGTTGTTTGTGTGTTGTGGAGCAGTGTATCGGAAACCTAACGGATCGATGTGACCAAAGTCACACTTTTTTTTTCCCTATCTCTATCATCGAGCTCACTATGCGAATAGGAATAAGCAACGATATAATTCGCACATCATCTTTACTTGCCATCGTCGATCTTGTCGCCGTGTTTTTTCTTGTCCATCCCATTCCCACAGCCGCATTGCGTGCCCCACTGCAGGGCAAAGTAGTCGTAGTTCGCTTTCGAACACTTATCCGCGCACGTTTCCAAGGTCTCGTATGAACTGCAAAAGTATCGTACTCGTATAAATCCAGTACAAATTTCCTCAGCATGAGAAATAAAATTTGTAATGCGAATCTACCTTCAGGAAAAGATTTGTAATGCATGACTGCAAGAATACGAGTACGATAATTTTGCACAGGATATCTCGCTCCACCCGACCATTTTCAAGGCGCGGTCGCCGGTATCCTTGTAGCATCCGACGTACTCCTATGAGAAGGAAAAACTCCCCCTCCCCATATTGAAAAGGCACACTTTTGGAAATTTGTGATGGTGATTTGTGGTCACAAATCGCCACTGCCTTGCAAGAAGGCGAACCCAGAAGGCCCCCCGGATTATTCCGGCGCTTTGTGATGCTGATGGGCCTAAGGCATAGACCTTTGTCATGCTGAGCGCCTAGGCCAAAACCTCTCCACGCAGGCATGATATGGGCCTGCAGTCCTCTACTGCAAGACAAGGCTGATTTGTGTACGCAAATCCAACATCAGAAATTTCGTTTTGATATGGGGAGGGGTTTTTTTCCCTTTTGATAACTCCACATCGCGTTTGTGTTCGTACACGGAGTTTCGCCATCCGCCACCGCACCACTTTGCCTTCGGGTCCGACGGCTTTAGCGCCTTGTCTTCCTCACACAACTTGCAGTCGAACGTGCTCGCCTTTCCGTATTTCTGGTCCGGACCTTGTTCGACGTATTTCGCAAACTCGAACTTGTTTGCGCACCGGCACTCGGTGCCGTACTGAATTGCGAAATAGTCGTAGTGACTGCAGGCGGCTTTGCAGCCCTCCACGGTCATCTGGTTCCCGATGTACCGCTTCATGGAGCGGCTCTTGTCGTCCTTGAAGCACCCAATCCACGTGGCTTTTCCGGTTTGCAGGCTCAACGTTTTCGATTCGGGTTCCTTGCAGATACCATCCTCCTCGTCCAAGAGGTAACCCTTGTCGCACTTCACGCATTTCGCATCGCCCGTCTTCGGACACGCTTGGCCAACTGCCGCCTCCCCGTGCTCGCAGAGGCACTTCCGCTTCTCGCACAGCGAGTCCTCGGTGAGGGAAAAGCCCGCTTGTTCGTCGCAAGATTCGCACTTCGGCTCCCCCGTCTGCGGACATTTTTTGCCAACCGCGGCCTTGCCATGCGCACATTTGCACTCGTTGAGCGCACACTCGAACTGCTTACTTTCCGCCCCACTAGATAAATTATCCGCCTGCAGCCCTGGAGCTAGTGCGCGCTGGTGGTAACCGTCGTCGCAGCTTTCGCAATCGACAGCGCCATGCTTTTCGCACGTTAAACCCATGGTGGGCTGGCCATGGTCGCACTTGCAGGCATTTTCCTCGCACTTAAAGTCCGGCGTGAGGTGGAACCCAGCGTCGCACTTGGCGCACTTGGGATCTTTATTGTGCGGGCAGGCGGCAAGTTTCGCGGGTTCTCCGTTCAAACATTTGCAAACTTTTGGCACGCACGTGTCTTCCTCGCCGTCAAGCACGTAGCCGGCCTGGTCGTTGCAAGAGGCGCATTTGGGCGACTGGTGCTCGGGGCAGCGGTCGGCCTCGCAGCCGACCCCGTGGTCGCACGTGCACTCATTTTTCTTGCAAAACTTCCCGGGACCATCGGTGCTCGCCTTCGCGGTCAAAAAGTACTTGGTCCGCCAGGCGAATACGCCTTTGCGCACCAAGTCGCACCGACCGCCCCGGAAAATTGCCGTGAATGTGGGGCACGAGGGCCAGGAGCGCTTGCCCGTGCGAATCAGAAACTTGTCCGCCTCGGTTACAAACACGTCCCTGGGGCCATTGTCGTTCAGAAACTCGATACTAAACTCCTCGCCCTCGTTATCGCAACAAAAAAGTGTTACAGTTGCGCATTGTGTTGCAAGACCGGCAACACAGACAACCTTTCTCATGCAGGAAATGCTTGGGAGCCTCGTTTCCTTCCTGTTTTCCCTTATGATCTTCGCACTACAAGTTTTCTGTGCCAAACAGGGAAAATTTGTGATGCAGAAACTCCAACAAATGTGTAACTGTATACACTTTTTTCTCATGATACTCGTTCACCGGCGTGGGCAGGTCGTACGACTTGTCGCCCTTCGCCAGCCGGTACTCTACTTTGCTGTCCCGCGCGTTGATGCGAACCTTCTCCTGCCCTAAACGCCCTTTCAGTTGAATGGAGCTCACGGTACCGGAACCAATCGGAGAAGCGCCCATCTTGCAAAGGATCATGTGATACTGCCCGTCGCCGCCCGGCCACAAGCTGTTCGGGTTCGCGTGCGGCCACATTCCACACACCTGTCAAATATCGAGATGCATACTTATCGAGTCAGATACTTAATCTGGTTCTACAGCTGGAGCTTGTCACTCATCGGAAATTAAATTTTTCCACTTTGACCTCTCGTATAAAGCCAAAGCGTTTGATGCTGGCGCAGCATTTTGCTGAGCATTTCAGGAGGTCACAGTCGAGAGGTCAACAACTGCTCAGTGAGTAAATAAGGCCAAGTGACTGAGCTGATTGCAACAAGATATACTTTTTTGTCCACGTGGTTTCTGTCTCCGTTCAACGGTGCCCATTCGAAGCTTTTGCACCTCGGCGTTTGGGCGCAGGCCTCGTAGCAACTTTCAATCGTGGGATAGTCGTAACGGGCGTTACAACCGAACATGCCACAGCCGCCGATTGCCACGCCCTTGTAGCGGCCGCGGTACTTCAACGCGACGGAGCCCGCCGGACAGCCGTTCGGGTCCGGAACAGAAATCGAGCCCTCGACATGGAAGCCGTCGTTGCACTTCTCACACCCCGGCTGCTCGTGCTCCGCACACATCTTTTCTCTCGTTGCGCTTCCGTTCGGACACGTACACACGTTCTCCACACACGCGGCAGCATCTAGGTGAAAGCCGCCCTCGCAGCTCGCGCAGTGCTCTTTGTTGTCCTCGGGGCACGGCTTCCCGATAGATCCCACCCCATTGCCGCAGGTGCACTTCTTCTCTCTGCAACTGATGTCCTCCAGCGTATAGCCGGCCTTGTCGTCGCAGCTGACGCACTTTGGCTCGTCGTGTTTTGGGCAGTCGTCTGCTTCGGCGCCCTGTCCATTTTCGCAAGTGCACTTGTTCATTGCGCACTCTGCGCCAATCCGGAGCGTAGCGGATGCAGACTCGTCTTCACCGTCAACATCTCTCGACATTTCGCAAAGAATTGCGTGCATTTTGCCGTCCCCACCGGGCCACAGTTGATTGGGTCTGGCATGGTTATACAGGGTGCAAACCTTGTGCTGGCGGTGATTCCGATCGCCATTTTTTGGGGCCCAGTTGAACGCCTTGCAGCGCGAATCCTTTTTGCAGGCGGCAAGGCAGCTTTCCTTTGTCGGGTACTTGTAGCGCGCCCCGCAGCCACGCAGCCCACAGCCGCCGATATCCGCACCGAGGTACTGGCCGCGGAAAGCGACTGCTTTGGAGCCTTTGGGGCAGCCCTGCTGATCTGCTCCCTGGGTTTTCATCTCGCAAAGAATCGCGTGCATCTTTCCGTCGCCGCCCGGCCAGAGCTGGTTCGGTCTGGCATGGTTGTACAAGGTACAAACTTTGTGCTGGCGGTGATTTCGATCGCCGTTTTTGGGAGCCCAATTGAATGCCTTGCAGCGAGAATCCGCCTTGCAGGCTTCGATGCAGCTTTCAATGGTGGGGTACTTGTAGCGGGCACCGCACCCATGCAAGCCACAGCCGCCAATGTCCGCACCCAAATATTGGCCGCGGAACGCAACGGCCGCGGATCCTGCGGGACAACCGTGCTCGTCCTTGCCGCCGAGAAGACCCGCAGCTACTTCCTTGCCTCCAAACATGTGGAAACCTTCGTCGCAGGTCGCACACCCCGGCTCCCCGTGTTGCGGGCATTGCAGCTGCTTCGCCGGTTCGCCGTTTCCACACTCGCAGACGTTTTGCTCGCATTCGTGCGTGGCGTGGTTCAAATGGAAGCCGTCGTCGCATTTGGAACACTTCTCCATACCGTGCTGATCACACTGCGCCCCCTTGAAGGCCTCCCCGTTTTCGCACGTGCATTCCTTCAAAGGGCAGAAGGATTGTTCGCTGTTTCCGCTTTTCTTGTGGTAGTGCCCCACGGCGCACTTTTCCGGGTGGCATTCGTGATTCTTGTCCTGCGAGCAATCCTTGCCTACCTCGCCCGCACCATTTTCGCAGACGCACTGCCGGAGTCGACAACTGTGGTTTTCGAGAAAGTAGCCATCCGGCTCGTTGCAGCTGACGCAGAAAAGACTGCCGTGCTTCTCGCACCCGGTGTTGGTGGCTCCGGTTCCATGCGGGCATACGCACACATTCTCGTCGCACCGCCGCGTCAGCGTGTGGTCGAGCACGCTTCCCTCCATGTGGTACCCCGCCGCGCAACTGTCGCAGAAGGGCTCGCCTTCTGCCGGACATTCGGCCGCTCCGACCGGGAGACCGTGTTCGCAGGTACAGTTTTTCGCCATGCACTGCGTGACGTCAGAGGTGCCAGGCGGCTCGTCGTTTGCCGTGTTTTTCCTGAACACAACGGCGTCGCCGTACTTTGGACCGGCCGGGACAAAATTCGCACACGTTTCAAAAAGCGCACACAGCTTGTCCTCGGAAAAAACGAAAAACATGCAGCCCGGGTCGTTCTGACACAAGTCCTGACACACGTTCACGCTCCAGAAACCCTTCGGAACGGCGAACTCCGAGTACTTTGAGTCGCCTTCGCCGATCTGCAACGGGTGCCCCGCACAGGTCTGCCCGTGCTCGGTGATTTTGTCGAATGCCGCCGGGTATGGATTGCAAAAGTTAAAGTATCGCACTCGTATAAATGCATTAGCATTACAAATTAGCCAAGCATTACAAATCAAATTTGTGATGCTGATTTGCCTTGATAAAGAGATTCGTAATGCATAAATGCAATTACTGCGAGTGCGATACTTTTGCACAGGATACCGGAGGCTTCAACGCGAACCCAGCGTCGCAGCTTATGGCATTCTCAACTGTTACGTTCTCAATTGTTGCACGGATTTGTCATGCAAAATTGCCATCAGCCTCCACTTGATCAAGGTGGTTAGCATGACAAATTTTCGAAGGGCTAAAAAGCATGATAATCTGTGTCAAATCTGTGATGCGAAAGCAGCAATATTGCCACCTTCGCTATTTCTGTTGTTGCATTAGAAATCCATGTAACAGTTGAGAGTGTAACGTTTGAGAACGCCATACAGCTGGCGCACTGGTGCTCCCCGTCGATGGTGCACGGCAGGCCCCACCGCTCCTTCCCGTGTTCGCAGGTGCAGTGTCGCCGATGGCACTTGTTGTTCTCCAGCACATAGCCCCCCGGCTCATCGCAACTCATGCAGAATTCGGTGTTGTGCATGGGACAGTCCGTGCCCTCCGCCGCCACGCCGTTGCTGCACGTGCACTTCTTGAGTTCGCAAGTGAAGTCCTCCGTTAGGTAGAACCCGTCCGCACAGAACAGGCACTTCTCGAACCCATGCTCGGGACACGCGGTACCATTGGTGGGGAACCCGTTCGCGCAGGTGCACTGCTTGCGCTTGCAACCGCCGTCGAAGTGCTTGGTTCCGTTCGGCAGGAAGTAGCCGGGGTCGCACGACTCGCACGAGGGCGTTGCGTCGATCTCGCAAGGGACGCCGACGTCGGCGTTGCCGTTCTTGCAGGTGTATCAAATGCAAAAATGTCTGGGTCTGGAAGAGTTGGAACTTGTGATGCAAAATCTGGAACAGACAAAAATTTGTGTTGCATGAGCGCCAAAAGCTGCCCACTTCTTGGTACGCAAGTAGCAAGTTTCTCATGCGGGACAGGCATCATGAGGCGTGCTCAAAACCTGTGATGTTTTTGCCTGCATCAGACACCATTTGCGTGGTCCGAAATATGCATGACAAATCTCGCAATCTTCCAGACCCAGACATTTTTGCATTTGATAAGGTGCACTGCCGCAGCCGGCACAGATCCCGGTCCAGCGTGTACCCCTTTTCCTCGAAGTATGAAAGCCTCAGGTTGGAAATCGTCAAAGTTGAAATAATTTGTAATGCAAAAAAGCGACTCCAGATCAAGTGCCATTTCTAGTCGGCGCATGACAAATTTTCCGGGCACTCAAAGCATGTCTGTCATGCTAGGTAGGCAAAGGGGTGCCCTTCTCTCGTGCTAATCAGCAGCCCAGTTCTGAACCCCTAACAGGACAATAGTCGGTCTCCATTGTGTCCTCTGCAACACAGTCTTTTTTGCCGTGCATTTCATGCATCACAAATTATTTCCACTTTGAGGATTTCCATTCTGAGGCTTTCATACGAAGCAGCTCGCGCACTTCGGCAGGTCGTGGGTCGGGCACTGCTTGTTCACGCTGCCGAGGCCGTGCTGGCAGGTGCAGACGTTCTCGATATGGATTGAAAAAAGTTTGTCACAGTCACTAAGTTGCAGGCTTTGCATTACAAATCTTTTTAGCGTCACAACTTCTCCTTGTATTGCAGAAACACTAGGAAAATCCCTTATGAAGTGTGGCTGTGATGGATTTTTACGCATGACAGACAATTTTGTATTGCAAAAATGCCCATGAGTGATCGTGACGAGCTTTTTTCTTTTGATACTCGAGACAGTCGATGTACTCGCTGTGCAGGTCCGTGTCGTTCAAATGGTACCCCTCGTTGCATTCCATACACTTGTATGCATTGCAAATATGTCTCTTCCTGGGTCCGGAAGTCTGAACGAAACTTCTGATGCTTCTTTTCGATTCTAAAGGAGTTGGTATTTTTGCCTGAGCAGTAGGCGGAGTTCAGTTTTTGCTCCGCGGAGAGGGCGTGTTCGATGCGAGAGAGGCATCAAGAAGGAATCGGAAAATCTTCTGTGACGCTATAGCATGCATTTACACCGCAGTAGACAACTTGGGTCATGTAAAATGCTCATGAAGACAAGCGGCGGTGCACCAGTTTTATTCCAGACCCAGATAATATCTTATAATTTGCCATGCCGATAACTTGGTGGCCATGTCCACCTGGCAGTCGACCCCCGTCGCGCCGAGGCCGAAGTCGCACCGGCACTTGTTGTCGACCGGGTTGTCCAGGGGAGTTTTCTTGTCGCACACGTGCCAGCGGTAGACGGAGAAAATGTCGGTGGAAATACTCCCGCCGCAGTAGTTCTTCTCGTGGCCGTGGAACTCGAAGTCCGTCTCCTCGCACATGGCGGTCCGGCACTTCGTGGGCGACACCGGCACGAAGGCCGCGCGGAGCTGCTTCGTCTCGGGACCTTCCACCGAGCACAGGCAGGTGTTGCCGCCGTCGGCAATGTACACCATTTCGGGCCAGAGCCCCGTTTCGTAGCAGTACGCCGCGCACTTCACCGGCGTGGTGGGAAAGGGCAGCGGACCCGGCTCGTTCGGATTGTCGCTGTCCGGGAGAAAGCGGCTCGTGTCCACCGTGATGGTCAGATTCTCCGGCACCTTGTAGCACCCGACAAACTGGTCGCAAATCTTTTTGTCTTGGTCTTCCAGAGATGGCACGGGAGGGATCAGGCTGTGCTGCATCGACGTCCACCAATCCTTCACGCTCGCTTTCATCGAAAACAAATTCATGGACGATGATAAAGAGGAAGATGATGATGTTGAACCTGAACTAGATTTCTCAGAACGTACTTCCCGATTTCCGCCGCGGGTTGAGGTATGGAGCCCGTCCTGGAGGAGCACCTGGTTGTATTTTGTGGCTGCACGAGCTGCACGAGGCGGACCAATGTCGCCTGCTCCATGAGCCGACTGCTGCAGTGTATCCTGTACAAGAAAATATGTCTCTACTTAGTCACCTGGATCCGAAGCTTCTTGGAATTTTTTCACTCGTTGTAAAGGTTCGCTGACGACGTGACGCCAAAACCACATTAAGCATTTGTTTTGTCTTCACATCAGCTTTCGCGCACAAGAAAACAATTTTAACGACTGTCGCGGAATCCGAATGTAAGTGTTGATTTGGTCGCCAAACTGAAAATCGCATGACAAGTTCAAGTTGTGTGAAAACATTCTTTCATCCAGATGACAGAGGCATATACATGTTCACATTCGATATGGTATAGTTCGACCACTGGATGAGTAGAAACCAGCAGCGCTATCATGTGTAAAATCACTATCACCCGACTCAGCCTTGAGCTCAATATCCAGTGCATGTCAGGACGACCAGACGACCCAGCACGTGCCTGCCAACCTGCAAGCCTTTTACGTACGTCCGCAAGCGCGTTGCAAATTGCAATTGATGATGTGCCTGCGGGAAATTGTGATTTTACATGTGATAAACGGAGAGGAGGAGCTGTTGTCCTCCCAAAAACGCGAGACCGATTAGAGTAGTCCGAGCAGCTGCGTTATCAAGTGCAAAAGTGTCTGGGTCTGGAAACTTGTGATGCTGGGTGGCGTCTCATGATGAGGCTGCAAATGCTGGCTCAGCATGACAAGTTTCTGAGGTCCTAGGTGTTGCCTATTCTGCATGACAAACTGCGCTTCTGCATCACAGAAAAGCGGAGCTCTTGGGTAATGTGCATGACAGATCTAAGAGTCATGCCAGACAAGCATGACAAACATGAATTCTTCCAGACCCAGACATTTTTACGTTTGATATGCGTCGAACCGACGTGAAAATAGAAACACCATCTTCGCAAACTAGCACGTAAGCGAAGACGATATTGGGAAAAAAAAATGCAAAATTTGTACGTTGAAAAAGTGAAGTAGCGTTATTTAGTACTTATGTAATGAAGCACGAAAAAGATGGGAACGCCGGCAAAATCAAGAAGTCAAAGGCAAAAAAAAATCTCAAATCGCCCAGTGAAGCAGGACAAAGTTGACGACCTGTTTCAAAATGGCGAGAGTCTCAGTGTGTGCTTGACAAGAGTAAGCCAGGCACAAACAACAAGCATCAATAACTCAAGAAGATGCATGTAAAGTGAACTTCTTTGGATATGTAATTGCTTGTAGATCTACTAGTAGCAAACAGGACTAGTACTACAAAACGAATGATGAAACAAGACTTGAAAGGCTTACGGTACGATACCGGTCTTTTTTGAATTTAGCAAAAAAAAAGAGAAACTATAATCGCCAGAGCGAAACAGAAACTGTCATACCAAGAAGTAGTTACTTGCATACTTACTTCCAGCAAACAATGAGTTTTTCGATCGCGAAACTGAATAACCTTTACTGTTGAAAACGCCAGCTTGTTCTGCTGCAGGCGGTGCAAGAATGAAAAAACGACCAAACTGAGTCATTCCATCTTGATGTGAGGATGAATCGTGAAGAAGTCTATACGAAGATCTTCACGACTGTCAAAGACAAAAGGCTTTACGTTTCGCAAACAGCAATCTTTTGGTTGTACAACTCGACAGAAGGTGAAACTATTTTGTTTTTTTGAAACAACAAATTTACAATTTCAACTCATTGCATAGAATATCCAGCGGCCACTCGAAGCAGTTCATGAGATGATGGACCGATGCCGGTTCTATCAATCAAGTACAGAGACAGAGGGCAGTGGGTTACGACAAAGACTTCTCGTCAAGACGACGAAATGAAGCACCGATGCGGGATCAATATAGTAAGTAAGTATGTTGGCACGACAACGGAACAGTAACTTCAACTTGAACTTCTCTCACTCTCAGAGGGAGGCGACATGTTCCTCACGGCCACGTTGTAGCTGTAGAAGTTGCCAGGGATAGTAAAAGGAGCCGTAGTACCGGAACCAGGACAAATTTTTGAAAGAACGCGAAAAACGGAATGCACCAAGAAGGCACCAGCACCAGCAGGTGCAAAAACCACAACCAACAAAAACGAGGACGGTAACTGACACAGCGTTCTCGTTCCCATCAAATGGCGATGGGGGAAGAACAAGTGCTGGCATGCATTTGCGTCTTTTCAAAGTAGTGGCAGTAGGCGGTCGCTGTACGAACAACTGTTGGCACCGTGAGGACCGAATAGAGCACCGACCCTCCGATTGCCTTGAAGAATATGCTTTGGTTCTTGTGGCCTGCTGCTGTGGAAATAGTTTTGTATGGCGCAGTTTTTCAATAAGCACGATATAGCTGCGGTGTGGTTTCATCATCATCGTCATCATGTAGTGGACACCCGCTCCCAGCGCCACAGGTCAAGGATCCCCTCCCCGGGGGGTGGGCGAGGAAGCACTTTCGGCGACCGTGCTGATTATTATGCCGGCCTTCCTCGCGGACGCACGCACATACATTGGTATAATATGCATGTCGATAGTACAGCATGAACAGGACGGGTTTTGCTAGAAGAGCAAGCCCCGAAGACAGTTCGTAACACAAGATCTGGCGTATGGGATGTAACTCAAAGTGTACCACGTCATGGCCGCGTACTGGAAAAGGACAAGAAACAAAATTAATATCCGGGTGCTGAACTTGGTCGCGTCTAGCAACACCGAAACGGTGATGGTGCTGGTAAAGAGGATAATCAATGCGAAGACGGTCCACCTCCGCTCCTTGTCCAGCATTCGCTTGAGCTGCGCAGCTGGTCCCATCAGAAAGAAAGATCCCGAGAGCGCCACTAAATTTCCTAGGGTGTATAGCCGAGCAAAAGCGCCGGGGTCCCTGTGAAACCGGTGGGACGCTGCGAGCTGTCGTAAAGACAATGAATTACAATCTGTGGAAGTTGTCAACAAGTAATTCTATGCTCCAGCTCCTCTATGGTGTGCTGGTGCTAGAAGAACGAGAACTATTACTTGACTCGTGGTGAGAATTATGAATGAGGAAACCGAGTTTGTTCGTTATTGTCGCACACGCGGCGACACATCATCATGCATCGATCATGTGTAAAGATAAAAATCTTGCTGAAATTATATGCTTGCTCTACACTTATTATGGTCCCCACAGCGAAGCATGCGGCCCATCCGGTGATTCGTTGCTTGTACGAGAGGCGTGGGCAACAATTCTCAAGAAGGTCTCCGTCGTCATCGCCCGGCGCTAGCAGCTCGCGGGCCTGCGCTGCTGAACTGCGGACATCTTCCATCGTCGTTGGTAGAATGCCACCTGGGGGGCCACGGCCAGCGGCCCCGGCGTTATCCATAGATACGTAAGGAAACAGTTTTGAAGTTGATTTTCAAAGGATTTGCCGGATGAAACTCATAGCTGTAATACATCGCGGGACAAGATCTGTACGGAGGACTCGAAGACGCAAGTATGCAAATGCTCGCACAACGTGGATCATCTCTGTAAGGGAGGACGGAAAAAATGGTATTGTAGATGCACCTGCACGACATGAAGCTGTACAATAATTCATTTGCACAAGAAAAATTTAAGGTGCCAACAAGTACGATGGGTGAAAATCCACCTCCAACGAGACTACAAAAAATATAACAAATGGGGCTATAACAGGGCACGTATATTTTTCATTCTCGAGATTCGATGAACACGATGACTATTAATCTATCTCCAGACTCAAGAACAGCTGGGGTCAGGAGTTCGTTCCGTGCACAGCACTACGTACTAGCATCCAATTGGCAGGGGCAGATTCAGTCTAGAAGTATCACAGAAGGAGTTCATTTGCTGCGTTTTCTCTAGGAGCAGACGCAGAAGAAGTTTTATGTACTGGCTCGTGAAAAAGCACGCTTTTCAAGTGGAACTCCGCCCCCCCCCTAAGTCAAAATCTGCATCACACGTCGTGTCGATGTGACCTGAGCTTCGAGATCGCTCCCACTGGACGTGTGTTTGGTGGAGCGGGAGCTCGCGCCAAGCAGCTCCCGCGTGTCCTCATCGACGGATTCCCCTAGGTCTTTTCTGCGCAAAATCAAGCATCGCATCGGCGAGCTTTCGAGGCTCGAGGCTCGCCACGTACAAAACTACAATCATGGAGCATGTACGTCACAAACGTAAACAGGGTGCACGAAGTGCAAATCAATTCGACCTCCTTAAAGACAGAGTTAGGAAAATTTACTGCATGTGCTTTGCTGGTGTGCACTGAATTTATTCAGGCAAGATAAAGTTAGCTGCGATAGCCACAGCATCAAGAGAAGATTTTGCACTGAGTATCGATATATTTCTAAGATAGCAGGTCCACTGACGCACTGTGACTTTCTTGCGTCGTTATTATACCCCCGAGCGGTGGTGAAGAAGTTGCGTCGCCCTCTCGCTCTACTTTTACTGCAGTGGGAAGGTAATGAGAATGGCCTCCTCCAGCAGCTTTGCCGACAAAATTTGGAGCGGGATCTGGTGCGGGGATGTGCAGCAGATCTTGCGTACTGGACGACTGCATTTTTGCGTCTGTCCTCGCGTCGGCACTGTATGTCTGGTTCGTGTAGTAGATCGCGTTCCCGCTTCTAGAGACGGAGGTACTCCCGTTGCTGCTGCTTGTTGAGTGTTTGGAGTGACTCGTCGAGGCCGAGCTACCAGTAGTTTCAAGAGCTGAGTGCTCATCGTGGATGTCACGTAGGGAGGTGCTGTTCATCTCGTCGATATTGATCGCACCGCCTACACGTGCGGCGGAAGTTGTAGAGGAGCCGGAAGGCGCCAGCGCCGTGCGACTTTGAAATCCTATATTTCCACGCGGCCTCGCCCCGGATTCCAGGTCTTCATCTGGCGGAGTAGTAGTTCTTTTTGCGTCTTCTTTGTCGGCGGCGTGCCCCCTCATTTCTTTTCCCCACTGCCCGTTCAGGAAGACACCGAAGCAGATGGTGAGAAAACCGAAGACCTGCAGAATGGTGCAGGTGTTGCCGAAGATAAGCACTGAGGTGATGATGATGGCAACGTTCTTCAAATTGCCAATCGCCATGCTCTATGGATTGCAAAAATGTCTGGGTCTGGAAGAATGCAAGATTTGTGATGCAGGTTTTCCATGACCCATGAGGTCTGGAATGCGAAACCCAGCATGACAGATTCTTTGAGGTCTCTATCATGCCTTTCCTGCATGACAAAATCCCCTTCAACTTGGTCAAAAGCGGACAGCTTTTGGAACTCACGCAACACAGATTTTTGCATCATTCAGATTTAGCATGACAAGTTCTAATCTTCCAGACCCAGACATTTTTGCAATCCATATGCTCATCAACGGCCCGAGGCGCGCAACCATGAGGAATGCGAAGAAGTTGAACAGCGCGGCGATGATCCCGGAGACACAAATGGCGAAGTAGGTTTGAGTATCAAATGTAAAAATGTCTGGGTCTGGAAGATTGCAACTTGTCATGCTAAATCTGCAGCATGGAAAAATCTGTGTTGCATGATTACCACAAGTCGTCCAGTTTGGACCAAGTCGGGAGGTAGTTTCTCATGCAGGATAGGCATTAGAAAGGTCTCGCAGAATCTGTCATGCTAGGTCCTGCATTCCAGACCTCATGGGTCATGGAAAAGCAGCATGACAAGTCGCGCATTCTTCCAGACCCAGACATTTTTGCATTGCATTTGATATTGAGCGGGGAGCGACGCGGACACGAACCTGGCGTAGGGGGTGGCGCCTTCCGAAATTATGCCGGCGCAAATGTAGAACATGACGTTCCACGGGGAGGCGTACAGCAACAACGTGACGGAACTCATGGGCTCATCCAGGTCGCAAAGCACGCGCGACTGCACGAGCACCCGCACCGCGCGAAACACTGCAGACCCTACACTGATCAGAATACCTGGACGGACGAGATCACATTGGTTCATTTTTGCCTTCCCCTTTGTCAGGAGCAGGCGGGGAAGAAGAAACTACGTGAACTAGTAACAACCGTAGCGTCGAAGTCGAACAACAGTTCTCGCCGCCGGCACCTATCAGGAGTACTGCAGCAGCACGAACAGGAGCACAACGGACTAGGAATGACAATGAGGTCATAAAAACTATGAAGCCACTTACCACCACTCCCTCACTTTTAGCAAGGCGGTGGGTCGTTCTTGTTTTACCTCCTGATACATTAGTTTGTTACTCGGAAAAATGAAAGTCTTAGAAGAAGTACCGAGCAGATGAAAGTTGACCTCGCCAAGTCCGCAGACAATGCCTCCTCCGCAGACGAAAACCATAGCAACGTAGCTCCACTTGTTGTATTACAGTGAAAAGTGCCCCCCCACCCCTGAAATTGCAAAAATTTGCGATGCGAAGTTTCCAAATGAAAACTTTTTGTCATGCATGAAAGGAGTATGAATCTTTCTGATGCAGAGGCTATGGCTAGGCGTGCACCGCATCGCTTGCATGATAAGCGCCGCACTTCCTGGTGTCTTTTGCAATACAAATTTTTGCTATTCACAATTGGAAACCTGTGATGCTGATAGATGCAAGAGGGCGAGTGTTTCATTATTTGGGAGGGTTTGCAATACAATTACAAATGCTCCCACGTTCGGGGGTGGGGGCATTTTTCATGGTAATATGTTGTACCTGGTGTTTCCAACCACCACCATAACAACGAGCGTCCAGAACGGTGTTGTGTTCTGGATCATCTCGTGGAAACTGGGATATCGCAAGGAAAAACTGTTTCACTGTGAACTTATGATGCAGAAAATTGAGCACAGAACTACTTGTCTTGCTACACCTGCATAGAACATTGGAGTTTCAGCCGTGTTTTCCCCTATGGGAAATGCGCGCATGACAAATTTTCAGTGTCATGCGTAACAAACTTGTATATGCAGATCTTGCAAAATCATCACAGTGAAACAGTTTTTTCTTACGATATGGGATACAAGAACAGCAATGCTAGGTTCCCACAACCGATCGACAGGGCTCCGAAAACGCTGAAGGGCAAAATCTTCTGCACCTGATTTTTTTGGTATAATATGTCAATGCTCAAATCGATAAAATCTCCTGCGACCGAGTAGCAAGCTTCTTTGAGTTTGAGCATGAGCTATGTTTTTTTTTGCAGAATCATTGATTTTTGTCAGGTCCGGTGTGTCTGCTGCTGTGTATATCAGACTTCCTTTCCATTGTACCTACACTGAATCAAGTTCAAGACCAGCACGAGATTCTGCTTCAGCATCGGAGGGCCTTTTTTTTTCTATATCAACTCTATCGTGATTGTTCTTTCGGCTTTGACTGAGTCAATGGTTTAGCAACATAGATAAAGTATGCGGCCGCGGAAAATCGTGCGATAATGAAAAATCAACCTGTTCAGAGAGATCCAGGTCGTGCGTTTTCCTCATCCACGGGCCGCCCGCTTTTGCGTTGGGTATAATTTCTCGATCCCTAAGTCGTGTGTCTCCACCCTCGCTTCCTGCAGCCATTGCTTGCAAGTCGCTGTCATCTTCTACCTGTTGCACTTGCTGGTAACTGTTATTCGAGGACTTTGAAAAATCATGCGTGAGCAGAAGAGCGAGCAGGTAGCTGAAAACGGAGTGTATCGCGGTGACGAAAAAAGGATAGCGGAAGTCGGCAAACACGTAGATCGCCTTCGTGGAGTTGATCAGCATAATGGAGGTTGTAAAGCTCCCGAGAACGATGAGGAAGCTCTCGATTTTTGGAAACCGGTGCAAAAGCGACTGACTTACTTCTAGCCGGCTTCGCATTGTCTTCGACATCTTCCCACGCGCCGTTGTAGTCTTCGCCAGCCTGGTCGTACTACCTTGATGATACCTATACGATCTACTTCTTCCAGCTGGGGGGTCGTGGAAATCCTGTTTCTTAGAGGCTCGGTGTTCGTTTCTTACGGCGATTTCCGCGCCGTCGGAACTTGCCCCAGCGCCAGCAGAATGGACGAACGGGGTATGGTGCTTCGTTGCTGTAATCGGAATTGCCTCCTCCTCCTGGCGCCACAACTCCTCGTCCCGTTCAGCCGGACTGCTGCCTGCTGAATGAGCCGACGCAGTAGAATATCCTGTGCAAACGTGATTTCGTACGTGGTCTGTTGTGTAGTGCAGATTGCGGTCTACTTGCGTCACAGATTTGCTGTTCCGATATTGATTCTATCTTTGTCTGTGCCCTAACGCGCGTGACAAACTTCAGTTTTATTTCCCGATCAAAACTTCAACTTCTGATGCAGCACTTCACAGTTTCCATTTACGACAATTTTGCGATGCATATAGAAGAGCTCGAGCTGCTGGCAGCGGACGTTGATACTGCTACTGCACCCTTGCTCGTGCCACGTCCGTTAACGTTGCGCCGGGGGGTGGTAGAAGGGGCGAGGGTAGACTTCGAGTGTTTAGTCTGCAAGTCTAAGCCGGAACGTAGACAGCGCAAGATATGCGCCCCGGCACCCGACATAGAGGACGGAAAGAAAGCGGCTCGTTGTCGTACTGCGGAGGATCGCTACCAGTTCCAAACGAGATGGTGCTGGCGTACAAGCTGATGTACATCTCGTCTTCAAGAAGATGAATGCACCATAGCAAACGCAATCGAGCTCGAAGTGGGCTAGTTCTGTACTGCCACGGACGATATCGATATGCTTGTTTTCCTCGGACAGGTAGTTGTACTAACTTGTAGCTGATAACAGAAAATCAACAAGGGAATAAACAAATGCTGGGAACAAGAGGAACAAGGAAATTTGCACGTGCGCAAATGCCCGATGATGGCTCGCACTAGAAGATAATTTCGAAACTATAAGCTTAAGCAGAGTGAGTATTGAAAAAAAAGGTCTTGCATGTGTGCTACATATTACATCTATCAATCTACGTTTACGACGTACGAGTACCAGAGACCGCGTGTGAGCAGAAAAGCAATTCAGTTTCTCTCCGGTCTACTCACTGCAACTCTACTTGGAGCACGCTCGGAGGGTATATTTTCCTCGTTTACCCCAACCTAAGGCTATGCACGCTTTTCCTTTTCAGATAGTTATAGGAGCGAAACCCTTCTGGTGCAAATTTGACAACCTTCTGGCGTAGTTGTGGTCGTATTTTTGAATGCGGTGGCGGCAGGCTGCTATCTTCCTATAGCTATAACCCTAGCCGGGCTGCTGACGTCCTCTTTTCACTCGGCAACGACCTTCTTTGGCTCGGATGAGTTGTTAAACATGTCGAAAGTAGACGCATAGAGTGACTTCCGGAGCAGGAAAGTTCAACAAGCGGAAGCTACGGTCGTAGATTATCGTAGCCGGAGCAGACAAAAACAGAAATGTCGAGTTCGGAGGAACCTCGTTCGGTGGTGAGCGAACTCACTGCATGCACTGTCCGACGAGAGTATTTGATGATGCAGCTCCATTCACCTTGTCGGTGTCCGTCCGAAACATCACATGCACTTTTCCAAGAATGCACTTGCAAATTATAAATTACGCTTGTACGCCAACAACAACCTCCAGTCCAGGTACAATCTCAATCACGGTGATACGGTACTTAGCAATTATGTTGAAGTTTTCTTCTGTACTTCTACTTACGTGGCACTCACTTACTCTTACTCGCAGTTGCTCCATGTTCATCATGTATGATTCGCTACATCACTTCGTAGTTAATAGACATAATACATTGAACTTTAAGAATGACGATGTTTGCTCGCATTCCCGCGAACTTCCTCGATGTAGCTTTACTAGTTGAAGAACGTGTAACCTCTACGACTATTAATGAATCAGTACATACATCACGGTACTTCGTCGTGCAATGTGCATCAACCTCATAATCATACATGTCGACTTCATTTTCCTGCGTTGTACGCAGCATCCTTTGATACGCAGCATCTCCCATGATCTTGATAGAGGTGACCATAACGCACAACACGAAATCAAAAGCAATTTTATCAATATATTACTTCGTGTGCATAAAAATCGCAAGCTTGTTTTTAGCAAGCAATCAAAAGCGACACAAACGACGTCGAGGGAAATCGTGATGCACTTGGTGATGTCCTCAAAACGACGACGCTAGAAAGCCTAACAGCGAAGAACGCCATTGAGCAGTCTTTGTCTGACCTACGAGTACAACTCGCTGTTGTTCTTTTCACTCGCGCGATGCTTACCTCCAATGAGCATGCCCGGCGATCAAGTAGTTGCTTTTGTTGACCCCCGGAGGGGGAGGTCCGCTCCTTCGTGGAGAATTACTTAGGCCCATCACCATTATTTTGTTCCCCCTCGCAGTACTCAATATGTCCGCCCGCAAGCTCCCGTCGATCGGATTGATATTGCTGTGGTTCATTACAACTCCATGAGATTGATTCGCGCTTGGCTGCTGAACGAGAGCGGCAGAATGCCCGCTCTTTTCTGGAAACGCGTGCTCTTGAGACTGAAGTTTCTTCGCCAGTTGTCCAAGGGCATCGACGGGTCGGAACGTCTCTTTCTGCTGCGTTCGGTTGTGCAGCTGTTGCATGCCTCCAGCAGTGAAAGTGATGCTGGCACTGGGCCACACAGGATCCTCGTATTTGAAATCTGGTGTCATGATACTGGAGGAAGGAACCGCTTTGCTCGACAAGTTTTCGTTTTCCAAGGGCAGAGTCACTTTAGTTGCAGCAGCAGAAGAGCCCGTTACGCGGTGCGGGCGCGTTTTTATCCCCCCAATGGTTTTCGCTCGACTTGGTCCGACGAAATGCTCGACGTTGTTGTAGATGTTCGCCAAATCGTCGACGCGCTGGTTCACGAGCGACTCATTCATCGCATGAATCTTCATCGTGCTGCCGACCGGTTCGACGCCTCCGGCTCGGGACCGAGTTCTCGTGCTGCGTGAATGTGACTGGTGCCGTGTCCTGCCTTTTCGGCGGCTCAGAATCGATGAATTATTTCGGCCCGACGGCTGTTGATGTACTCCGGCTGGAACAGCTTGAGTTTGCTGGGCCGCGGGCTGTTTCATTTGTTGAAGTAGTAGCTTTGACACCCGGTAGCATGAGAAGTTGCGCATTTGTAGTGAATTTTGCATGACAAATTGCAGGCGGGTCCGCCGGTACATTGTCCCTCTTGCCCTTCTGGGAAGTGCGTTCTGCACACCGCAGAAGTTGTCAAGGCTTATGCGGCGGCAGCTTCTAGACATGGCCTGGGTGCCGTTCTTTGGCCATGTCTATTCGTCATCGTCTCCCTGTGCTCGCATACGAGCACTGCAGCAGCCGCGGCAGAGACGCCAAAAAGAAAGTGCTGCGAAGCAAATGCAATTAGGCAAGAAGGCGCGAAGGCAAGGGCGAAAGGACCAGGCCGAGAGCTTTGACGCGTCTATCGGGCAGGTGCGTGAACTCTCCCGGCCTTTCCGGCAGAATATAGACGGGCTGAGGGCAGCAGAGGGCGCTTGTCTTTTCCCCTCGGCCCCACTTCCCAGAGCCTATCTGCGGACTTCCTTGAGCACTTTTCTGCGCTAAAGTTTGCTTATCACGGTCGACAAGGGGCGCCCGGTGAATTTTGGGGTGAATTTTGAAAAGGGCGGGAGTGACTTTTGGCCTGCGGCCCCTGTTCAAAATTCGCTAGCGCATGAGAAACTCCGGGTTTTGGAGCTCCAGAAAAGTTTAGCAAAAGGCAAAAGCCTCAAAATTCACCAGGAGAATTTCTGACCTGGGGATCACGTCGAAGAAGACTAGAGGACCCGAACAAGATGAAGCAGGAACACAGCTCGGAAGATGCGAGCTACAGAGCAAAGCAGGCGATGCTAGCATCCATTGCAACATGTCTCCAGACATTCAAGCCGAGCCAGCCGCAACCCGTGAGAGCTACCCATTTAGATGTTGACCCAGTGCCCCTCTCCTGTTGAGGCTTCGGCCCCCTCCCTCTCGACCCACTATGGACCCCGCAGAGGCAGTGTTGTATTGTGAGACCGCCACGGGCCGCCTTTGCTTCTTGGCAACGCAACAGGCAGCAAAGACGTGCGTCTCTACTTTAGGCTTTGACAGAGAGCGTCCCCATCCAAATGGCACCGGGCAAGTGCTAGCCTTTCAACTACCCGGAACACTGACTGCCTGGTGTCCTCCTCGTGTTCTTCATATGCCCCTTAATTCATGCATCTGCATCACGCCACGCAATACAAATTCACTGCAAATTCACCCTTCTCTATGCTAACGACCGTTGAAGACATAATTGCTGGGCCGCCACGGGCTGTTTCATTTGTTGAAGTAGTAGCTCTTGTTCACGATGCAGCTCACTCGTCCCTGCAGCCTGCTGCAACTGGTTACCACGTGCCAAACCTGCGAAGCAGGGTGTCGTATCGATTTTGTCGGGTTGCTCCATATTCGTTTGCAGCGGAGCATTCACAAGAAGGGGTTGCGGGCCGGCGAAAAACCCCTCGCGAGCTGCGGTTGTACCACTGCCATCGTTCTTGCTGACAACGGTCGTGTCATGTTGGTGCTCCTCGGTTGTAGGCATCTTGATGATCCCGATCCCCGCCGTTTTTAGGTCAATCGCCGCCGGTACTACGCCATAAGAACCCACTTCGTGTGCTCCTGCCGGCGCTGCAGCTGCTTCAGCTTCTTCCTTTTCTCTCCTGCGACACTTGTTTGCGACGACACCAGCGCCTACGCTGCTCCCACCGGCCGCTGAAGGTTGAGCAGGAGGGGCGGGCACGGCGGCGGCAAAGGGGACGAAACCGCGGCGCCTCGAAGTCGACGCCGATCTTCGTGAGGACGACCGAGGAGGGTTTGCAGCAGAGTCGGTCAATGAGGAGGTCGTACGGTTTTCGTCAAAAGCGGAAGACCCGGCTTTTGTGGAGGACGAGTCCGTGATGAAGTCGCTCTTGAGCGCGTCTTCCGGCGTCCATCGGTCTTTTGCGTCAATCTCGAGGCAATTTTCGACAAGCCTGGTGAAGCGCGGGTCCACAGACCGCAGAGCCAGACAGAGCTCCTTCGTTCCCGGCTTCCGCTTGTATCCGCGCGAATTCGCAACGACCCGCGGCTGGTTCTGGTGGTCGAAAAACTGCTTCTTGCGCGGGCTTTTCTCCACCAGCGCTCCTGGTATTGGCCCGAGGCACTCCTGAATGCACGCGAGCTGCTCCACTTCGTTTTCGCCGGGGAAAAGAGGGTAACCGGTATACAATCTGAAAGGGCGTGGTGAAGTTCAAGTTCTAGTAAGTTGTACGGTTTATTGATATTGATATTGCTATTGCAATGCAAAATTGAAGTTGTAGTTTATTGACATTGATGTAGAACATTTTTTTTCATTTTTGGTTTTTATGCATGCAACTGTTGCAGATGGAGATGCTGAAGCTGGCGGGTGACAACTATCATTCTTCGCTGCGCGCGCGTCCACCTCGGTGTCATAAAAAATCAACGTAGCAAGAAGAAATAGAGCACGAATACAGACACACAGCTACGTACTATGTTGAAATACTCTGCCAGAACGCAGGCGAGTGACCACATGTCTATCGGTGGGCCGTATGGGAGTCCTAGAACCACCTCGGGACTCCGGTAGTAACGGCTCTGGATGTAGGTGTAGACACGCTCGCTTTCTAGGCAACTCGAACCGAAGTCGATGATCTGGTGCAGGTTGGTTTTAGAGATGCAAGATCTTGAGGTTCTGGTTCGTATTTACTATTTTCACTTGAAGCATGTGTCGAGTTTACATCTACTCGTTGTCGTACTCTTGACACACCAGGGAGCAATGAACAATCATAGGAAATAGTAACCATTCATGAGTATGCTGTATGCATAGCCAACGTCAAAAAATGCGGACCAAGGCGAGGATGTAAGATGAATATCCGCACTTCAACAAGTGTTGAATAAATAATGTAAGGATTTTTGCTAGCCTCAGTGCACCGTACCTTTATTCCGCTCTTGTCCGGTTTTTCTAGCAGGATGTTTTCTGGCTTCAAATCGCAGTGCAACACGTTGCAGCTCTTCAAAAACGATAAGCCCTCCAGCAGCTGCACGGCGAAGCGACGCACCAGGTTGAGCGAAACCCCTTGAAAGTGGTTGCTTTTGATAAATTCGTATAGGTTGATGCTGAGCAACTCGAACGTGATGCAGAGGTGGTTGCGAAAGTAGAAATGGTCTAGCATTTGGACGATGGGAGGCGGCTTGAAACTGGTTCCTTGCGCGATCATTTTTTCCTTGAGGATCTTCAGAATCCGGACCTCCACTAAGGCTTGTTGCTGGAACCGCTTCTTGTTGCGAATGATTTTGCATGCGACCTTTTTATTTTTCTTGTCTGACGCCTCGTGGGAACATCGAGATTTATTTCGCGACGAAGCCCGGCCAGTCGCGGACATCGCAGTACTAGTGAAGGTTGCTACGGACGATACAGGTAAAGATGATGCCCCCGGCGTCGGAGTAGGTGAAGATCCTGCAGCTACTTCACAACTTGCACTTTCTTGTTCCCCACGTCCATCATCCGTGTGGTCCTTCACCAAGAACACCTGTCCGAAGCTCCCCTTTCCCAGCGGCTTGTTCAGTATTTCGTAGCGATAGGCGAGGTGGTCACCGGGAAGGCCGCGGTAGTCCCCGCGATCGTCGGAAAAGCTGGTCATTTGGGTTAATTTTGACCCCGTCGCTTTTGCTGCAGAATTTTGTCCATAGTAGAACACTGCGTTTCCGTAGCCCAGGATCTCACCCTGCTCATAGTCCGTCAGCGCTGATCGATTTGTTTGCAGCACGTGGGCAGCAGATGTCGCAGACGATAATAGTTGTACATTCCCACAACTCGGCGGCGGGTTGTAGTTCGTCCCCACAATGTTGCTGCCCCGACTACCCGAACTCTTGTTGAACACCAACTGCCGCTGCTCTTCTCCTGCTAGCGGCGGATAGCCGTTCTTCTCGCAGCTTCCGCCTTGCACGCCGCTCAAGGTTGTTGATGGGCCAGTAGTCGAGGACTGCGCAGGTTGGCAATGTCCTGTACAACTCTGATCCATGTGGCGGGAGAGGGCCTTGATCCACTGCGTACTCGATTTTGTTGAGTAAAACGAGGACTTGTGTTTGGTTTTCTGACCCGTAGTTTGTCCGATCGCGATAGCCTTGTATGGATTTGCAATCGACGGCAAATTCGTATCAGATGCAGCCGTGGCCGCGCCCGCACTGCTGCTATCAGGAAGACCAAGCGCAGCATGCTGTCGTTGCTCTCCACCGAAAAAATGTGGCAAGCCTTCGTCGCAGTACTTGTGATTCGTAGAAGCTCCCGCATCGGCAGAAAAATGTGGCACGAACATTTCCCCCGTGCAGCTGCCTGTAGCGTCGCTATTACGGGCGCCGGTAGATGATGAAGCTTCTTCTGTGCGGACGATCGGCCGGTTTGCACCAGGGGACAAGATGCCTGTCTTTTGCGGCTGAATTATTCCTCCTGTGTCGACTTGGTCGACGGTAGAAGTTATTGATATTGGCTCAGCAGGTGGAGCCGCAGTAGGCCAATTGCAGTCCCCTGCATGCGTTGGCGCGGCTCCTCTGGCAGTCAATGGCATCAGTCGCTTAGTGTACTCCGGGCGGGGTTTCCTCTGCAAAAACAAATCCTGTCTTTGCGGCAGCGGGTCGCCGCGCGTGCTCACTGTAAGCAGTGAAGCCGGGTTGCGGCTCGAGGAAGTACTGCTGTGCTGGTGGGATTTGTCCGTTTGGTCGTCGTCAAATATGGTGCCATGGACTCGTATCCAGGAAAAACACCCATCCCCATCCAATCTGTCATGCAAAACATGCATAAAGTCCAGTGTTTTTCATGCAAAACATGGATGGGGATGGGTGTTTTTTCCTGGGTAACTCGCGCAGAGAGCGGACCTCCGTTATTTTGGAGCCGCGGGAGCGTCGATCCCACGCCGCCCAATGGCCCGCCCGCAGCGAGGCGGGGGAGCTGAAAGGGCGATTGCTGCATGCGGCCGTTAAGTATGCTTGATCCTTATACTTGTTTCGCCTGCTGCTCTGGTCTACGAGCCTGCTCCTGTACGCTCATCATACATAGTACTTGCCAACTCATTTTCATCGGATTCGGAAGATCATTTTCACCTTAATGCTGGCAATGCTGGCATCTTCGTCACAGTTTCAGATGCCTTATGCGAAACAAGAGCCACGAGAAAAAATACGAGAAGGATCATATCACCTCTCGCGCTCGCGCCACTCAACATACTTGAACGAGGGAGTTCAAGGCACCAAAGAACTACGTACAATATGTCTTCCTCGTGCTCGTATGCGTATGGGATAGAAAAATCAGATAAAGTCATGGGTGTGGAGGATAATGCCAAATGCAAATAAAGCCAAACAGAAACGATATTAAAGAATGTTGTCGAACACGCACTGACCTCTTTGTATTAGTATCGCGAAAAAAAGAGCTGCATAGACCAAATTTGTTTTGCTTGCGTAGGGGATGCTACTCTCTCTTCGCAATTGATTCGAATCCCGTTCCCGTGCCAACAAATTGGGCTAATGAGTGCAAATAAATTGACCCTGCTTATTCTGCCTTACGCTTACCTTCAGCACAATGTCTTCATGAGGAAAGCGTCATCAAAATCCTAAGCTGGCCAGCCACTCTTTGAGTTTCCAGCTGTGCAACCCGCGAACCTCGAATGCTCCTGTGCGCTGCCTCGCAGGTGCCTCACATACATGGCACAGCTGCTTGTGCAATGAGCGCACGTTTCCCTCGATGCCGCGGATCACGGTGTACGCCTCAATGCCGCCGCGTTTGAAGCGTTCGTAAACAGGGAGGTTGCCATACGCTGTGTGCAATCCTGTCCAAAAGTTTCGCACCCGTACCAATCAAGATACCGTTGCATGAAGCAAGCAGTAGCAGAGTTTTTAGCGTCGCGAATTACAAACAGCCGACAACTTTTGTTTGACTCAACATTTATAAGTGATATTTTCACTTTATTGCATCTACACGTACACAGTATCTATACGCAATGCAACCGCACGTCGCAGACCGTAGAATTCTTTTGCCTTTGGATTTTTTCATAGTGACATCCATAGTAGAAACGCGATTCCTGGAGGTTTTTGTTTTAAGTGTGCGACACTTTTGTATATGCGTATTCGACGAATCCTCCAGGGCAGGCGCTCCTTTGCCTGGAAGTCGGGATCGAGCGAGTTTGTCAGCGAGTATTTTTGTCGGCGCTCCTCGGGTGATTTGTTTAAGTACTCCAGAAACAATGCAGTTTTTCGCTCCCAACGGGCAGCCCGGGCAGCGCACTGGCTAGCTTGCTCCTCCGGTGATCGAAACTTTTCCGTGGAAAGAAGCCGAAGTTCCGGCTTTCTGTTGCGAGTAAGTCCAGCTCCAGCAGCACTCGAGCTCGAGCACCTTTCTGACGGAACTACGCCTGCACTTCCGCTCGCGTCTGTCTCGTCTCTGCTGCATGTGCGGGACGCTAGCTCGTTGTTCAACATTTCAAGTGTTGTTGAGGTTGAATAGCTAGAACGAGAAAGTACAGGCTCTGTAGTTCTTGCTTCCAATTGCGCGGGTGCGTTCTGACCTTCGTGTTTCTTGAGGTTTTTCGTCATAGCGCCAGCCTTGAACAGTCGTAGCTGTTCCTGGTTCATTGAGTCACCGCCGTGAGAAGTCTGGTGTTCGTGTTCCCTTATTTGACGCAGGAAGGCCTGCTCCTTTTCGAGGATGTTGTCAAGGTTCGCGAGTCGCTGGGGCTCCTTTCTGAGCTCTTCCTGCCGCTCAAAGAACTCTCGGACTTCGCGCCGGCCCTCTTCATTGCGCAACTGCCTTGCGCGGTTTTCGAAATACGCAGTGTCTCGGGCATATGGATTGCAAAAATGTCTGGGTCTGGAAGAATACAAACTTGCGATGCGCATTTCAGAACAAAGAAAAATCTCTCATGCATAGGTAGCAAAAGCTGCCCACTTTCTGTGACCAAAATGGGGGATGTGTCATGCTGATTCGGCCTGGCGGAAGCTTCTCGAAACCTATGATGCTAGAGCTTCCATCCCAGACCTTCTGTGTCATGCAAAAACAGTATGACCCTTCCAGACCCAGACATTTTTGCATTTGATAGGGCATGGATGTCTTCCAGTTTTGAAGCGCCAAAGGTGGTCGGCGCTTCCTCCCGCTCAAAAGGGTTCACGCGCTTTTCCAGCGGCTCATCCTTGCCGTAGTTCTTGTTCCCCGGGTCTCGGACATTCTTCGCAAGTAGGGAGTTGGCCTTCGGCACGCGCTTCAACCGACGACACGAACGGGACAACATTACGTTTCAAATGGAGCAATAAAGGAATTCTACACGAGCCACGGCGGGCTGTTCACGGAGGATGGTGGTTGCGACATGAAGAGGGCAATGGTGATCGAGATTTCATCACGTGGTGCCCCTACACATTCCGTCCTTTCCCTGTGGTCCTGAGTTCAGGTCCAACGAAATGTAATATCAGGAGGAACAGAGACACAGAGCGAGCAGATCATAAATTTATATTTAAATGATACTATAGGTTTTTATTAGAGTTGTAGTTGTACACAACTTGTACTTGTTACTCGTAGCAGCATGCACAACTGATCTGGCTCGATGAAGAAAAAGGTCTGCAGGAGGTAATTAGCCTTATTCCTTTCTTCTGAATCAATATCTCGGAGCAGAGAACGACGAGTCAAGATTCGAGCTCGTCAAGATCAATACGGAAAGGAAGAACGTTGTACACCGACTCAGTATCCGCGTACGAACAGCAGTCAAGATGAATTTTGCTTCGAGATTATGAGACCCATTGCCATTTCTTTCTCCTTTCCACAGAGGCTTGCTTTGCTTTTTGTTTTTACTTGTTTCACAACTTCTTCATCGCTTTGACAGTCTTTCATTTTACAAAAAAAGCTCAAGTGCAAGAAAGAGGATTGACATAGTTGGAAGTTCTATTTTTGGTCGTCCATGACAATGTAGAGCAAATCGTTTTTCCCGCCCGGAAACTCTCTGATATATTCATAGAGCGCAACTCCAGGAGGGCTTCATCGCTTTTGCTTTCATTATCTCTACAATTGTCACCACGATGACGTCGATGCCTCCCGGTCCCGCCCATTCTCCATATTCACTTTTCCAATGAAAAGTGAAAAATTAATTAGCACTTGTTAATACTTAAGAGCACGACAGGCAGAGGCACCTTCTCCTCCATCGACGACCGTTTGACGAGTTCAAATTATTGCAAGCATTCTAGGCTTGGGCTTGCATGCTAGAAGTTTGCTGCGAATTGTTAGCTTTAAGATTCTTGGAAGGTTTGGCTAGAATTTGACTTTGACGTTATTGACACTAAGCAAGGATAAGATATTGAAGTCGTGACATATTTCTAACTTGGAAGATTTTAGACTAGGACTTAGCTTTAAGATTCTTGGAAGTTTGTTGTTTTGCTTGAGAAACGGAAACAGAAACGAAAAACCCTTTGTGTAAATTGTCACAAGTAATTGTCAATCGACAAGAGCAAGGGGTGTAGCGCCACTTCTTTCTCCCTCTCGGAAACCGAAGGGACGTCAGCCGTTGTACTGGTTAGAAGTACAAAGCAGGCACAAAAAGAGCAGTTTGAAATAGAAATCCTTCTTCCTTTCGGCGGCCGGATGGAGAACTTCCTTAGCGGCGTGACGGGGATCCGGGATGGCGCATGACGGGCGGTTCACGGTACTGCGTGCGCTCCAGCAGTTCCAGGATTCGTTCGTTGCCGGACTGGAGAGCGTCAACCTGATCCTCGAGTTTTCGTATTCTGCGCCAATCAGTGCCGCTGTCGCCCGCGTTCTTTTTGCCGCTCGCACCGGCAGACTTTTCCTGGGCCGCTTCCCGCTTCTTCGATTGGTCCATGAAAATGACTAGGGCACCGCAGTTTCGGTCTATCCGCTCGAACCGTTTGTCCATTTCTGAAAAGCGCTGATCAAGCCACTGGTTGCGGTCTCGAATATAGTCGAACAGCTCCGTGACTTTCATGTCGTTACTCATCCCCGTGCTGCCGCCCGTTGCGAGGGCTTGCTGCGATTTAAGCATCGCTTTCGGATCGATCAACCCGCCCGGGGCGTTTGCCGTCTGCTGCGCCAATTGCTGGCTCTGTTTTCGTTTTGTTTTTCGAGGGAGGTGTGTCGACATATTCAGCGATAAAAGAGTCGCTAAAATATCGCAGAGAAATCATATTATAAACTGGAACAAGCATACTAATAGTTATGGTATAAAAGCCACATCAATAAACACCATATTAGTAGACGTAGCTGAAGTTGTACCGCGAGCATCATTTGCTGGTTTGGATTTCCGCCAGGACCCCCGGGTCCCATCATTCCTGGGGCCATCATACCGGGCATCATGGCGCCCGCCATCATCTGTCCGCCGGCCGGCCCGGCCATCGGGTTCATGGCCGCGTTGATGCGGGCGTTGCGCGCGAGCACCATTTATCAAATGCAAAAGTGTCTGGGTCTGGAAGATTGCCAGGTTTGTCATGCATATTTTGAATGACCCATGATGTCTGTGATGCATGCCCTAGCATCACAGATTTTTAGAGGACTCTGTGATGCCTCTACCGCATGAGAAATGCCCTCTCCGCGTAGCACGAACTGGAGTCCCCTTGCTGGTCATGCAATACAAATTTTCTTATTCTTAGGATCCAGAGACAGCATTACAAGTTTAGAATCTTCCAGACCCAGACATTTTTACATTTGATACCATTTCAGCGTAGACGAGCTCCATCTGCTCGCTGGTTCGCTTATCGTGTGCAAAAGTATCGTATTCGTAGCAATTGCATTTATGCATTACAAATCTCTTTCCCAAGGCCAAGGTAAATCAGCACTACAAATTTAATTTGTAATGCTGGGCTAATTTGTAATGCAATTTATACTAGTACGATGCTCTTGCATTGCATATCGCTTCGAGAACTGCAACGACTTCGTGATCATCTTCATGGCCATGGTGAGTGTCACCGCCTCCGCCCCAGCCTCTTCGTCTTGCAAGTGCTCGATGGTTTTGTGGATCAGAAACTCCGCGTTGTGCTTCGTCATTTTCGGAAAGGCGCGACGCAGAGAACGCACCGACACGATCTTTTCTGGGTGCGCCGGATCGTCATCGTCTTCGAACTCGCAGATCAGGTACCACAGGTTCAAGTGCCCCGCCTTCTTGGTCAGCTGCAACATGCGGTACGTCGAGAAGGTTTGTTCAACCTGATCAATTTCAAGAATCATAGATAAGTGTTTGATGTGTTTTATATTTGAAAATAGGATTATTTCCCGCCGCAGGCACAGCGGCTGCCTAGTTAAGCTGCCCCTCGTGATAATCGGCTACTTGCTCTTCAAGTTCCAGTACTTGTTTCCTTGACAAAAGAACTACAAGTGGGAGGCGAACACATGTTGTACAAAGTGGCGGCCGACGAGGATTCGAAAGAAAATCTTCAACGCAATATAATATTGTACAAGTCGTTTAATGATGAAAGGGCAATATTTGCTCATTTTTATACCATTGTTTCGCTGCCCTCTTTTTTTCCGGACACTTTTGCGTAGGTGTCCATTACAATGGCTAGCAACATATTAAACATGATCAGGAAGATATGGAAGCGTCAGGTTTGAAATCGTCAAAGTTGAAATAATCTGTAATGCATGAAATGCATGACCCGAGGCACATGTGTTGCAGAGCAGGCAAGTGAAGCCGATTGTAAGCATGTTTGGGGTTACAGCTCGAGCTGCTAAAGTAGCATGAGAAAATCGCTCTTCTTCGCCTAAAAGTAAATAGCATGACAAACTGGATTTAGGGACCACCGAAATTTGTCACGCGCCACTTGGAAACTGGGTTCCAACTGGCATCCATTTTATGCATGACAAATTATTTCAACTTTGTCGATTTCAACTCTGACACATCCATAGAAGACCAAGGTTTCGAACATCCAGAACCAGAGGGTTCCGTACAGGTAGTCCAGGTCGCTCCCGAGGGTCATGGCGTCGAAGTCAAACTCGCCCATGAGAATGCGGAAAGCCATGTTGTACGCCCTTGTGAGCGTGGAAAACTGCTTCACTCGGCTTCCAAACAGCACCTGCGCACACAACACGAAGGCGGTGAAAATGGTGAGAAACACCACTGCGAAGTGACTGATATCGGTGGACCCCTCCAGAATCGTTTGCGTCACCACGTTCAGACGGGGGTTGGCGCGGAAAGCCTTGAAAAATCGCATCATCATCACCAAAATGTATCCCGCAATGAAGCTGCGGAACAGCGAGTAGGAACTGACGATCTCTATCCAGGAAGAAACACCCATCCGCATCTAATTTGTCATGCAAAACACGTATAAAGTCCTGTGTTTGTCATGCAAAAAATGGATGGAAATGGGTTTTTTTCTGCGGATAATCTCCTCTAGTGCGGTGAGCACCTTCTCGCTTTTCGCCGCCATGTCTTCCAAGGTTTGCCCACTCTGGTCTTCGATTTGCTGCGGAGTCAAAAAATCCGCAATCTGCACAATGTAGGAGTCCAAACCCATCCTGCCTTCGATCTGCTGGGACGGGAGACCTGCCAAGCGAGAAAGGTGGTGCGGATTGCTATTGTTGACACTCTACTATCATGGAAAGAAGCTAACGCTGTAGTAAGTACAATAGAAGAGTAACGCTAACGCTACAAAAGACAAAGGCCCTAGCCTGCGCCAGCATCCACAGCGACGCAGCGGAACGGTCTTATTTGCGGGTCAGGTCAACTACAACGAAACTTAGGATGCAGCAGGCCAAAGATGAACAGTGGGAAAAAGGAAACTATCAGTACCTATTATCTCCTCCTTCAATTGCCCACTGATGCTTCCGACCATGGAAAGCCACATCGCAAGTAGCACGACACCGGTGAAGATGGAAAGCCAATCGATCGCGTTCCAGAATTCCCAGTAGTCGAGAAACCCATCGAGACCATTTTTGATCGCCGGTATCATCTCCTTCGACTCCGCGTACATCATCTTCATGACCAGGGCCACATACAGCAAATCTATGATCACTTTCCACCCCTTCGCATATGGGTCCGCCTCAAACGAGGTCATGTAGTACCTGATTTTATTATAAATATATTCTTAAAAATTATCGATCGAAGAGTCGACTGCTAATCAGGTGTCTCCGTCACTGTCGTGTCTCCACCATCATCTACCACTTTTGTTGCTATCGTGCATCACGCGTTCCTCGAGCAAGCCGATTTATTCGAAAACATCGAACAAGATGAACAGCAGCGCCAGCAGGTATGCCCCGCCGTGGCGCTCATGCTGATCTGATCAGAAATGGAAGAGTCGGATGTTGATACATTGCAAGTGTGTGTTGAGATTGACATCACTGACTGCAAATAAAAATGCACAATAGAATGGAGACGGCGAGGGCGGGTATACTGCGCTAGAAAAGACAGAAAATGGCAAAAGCAATGACAGGACATGCGAGTGGGTGAAAAAATACCCATCAAAATGGTAGGTCTATTGGATACCTTATCCTATAGAGACCCTGTCTGTCCCACGCAATATCCAGATGCGTACTCGTAAAAAGGCCGTAAGGTGCGTTGTAGCTGAGAAATCGAATTCGGATTAGCGTCACCTTCGGGCTTTTATCCGCACGAAAGTCTGAGGCAGCTATCAAGTTGGAGCGTGTACGAAAAGTGTGCCGCTTCATCTACCTCAGTTCTTTCTGGACTGCCAGCGGTGATAAATTTAGTTCAGCTGAGGACATCTTCGAAGGACTTGTCACAAGTACTTCGATGTTCTCAGACAACATTTCGTCGCAACCAGTGCCCTTCTTCTTGGAAGATTTTTTAAAGTTTTTTCCTTTCCTATTAAAGGTATATCAGCGTTTCAATAATTTGCGCGGATGGTCTGCGTCAGATCTTCAAACTGCACCTGCGTCATCCATCATGCATGCAAGTCTTTTTAGCCGCGTCGTGTGCATACGCATAGCTCCTGTTTCCCTTGACTCAACATTTTCGTGGGATAGTTAAGCCACTGTGTGTTAATCAGGTTTTCGATTTGGTCCCGAAGGTCATTTTCGTGCATCTGATAGAAGAGCCATTCCGTGGTCTCCACCTCGGCGCCGTCCATGTAGGCACACGGTGTTAGAGACTCTTCAATAGCTCGTGCATCGTAGGTTGTCTGAAGCCACTCATCCTGCTCGCATTTCTCCATAATGGTCTCGTGCTTTGTCAACCCCACACCGCCAACTATCTGATTGAAGGTGCCCACTCGCCCCGGAACAGGAAAATCAGGCAACCAGTACACGTATCCAATACAAAAACAGTGTCGCACTCGCAGCTGCATCATGTAGAGTCAAAATCATGCCTGTGAAAGCACCGCAGGCAACAGGCGCTGGATTCCGATTCGCTATGCCAATTCCCGCTTTGCATCATATTTTTTATCATGATCGTACAAATGCATATTGATTTTGAAAAATGCATATGTGAAGAGATCGACTATGTGCTGCATTCGTCGCAAGCAAATCGGTCGCATTCGTACAGTAACAATGATCAATAAAAAGTGCTCTCCTAGTACTTCATCTTATTGGCTTTGCCCTTATCCTGCTTTGAGAAGACACTTCTCTATGCGGGTTTGCGTATAAATTGACATTGACATGTTCATCTGACGTGAAAGCAGACACCTGATATGCACTGGATACGGCAGCGGATTTGAATGTGCATGCTACGAAGGACGAGTTGAACCAATCCCAGAAAGTCGGTGTCTGTGGAGAAAAAAAAATTGAAAAGGTTTTTGATATTATGGTAGTTCACTAACATGACATAAGCATAACTGAAATAAACTGTGTATCAATTTACAAATGCCGAGACTTCGTTGGTAATAAACAAAAACACTGGTATAACATCACCATATTCATGTATCTCTTGTCTGGGTCAAGAGCGGTTAGAATCAAGGCTACTAACTTAGGACGCAATTATACATCGTGAACGTCTCTCATGAGAAATGGTCCTTCGTGATTCGTCCGGCCTCCCTCGCCGTCAATTTCGTGCTGGATGGCAGAGTGGACTAAGAAGGTTGAGGAGATTATCCACAGGAAATTTCCTGTACACGTACAAAGGCTGTCTCTGCATGACAAAGTTTGCCTTCAATCCTAGTCTAGCATGACAAGTTGTACACTGCAAATTAGCAATATTTGTCATGCAGTTTGTACATGTACGGGAAATTTACATTGCATAGAGATCTCCAAATGAATCTGAATAAGGAACAGAAACACGGTGAAAAAAAGCAGCGTATATCCTGTGGAAAAGCATCGTAGTCGTACGCAATTGCGATCCCGCATTACCACTCTAGTTCCCAGTCCCAAGGTGTATCCGCATTACGAAAACCCTTTTAATGCTGAGCGAATTTGTAATGCAATTCATACTTCTGATACGACTACGATACTTTTGGAATGCATAGCGTGAAGGGTAAACTGAAACACGCATCGTCCTTATCCAAGAAAAAAACTGCGTTAGTGTAACTTTCTTTAGCTGACAGCATCACAAATTTGCTCTACATGACAGAGAAAACCTGTCATGCGTGGCTTATAAGGGGAGACACACATAAAGCGAGGACTTCATGGCTGTCTGGCATGACAAGTGTAACTGTTTTGTATTTTCTGCATCACAGACTTACACTTCCACAGTATTTTTCTTGCATAGTCCTTGTTGAACTGGTGCTTCATGTAGCGCAGCAGATGCTCACGCGAGCACTCGTCGTTGGTGCCATGTATTCTGCGCCCCGAGACTTCGTCCAACATGACAGAAAACGCCATGGTTCCCTGAGTGACCGTATGCATGGCAAATATGCCTGGGAGGTTTAGAATCTTTTCATGTAAAGGCGTTAGTGAGCGTCGTGATCGTGATAAACGAAGTCGAATAGGCATGCAGGCACGAGGACAATAATTTTTTAACTATGTATCCCGTAATAAAACACATGAAAAATCGCGACTTTGCATGAAGAAAAAGGAGCTGCATTCTCATGCTCATGAAGCTCTTTTTTGTTCTGGCAGCGCTTCAGTACACGTCTCGCAACCTTCCAGACCCAGACACATTTGCAGTTCATAGACCGCCTTAAAAAGTTCTTCGATGGTAATGATCCCGTTACCATCTCTATCCTGTGGAAAAACGTCCCCAGCACACATCTGTTTTATGCTAAAAACGGTGCAGCAACGCCATTTGTCATGCATACCCGACTGCGCCACTTCAAAAACCTTTGCACCGTCGCCGCAAGCAGCTTCGGACGCAGGAGATCTAGGGTCAGAACGGCATGGAAGTCTGCAATTGTAAAACGGAAAAACATCTTTCTCATGTGCAGGCCCAAACCCACGAGGAGCATTCATAATGCTGTCGGGAAGTTTGTCATGCCCGAATGAGGAAGCTAAGACGATCGGTTTGTGTTGCGGATGGGCTAAACCACGAGCAGAAACTTGTCATGCGCAACACCCAAAGCAAAACTCTCATCTTGACTCTTGGTTGGGGAGATTTTTAGTCTGGATAATCGCGATCACAATCCTCCATGATGCTGTTGACATGGGTCTCCGAAAAGTTTGATCCTGATTTAATTTCATGGTTTTTATCGTGGTCTTCATGTGAAATCCACTTTACGAAATGGTATACAATTAAGCTGACAGTGACATCATAAGTTTTATCGATCCGACAAGATTAACATATGATATCATCAAACCTAATTTTGAAAATAAACTGGATAGGACCAGCCACAAAGAGAAAGCTCATCAAACACAATAAAGAAGCACAGACCACATATATTGTTCTTCTCCACGGATGGTCGTATCCATTGATTTACATCTATAAACTGCCTGCTTGTGACATTGCAAAGGATAAGGGCGGACCAGCAAAGCACAGCCATAAAAATTCTATAGCAAACCTGGTATCGAGGCCAGAATCAAGAGGTCTTCTCGTGTTATTTCCCCCGAGTTGTTCTGATCTAGAATGTTGAATAACTCCACTACTTCTGCCCTTGTGATCAAGTGCAGCCGGTCGGTTTTTTGTAGCTTGTCATACAGCGCTAGATTCTTCAACTGCCGGATGATACGGTCAAACCGTGCCTTATGGGACTGTCAGGATTGAAATTAACAAAGTTGAAATAATTTGTGATGCATAAAATCTATACCAGCTGGACCCACAGTTTCCAACCGGCGCATGACAAATTTTCCTGGCCTCTGAAGCAAGTCTGTCATGCTGTTTCGGGAAAGGTGGTTGCTCCCTGTCATGCTAGTCAGCAGCCCAATTGTTGACCCTCACCAGCACTAGAATCTGCCTCCCTCGCGCCTTCAACAATAGAGTCACTTTTTGTATCGCATTTTATGCATTACAAACTATTTCAACTTTGACGATTTCAAGCCTGGCGCTTCCATATGCCTCCGCCACTTGCGCCTTCTCGAGCTCGGCCGGCTTCGGCGGCGCGCCCGTCTGATCTCCCGCTGCAGTCGCCATAATTTGTCGCAAATAGATAGCCTTCTACCCACTTGCACAATGCGAATGCGCCAGAGCTACTTCACCCTCGCAACTGCGACTCACTGGCACACGACACTGCCAGACGCGACAAATAAACACGCAGCTAGCTCCTGCGGCGAATGGGTCACGCTCGCGTGGAAGTACTTAGCAAGCGACAAGCAGATCGTCAACAGTAGACTTGAGTGCTGTCGTAACCTCAGTCACCGAAAAACGAGGAGTCTCGGGGATCGCCGGGGCGAGCCCAAATTTGGGACGCGACCGCGCGATGGGTGTGCCTCTGCCTCATCTTATTTGTTTGTCCTACATCGTCAAGAAATCCATCGTATAGAAGATTCAACATACAAGGGAACAATTCTATTCCTACTCTACTTAAATGATTTGCAAGTTTCTAAATCCATGTTACATGATCAATCGCTTTTGATTTTTCTCGCTTTATTGCCTTTGCGCTCTGCGTCCGACATTAATTACCAATCTGTTTGCAGAGAAGCATGTCGGTTACCCGAGCGAAGGACGATTTTTTGTGGATGCTTTCTTGCCACAATGGCTGACGTTGCACTCTATCATCACTCGTTGTCCTCGTACTATACTCTTTGGAGACGAACATACTCGCACTTGTCATCCCTATCAGCACACAAACTGAAGATACGAGGCAGGAATAACCTCGATTGGTAAACGAATCTGAGCCAGCCACTGATAGTGCGATCCGTAAGTCCATACAACCACATCAGCCAAACTTGCGAACGTCACGTTTCTAGACACGAGTCCTTTGCTCTCTCTTTGGAATGAAGTAAAACTATTTTAGCAGTTGTATACTGAAGGCGGTCGAGGACTCGACGACACTTTTTTCCGCAGATGCTCCACATTTTCCCACAGATACTGGAGAGACACGCTCTAATTTTCCCGCAGATGCTGCACGTAAAGCGGGAAGATGCAGCACAGTCTACAGTCTTTGTGCTCCATTTCGTTGTCTGTTCTTTGTGCTCCATTTCGCTTTTCTTTTTCGGACTGAGATGAAATTCAACATGCGTTTGCAGAATTTCAAGATTATACAAATGACCGGTCCCCTCGCAAAGGCAAAGGCGAAGTATGCGATTCAATTCATTCACATTTCGACGTATACATTTTTCTACGAAAAGAAAGGCAAAGTTTGTTAGTATTAGTTACAACTACAAGGGGGTCTCTCTGACTTGATAGCTTTTTTTTTACACACCGGCAACAAATAAAAAGCGTTTATGTTGTTAATCTTCAATTTTCCACTTCGACATTACGGTTAACCAATAGAAACATCAATTTTGCAATTTTTTATCTCAACACTTTCTTTTTTCTGACAATTGCAATTTGTGCTTTGTCACCCGCGCGCCGATCAGTGACAATAGCAGTTTCGACGTTCTCGGTCGTGTATCTTTATCTTGGACAGGAGATCTCAGATGATCGTTTTCGTGGATGTTGAGTCAAGCGTAGAAAGAATAAGAAATATCTGGGATTCATCATTGTGCGGCAAAGACTTCCCTCCATAGTGCTAAAGTGTAAAGTAATTGATGCTTGTTTCCGTTTATTCGTGAAGAAGATCCTCTTCTATTTATTCCTCAGCCAGTTTCTGGCGGCTACGACTTTATCGTGCAGGTTTTTCTTCGCAGAAGAGAGGGCTTGGCGCAGCGGAACCAGGGGGGTATTCATCAAAAATACCTTACCGAAGGACACGGACGCACCAACGAAGTAGAGGACCGCAAAAACGAGGAGGTGGACCGGTTCGGTTATGCTCTTTTGGAGCCACACGACGAGATCCGTGGCTGGGGCTGCCGCGCCGTCCGCGGGGGCTTCTGAGGGGCTGCCTGACGAATGTAGGGCGGCAAGCTGCGCACCCTCCACGGAATTCTTCTGCGTCAGGTGGTCTGGTTCGACTTTATGCACTGCAAAAGTATCGCTATCGCATATGCAATGGCATATCAGTTGCAACTGCAAGCAACTTTGCGGTATGAAAAAAGCGACTCCAACACGTCCAAGTGGGAGGTAAAGGTGCGATCCAGGTTATCGTTCAGCATACAGATGAACAGCAACAAGATCTCTCTATTTTCACCTACTACCAAAACAATACCTCCTGTTTTGAACTCAATATCACGACGAAGATACTTTTGCACAGGGTCGTACACTTCCTGCGCTTGCGACGTTGCTGGATCAATGCGAAGCGGCTCGCTCCACGTGATGAGGTCAGGGCCGAGCGTGAGCTGCATCAGCATGTGGGCACTTCTCGTGAGGGCAGTTTCGTCCGGGGCAGCGTACTATCAAATGTAAAAATGTCTGGGTCTGGAAGATTGCCAGGTTTGTCATGCATATTTTGAATGACCCATGATGTCTGTGATGCATGCCCTAGCATCACAGATTTTTAGAGGACTTTGTGATGCCTCTACCGCATGAGAAATGACCTCTCCACGTAGCACAAACTGGAGTCCTTTTGCTGGTCATGCAATACAAATTTTTTTAGAATCCAGCGACAGCATTACAAGTTTAGAATCGAACAGACCCAGACATTTTTACATTACATTTGATACGTACTGGTAGTCCAGGTCCGCGTTCTCCAGATCGGGCGCTTCTTCTGGTAGCACGACCAACGCGACGAGTCTCACCTCCTCCTGGACCACGGGGCGCAGGGTCAGGAACATGGGCCGGGGGATTCCGCGCATCGCGTGCCCAAGGGGAACCCACGATTGCGACGCTTCCTGTGTCCAGCCTGATGCGGTAGCGGTACCCTGCAGCACGTCAACACCCTGCTGGTGTGTAGTTTCCTGGTCCGATGCCGGCGAAGCCGCTCGGTTGATGCGGTCCTGAAAGATGCGGAGCAGCGTCTGGAGGAGAACATCAGTGCCACTGCTCTCACCAGAGTCTACTGCTTCAATGCTCTGAGACGATGAACTAGTTGCAGTAGTGGTGTTCACGACGAGAGAAGACGACATTGCGGTTCGATTCTCCATATGGAATGCAAAAGTATCGCACTCGTATAAATGCATGACAAATTCGAATTCCCTCAGCATGAGAAATAAAATTTGTAATGCGGATTTACAATGAGAACAGAATTTGTAATGCATGACTGCGATTAGTACGAGTACGATACTTTTGCACAGGATACTCCAGGTTCATCAGCTGGAATTCAATTTGTCTTCCCTCGGGATTTATGCATTGCAAAAGTATCGTACTAGTATAAAAAATTGCATCACAAATTTTTTCAAGAAAAAAAATGGAAGTTGTAATGCTGATTTACCTACAAGGCCGCAACTTATGTCGCGCAGTGGGAGGGTGAACGAGTGGACGGGGGGGAAAGAAAAACGCCAGAGGGGCAAGGGAGAAAATTTTTGACGCAGGGCGGGGCCAGGCATCTGCGCCCCTCTTGCTGAAAGAACGAAGGCGGAGCGCCATGGCGCCCGTGGTTCCCGTCGTTGTGCGAGCGCGAGGACCCCGCCCGCACTGGGCGCGCGTTTGCGTGGCGGCAAGCCTTAGGCCCAAGCAACAACGCAAAGCGCGGCAGCGGGCGGCCGCCAGTGGACGGGGGAAGGAAGCAGGGGAACAGTGCGCGCCATGCGAGGCGCTGGCGCGTGACGCCCCGCCCGCGCGTTTGCGGTGTGGCCCGTTCGTGCCGCCTGCCTGTGTGCCCCGCCCCTGTGCGCCTTGGTGCCCCCCGCCCTGCTCCCGCGCGCGGCTTTGCAGAACGGGGGCGCGTTGCGGCCCCTGCCGCGCGTGTGGATGGAAGATAGACGGGCGCCGGGGCGGGGCATTCATTGCCTCCCAGGCGCAGGGGCCCACCATTCTCCCCCAGCACCCCCGGACAGCAACGGCGCCTCCCGTGTTAGCCCGCATGCAATCTGTTTCGCCCCCGCCTGCTTCCCTCGCGCGCACCCTCCAAGACAGAAACGGCGGACGGTGGCGCCCTCTGCCGGCCTCTTCGTGAACAGAGGGAGGGCGCCGGGGGAGGGTGGTGGGCAGCTGCTCGCGCGCAAGCCTGGCGCTGGGGCGCGACTTTCCCTTCGCGAACAGAGGGAGGGCGCCGGGGGAGGGTGGTGGGCAGCTGCTCGCCTGGTGCTTGGCCGCCGGCGGCGTTCCCCAGACGGCGGCAGACGTTTTCAATGCGTTTCCAGCTGGGAATCCAGCTGGAAACATTTGGAAAAGGCATCTGCTGCAGCGCATTTCCACCTGGAAATGCAGCTGCAGACGCCTTCTCAATGCATTTCCCACCTGGCCTGTTGCTGTTCAAAGTGTTTCCAGCTGGATTTCCAGCTGAAGAGGCCTGTTCCATTTCTATCTGGGAATCCAGCTGGAAACACATTGAGAAGGCATCTGCGGCGCGGGCGTTGCTGCAATTTCAGGCGAAGCAAGACGCCCCAAGGCATATCCAGGCGGAATTTCGGTTGGAGATGCCCAAGGGCATTTTCGGGGGAGATTTCGGGGCTTTTCGGTTTTTTTCGCGAGTTGCTGCGTTTAGCACAGCTATTCTGGCTACCCGGGGAAGACATTGGGCTAACGGGAAGGGATTGGGATAGTTGGGGGCTACCGGTCTATTGACAGGATATTGGGAACGGATGATAGCGGTTTGCTTCTCTTTAGTCTTACGAATTGGCGCGCTCAGCATAGATATTCTGGCTACCCGGGGAGAGGGTTTTCAGTAGGATACTGGGAGGGTATATTCAGGGTATGTGGAGGATATTGGCAACGGCTGGGGAAAGTTTGCTGCTTTGCCCGAGTTGCTGTGTTTAGCACAGCACTTCTGGCTACCCAGGGGACAGATTTCCCTCCCAGTAGGGTACTGGGAGGGTATCAGGATAGTGAGGGGATATTGGGGCATTTGTAGAGTACGGGTTCGCGGTGGGAGAATTTTGCTGGTTTTCCCCGAATTGCTGTGCTTAGCACAGCAATTCTGGCTACCCAGGGGAAAGATTTCCCAGTAGGGTGCTGGGAGGGTATCAGGATAGTGAGGGGATATTGGGAAAGCGGGAAGATACTGGCTCGGCGAGGGGGAATTTTGCTTGTATTCCCCGACTTGCTGTGTTTAGCGCAGCAATTCTGGCTACCCAGGGGAAAGATTTCCCAGTAGGATAGGTGGCAATCCATGTACAGCTTGCAGGGCTGCGATCGCCACCGTCGGCTGCCTGATCGCGTTGTTCTCCTCGGACGCGCGATCAGCTGAGGTTTTTTTTTCCTTCGGGACTTCAGTAAGGAAGTGCCACGCGATCACGCAGATCCGAGTGACCCTCCCTGCAGAATATTTTGCGTCGCGAAATATTTTCGAGCTAGAAAATATTTCGAGCTGGAAAATATTTCGAGCTGGAAAATATTTCGAGCTGGAAAATATTTCGAGCTGGAAAATATTTCGAGCTGGAAAATATTTCGAGCTGGAAAATATTTCGAGCTGGAAAATATTTCGAGCTGGAAAATATTTCGAGCTGGAAAATATTTCGAGCTGGAAAATATTTCGAGCTGGAAAATATTTCGAGCTGGAAAATATTTCGAGCTGGAAAATATTTCGAGCTGGAAAATATTTCGAGCTGGAAAATATTTCGAGCTGGAAAATATTTCGAGCTGGAAAATATTTCGAGCTGGAAAATATTTCGAGCTGGAAAATATTTCGAGCTGGAAAATATTTCGGGCTGCAGAATATTTCGAGCTGCGAAATATTTGAAGCCGCAAAACATTTGCAGCCGCAAAACATTTGCAGCCGCGAAATATTTGAAGCCGCGAAATATCTGAAGCCGCGAAATATTTGAAGCCGCAAAACAAACACTCGAAGCCAATAAACATTTGAAGCCGTTGGCCGTTGGGCGTTGGGCGACTTCCCAAACCGCGACAGCTTTGGAAAGTTTGCAAATTGTAAAAAAATATTCGGCGTGGACGATTTTCGTCCCCGTCGCAAAGTTTTAACTCACACCGCTCAGCAATAGGAGTTATAAAAGGGATATTTGAAATGCATGATAGCAATTGCCACGAGTACGATACTTTTGCACAGGATAGGATTGTCCTTGGTGGCAAAGGGAACGTAGCCAAATTCGTCGGCCTTCATGTTCACCGCCAGAAAGATGCCGCACCCGGACTTTCCTGGGCGCTGCTTTTCCAGTTCGACGCACTCAAAAGAGTCAGCCCGTGGAAAAAGTACTCTGTTCGTTCGCATCTCTCGGTATGTGTCCATTCCTATCACTGCACCGGGTGATACTATGTTCCGCAAGTTGATTTTTCTCCCTGATGCCTCCCTGCCGCTCTCATCAGAAACGCCCGTGTCCAGCTTTTTCAGATAGACTTTCGTATTCTCCTGGATCATTAGGTCGGCAATGTCGGCAGGGTTGTTCAGAGACGACTGAAAATGCTCCAAACTTGCAAAAGTCGCCTGTTCGTGGTCTGTGTCAGCCGCGTTGGGACTTGTGGTTGTTGGGACGTAAGCGACGCTCGCGTCGCTCTCTTGGATGGTTTTTCTGGAGGCAGGGGAGAACGTGAAATCCACTTCGTTGTACTCGTATGAAATGCAAAAGCATCGCACTACGTATAAATCGCATGACAAATCATGTCCTCAGCATGTGCGTGTCATCCTGATTTATTAACTTAATTAACTTAATATTTCTCATGATGAGAAATTTGTAATGCAGATTTGACTTGAGAAAGAAATTTGTATTTGTAACACACAAATTAAATTACTACGAGTACGATACTTTTGCACAGGATAACTCGACCGATTCTTGTTCTAGTGTTCATGGGATTGTCAGGCTGGAAATCGAGAAAATGGAAGTAAGTAAATGCAATGAACCTTAGAAGCTAAACCGACCGCAGCCACGTCAAGTAGAGCATGCATACATAGATACAGTAAGAGCATGCCTTAATTTCTGCAACGCAGGCACTTCGTGCCTCGTATTTAAGCATCGCAAGTATTTCCCAGTTTGCAAATTTCCAACCTGACGCTTCCATAAGTCCCTGTGAGAAAGGCTGTGATCGTGGTCCGCTATCCTGAGTAAAAACGTACCCACACCAGAGTCAGGATGGGGAATCTGCTAGACAAATCAGCCAGCTTTGGTTGTTTGGCATGACAAGTTTGTCCGCGTCGTATAGTGCTGTTTGAGCTAGTTTAGCAGCATTACAGATCTAGTATCTCATGCTGATTGGCGCATGACAAATTGCAAAACACGACTAGAAAATGCTTCTCATGGGGCTCCGCATGAGAAACATTTTCAGCATGCAGATTTGCATTACAACTCTGGTGTGGGTACGTTTTTACTCAGGATATCCTCCGGCTCCTCGTCATGCTCCGAGACGAAGATATCCCACAGAAAAAGACCGACAGGTCATATTTGTAATGCAAAAATAAATACACAGGAAAATCTGTCATGGGCGAGGCCATAACATCCTGTTTAGGGCATGCAATACAGATTTTTTTGTCTATTCATTTTTGCATTACAAATATGACCTGTCGGTCTTTTTCTGGGGGATAGAAGACCTGCCGCGTGGATAGGAGATCGACGTTCTCGTTCGACTATGCTGTGCAAAAGTATCGTACTCGTATAAATGCATTACAGATTTCCTTAGCATGAGAAATAGAATTTGTAATGCTGATTTGCCTTGATAAAGAAATTTGTAATGCAAGACCTGCATTTATTTTTATACGAGTACGATACTTTTGCACAGGATATCGACACTCTGCGGTACATCAGTTGCACGGATTCCAAGTTTGCTGAAGTCGCCCACTCGCGCTCGGATGCGTAGCCGCGGTGCCTGTTTTGGTTCCCGTTGGCGGCCTTGACGATGCTACCCACGACCGCGTCATCAAGCACAGAGGAGACGACCCGCTGCGACGAAGTCTGTAGTTCTGCTGCGACGGCGGAAGTTTTCAAGGTAGTTGTAGTTAAACGCTTGGTCGTATGAATTGCAAAAGTATCGTGCTCGTATGAATGCATTACAAATTTTCTCAGCAAGAGAAATAAGATTTGTAATGCAGATTTGCTTTGGGAACAAGATTTGTAATGCAAGACTTGCATTTATTTATACGAGTACGATACTTTTGCACAGGATAGGTCGTGTCGTGCTCCATGATCTCCCTGTTCGTGCGATTGCTATCCATGTCAGCAAGCATGTCTTCCAGCTCTGCTTCCAACGACGCGGCCGTACTTTTGCCGTCGCGAGCACCTTGTTCTTTTTCACGATCGCCGCCGGCGAACGGAGCAGATTCGGATAGTACATCTTTTTTCGCATCTTCCTTGGCCTGCTGTGCATGACGACCGGGGTCGGCTGGGGCTTCAGCTAACAAGCTTGTGCTTGTTGATGCGCTTGTGTTTTGATGATGTGAAGCAGCACGGAGTAATTTTAATTCGGTTTCCACCAGTTCTGCATCGTGGGCGGTGGTGTTCATTTCGATGCCGTTGATCGCCACGATTTCGTCCTCCTCTCGGATCCCCATCTGGGCTGCAGGAGAACTGGGGTGCACTGCTGTTATCAAAGCCCAATTCGACGCATCACACCAAAAAGTGTTAACGTTAGCGGAGCGAATTTGGCATGCAGTAATGCATCACAAAACGTGCGGAAATTTGTCATGCTTAGCATGCATTCTGATGCTAGGCAAAGCCAAAATTTGTCATGCATATTTGCAATCTATGATAACCGTTAACGTTTTTAGCACTTTTTTGTTTGATACGACGGGTCATCGAAGGAGAGACCACCGACTTCGGACCAAGAGGGGAGCATCATGGTTTGCTCCTCACTTGGGTGCTCCTCGACGAACAGCTCGCCCGCGCGCGCCCACAAACTACTGCCGGTCTGCTCATTCCTCAAAAGCACGGTACTCCGCGACAGGTCCCCAGTCGCAGCAGCTGGGCTCCGATCGATCTCTTTAACGGTAAACAGTTCCGGCGATGAAGCTTCGTCGGTGTGGTGGGCGATCTGTATTCCCTGAAAATTAATAACCGTCCCGATCCCTCTTTATTTGCATCATCGTCAACATCGTCATCATGTAGTGGGCACCCTGCTCACCCAGCGCCACAGGTCAAGGATCCCCCCCCTGGGGGTAGGGCGAGCAAGAACTTTCGGCGACCTCAACATAGCAAATCCCGCGCTAGTACCCCGAACAGTCGCCTCAAAAATTACCGACCGGTCTCGGGAGAAAAGCCGACTCTACTCCATAAATTCTGCGATGACAAACTGGATGGGGATGGAAAATTTTCAGAGAATAATCTGCGCACCCAGGCGCACGCCAGTCTGACCTTCCTTCAAGGCGATTGCGCGTTTCCCGCTAGCAAGTTTGTGGTACTGCGTGGTCCTCCAGGTCGCTGCCCCAGCGTTGCCACCAACTTGCATTTGGTCCATAAACCATTTGCCCTGCCCAAGTGAAACGGCAATCCGCATCGCCGCTTGAAACGCCACGCGTCTATGGTGCGCGAGTTGCTTGCCGGTCCCGGCTATCTGTTGCACCACCTTGTATTTCATTTTTCGTTATCACAAATTGAAATTTCAATTTGCACCAAAAAAAAACGAGCGACGCGATTACCTTGTGTATACTACATATGATTGTGTTTTTTGTATTTTTTTTTATAGTATTTCATCGTGAAACCGAAAAATCGAGTCGAGTCGCCGGGAGCTAGTCCGCGGTAAAAAGGGTTTGGCAAAGCGTTAACTATCAATTTCAATTAATACCTTGTTGACACGTTCCAAAGCGAAGCGCTTTTGCAGAAGGCGTGTCTGCTTTTTCCCTTTTTGCGATCGAGTTGCCTTCTCGAGCTCCGGGACGATGCCATCTCGGTACAGTTTATCGAGCAGGCACTATGGAAGCGTCAGGATTGAAATCGTCAAAGTTAAAATAACTTGTAATGCATAAAATCGATACCAGTTGGAAGCCCAATTTTCAAGCGGTGCATGACAAATTTTCCGAGCACCGGAATCCAATAATTTGTCAGGCTGTTTGGGCACAGCCGCCTGCTTTTGTCATGCTACTTTAGCAGCTCTATTTCAAACCCTAAGCAGGCTGATAGTCTGCCTCCCTTGCCGTCCCGGCGAGACAGGCACTGCATGCCTTGCATTTTATGCATGACAAATCATTTGAACTTTGTCGATTTCAAACCTGACGCTTCCATAGGTACTTGTACGCAATCGTCAGATACTGGGTGAATTCCACCGTCTTCTCGACAATGCTTCGTTCCGGCGTCCACGTTCTTTCCGATATCAAATGTAAAAGTGTCTGGGTGGTCTGGAAGACTGCGCGATTTGTCATGCAGCTTTTCCATGACCCATGAGGTCTGGAATGCAGGACCTAGCGTGACAGATTCTGTCCGATCTCTCTCATGCCTATCCTGCATCGGAAACTCCCTCCCGAATTGGTCAAAACTGGACGACTTTTGGTAATCACGCAACACAGATTTTTGCATGCTTCAGATTTAGCATGACAAGTTGCATTCTTCCAGACCCAGACACTTTTACAGTTCATATCCGAGGTCTTGCGCCGATTCCGTAGGCGGCCCCAATCGGCCATCTTTATCCTGAGTAAAAACATCCCCGCACCAGAGTCAAGATGGGGATTTTGCAACACAAGCCTAGAACTTTTGGGGGTCACGCATCACAAGTTGCAGTCCATAGAAGTGTAGTGCAGGCTCGGAAGCCCAGCTGCGTCAGAAATCCATCTGCTCATCCTGTTTACAGCATTACAAATACCAAAACACGACTAAAAATGCCTCTCCTGGCGATGCGCGTTACAAATGTTCCTGTCATCGCAAATCTGCATGACAACTCTGGTGTGGGGACGTTTTTACTCAGGATAATCTTGATAAGCAGCTTTTCCCCAAGTTCGTACCACTCTTCGGGTGATTTTTGCAGCAGTATCAACTGTAAAAATGTCTGGGTCTGCGAGATTCTGCCACTTGTCATGCACGTTTTGCATGAGCCATCATGTCTGTGATGCATGCCCTAGCATCTTCACAGATGTTTTGAGGGCATCTTGATGCGTATTCTGCATGACAAATGCTCTTCCCGTGTAGCAAAACTTGGACTCCCTTTCTTGGTACTCATGCAATACAGATTTCAGGTACAATCCAAAATCAGCGCCACAAGTTGCATTCTTCCAGAGCCAGACATTTTTGCATTTGATAAGCAGCTGCTGCGTCAAATTTCGACCTTGCTCAACCATGGGCATGGTCTTTCTGTACCATTTGTCTCGACGGGTAATGGTGGGCATCCAACGCCCCACCCCCATGGCAAGTCGAGTGCGGGCGAGATTCAGATTGTTGCCGGTCTTGGTTTTCCAGTTTAGCCAAAACTGGCCGACCTTCTTTCCGTACTCCTTTATCCGCTCCCACCGGGTCTTCTTTGCGACTTCGGGTGCGTGAGGACTTGCAGCTTCATTTTTAGCATCCGGGATGCCATCGTCCCCGTGGTCTACGTCATGATTGCGCAGTGCTGCCATCTATGCATTGCAAAAGTATCGCACTACTATAAATTGCATCACAATTTTTTTCAAGAAGAAAAATGGAATTTGTAATGCTGATTTAACTAAAAATGGATGTCTGTCATGCATGATAACAATTACTACGAGTACGATACTTTTGCACAGGATACCATCGCGAGTTTTTCCTTCTCAGCCCTCTCTACATCGTCGACTTCGTCTGCGTATCAAATGTAAAAGTGTCTGGGTCTGGAAGGGTTGGAACTTGTGATGCAAACCCTGGAACACACAAAAATTTGTGTTGCATGAGCGCCAAAAGCTGTCCATTTCTTGGCACGCAAGTAGGAAGTTTCTCATGCGGGACAGGCATCATGGCGCTTGCTCAAAACCTGTGATGCTTTTGCCAGCATCAGACGCCATTTGAGTGATCCGAAACATGCATGACATATCTCGCAATCTTCCAGACCCAGACATTTTTACATTTGATACTGCGTGCTCCAGGCGTCTGTCGGACTCGCTGTCTGCAGCGGAGCGGCCATCGGGAGTAGTGATGTTGGTGGTTGCAGACGTCGCGGAGTTTCCGTTCCACCAATCGCGTATTTGCTGGGTCCTCTCACCAAGCGTGGCACCCTCCGTTTGCGTTGCTTCCAAAGTGCGTAAAAAGCTGCTCATCGCAAGAGAATGAGAGACAGAACCTCTGGCTCTGGGATGGAGGTCAGCATGGTTTAATACTTGTTTCCCATCGTGCTCCTGGTCCACTTCGTCCGTGTTCTCCTGCTCGAATGCTCCAGCTGCCCCGGTTGCGCCGACCTCCACGCGTTGGCGTTGACTTGACACGGCATCTGGCGCGCTTGTCGTTGTGCTCCCTGGGAGAAATGAAGCCTTGTTTCTTTTTTCTGCAACAGCCAAGACGAGATCGAGTTTGAACACGTCAGTGCTGCTGAAGAAGACTGCACCGGTACAGCTAACGAGTAGTAACCGCAGCCAGAGCGGTGCCCTGCCCTCTGCGGCGGAGGAGGAACACCATATTGTTGTAATTCGCATTGTGCTCTCTTCTGAAAGTCGTTCAGTCGGTCATGGGCCTTCTTAGGCGTGATGTGAGTTTGCATCAGCGAGAAAAGGTCTCCTCGACCTCGACTTGGTTGTTACTATCTACAAAATATTACTACCTCCTTACTGAATCGCAACTACGGCACAAATACTAAGGGGAAAAGTTCAAGAATAAGAATCCGAGCAAAAATTGCATATCAGGCCCCGCGACGGTAAGCGCTGGGCTGTGGTGTAGTAGTTTATTTTTTGTTGAAATGCAGGCCAAATGTCACACACAGGATAATCCGAACCCACAAAAACAGGTGCATCGCAAAGGTGCCATGGAGCATGATTTACCGCGTCACTTTTTCACCATTAATAAAAAGGTCTTACCAGGTCCGGCGCCGCGACGATGCCTCATCAATACCAGCGTCCACACACTAAGCTAGCTAACTCACACTACAACTACTCTCAAATAACCATTTCAAAACAGTCAACCTTGCACCGACCACCCAAGCACAGGTGACGCAGCGCGGACTTTCTCCGCAGTCCACACAAGCCGTTGAAAAACACCTGGCTGAGCACCATCTGAACAGCAGCGAAGATATGTGGGCTGTAGCTGTTGGACCGACCGGCAGATCCGTTGCACCACCTGGTGCAACGAGGCGTCATCGTCCCGGAGCGTGGAAGTGCAGAATCAAGCTGGCATCATGGGCCCCCGAGCTGTGGTCGTGCGACATGAGGATCGGCCGCCGCCCCTGAGTCTAGTTTTTGTGAATAAATATGCTCCCTAAAGCCTTTTCATGATTTGCGTTGCAGATGAACTGATGATGGTGGTTAACTAGCTTAGTGTGTGGACGCTGGTATCGACATCCCGGGAGCAGCAGGTAAGTTGCAGGTGACCTGAAAATGATTTTTTGCCAAAAGTGTTCTCTCCCGGACAAGCTGACACCGGGAGCACGCGATGCTTCTGGACCAACCGCACGAGCCGCTTTACTCGGTTTCACCACTGGAGACGTGCCTCGACGACACGCAGCTCGGGGCCCTTTTCGTCATCGGCTTCCGCGCCGTCGTCGACCCCACGAAGCAATTTTTGCAAAAATTATTATTCTTGAACTTTTCCCCGTAGTAACAAATCCAAACGAGCCGAAGGATAGCATTTCCTTTTCCGTCAGTGCTTTTTCTCCATTTAGTAACGTTGTCGACCACCGGCGACGTTGTAACCTCATCAGCAACACCTTCTTTTCGAGTTGCTGGTATTGAGACAGCACCACACAAGCACGTACAGCTAGGATCTGCAACATTACGCTCCAACCTCTCGTCACCAAGCCGCTCCGCGTCCGTCGTTATTCATCAGAATAGCTCTGTTGCACGTCACGACTGCTCCATCACTCCCCTGCGAAGTCGACATTTCTGCGACAGAGCGACGAACTGAAAACAGCTTAACAATAAACGATAGCCAAAGTAGAAAGTTTGGATTTTTGTAGTCCTCTTATTATTTTAATTTTGATATAGATTTTATTTTTTTACAACTCATTTCATTTTTCTCTTTTTTATGATGTTTGTTTTGTTCGTGACGTTATATTCGTGGCATCCTCTTGGAGGAGTTGCCTTCTTCTCACAACTCTAGAGCTTCTTCAAGAAAAATGGCCCAAGCGTCTTTGGCTGCTCAGACCTGAAACAAAAGGAAAACTATTGAAAGCGAAAGCCCTGCGGTAAAACTAAAGGTTGAAAACTTAAACAGTTGCTGCCAAAAGGTAAAAAGTTGTCTCCTTGAAGCGTTTCTGTCGTAAAAGCAAAGCTCGTTTTCCGAAATTCTTGGTCTGCTGCGAAAGAAAGAGTTGGAATGCGTGATTTTCTTCTTCGTAAAAAAGCGGCGCTCTTGAAGGAGGAGCTGTTTTTTGCTTTTGTGTTTGATGATGATGATGATGATGATGATGATGTTGGCAGTGTGCCCTTTAGCGGACTGCTGCGTGCTACTCCCTCCTCCAGCCCAGAGCTGCTTTTGTGTTTTTTACTTTTTAGAAATAAAACAAACGCGCTTACTCGAAGTTGAATTGTCCACTACCCTGCGGTCTACTTTCCCGCCAGTAGATCAGCGCCGCATTAATTCATCCATTGATACGGTCCCTGTGCTTACCAGGATCATCAAAATTCCGAACACAATAATAGCGACCACGACAGCAACGATCGTAAACCGGGAGGGCAAGTAGCCCTCCCCGGACCCGGACGGTCCCATCCAGCTCGGATTGTCCGAGTCCCACTGCAGAAACGACGACGAAGCCGCGCCGTCGGCCACTCCTCTCTCTACTGCGCTGCCGAATTTGTTTGCGAATTTTGCAAAAACTTTTGGGAGCGAAGAAGTCGTTTGTGGTAGTTCTTTTGGCATGTCGTTGAGAACTACATCAAGCGGAGATGCTGGGCCCGAGCCGGTTGGTGCCGAAAGAGCTGCGTCGGCAAACTGCACGGTCGCGTTAATCACTTCGCCGACTTCACGCGCGCCGGCGTCCAAAGGCAAGCTTCGATGGAGTCTTTCAAACGACTCGGATGCTCCGCTAGCAAGCACATCCACTTTCAGCAACCGATTGACGTCGAACATTACTTCGGGCGCGTCGATTTGAAATCGGAGCAGATTTTCGGACACGGGCATCAGCAAGACCGTCTGCTGAAAGGGATGCAGCACAATCGGCACACCCTTCGCCTTCTGCTTCTTCGCGTTTCCACTTTGCGGGAATAACGCCGCCGGAACTATTTGAGTGACGCTGTGGAGCACGCCGGAAACCTGCTGGAAGAGGTTCGGCTTGGTAATGTGCATCTTCACGAAAGAGGACGCCGCCACGCCCGTGGCGTCTGCGATGCCCATAGCTGCCCGCGTGGCTTGGGTCGTCACGCTTTGGTCTGGAGAGAGGGTCCTGGACTTTGGCGAGAAAATCCAGACGCCGGAGGTGTCTCGCGTATCCTCTTTTCCACTGGAGACTCCAGCGGGAGAGAACACGCGTATCTTCTCAGCAGCTGCGCCCGCGAACACGTACAGCTTGTTGGCCGTGACTCCCTTCTGCGACTTCATCGCGAGCCCGCCCGCTCCTTGGTCCGAACGCCCTTCCACGGGACTGCAGGTCTCGAACTTGACGACCATGCTCCTTTCGTCGTATGAGGTACACACGTAGACTCCTCCAGGGTAACAGGTCAACCAGCGAGCCTCACCAGTCACCTGGCAAGGCAAAGCGTGAAGAAATGTAAACACCTCTCCCTTCTTCGGTACTTCGTAGAGAAATTCGATCGGGATGCTGGGGTACTTCTTGACCAAAACACCACTTCTTCCGCCGGATTCGATGGCCGCCACTATTTTCTTCGTCCCGGGCTTCGGCCCGTCCTGCGTAGTCACAGTCCTCACCGTCGCGAACGCTTTCTGCAGTTCCGGCGCAACGCCGATCACCCCCTTCGGAAACAGGACCTGTACGCGATGTTTCCCAAGAAGCGTGCTGCGCGACTTCTTCAAGTCCGAGTACTTCAGTGCTGGGTTGTGCTTCTCGCTGAAATATCTACCCAGGCCGGCTTCCTCCAAAGCCCCGGTTGCGTGGTCGATCAAGTGGTACTTGGCGGCGTCCAGTCGATTCTTCGCTTGAGCGACCGCGGGTGGAGATTTCGGATCCTCGTACGCACGCAGCGTTCTTTGTGCGGCAGGGAACATCGTGGTGAACATCCACACCGCCCACTTTCCCTTCTGCCAAATTCCTTTACTCCGGACCTCTTTCTGCTGCTGAAGCTGCACGCCGGTTTTTTCTTTCTCGCTGACCCTCGCCTCTCCTTCTTGTAGGAATGCAGTCGAAACAACTACGTCGGAGGTCGACAGCGATTGCGTTTGGTTGCCAGTACTTGTTACGTCATCCAGTCCGCTGCTGTCCACCACGTCCACGTCCTCCGTATGAGTGCCATCTTTCCAGCGGCTCATGTCGTAGCTGTCAAGCAGAAAAGACTCCTGCTCCAGAGTTTCGTACGGTATCGACTTCCCGTCCTGATCCACGAACACCTCGTCGATGACCTTCGGGTCGAAAGGGGAACCGTACTGGAGCAAGTTGATTATTACGAGGGCGGTGGTCAACATCCACGGACTCAACCGGTGCCCCGGTGTCCAGCGCCCGTAATGCTTCGCCCTCGCGATGATCATCCGGTTGATGAATCTCCCGGGCCAGGAGGTAAAAGTAGTGTTGTTCAGGCCTGCGTTCATTTCTGCTTCGTTGCCCCGTTCAAGCAGCCTGCTCAGGCCAGTTCCGCCGGCCAACTTCGCACTGCTGCCCGAAGCGGGGCGATGCGCAGGCGCAGTCGTGGATAGAGTGTCGAAATTTTACTTCATATTGCTTAGTTCTCTAATTGTTGATGTTCATATTACTTCGTCACGTTATTTATGATGTTCAAGCTCAACATACTTGTTTGTTTGTTGAGAGTGGTCACATGGAACCGCTTGAAAGTTGTTCTTTCTTCACATGTGTCTAGCGCTACTTCAACAAAAAGAGGACAACTTGGTGGAGCTGCTTTGGCTCCAACCTTAGAAAAACTAGAAGGAACTGCTGCTGAGAGAGAGAGAGAGAGAGAGAGAGAGACTGGTGAAAAATGATAAGCATTTAACTTAATTAAGCACTACCCGTAGTATTTTTGGCAAGCAGGGAGAAATTGAGGCTTTTTAGCTGCCAATCTAAATGCTAACGAAGAGTGAATTCTGAGTCTTAGCGTGAGTCTATCAGTATCAACTTAATTAAACACTACCCGTAGTATTTTTGGCAAGCAGGGATAAGTTGAGGCTTTTTAGCTGCCAAGAAGGAACTGCTGCTGAGGACGAGAAAAAGCTCTTTCTTATAAAAAGTTCGAAAGTGATTGGGGAGTACTATTTTGTTTGCTACTGAAGTTGTTGAAAAGTTAAAAGATTGACGCTGAAAGTTAAAAGTCTACTGAAAAGTTGGGAAGGCTACAAAGCAGTGATGTTCTAAAAATTTAAAACGTAGTCCTGTTTCTCGCTGTTGAAAAGTAAAAGATGCTTTATTGATTCTTTGCGTCCTTATTCGAACAAGTATTTTTTCGGTCGTGAAGCTGCACAATCACAGACCAAACCACACAGCGCAGAAGTTCGTGGCCAGCACCATCGCCATTGTAGTTGCCGCAAGGAAAATGAAGGAAGGCCTGGCGATCCTGGTCGTTGCGGCGCTCTCATCAACCGTGGCACTTTTGGCCGCGGATTCGCCTTCCTTCTCGGGCGATTCGGTCGCTGGCGGTTCGATGTACTCGCGTGGTTAATCCCGAACCAAAGCAAACGAATGCTGAACACTAAATACCACCAGAATGTAATGCAAATGTAGCAGAGTATTTACGTTCTTAGTACAATTGGAAATTAGTAGCCTGTCATGCAAATTGTATGACTCAAGGCCTGTGGAGTGCATTGGGTCCATGGGAATTCCATTCGTCAGCATCTTCATAGAATTTGTAATGCTGTTTACGATTTCATGATTGGACTTGTAATGCTATTTATCTCTTTGCGTTCTTGTTTTGTTGTTGTGTTGAGATCTTTATAGCGTTGAGATTTTATCACTCTGGATCGAGTGTTGAGCATTTTATCGTTGGAGCATTAGCATACGCTGACATCCCCCCTTGCTCGATACTCGGCCAGTTTTGGAAACTACAGTAGGAGTAGAAATAGTATAGGTGTTGAAAATCCATGATGTTACTTTCTGAAAATCAGTGAAAAAGTTTTGCTTTGAATACCATAAAAGTCTATACGTAGAATTTTGCTGCTATACCGTTTATCCCCCCTACGTATAGACTTTTGGAATCTATATCGTAGGTGTAAATCGTACAAGTAGTTCTTGTTTTCGATAGAGCATTTCTGAGTTCTAGGCTTGGAAAGTAATGCTTTTATAAAAATACGTGGTGAAAAGTTTTGTCTTTGTTCATCATACATTTTTCTTTTTCATCATACAATTAGCGTTCTCGGGGTAGTACAACATTAATAATTCTTTTCTCAAATCGAAAGAAAATCCAAATCGAGATCAAAGCAACAATCATACAACATCTCACACTCGAAGCTTCGAGAAAAATAGAAGAATTACCTAGCGCGAAATAGTCATAATCTTACGTGGTCTTTTTGTCATAAAAGTTTTCCTTTTTCGTAAATTTTTGGTTGTGTAATTTTTCTTGAAAACCAATGTAGAGCTCCAGACAGATAGAAATCTTTTTTCTTTTATAATCCGTAGTAAAGTAGGAGGTAGTAATTTATTTTCGATTTTTGTTTTCTCGAAAAGTTTTACTTTGTTTTAGTCTTCTCTTTCCAAATCTTCTCTCCTCCTCCTTCGAATCCACTTGAAATTTTTCGGATCGGTGTCAAAACCCATCGGAAATTCGAATTGTCTTGCTTCGGCATCATTACTGCGCAGCGTCAAGCTGTCGAGCAGAAATCGACCTACTACCGGTTGAGAGGTGTGGAGAATAGGCTTCCCCGACCAACACGTATGCGAATAGTTTTCATCATTTCAAATCATACAAGTAGCCAATAATTTGTTTGAAGCTTCTACGAAGATATGCTTTGCATTGTCAGAATCATCAGCAATTTCTTCACTTTTCTGCTTCTTTCAATTTCTTTCCTTTTCCTCTTTTTCACTTTCTTTTTCTTTCTTTTCTTTATTTTTCATCTTCCATATTCAAAAACTGAAGAAATTTTCTGAATAGAATCGGAGACAAAATTATAGTGAGTCCGTCTGCGCGTTGTTCCTCACTTTTTGCATATGATCCCTTGCGTGTGCCATTCTCGATGTTGAACCTTCCGAAACAATGCCTAGTGTCAATATGTTTGAGTCTGGAATTGGATTCCAGGGACGTGCTATATTTCAAGCATCCCATATTATCCAAATGCAATGGCATGGGTTGCACAATAGTCCAACCCTTCAACGTACCAGATTCCATAACTTCTTCAAGGACATTTCTCAAGTACATCGAGAGCTTGCACGTTTGCGAAGCTGCATATACTTCGGCTTCAGAAGTACTAGTCGCAGTCCCACTCTGGGTCTCTGCTTTGAAAGCAATTGCACAAGAATTCAAGTAAATAAGAATCCCAGACGTAGAGCATCTACCCTGTTCTGTTGCCCAATCAGAATCACTCCAACAGTCTAACACTAGCCGCTTGCTCTGCGTAGGCCTTTCGTCTTTGCGGTAGACTAGCCATCTACGCTTCCGCAAGTAGCGGATAATACGCTTCAAACACTGGATGGAACTTTGCGGCGTTTTTGCTTTGCTAGCATATTTCAACGCTATCAAAATATCCGGCCTAATGCTGCGCAAGTATTGCAGTGAGCCGCATAGAGCCATCTTTGGACCGTAAAGAGTTTGATCAGGCTCTTCCAGTGGATCTGGAGCAGTTTGTATTGGCGTACTGTACTCTTTTCCATCTTCTCCTCCAAATTTTTCAAGCAATTTTGTAACATAGGCACCGCCAGACAAGGTAGCGGAACCATCTACCTTGCTGCGAATGGCTGCAATGCCCAAAACGTCCCAAGTCTGGGTCAACTCATTTTCCTCTGGTGGTTCTTCAACCAGCTGCAATTCTTCTTTCAATTCTAAGTATAGTTTTTGAATTGTTTCCGAATCACCCCAGCAAAAGAAGTTGTCGACAAAAACTGCCAGACAAACGCCAGCTTTGTGAAAAGCTGCTCGGTCGTTGTAGAACGGCTTCCAACCTTTTTCCAGCAAAATTTTCTTCCTGTGTAGTGCCCATCCTATACTTGAGTGTCGCAGTCCATTCATGCACTTTTGAATTTTACCCACTTGATACCCCAAAAGATTCGATAAGCGAGAATCCAACTGGATCAAAGGCATCTGATCACCATCCAAAAGTGGATACTCAGCCTGCAAAAATGCTGAAGTTGCATCTGCTGAAAATAATTCAACAGTTGGCACATTGGCAAGCAAAGCCAAAAGCATCCTAATGATTTGCATATCGGTAGCCCCCGCATAGCGCGTGATCCCGTTGTCGGGTGCTAAAAACCCTAAGCAAACCAAACGCGCTTTAAACCTTCCACATCTTTTCACGCTCAGAATCAATTTGCACGGAGTAAGCTTCTTTTTGGCTTTCTGGTACTCAGAAATTTCTTGGTCCGTAGCCTGTACAAAAACTCCTGTGCGTGCTTTCAATTCTTTCGCGATAGCTTCCGCCATTTTTGGGTCTTTTTGCTGTTCCGGAGTAAGATTGAAGCAAAAATCTTCACTCTCAGTGTCGTGCTCAAAAATCAAATTTGCCACAAATGCACAGAAGTCCACGATCTGAAACGATTTGTCGTCCTTGTATTGGTCGCGCAAAGCGCTTGCCACTTTTTCAGTTTGCTGCTCTTTCAACGATCTCAACCGCGTACCCACTCTGTTGCCAGTGGTCCTCTGGTGTGCTTTGATTTGCTTTCTCAAAAGTGCCTGCGTTAGTTCCTTGATTGCTTCCTTTCGCTTCCCATATGGAATTTTCGTTCCTGGGGAGCCAGGCAATTGTTGTAAAATTTCTGGACAGTCTTCTTTCATTTCACGACAAAGCTCACTGGTGTAGTTTTTCGTGACTCTAAGTCCTTTGTTGGAAATATTGACACGCTCCATCTGATCCTCGAGGAGAGGAGTGGTGGCGTCGTCGCTTGTTCGACTTTCTTCGACGTCGACCGTGCGAGATGCAAACTCATCAAATTCTTTCACATCCGCGACAGTAGTAGCTTCGGCAACTAGCTTGCTGTCGTCTTTCTTCTTTTTCTGTTTCGCGTCCAGGGCTGCAGTCCCCGTGCGATTTTCTTTTTCCTTTTTGCTGTCCTTCTCATCCCTTACCTTGAGCGAATCCGATCTCGGTAGGCCAGAGGCCCCAAGGGTTTGGATGGGTGGTTGGCCAGCCTCTTTCGCTTTTCCATTTTCCTTATTTTTCTCATTTCCATTTTTCTCATTTTCCAAAAATTCAACTTCAAAATTTTCTTTCTCTACCTGAGGCTTTTTCGGGGAGCTTCCCGATAAGTCAGGCTTTGGATTTTGTGGCATATTCAATCGCTGTCGGTATCGTGGCAGTTCTTCTTTGGCTTCTGGTTTTTGCTGTTCAAATTTTTCAAGGCGATAGTGATCCGATAGCACCGCGCTAGGGTCACTCTCATCTTGTTGGATTTTGTGCGTTCGCTTTGCAATGCGAAGAATACTAGGTGGAAAGGTCATCTGGTCAAGCGTAGTGCGCTTTCTGATGTGTGCGGGATGGATTTTAGAATAGAAACCGTTCCTATCGACCACGTGCGTTTTGCTTGTCACGTGGTGTTCGATGTAAATCACCTTCACAGGTCCTACCCAACCTTTAGTGACATCACACCAAATTTCAGCAAAATCTCCCATCTTAACTGCTGCAGCTTCATGGAAAAATTTGCGTAAAGTCTCATGAATTTTCTCAAGTTCCGCAACGTAATTTTTCTCGCGCTGAAGTGTTTCATGCTGTGAACGAACTAGCATTCGAAATTTGTAAGCTTCTGACGCTGTCGAGCCATCTCTGTATCTCGGCAAAGCTGGACCCTCGCGGTCCTCCGCAGATTCGTACAGAGGCGGGCTTTTTGCGTACTGAAACTGGTAGGGAGACAATCCCACTAAAACTTTTGTTGGTCGCTCATTTATCGCAGCTACAGCTTCCCCAACTAACTTTTGCATAACATTCGGCCCATAAATGAAGCGAAGTTTGGCAATAAGCATTTTGCTTGTCAAGTGGCGTCGCTCGATGGGATTACACCAGTGCGCTGCCACTGGTGCGAAATGCATCTTGCAACCATAGAGCTCACTTTGTTCAACCACTGCAAGGTTGTAAAATTCCCTTCCTAAATCACACATGAGATTCTTTCCCAAAACACCTCGCTCACGGCAAAGGCGTAAAAGATTTACAGTGTCTTCAGCTGTTGGCGCTGCCTTTTTCAAAACTTTCGCAACTGAATACTTGGAAAGCAAATTCATGCAGTGTAGCACTGTGAGTTGTTTACTTTCAAGATAGAACGTGTCCAAGGCACACCATTCCTCAATAGTTTCAACTTTGATCCCCCCTTTTTTGTTGTGGTGGAACGGGAGGTGGGTCAAGCGGTTCAACTGCGTTTTGCAGTATTCAACCACCAAAGCCTTGGCTGCTTGGCGTGGATCATGCTTGCGCACGACTTCCCAAACTGTCTGAAAATTTGGATACCCCGCGCCATGTGCTAGCTCAGCAACTTTTTCCGCCGTCATTTTCTCAGCGGGCGGAAGTTTTTCTGCAAATTTTTCCTGTTTTTGTGGAATTTTGGATCCCTGAAAAATCACACGCAGAGGAAAGTGATCGCCACACCCTCGCTGGATTTCAGGTATAGTTTTTACATCCTCGATCTCCTGCTTGTGCGATTCGCTCACCCAAGCAACGTCGATTCGTAGGCCTTTTCCATTTTTATTTTCAAACTCTGGAAGCCCCCAAGTTGTGCAGGTGTACTGCACCCCCTCAGGATTCAAATCGCGATAGCGATCAACAAGTTTAAACTCTTTCAAAACAGCAGAGCACTCTGCCCGGTCCGCATCGCGCGTGCCCGGTAGGCCTGCTAAAACAGAATCAAAATCTTTTTCCCCCAAGACATAGTTTACATCTTCAACAACCAAAATTTCTTGCCCCAAAGACTGGAAGCATTTGCGGAAAGAAGCATCCCACTCATGCGCGTCTTTAGCTCTATTTTGCGCATACACCCCAAGGATTTTCATTGTAGTCAGTCGCGGCATTCGTAAAACTATTCCTCGACCTTCAGGCAGGTGCGGGGCACAAGAAATCGAACTCTTTTCACACCACGCATCGCGCAGGACAAGTGCCGCCATGCCTGCTCTGGCTTTCGCAGTACTGTAAAAATATACTTCATATCTCAAGCCTATTTCATGCAAAACTTTCTCCTTCCCCTGTTTTTCCACTTTCTTCGTCGTCCTAGTTTCACCCAGGAGGACTAGTGGTGGAGAATTTTCGACAAGTGCTCGCAAGTGCTTCGGCCTCGAAGACAGGACTTTTCGTAGCGATTCACCGTTGTAATAAGTTACCTCGTTGCTAACTAGATCAGGCCTGTTATCAGTAGCAAGACAAGATGCAGGATCTAAAGCTTCAGACAAATCCTCATAGAAGTTCTGCATTTCTTTGGGGAGTTTTACGGACGGGGTGGACCTAGACGCAAGGCCCACCGGAGTAGGAGTAGTCAGGTCGTGTTTCGCGATTTTGTTTTTCGTTTTCTTCTCTCTTTCTCTCTTTCTTTTTCGTTTTTCTCCTTCCTGCTTATGGCTATAGAGCTGCCCAGCGAGTTTAGCAGCGCTGAGATACTCTTTTGCAGCGAAGATAGCCGGGCCCATAGTAGTCGACCTCAGCCAATCCTCACTCTCACAAGCCGCATAGTAGTCGGCATCCTGCTCGTAGTAGTCTTCATCCTGCGACCCTTTGGCGTTGATTCTCGTCTTTACGTAGAAGAGATTCTTTCTCTGCAGGATGGGCGTACGCTCTCCATCAGAAAATTCCAAATATTTTCTCTTGAAGTTTATGTCTCCGCCTGCAGCTACTAGTGCCCCTACTGACAAAATCGACACATTGGCACCCTTGAGAAAATTGACATTGCGGATTTTGCATCGCTTTTCGCCGATTCTACCGCATAAAGTTCCAATCTTTGTCGCTATTGCTGGGGCACCGACTGCGCGAAATGGTCGATAAATTTCCTCGGTATTCTTCAGGAATTTTTCTTCCGCTGCGATGTGGGCCGTGGTTCCACTATCGAGTAAAAGACTTACCGTCACTACGCCGTCCTCTTCTTGTTCCTCGTTCGCGAAGAAAGCCTGTTCGATTTCTGTCAAAAGGAAAGTCTGTTCCGAGGACGAAGACTTTTTGCGTTTCTTCGCTTTGTCTTTCTTCTCGCCATCGCCGTAGTGCGCCTTCTCCTTCTCGTCATTGCCATAGTACGTTTTTCCTTTTTCGTGCTTTCCTTTGCCTTTGTCCTTGTCTTTTCGCGGCTGCTGCCAAGAATTCCAATGACCATTGTGCGGCTGCCAAGAATTCCAATGACCATTGTGCTGCTGCCAAGAATTCCAATGGCCATTTTCCTGGTGCCTGTTCTTCCCTGCTTCGTTGTTCCAGTTCTTCGCTGGGTACGGCGTGGTGCTGAAATTATAGCTATACTTTCCACCTTTTCCGTCCTTTCCGTATTTGCCTTTTCCTTTGCCATCTTTGTCGCCGGCAAAGTAACTGGCACGCTTGTCGTTTTTCTTTTTCTTTTTCCGGCTTTCTCCGTTGTCGCTGTCATCGGAAGACTCTTCATCTTTCTTTTTTAAAAGTAAGTCCGCATCTGCAGCGGCACTGGCTAAATCCGCAGGCTCCGCAGCCCTTCTCGCCACGATAACACTCAGGAAATCGCTATTACATATCTCTTTGAGGATTCGAACTTGTTCCGTGCCCGTCAATTTTAATTGGGAGGCGCGTCGCTCGAACTTCTGCAGAAAAGTTGTACTATTTTCCGACTTCTTTTGTATTTGTGGCGCCGCCCGTAAAAGTGCTGCGGCACTTTCCTTACCCTCGTAAAGGCCCACGCACTGAGCTCGAATACTCTTGAATTTTTGTGCAGAACCCCGCAACTTTCCGTCTTTCATTGCGGTGTCTCTCAGAGTACAAAGTCGCGCTTTCACTACTGCTGACTGGATGCGATCATCGAGATGCCTCAACAGCGAATAAAACGAAGCCTTTCGCCGTTGTCGATGCATCCACGTCGAAAAAGGTTCGGGCTGTCCTTCGCGCCAAGCTTGGATGTTGGAAGTTTTGCCTTGATTTTTCTTTTTGTCTTTCTTGTGCTTCTTCTTCTCTTTCTTCGTTTTCTTATCATTTTTGTTTTTCCTAGCCTTTTTCTTGTCATTTTTCTTCTTCTTCTTCTTCTTTTTGTCAGCCTGCGAGCTGCTGCTGCTGCTACTCGAACTGCTGCTGCTGCTGCTGCTCGACTCATCATCATCTTCGCTCGAACTAGAAATACTATGCGAGCTACTGCTGCTGCTGCTAGAGCTGTCATCATCGGACGGCGGCCCGTCCTTTTCTTTTCCCTTTTTACTATTTTTCTTTTTCTTATTCCCCCGAGCATTTTTGCGATTTCTGTCGCCGTCGTCTTTTTCTTTCCCGCCGGAGTGCGAGTTTTTCTTGCCATCTCCGGCTCCCTGTTGGTGCTGTCCCGCATCGGTAGGCTGGTGCTTCCCCGGACTATTTTGCTGGTAAAAAAAAAAATGCATGCATCCACCCGGATTCTGCGCTTGAGTTAAATCGTGCCCGACCTGGAAACTATCTACTTGCGTCGCCATCTGGAATCAGCGTCAGACTTTTGTTCCCCAGCATCAAACTTGCATTCACCGATACTAGCACCATGCTCCAAAGTTCCCCGATGATCTTGAGCCTGGTGCTGGGGGGTGGAAAATAAATTTCGCCGCTGTTGCAGCATCGAATTCGGCGCCTGTGGCACTGCTGCTGCTGTTCTTGTCCCGAAGTCGATGCGGTAGCACTTTCCGTCGGACCCAAGAGCGAAGGAGTGCTGGACAGGTTGAGCTTCAGTTATCGGCTGTTCCGGGTCCACCAGCGATAGACTATTTTTCTGCTCCGAAACCTGTTGCGGTTGCAACTGCTGCTGTTGCTGCGTATCAGGAGCAGTCGCAGTGGTTACGTATGTAGTTGCAATTGCTGCTGCTGGTGCAGCAGTAGTTGAAGTTGTTGCTGCTGGTGCAGTAATCGTCGAAGTTGTTGCTGCTGGGGCGGTTAGAGTCGAAGTTGTTGCTGCTGGTACTGCTTTTGCAACTGTTCCCGGTGGTGTTGTGCTGACGCCGGTTGCCAGTGCTGTGGTGCCCGCGGGTGCTGCTGCTGTCGTGGCGTCAGCACCGGACTCCGTGTGGTCAGGATTTATTTTATAATTCCCGTCCGCGCCCAGGATATACTTTAACCGATGTTCTTCGAACGAAAATTGTTGGTCCATCCTCGCGGCTATTTCCTCCATTTTTCGTTTTTCTTCTTCTTGTTTTTGTTTCTGCCGCTGCTGTTCCGCCGCACGCCTTGCTTCTGCCTCCGCTGCCTTCCTCTCTGCCTCTTGTTGCTCTGCTTCCTCTCTTTCCCGGGTCCTCCTCGCTTCTTCCCGGGCCTGGTGTTCCAGGTGTTCACGCAACTCAGCGGCGTCGCGTTGCTGTTTCTCCTTTCTCTGTTTTTCTGCCGCTGCTGCTCGCGCGCGCTCTGCTGCAGCGGCTTCACGCTGCTGCTTCTGCTCGTGCTCTTCTCTGGCCGCTTGTCGCGCTAATTCTTGGCGGTCTTGTTCCGCGACCTGCCGGCGCCGCTCTGCTTCTTCTCCCGCGGCTGTACGTTCCCAGGAATACTCGCACTGCTCATCATCCGGATTGTCATCCGGATTGGCCAGGGGTGTAGGCGCGCCGGGATCGTTGGACCAACCCGCCGGGGATGATGTTTTTGCGGTCAAGCAATGCGCGAGCATTTTTGGCCAATAGAGTTTGAATGTGTATTGCGCGAGGGCGAAGACGCGATAATTATTTCTGTGTTGCGCGAGAGCGAAGAAACGAAAATGATTTTTCAAAAAAAAAAAAGTCCCGTCGTGTGAATGCGATAGGAAAGACAAAAAAAGAATGTAGCTTTTTCAGCGCGTAAAACTGGATATCTCGGCAATAGGCCAGTCGGAGGGGTTTGGTAGTGTGTGCGCCCGTTTTCTGGCTGCTAGGCGCGTCTCAGCTAGAAAGGAACTAGCGTCGCTAGTTTTTAAGCGTAAACGGCAAGGACAGATTTTTCGTAGTTCTTGTAGCTTTTTCTCGTTCAAAATGCTCGACGTGAAGACAGAAATCGACAATTTTTAAGCGTAAACGGTCGCCAAAGCTGAAAAAAATTCTAAACCCTGCCGCCGTTGTCTTGCGGCGGTTCAAGTAAAAAAAAATAAAAATAAGAGCTGTTTTCCCGCGTCAAGATATGGTAATTATTTTTTAAAATTAAAATGCCAAGTAACAGCGATCGGCTGCAAAAAAAAAATTGCATGGAAAGACTTAGGTCGTGCGCGTGCAGGTAATTTGAAAAGTATTTATGTCGGTAGCAATGTACATGTGTAATTTGAGATAAGTGCAGTTCTTTTCTCGGTTGATATGTGGACAGTTGGCCTCTATGCATCTAAATGCTTCGTGTTCGTAGTACGATCGTGTTTGTGCAAAAAAAAATGTTATCCGGAGCGAAAGCCAGGAAGTAATAAGTTGTATGCAAAAAAAAACATTTCGTCTATAATGCAGGTTTTGGTGTCTGGAAGTTTAAAAGTCTACGACACAGCTCCAGCAAAAATATATGGGAAAAGTTGCCTTTTGTAATGCGGGTTTGTCGTTTATTGCAGAAGTTTTGGTGCAAATGTGTTGAAATTGACGTACTCACGCTGAAGTTCCGAGCTAAAAAAATAAACGTCGTTAATATGCATCAGAGATTTGCTCGCTATAGTTTAAAATCCTTACAAATATTCCACGTTTTTTTGCTAAGTTACTTACGACGTGCTAAGCAAATAGATAAAAAATGCCTTGCGCTTAAAAAATTATTTTTCGCTAGTGGAAACGGTTTGGGCTCATAACTCTGTGGTTAATCCCGAACCAAAGCAAACGAATGCTGAACACTAAATACCACCAGAATGTAATGCAAATGTAGCAGAGTATTTATGTTCTTCTTACAATTGGAAATTAGTAGTTTGGCATGCAAATTGTATGACTCAAGGCCTGTGGAGTGCATTGGGTCCATGGGAATTCCATTCGTCAGCATCTTCATAGAATTTGTAATGCTGTTTACGATTTCATGCTTGGATTTGTAATGCTATTTCTCTCTTTGTGTTCTTGTTTTGTTGTTGTGTTGAGATCTTTATAGCATTGAGATTTTATCATTCTGGAGCGAGTGTTGAGCATTTTATCGTTGGAACATTAGCATACGCTGGCAACTCGGCACGGAATACCCTCAGTTCGCTGACCTGCCCACATCGTTTCTTCGACACACCATCAGCAATCCCCCCGGGCCACTCGAGGATCACGTACTGGCCGACCTTGCCGTTACAATTGATGGTAGCCGTGCCAAACTCGGGGTGGTCATCCTCCTGGGTGAAGCGGGCGAGTCCCTCTCCTCCGGCGCCGTACTGGACGAGCTCGCAGGTCTCCTCCGCCGTGGTCGGACACTCCTCTCCGGCGGCCTTACCCTTGCACCACCCGTCTTGCCAGTTTGGGGTGTTTTGGACCTCGCAGGTGTCGGTGTTCACGCGTTCTCTAGACGAAACCGCTACCCGGAACCCTTTGTCCGCAGAGCCGGTTGCCCTGTCCTTACCACCTTCGTACTGGATAGCAGCAACATGCCAGGACACCGTCTCGAAAAAATTTCTGCGGATTGTAGTAATGTCGCTTGTTTTGAATGTGTATCGGACCTCCGACACGGCCATTGCCTTACCCAAATCGATCTGCACCCACGGACACACCTGCGCGGTTCCGCGGTTGTTCGCATCGCTGGCCGTGGCAAAATTGTTGCTCAGTGTGTTATCAATAAACAGTCCCGGGCTGTACCAAAGCCCTCCGTCGTCGGGATTTCCAAAATAGCTCGATGCCGTGACGCTGCCCGGCGCGTCCGTGGGCGTGATGTCCACCTCGTCTGCAGACGCGCCTTGCTTATGCTTGGCTTTGCTCTCGCCGTTCTCGTTGAGGGCCTGGCCCGCCCGCTGGACCAACGTCAGGCGGTTCCGCTCGCTCGCCATCAAATTTGGTGCCCGCTTGGCCGTACGACTGGAGTGGGGAGCGTGCAGCCGCGCATCTTGTACACCTTCAAGAAGACCGGCGGCGGGTTTCTCCTTCGCAGCGGTGCTGTTCTTCTGCAGGAGGGGGGCCTCAGCTTGGTGGAGAGCCTGCTCCGCTCGCTGGACAAACGTCACGCGGTTCCGCTCGGTCGTCATCAACTGTTGTGCCCGCTTCACCGTACGGCTGGAGTGCTGGTGCAGCGCATCTTGCACACCTTCAAGACCGGCGGGTTTCTCCTTCGCAGCCGTGCTGTTCTTCTGCAGGCGGGGGATCATGATCATCTCGGCTTGGTGGAGAGCCTGCTTTTCATCATCTTTGCCACGACCCTGAAGATGATGTACTGGGCGGGTGGAAATTTCTAGTAATTCTTCATCCGCAGCAGGAGTTTTGCTTTCGCTATTAAGTTTGTTCTCTCGCCGCATGGTCGTCGGCGCACTCTGGACGACAGCATGTTCTTGCTCGTGCTGACGACGGGTCCCCTTCGCGCCGGCCAGCTGATGGCGGTGCAGTGTTGGTTCGACTTGTCGTGATTGTTTAACATCACCGAAAAATTCGTTGTTCTTACTGTGTCGCCCGTCGTCGCTGGCCAGCTGCTGTCCTCCGATGTTTTGATGGTGCGATGTAGTTCCCTCGTCGTGTTCTTCCTCATGATCATGTCCTGGCGTAGAAGCGGCCGCATCGACCCGTGGTACGACCGCGGCCTGCTTTTTGCTGATGGTTTTCTTCGTCGTCTTCTTGTGTCTGTGTGACGTCTTGGAAGCAGGTACCGTACTGCTCTTTCCAGGCTGTGGTCCAGGCGTTTGTTTTGAAGAGGAGGCGTCGCTCGTCGTTGTCGTTTCTACACCGGCGTCGGCCACGATTTCTAGTGTGGATGTTTGATGCAAGTGATGTCCACCGTGTAGTTGCTGATGACGATGGTCTTCAAGACGCTCCACCGCTGCCGCCAGCCCTTCGAAAGGAGAACGCAGGTGAAGTAAGAAACAGAGCAGCAGCTGTGTTACCACTGCCAGGCCGGGAAAATTGTTCCCGGTGTTGTTCCCCCGCATCTTTCGTTGTTATCGAAACATGAACATTTTTCTAGGCAGTTTTCATGAGATCCTGTTCTAAGAAATCACAATTCCGCTTCGTTCTCTACTTTTTGTACGCGCTTCATCATTGTTTTTCTCCAGCAGGGGGCACGGATAAATATTTATCATTGCGCACGCATTTTTTGTATTCGGAGTGTTCTATACCATCGGAAACACAATAAAGTCAAACACCAATTATACGACGCGCATAAAGTGGTTCAATTTTGCGTCTCGTAGGCTGTACTGCAGAAGCGCGGAAAACCACTGAGAATTGATGGGCGCACCAAATGCATGGGACTGCTGGCAGACGTAGAACGGGGACCACCTATGGTTTGAGAGTACTATCAGTGGCACGAACGCGACAAGGTTCTTGCAGGCGGCCATCACCACTCGTCTCTCGTCACAATTCTTCCCCGTTCCTGGTATTGAGACAACACTACACAAGCAGAAGCACGTACAGATTTAGCGTCTGCAACATTTATTTTACGCTCCAACCTCTCACCAAGCCGCTCCGTGTTTTTCGTTATTCATCAGAATAGCTCTGCCCGTCGCGACTACTCCATCACTCCCATGTTTTACGAATCTTACGAAGTCGACATTTCTGTGATAGAGCGAGGACCTGAAAACAGCTACAGCTGAACAAGAAACGATAGTCAAAGAAACGTTGAATCATGATCCTTTTTTTCGTTATTTTGATGTCGTTTTTTTTCCCAACTCATCTTATTTTTTTATCTTTTGTAAAAGTACTTACAAGTAGCGTTCGCTTCATTGTTTTTCTCTTGGCAGAGGGCTGCACGGATATTCATCATTGGTGCGCACGCATTTCGACATTCGGATTCTATATTCTCGTCTCGGAAACCGAAACACATCAAACGCCAATGGATACGATGCGCATGAAGTGGCTCAATTTTGCGTCTGCTGGGCTGTACTGCAGTGAGCAGAAGGGCGGATAACTTCTGATGGGCGCCGCGCCGAATGCACGGGACAACGGTAATGATGCTTGCTGACGCAGCACGGGAACCACCCGGGGTTTGAGAGTACTGCCAGTACTACCACGAACACGAAGACGTTGCAGGAGGCCATCATCGCCATTCATCTCGTGCTGTCACAAGAAATCGCCCATGCCCATGCAGTGAACGGCGATGGAAAGGACGAACGGGAGCACTTCTTCTTGTTCAGAAATATGCGGCGTCGAGCCCGCCGCGATTATCGCTCCTTCTCAGAAGAAGTAAGTATCAGCCAAACAAGCCCGCGAAGAAACCTTCCTCCTCCTCGGGGCCTGCTCCACCGTCTTCTTGGCCGTCTCTGTCGTGCGTAGCCGTAGCCGTAGCGGTGTGGTTGCCATTAGTTGTGTTTTCTGGATTCTTGGAATCCTCGTCCTCGTCAGCTGGGGAAAACAAGTTCTGAAAAAAGTTCTGGAAGTCTTTGGCGGCGCCCTCCTCGTCCGCGCCGACCTTTGCTCCGCTGGCCTCTTTGGCGGGCTCGTCGGAGTTATCCCAGACAAAAAACTGGCATATCATGCTTCTTGTTTGTAGCGGTACTAAAGGTAGGAGGTCAAAGATAAATGAGCATGGAATGAATGAGTGATGATGTAGGGACGTCTTTGGAGTCCGACAAACCTCGTCAGCTGAGCGCCTTCTCCAACCGCAACTGGTGAAAGAGAGAACTTGAACTACATGAATACAAAAAAGCGCTTCATGCTTTGCACGTCTGCAGCAGCATGCTATGGCTATGGGCCTGCGGCCCACGGAAAATTTTTCTCTGTATTTATTCTAATTCTCGCATGTTTCAAATAAATGGGACATCATGCTAGTAACTTTTTTCTGTGGGATAGGAGTGCTTTATCTCGCGCAGCGGCACCTCCGACGTTTTGATGCCCTCGTACGGTACTGGCTGGTCATCGCTCGAGTCGGATCCTGAGCAAAACTGCCTCCTTGTCATGCTCCTCGACGAGCACATTTGCATTTGTCGTGCCAAATCGATCAGAACTACTACAGACCGCCCTTCATCATGCGCAGAAAACAATGACTTGTCGTGTGTGCTTGAAATATTTTGAGCGGGCGCAAATTGATTGCTCTGTCGCACTAGTACTGTGCAACCCCGCTGCAATCTACTTACCAGGGCTTGCTGTTTCTGCTCTCTTGCTGCTTGATTTTATTCTCTATACAAGACGTAATGTTATGCAAATCGTAATTCTATATTGATCTCACACAAAATGGCACTTTGCAAGAATAATGACCAGGAGGTGGGATTTTTATGAAGATAAATCGGAAGCCTCTCGGCCTCGGTTAATCACGACCGGAAGGTGAGCATGGGCCGGCGTCGCCGAGTCTTCCCTTCTCTTTTTCTGCGGAAGCGGTTTGGTCGTTTCTTTAGCTTGAATTGCCGGCGCGTCTGGTGGTGGTAGTCCGGCGTCAGAATCATCGTCATCGTCCGAAAACATCGGACGAAAGTCAATTTTTCCTGTCTCGGCAGTCTGCTTTCGCTCCACCTTCTTGTCTTCTTCCGACTCTTCGAGTCCAAATACTGAGGCCCAGCTCAGGTTTTGCTCTGTTTTTATTTTATCTTTTGCTGATCACATCATCAAAACTTCCAAGCGGTCTAGCTGCCAGACCAATGACCAATCGCTGCGCGGATGATGAAGAATAAAAAGATCTCTCTACGTTGCTGCCCTCTGGCATTTCCTCTAGTATAGAGCTCTGGTAGCTTACGTTTATCAAGAGCGCGACAGTCACAGTCTACAAGAGAAATAGGTACCACTACTTACCTTCTTCCATTTTTTTCCGGATATCCGCGTCTTCTTGCATTGCACGATCGACCCCATGGGAAGAAAGGCGGGCTTTTACAGCGTCATCTTCTTCCTCCTCTGCGCCCGTGCTAAACAACCACTCGGACGGATCGGCGGTGCTCGTGCTGCTGTTCCACCAGCTGGAGCCATCGCTCGGGGCACACGGGTAATACACTAGAAGGAGATCAATAACGCACGCATTGAACACGGACCCAATTACAAACCTGAGTTTAGAGCAGGAGATGTGCATTGTCACTCTCTCTGCTTCTGGCTTGTGCTGCCATGATTTCGGAACAATTCAATATGCAATTACTTATAGTGCACCTTTGTGACCACTGTGAAGTACTAGAAAATAAGGAAGAAGAAATGCAGGAGTACAGGAATCCCCTGCTAAATTGGTCGTGGTAAATCTTTCCAGGTTGGCCCGGATCCTGGACTTTGTCCGGGACAGTGAGCATGTTGGCGGCCGCGAGGCACAAGAAAGCGGCTTTGGTTTGAAATAGTGCGCCGGAAATATGGTAAGGAAAAATCCGCCTCCCCCGTTCTCAAACGGAGATTTGCATCTGTCTAGCATGGTTTGTGATTCCTTACAAGTCGAGTTGTCGTGCTGACAGGGAGGGGATGCTGGCTGTAGTGCTGGCTGGTGCAAAAGTAAAGCCTTGCGTCTTGTTCAAAACTGTAAGAAGCAACCCAGCAACTGTACTACCAGGGATAGTGCGATAATTTGCCTGCGAACGAGGCCGCAAGTGTGCTTCTTTCTTGCCGTCTATTAGCAATCATGCAATTTGTCGTGTACACAAATCGACAATGAGAAGTCTCTTTTTTTGCTTATGGTGAGGAGAGATTTTTCCGCACAATAAGAAAACGTGAGCTTTGCTTTCAGGCCCCAGGAAAGCCAACTCCACGCGCCCTGAAAGTGAAACGATATTTCAAATGATGGTTTGGAAGTAGTAATAACAAAATTGAGCAGTAATTCATCATCGAAGCGTTTTCTACTTTTGTTCCAAAATTCAGTAGATTCTTACCGTCGCAGCACTAATGAGCTGCTCTCCGCAGGTCAACAGCACGATACAAATTCCGCTACACAGGGCGCCACCTAGGACGCCGATGAGCGCTGCCGCCCGCCACAAGCCGTTTACGTGCGCCCGGTCGTTAAATGATTCCTCGATCCAGGGCACTTCTTTGGTGTTCGGCGGTGGTTCTCCCGGCCGGGAGTACCAAGGGTAATATCCGGCAGCGATGAAGACGCAGAAATTCACAATATTGAACAGCAGCGTGATATACCAAATTCGAGTTTGCGTCAGACACCCCATGCTGACAACCTCTGTGGTTTATCCGCCGGATGCAGTGCGGAAGCGGTGGTCAAGCAAGGTCCACACGAGTGCTGCGGCGCTTCTCGTACTCGTGCCAATGGGGCAAGTGGAACTGCCAGCACGAAGCCCTGCGGCAAAAATCCTTCGCCTTTTCTTTCTTGCGTAGTTCGCACGTTCTTTGCGCTGTTCAGACCTTGCCGCACTGGGTCAGGAGGATAATCATGCACGTCGTAAGGCGTCAGCCTCAGCGACGACGTGGAGCCGAAGAATCCTTGAGAAGGTGTTGATGGAGAACCTGGATGGCGGTCAGACTGTTGCAGAGATGAATGTGTATTCAGATGTTTTTCTACTTACACCTTCTCCGAAAGCATCTGATAAAAATCATCCACCTTTTCCAGCTGGAAAAGTCTGATAAATAATATCCAGCATCCTACGATGCTGGATATTATCCCGTTTTCATCGTCGTTTTTTACTATACGATATATGAATATCAGATGTTTTTCTACGTTTTCTATCACAGGGGTTGGCTTACGCTTCTGGACGAGGTAATGGAGCGCAGTTCTCGCATTCGTCATCGCAGTGACGGCGTTAGCAACAGCCAGGCTGTTGTCCTTTCTTGTGTTTTTTTTTCTTCAGACTTGCTTCAAAAAATGTTTTTGATTTATATTGTTTGCGAGCGGTTTGCTGTATCTGTAAGCCACAAGCTCTACATGATCGCTTCTGTACAAAGTCCAGTAGTAGTAAATCCGTTGAAGACGATGCTCGATATTTCTGTCTAAAAACATAAACATGCGACTTTTCATATCATCAAGCGAAGCGCGCAATCGGCTGCGCACGGCCCCACTGTTTGTGATCTACAACTCTGCTTGGTATGCATTGATCGGGTAGCGCAACATCTCGACCAAGGGCAGGGGTGTTATATATCCGGCGAGATTGCTGCGACCTCTGTAAAGCTAGAGGAATACCATGCGGAACAAAAAGAGCAACGTGCGGCCGGGGATGACGCGGCCGGGCGACTTATTCCCAGTAAGAACTACGTCCCCGCCTTGCAGATAGTACTACACTATGCAGAGGAAAACTACTACACTATGCTACGCAAATCGACGATAATGCTTAGCCGTTACGCATGACACCAGGCTTGGGCTCCCAGTGTAGTCGTGGTTCGCTAGTGCAGCCACATCGCAAATCGATCACGTTATCTTGATTCTGGCTTGACGTCAAAGTCCAAAACGGCACTAGATTACTATGCTCCTGGTGGAGCTGCACATGAGAAACGTCTGGGGCATGCAAATCTGGGGAGGGAAAGTTACTAACGGTAACGCTTGCCCGGAAAATTGGGAGGTTGGGTTGAAAGACCTAGTTCCCACTGATAATGCTGATAGAAGTGTGCTACGCTTTTGGTTGCAAAGGGGGAGGCAAAGTGTGGTGCGCTTGTGTTTCTCGTGACAAACCTGGGGCGGGGACGCTTTTACCGACGATGCGACTGGTACTGCCCCTACTGTGGAGACTACCAGTTCGGGAAAAACCGGTTTTGCCGCATGTGCGCCATGGAGAAGCCGGTGAGCCTCTGGCCGCTCTTGGAACTGGACACGAACCTGTTGGAGGACGCCGCTTGCTGCGTCTCTACGTGCACGTTGCCACCCGTCGCTGGAAAAGCTGGATGATTTTTATCAGATGCTTTCGGAGAAGAATGCATTTTCAAGTGCCGGCGCTATGATGTTCATCCACTGCATCAACTGCGGGAACTCATCTGCACCTATCCTGAGTAAAAACGTACCCACACCAGAGTTGTAATGCAGATTTGCAAAACCAGGAAGACTTGTAATGCGCATCCCCATGAGAGCCATTTCCAATTGTGTTTTGGAACTTGTAATGCTGTAAACAGGATAAGCAGATAAGTTTGTAATGCGGTTTCCCTTGCTAAACTGCATTACAATACAGCCTGCAATTTGTCATGCGTGGCTCCCAAAACTTCATCAAGGTTTGTGTTGCAAAATCCCCATCTTGACTCTGGTGTGGGTACTTTTTTACTCAGCATAGCACCACCGAGAAGCTGAGCAGGTCCCCCATCATGCTCCTGCAATCCATTTTTACTCGCCCCATGTGCTTGCTGAGCTCGTCCTGCCACCTGTCCAGATAACAACTGCGGGACAATCCCTCTCGTACTGCTGAAACTTGGCTTCGCCTGGATCCACGAGGATTCTTGTTGCGTGGTTGGTTCCTCAGATGTTAGGTTGATCTTGTTTTGCTGGGTCCTCGTCGTAGCTGTACCAGATCTAGCGGCTCCTCGTTCTCCGGTAATTCGTGATCCTTGGTGAAGCTACATTGAGATTGAGACGATCGATCTTCGCATCATGATCATGTCGTGGGCCTACGAATAAAACAGGGATGACAATAAACTTCATGCGAAATAATTAGTCGGAGCAGCACTGACGAGGACGACACACTATTCAGAATAAAATACCAAAATCCGGCCTAAAGTTGTCGCTTTCCTGTACGTCGAAAACCAATCCGCAGACTCCTATGTACATGCGGTTCTTGTCCCCGTCGTAGTCCCTTAATGTCTGACTATCAAATGCAAAAGTGTCTGGGTCTGGAAGAATGCAGACTTGTCATGCATATTTTCCATGCCCCATGAGGTCTGGAATGCAGGACCTAGCATGACGGATTCTACGAAGTCCCTATCATGCTGAACCTGCAATGAGAAACTCCCGCTCATGTTGGTCAAAAAAGGAAAACTTTTGGTGATCACGCAACACAGATTTTTGTATAACCCACAGGACGCATCACAAGTTCCATCCTCCGAGACGCAGACATTTTTGCATTTGATACTGAAACGTCCATTCGTGATTCGGATCCCTGGACCCCTCTTCCGGCACCGGAAACTGCTTTTTCGGTGGCCTGTATCCAAGAAAAAAACTGTGTTAGTGCACCTATCTTTGGTCGACAGCATCACAAATTTGCTCTACAAGACAGAGAAAACCTGTAATGCGTGGCTTGTAAGGGAATTGTGTCGCTGGAAAAGGTGGGTGATTTTTATCAGATGCTTTCGGAGAAGACTATTATGGATGCTTTCGGAGCCGGGTTATCGGACGCACTACCCAGATGAAATAAAGAACAATAAATCTGAAGACGGTGGTGGTGGTCAGCCTGGACTTGAACAACAAGGTTCCTCCTCTCCTCGTGCTCTCACAACTACACAGATGGGTTTCACCACGGCGGAAAATCCGCTCGGGCAGTATACGTACAGCACCCGGCGATGGATCACGCGGTCGAACCCGATCGCGAACAGCATGAATTTCCCCCGAGTCACCTACATCAGCAACAACATCGAGATCACGAACAACATGAAGCTCCAGTACTTGTTAATGGCGTATGGGAATTCCCTGAACCCGCTAGCGAACTTCTTCAACACGCCACGAACCGGTCCGCCGATCGACTGGCCGCGAGTGGGGGAGCGAGACGGAGACGGGAACCTGTTGACAACCGAAACGGCGGTTGTCGCCGGCCCCGGGCAAGTTCTGCTCGCGACGGCGGGGCCACCAACCCTTTCCGGTCCGAGCTTGGTGGTGTTTGAGTCGAATTCCGATGATGGAAGCACGACGTTACCCCCGACAACGACCACGACCACCACCACAACGTTGGACTTCGCTTATATCGGGGTCACCGCGCAAGACCGGACGTCGATTATTTTGCACAGCAATCCCGATTTACTTTTCATGAACATTGGCGGGAATGTCCGGGGTGAGGTTCACATCAGGGAAAACCCGGCGCTCCGCTCCATGTCGATGGACATGATGAACTCCATCCGGATATCCTGTGTGAAAACGTTCCCACCCCAGAGTCAAGATGGGGATCTCGCAACACAAATCCAGAAGTTTTGGCTGTAGCGCATGACAAGTTGCCGTCTGTAGTGTAGTGCAGGTTAGCAAGGTCATCCGCATTACAAACCCAGCTGCTCATCCTGTGTACAGCATCACAGATTTCAAAACACGATCGAAAACGCCTTTCATGGGGATGCGCATCACAAGTTTGCTTGTCGTTGCCAATCTGCATGACAACTACGGGTTGGGGACGTTTTTCCTCAGGATACCGTATGACGGTGTTCATCCACGACAACCCGGTACTGTCGCTGGAAAAGCTGGATGATTTTTATCAGATGCTTTCGGAGAAGAATGCATTTTCAAGTGCCGGCGCTATGATGTTCATCCACTGCATCAACTGCGGGAACTCATCTGCACCTATCCTGAGTAAAAACGTACCCACACCAGAGTTGTAATGCAGATTTGCAAAACCAGGAAGACTTGTAATGCGCATCCCCATGAGAGCCATTTCCAATTGTGTTTTGGAACTTGTAATGCTGTAAACAGGATAAGCAGATAAGTTTGATGTAATGCGGTTTCCCTTGCTAAACTGCATTACAATACAGCCTGCAATTTGTCATGCGTGGCTCCCAAAACTTCATCAAGGTTTGTGTTGCAAAATCCCCATCTTGACTCTGGTGTGGGTACTTTTTTACTCAGCATAGCACCACCGAGAAGCTGAGCAGGTCCCCCATCATGCTCCTGCAATCCATTTTTACTCGCCCCATGTGCTTGCTGAGCTCGTCCTGCCACCTGTCCAGATAACAACTGCGGGACAATCCCTCTCGTACTGCTGAAACTTGGCTTCGCCTGGATCCACGAGGATTCTTGTTGCGTGGTTGGTTCCTCAGATGTTAGGTTGATCTTGTTTTGCTGGGTCCTCGTCGTAGCTGTACCAGATCTAGCGGCTCCTCGTTCTCCGGTAATTCGTGATCCTTGGTGAAGCTACATTGAGATTGAGACGATCGATCTTCGCATCATGATCATGTCGTGGGCCTACGAATAAAACAGGGATGACAATAAACTTCATGCGAAATAATTAGTCGGAGCAGCACTGACGAGGACGACACACTATTCAGAATAAAATACCAAAATCCGGCCTAAAGTTGTCGCTTTCCTGTACGTCGAAAACCAATCCGCAGACTCCTATGTACATGCGGTTCTTGTCCCCGTCGTAGTCCCTTAATGTCTGACTATCAAATGCAAAAGTGTCTGGGTCTGGAAGAATGCAGACTTGTCATGCATATTTTCCATGCCCCATGAGGTCTGGAATGCAGGACCTAGCATGACGGATTCTACGAAGTCCCTATCATGCTGAACCTGCAATGAGAAACTCCCGCTCATGTTGGTCAAAAAAGGAAAACTTTTGGTGATCACGCAACACAGATTTTTGTATAACCCACAGGACGCATCACAAGTTCCATCCTCCGAGACGCAGACATTTTTGCATTTGATACTGAAACGTCCATTCGTGATTCGGATCCCTGGACCCCTCTTCCGGCACCGGAAACTGCTTTTTCGGTGGCCTGTATCCAAGAAAAAAACTGTGTTAGTGCACCTATCTTTGGTCGACAGCATCACAAATTTGCTCTACAAGACAGAGAAAACCTGTAATGCGTGGCATGTAAGGGAATTGTGTCGCTGGAAAAGCTGGATGATTTTTATCAGATGCTTTCGGAGAAGAATGCATTTTCATCAAGCTGCCGACCCCGCCCGCCTCGGGCCTCCTCCTCCGCCCCGGCGCAGCAGCACCGGGGAAGCGCGGCACTGCCGATTTTAGATCTTTGATATTGTATTTTCGATGCTTAGCAGGTAAAAGTAAAACTTCTACAGTGCTTGTGTGGGGCGGGGCCTCATCGTCTTCTGGGACAAAATAAATATCAGTTGTCGTGGTCCACGCGTGATCTCCTCCTGAAATCTTATGCGATTCGTCGGCTCACACTCTTGTTCTTCTGCGATGTGGATTTCGAGTCGTGGCGACCATACGAAACTACAAGCACAAATTACATACAATACAGACGACGACTCCGTTACGTTTGCGCGGACTCTCGTGTTCACCAATGATTTCTACTGGAACTTCATATTCCAACTCCAGGACACGTACAATGGTGCGCTATGAGTTGTATATTAAGGACACGAACGGGAACGAGAATGACGGAGGACACCAGTTGACGAAAACGACCAGCGACTAACAAGAACATATGAGGTACTTCCTCGTATTACTGCCCGATACATGCAGTATTTTTGCGCTGCCCTAAATTGCAAGGGGGACATTTTTCTTGGCCAGAAACAATAAAATCATAGAAAAAAGTACAGCTGCTCGTCAGAAAGAGCAAGCCTTTGCCTCATTCTGCTTGTCGGAAAAGAAAAAGAAAGCGATTACATCATTCACAGTTCGTCGTTCAGAATGCTATCGAAGACGTAGTCCAAAACCGGTTGCGCCTTTCCCTCTTCCAGGTACGCAGCCACCGCCTGGAACTCGACGCCGCTCTCGTTTTCGCCCCGGGCAATGCGGATGTTCCCGTTTTCGCCCCAAGAGCTGCCCCAGCTGTTCTGGATGGTCCAAAACGGCTGGGGGCGCGCGGGCTTCTTCGCGAGAGCCGTTTCCTTGCTGGCGGGCTCTTCGCCCCAGCCGATTAGCAGCACCGCATGATCCACCTTCACCCAGGGCTGGTCGGTCTTGATTGGCTGCGACTTGTACACCCCTGACCGGTAGTACATGAAGTCCATTCCCGGCTCGAGCGCCACAGCCAAGGGACCAAATTTGTACAGGTCTTGCATCATACCGACGACGTTGCAGTTCCCATAATAACCACCGTATGCGCTGCAAAAGTATCGCACTAGGGACAAAAAAAATTCGTTATTACAATGAAAGAATAGAGCGGCCGCGTTAGTACGAGTTGGAAACTCAGTTTCCAACAAAAAGTCCGAAGTGTGTAATGCTGATGCCCCTGCTAAGCGACCAATTCTAGTTCTTTCATGCTGTGCTGGAATACCTGCGAGCACGATACTTCTGCAGAGGATACCCCGATGTAGTTCCAGTGGTGCACCTTGGCGACCTGGTGGCTTTCCTCGGCCTTCTTCACGCATTGGGAAAATTTTGAATTTTTGCGTTCGCTGTCGCTTCGGCGCCGCGTCGACCCCGCCTTGGAGTTTTTCTTTGTCGACATGAGCTGCAGAACGGAGGGGGCTCTGCGGTGACTCGCCTTTCTTAACGTGTTGGTATCGAGAGCAGTGCTGGAGGACGCGGTGTTCTTGGGCGTCACATCCAGCAGAGAATTTTCCTCGAACATTCGCTTGCACGTGATTGTGTCCGAGGTGAAGTACGGCCCGGCGCATTCTTTCGGGATCAAGCCGACGTGCTTGGACCACATGGAAACCAGCGAGGGATAGCCGCCTTGGCAGCCCTGGTTCAGGTCCGAGCAATACAGCGGAAAATTGATGCTAAAGCCCGGCAGTTTGGCGTTTTTCTGTTGCACGCGGTACCGAGCGGAAAGCATGTGCACGGACGACACTGCGTAGCAAGACCCACAATCCGCTCGAATATTGTATGAAAATCTTGAGTCGGGGGGGACTAATTCGCTTTTATATTCCTATTGCATGATATTCAAATTCACGGACCACTACATATTGATTTGATAATTCTCATCATTTTCTTTTGATATTGATCTTGATGCGATTTGTGCCTCTCGCTTTCCTGGGTGGCGGGTGTTGCACATATTACAGGCACGCATCATCAAAATTCACGAGCTCCACTTCTGCTTCGGCAAGAAAAGTTTACTAAATCATGCACGCCTCGTCCTTGTGGTCGTTGAACGTTGTTCCACTTCAAACACCAAACAATTCAACTTCGTCGCAACAAGTAATGAGAGCGATATTCATCGCATTCACAGCTTCAACAGTCAAATCTCGTTTTAACGATTTTCGTTCCCTGATCGACTCAAAGGCATTCCGTCGTATTGATCCAGAATCGGTTCCAAGTAGTTTTCCCCATCGACGTTGTCCCAACTGTGATTCGACGGCAAGTCCTCGAGAATCTTCTGCGAGGCGTCTTCTTGCTCCGGCCCCTGGTCCTTCTGCAACGTTGCCGCTACACTTTTTCCCTTGGCCTTGGCCAGCTTCGTAGACGGGGTAGCAGTAGCACTCACACTTGCTTTATCCAGGAAAAAACACCCATCCCCATCCATTTTTTGTATGACAAATAGTGGATTTTATCTTTATGCATGTTTTGCATGACAAATTGGATGGGGATGGGTGTTTTTTCCTGGATATGCTTGATGTTGTTCGCTGGTAGGTTTATTCCGGCCGCGTTTCTGCAGTTGGCGCATTTTCTGCTGCAGAAATTCGTCGGAATATTTGGTCGCGGTCCAGGTAGTTTGCTGCGCGTTGATGCTGGACACGACTTCTGAGTGGTCTACCTTCTCCGCCCGGAAATCGTCCTCGAAGCGAACAGTCTGGACCTGGTCCTCTTCCGCGGTCTGCTTCTTGGCCGCCAGAAAACCCGTCGTGGCTTTTTTTGATTTTGCAGTTGCCGATTTATAATTCCGGCTGTTGCGCATGGCCCGCTTTTTTTCCTCCAACAAGGAGAGATGGTAAAACGCCAGATTCTGTTGCGCTGCATTCGCCTTCTCAGCCTTGAAACAACCGAACAAGCCGGTCGCAGTCTCGCGATACCTTAAGTAGAAGGTGAAGAACCCTTTTCAAGGATAGTAGTTCTCCCGTAGGTGCCGAGGCGTCGTAGATGATGAAAATGCAATGATGTGCTAGTCCATGGACGATAAAGATACTTCGTACATGAAGCTAAAGATACTTCGTACAACAATCTATCTGAAAATAGATCTGACTTTTACCAGCCGACCTCCGATCTCCCACAGAAGGAACGAAAATATTTCTTCCCGTGCACACTGGGCTTGGTGGGTTTCTCAAAGTGCGAAAAGGTGAAGAACTCGTAGTCCTTGCTCTGCACCGAGATACCCTCGTCGTAGATCATGGTCCACTTGCCGGTCTTGTCCGCGCCCACACGGGCCACCAGGGGATTTTCCAGTTTAATATCCAGCGTCTTTGTTTCCGAGTCTTTGAAGAACTTCGTCAAATCGGGCTGCTTGCTGTCGACATCCGGAGTCGCGTGACCACAGGTGGAGCGAGTCTTGCTGGCCGGTCCCAAGTGGAATTTCCAGTTGCCCGCAACCTGTGGGCGGATGCAATGCACCGGCAGATCTGCGCGGACAACTGAAACTTTAGATGACGACCAAAGGAGCAACAAAAACGCCGCCGGCGTTGCTCCAAGGGCTGACATGGTCTCTTTGTCTGCTCCTTGTTGCGACGCGCAATAGATCTTCCGAAACGGAAATCTACAATGTCGGTGATGATCAAAAGGAACCCTCCGTCGCAGTGACTGAAATTCGAAGGGAGGCGGAAAGCTCTCGTGAAAGAGCGCTCATACTCCAGTGAGTAGAGCGTTCCTGTAAACAGCAGCAGCACAGAGTACATGATAGTGATAATACGAGCCATCACGAAGATGACACTAGGTAGAGATCTACTTTGTGACGAAAATGTAGTCACCAGGAACACGTTGTACACGTAGCCGGGAGAATAATTTGCACAAGCAGGGGGCCAAGTTACTAACTGAACGCAGATCATGATCATCATCTACCAACCACTGCAATGATCGGTAAAAAATGTACTTAAAACAGCACAGAAGAGAGTGTGACATGCGGCAAGTATGTCCTCAGGGTATAATTTTGGTCATACCGATAAGACCGAGGCTTGTTACAGGTCCAAGTGTTTTCACCCGTCGTTGCAGTTCGTGCACTGCATCAGCAGCGCGGCACCAGTTTGCTAGTCCGGTTGTCCTTGCGAATAAAAACAAGATCAACCACAAGAGCATGGCACTCTACACTGCAAAATCAAGCGACAGCACACTGTGGTATGTGGTCTGGTTCACCAGGATCGCTTCTACAGTCGACCGGCCAGACAGTCACCTAATACCACGAGAGCGTCTTGTCGTGATCGTCCCCCTCTCTCGCGCTTCCCTTAGGTCGTGTCGCGGCGTTCGCTTTTTCCCCGCCCTGGTCCCCAACGCGGCCGCCTAGCGCAACTGTCTTGGCCCGCCCTGCCGTGAAGCCTGCACGCGTGGTAGTCGTCACGGCAGCTAGTCAATCGTCCTCCTCCTCGCCTCCTAAGATAATGCTCGGCGCGATCCGCACACCATTAGCGAGGCGGTCGATCATCGTGGTTATCCTTTTTTTCAATCGATTCAGATCCGAGGGCATCTTCAGAGGGTTGTTGCTATTTCCGAGGAAGTTCTGGTCCTGCTTTTTCGTCGTGCCAGCGGAACTGTGGTCCACCAGTGCGCACTTTAGCAGGTGGTCCAGGTTGTACTCAATCAGCTCCTCCCACCCTTGCTGCGTGCTGTTGGCGCTAGAGATGGCCCCGAAGTAGCTGTGCAGCACGCCGACGTCGTCCTGCAGATCGAAACGGTACTGAATCAGGAGCAGCACCAACTTCGTCGTCGCTTGCAAGTTATCCTGTGCAGAAGTATCGCACTCGTATACATAGATGCATTACAAATTTCCTCAGCATGAGTATCATCATCATCTATCCGAGTAGACATAAAATTTGTAATGCGAATTTACCTTGAGAAGAAAAATTTGTAATGCATGATGGCAATACGAGTACGATACGTTTGCAGTTCATACAAGTGCTGCGTCACGACCGACAGCGCTTTTTCCGCGTCCTCGATGGTTTCCGCGAGTGACGTGTCCACAGTAAATTTCCCGCACACGTACAGATGCGGTCTCTGCATGACAAAACTTGGCTTCGATCCTAGTTTAGCATGACAAGTTTTACACTCCAAATTGGTGAAATTTGTGATGCATGTTGTACATGTGCGGGAAATTTGAATTGCATATGATGAAATGTTTTCGTAGGTCAATTGCAGCAGACTGTCCAGGTTTCCCAGGGGCGCGGGGTTGGCCCGGTCTTTGTACCGAAGAAGAAGCCGCTTCTGGATGACGCGGTACCTGTTGAGTACGAACTCGGAATCTATTTTGAGGTAATAAATTGGCGCAAATCAATGATGAATAAAGATGTGACAACGAACTACGTTGCACGAATGGAAGATAGTGTTGTAAAGCTGCATTAGCACCATGGCACGATAGCCACACGGAACTACCAGGAAAAGATCGAGTACTGTTTCGTCCTGTCTGCGAGCTCAGTTCTCAAGGATGCCAAATGCCGTCGGACGGAAAAGTGGTCGTCCAGAACGGAAAAGTAATCGTGCAGCGGGAGACTATCCTGGAAGCTGACATCGCATCGATGATGGGACAGCCTCTCGCACAAAGTGTGGCAAATAAGAAAGAGGGCCCCGAATTCGCCTGATTGGACACTTATCCTTCCCGCAGATTTGGAAACCAAAATGGTAACGGTGAAGTTTGTGCCCGCGAGATACTGCAATGACAGGATGTTGCTGCTTGTGGCGGGGTTCAATCCCGATACTGGCACCATCTGTATTGTTTCACTGAAGATTTTTTCTGGACTGCATTTTTCTTCACCTTGATTTGCAAAAGGCCTCCCGGCATGGGACACTGATCGAAGGGCATAATGTGTTGGCAGAGCAAGCTAAGCTTTTTTACACCTGAACATAGCTGCCTGAATTCCAACAAATGACTATGGAGCAGAAAATGAATCAGTTTTTTTATATGAAGTTGAGGCGGTAAATACGTTTCACTTTTTCTTTTTTCCTTCAAGACAACAACTGGAAAGTTTTGTTCTGCGCCCAAGAAAATGATGAAAATCTTGAACACTATTGCAACCGAACAACTGCACGTATATTTATCAGGAATACCGCTGTCAAACTTCCCGGCTCGAAGAGGTCCGAGAAGACCTCGGTCAACGGCGGCGGTGTTCGGGAGCAGTCAAATTGAATTTTGTATGTTGCAGTCTTGATCGGTGGTATGGGCTTGACCACCCACGAGAGAGGTATCTCGAATTCCGTTGAGCTCACGCGGGGCTCTTGGTTGTGCTTCAGCAGATAGCAGCAACTCGCGCGGGCCGTCAACGAACTACACAGGCTGGAAGAAACAATTTTGAAGTTGATCGTCACCACCAGTGGTGTGCTGTTGGATTTCAGCTGATTGACGTACAACGACTTCTGACTCACCGCGAAACACTCGGGCGCCTCGATGCAAAAAGTCAACTTCTCTGCGGCTTCGGCACCCTGGAGGCTGCTGACGATGCGGACACTGCCCTCGAGCAAAACACCATCGATTTGCGCAAACTGAAGATGATGTGAGTAATTTTTGAGTAAGTAACTCCAAAGTTTCGCTGACCTTCATAATGGGGCACAGACTCGCGTCAAACCCAAACGCAAATGGACTCACAATGAAACTAATGGAGTAATAAGCATAAGGCTGCTGTTTTTCTGCAATTATATATAGTGTCCCTTCTACCTCTTCGGCGTCGTCTGCGTCTTCCTCTAGGGAGCAGTGCGGCTGTACTTGCGCATGCATGACCAGACGGTCCGTGGGCTCTTTACGGCCCTCGCCATGCGACTCCCGGATGGTAGCCAGCAGCTGCTGGTGTTCCTCATCTATGAACTGCAAAAGTTAAAGTATCGTATTCGTATAAATGCATTACAAATTTCCGCATTTTCAGCGTGAGAAATAAAATGTGTAATGCGGATTTGACTTAACAAAAAGATTTGTAATGCATGATTACAATACGGATACGATACTTTTGCACGACAGGATATCCTCCATGGCCGCGTAATTGAGCTCCTTTGTTTCTTATGCAATGTAAATTTCCTGTAGCATGTACAAAATGTTGCATGACAAATTTCGCTAACTTGCAGTGTCCAACTTGTCATGCTACACCAGGATTGAAGGCAAGTTTTGCCATGCAGAGACTGCATTTGTACGTCGTGTACAGGAAATTTACTGTGGATATTTCTGTGTTGACCAGCGCCGCTGGCGGCGGGTCCGTTCCGAGGTAGGAGACCTGAAGGGGGCGCACTGTTTGTAAATACTTAGAAAGACCTCCAGGAACTCGTGTAGTCGTAGAAGTGCACATGACATCAATATACGAAAATATTCTCATTTTTTAGTATTAAAGAGGTAGGGTCGTGTGTTGGAATACAACGAGCACGTTGGTTAATATGGCGCATATGTTATGCCGGCATAGCGAAAGTTGTGTCACGTAGAGCGCTGGTTGCTCGAATTTGGCCAACGACCGCGGCCGGTACTTTTGCGTGATCTCACATATCTATGCCACATTACAGCCGGGCCCCTAGGTTTTTACCTGCAGCAGGCCGTCTTCGTCGAGCGTGGTTATCATTCCGCGGACCCCGGCCACCTCAGCGACATCCACGGAGATGGGGACGTGTCCCAGCTGCGCACACCAGATGATCTGCGTCTCGCGAAAAATCAAAAGGTGCCCGGAATGCGTGCCGAGCATCAGATTGTAGAGGGTGCCGCTGGAATCCGTGTTCGCCGCGGTGCTGAAACCACTGCTGCCCAGTGTCCCTGCACTCCCCGCCGCGCCGGGCGTCGGGTACACGGTCGCACAACTGACCTCGTAGTCGAGTCGCTTCGTCAGCTGCGTTTCCCCGTCCGCCTTCAAATAGTACAGGTGCCGCTCGCCCACGACGACGATGCTCTCGGGGTTGGGACCCGTGTTCGAGCGCAGCATCCGCGCAAAAAAGAGGTGCTCCGCATGCTCCCCCAGATTGACGGACCAATCTACCTGCACTTTCTTTCCACCCCCGACGGAAGTACTGTTGGTACTACCCCCGGCGGCACCAGCGCCCGCCGTGCTCGAGGAGGACCCACCGAAGGTTGTCTGGCCGAAGGCATCCCCCGGGTTGCTGGGTCCAGCTGAACTTCCGCCGTAGACCGCCACATTGTCTGCCGCAGCAGCCAACACGGAGTAGCGATACGCGTGTATATACATGCAGGAGTCCGCGGTGACGAAGGAGTCTGTTTTGGGAATGTACAGGAGCGGATTCGGTGACAGAAACTGCTCCTGCGGCAGCGCCCGCTTGAACGCCGGGGCATCCTGCTCGAAGAACTGCAGGACCGCGTCGAGGGACTGCACACAGAGAAAGTCGCGGTCCGAATAGTTCTTTTGCTGTGCGAACGCGCCCTGGCAGAAGTTGAACGCAGGGCGCAGGAGTTCGTGACCGTAGCATTTATCATGAGAAAAAAGTGTTACAGTTACACACTAGTTGGAGTTTCTGCATCACAAATTTTCTCTGCGTGGCAAAGAAAACTTGTAATGCGAAGATCATAATGGAAAAGAGGAAGGAAACGAGGCTCCCAAGCATTTCCTGCATGAGAAAGGTTGTCTGTGTTGCCGGTCTTGCAACACAATGTGTAACTGTAACACTTTTTTTTTGCGATAGCACTCGATGGTGTTGTAGTAGTTCACGGCATCCTGAGTAAAAACGTCCCCACACCAGAGTCGCCATGCAAATGTGCAATGACACAAACGTTTGTAATGCGCAGCTCCATGAGAGGCATTTTCAGTCGTGTTTTGGAATCTGTAATGCTGTAAACAGGATGCGAAAGTGGCTTTCTCATGCGGCTTCTCTTGCCAATCAGCACTACACTGCAGAGGGAAACTTGTCATGCACAGCTCCCAAAACTTGGAGATTTGTGTTGCTAGATTCCCAACTTGACTATGGGATGGGGATGCTTTTACTCAGGATACACGGCCTGTTGCTGGTTCATCGACGCAGAGACCATGAAAATGGCAATGCGCTTGGGGTGCAGGACCGCCAGGCACAGGTCGCGGGACCCAGCAACGAACTTGCCGGCGGACAACTGCAGGATAGGCCCCTCTAAGACTTTCTCGAGAATCAAATCGTCTACCCGGTACTCCCTTCGCCTGAAGTGAAGATCAGGTACATGTTTCGGAAAAAGACTCAGCTCTCATTCACCTAACATATATATAAATCCGGACGCGACGTCGATTTATCGTGTGAAGAAGCGCCGGTCTCTACCCGTGCCAGATTTCGATTTGTCGAATAAAGCGTACTACGATTACATTATGAATGTAAACGACAGTTAAAGTTAAAATCGTCAAACGAATTCAATATAAAAGTACCTTGGGTAGTACATCCGCAGCATACCATCCAGACTGCCGATGACAATCTTGTTGTGACCACCAGGCTCATTGTCGACATTGCAGACCTATGCATTGCAAAAGTATCGCACTCCCTCGGCCTCGTATAAATGCAAGTCTTGCATTACAAATTCTTTTTCGAAGGTAAATTCGCATGACAAATCTATATTTCTCATGCTGAGGGAATTTGTAATGCATTTATACGAGTACGATACTTTTGCACAGGATAAGACCACACAGCAATGCGCTTGCTCGTTTCCGCGCACGCTCCAATATTCGCGCGCCTGGAACAGTGACATGGCTATTATTTCAATGCTCAAACAAAAACAGAAGCCGTGCCCTTGTGCTTGTCGTTGTCCCGCCTCTTCGCCCTGATCCTCTACAATCCAATGCGTCGGCTCGGGGCAAGGGGGGCTTGTTCACAAGCTTGCGTATCTATTCACAGACAGAATCACAGAGGGGCAAAAATAAAATTTTTGAAAGAAAACCTTGAATGATCGACTGAATTTTCATTTGTTCTTGTATACAAAGCCAGCAGCTCTTGCACTCCAACTACACTGCAGGGACGCACCAGAAGAAAAAAAGAGCTGAAAGAACTCGCTTTGCACTCTGGCATCAATATTGCTATCGCTCTGAATCATAATGGTGAAGACCGACCCGGCATCAAGAGTCAACGCCGCCAAACCATATACCAAGGGTGGAAAGGACGCAAGAGAAATACCGAGAGGAGGCACGACGCACAACGCCGAGAAATAAAAAGCAAGACACAAAACATGATATGCATAGGCGTCACAACGACACACCAGTAAGACAGACAGCAGGATTGCCACAGTTGAGACCATCATCATCGTCATAATTCCTCCCCACTCGTAGCATCGAGCATAGTCCCCGTTGGCGGATGCTTTGTCCTTATAGTATGCGTATTCATTCACATTCTTTTTCTGGTTTGGGTGAATCTGCCACCCTGCATGCGTCTCTTTGTGCCACAACAGATGCGCGTATGGCACTCCGTCCCCAAGCGCGCATAGATAAAAGTCGCGTCTTGCCATTTTCGCATCAAGAACTTCATCTCTTTCTATCTGAGCAACAGGCGGGCACCAATATGCAGCACTCATTTTGACGATCCGACCCAGGAAGACCTTCCTGTTTCGGATAAGGCGTCCCGCGCTGCCGTTAGCCCAGAGTTCACGCGTGCGCGCACGGGTAGTGCTAAGCCCGCACGCCGTGCGTTGTACAACGAATTTGGCGCTGCACCCGGGGCACCGCCAGGCCTGTTGCGTCTCTTCGGACGCCCGGAAAGTGTGGTCGTCCGGGTAGCGCCGTAGGATCCGTTGAGATTGTTGTTGCTACTCCGCTGCAGCCTTGGCTGTCCCGCATTAGCGGAATTTTCGGTTCTAATATTTCTCGCACTAGGCGCCCGTGCAGCTCCTCCTGGTCCTGCCACCTTCCCCCCGCCCACGATCAGCGACCCTGCTCCCGTGCCGAGATACGGCGATTCGCGCAACAGTTCCGGCTCCGGACGATTCGCGGAATTAGCCAGGATCGCGTTCACATTCAAGCTCTGGCCTGTGGAGGCTTCATTCAAAGTTCGAACCCGGTCCGCACGACGGTTACGTCTTGCAACATTCTGCTCGCGGCTGTCAACCATAGAAGCTGCGCGCGTGTGCCGACCTGGGAAACCCTGATTCGTGTCTTCGAAATTCAGTAGCGGCCCAGAGCCGAAGAACTCCAAGTCTTCCTCTGGATCTTCGACGTTAAGAACACCAGCACGACGCTGCTGCCCTAGAGGGAAGCTCGGCAAGCTTTCGGAAGCCTTCAGCCTCGGCGCACTCGAAGAAGACGCAGCGTTCGCGACGACGGACGCCCGGCGGCGAATCTCCGCTTCCGCAGCCTCGTGCAGGTCAAAAGACGTAGAGCCAGCCGCCGCAAGGCGCAGACCCATTTCATCGACCTGATCGCTCAAAAGGCTTGCAGTTCCTGCCTCCTGTTCATCCCGTGCGCAACTCGAGCTGCTCTCCTTGTGGGCCAGATATGCAGGAACCTCGTAGGGATCTCCAAAGGAGAAAATCTTGTCTGGCGGCTTCCTCGTTTGGGACGAACAAGAGCTTGCTTCAACATTCTTTGGGAAAAGACTTTTGCAATACTGCTCGTCTTCCTCTATGAGAGCGGTGATATTCACCACGCTTTTGTTCGACGTCGGGGAGTGGGAGCCGTCGACGTCTTCGCAGTTGATGTCCCTGTTTTGGCCAGGAGCCGTGAGCGAAGCTGTCCCAGTTTCAGGTTGTAGTTCAGCGCCCTCCTCGTCCTCACTAACAAGATCAGCAGAGGTGTACTTGTTCTCTTGAGGTGCCTGCTGGATCTGCCTCTGCTCGAGTTGTAGCTCCTTTCTTTCTTCTTGTCCTACTAACGTGGCCCACTGCAGGGCATGCGTGGCGGATGGCGCATCTTCATGCGCAAGATGCGCATCCTCGTGGTGGTGGTCTTCTTGGCGATTCTTGTTCTCCTGTCGTTGCTGCTGCTTTCGCGTTTTCATCACAAGCTCTTTCAGGTCAGCCTGCTGCTCTGTCACCTTGGCCAGCGCGTCCGTATGCATTGCAAAACTATCGTACTACTAGTATAAATTGCATATACAAATTTTCCCAAGAACAAAAATGCAATTTTTCATGCTATTTCAGGTAGAAAGTTGGATTTGTCATGCATATCTGCAATTTACTAGTACGAGTACGATACTTTTGCACAGGATAGTCCGCAAGGTGCGACAAAACGACTGCCTGTTGATCCTGTTGCGTATCAAATGTAAAAATGTCTGGGTCTGGAAGAATGCAAGTTGTCATGCTAAATCTCAAGCATGTAAAAATCTGTGTTGCATGATTACCAAAAGTCGTCCAGTTTTGACCAAGTCGGGAGGGAGATTCTCATGCAGGATAGGCATGAGAGAGATCGCACAGAATCTGTCATGCTAGGTCCTGCATTCCAGACCTCATGGGTCATGGAAAATCTGCATGACAAATTGCGCATTCTTCCAGACCCAGACATTTCTGCATTTGATATTGCGTCGTGCTCGACGACGCCCCTGGTGGTGCCACCGCAGCTCCGTTGACAGCCTGGTTTGCATTCAGCGGAAGCGCGTTCGCATGCATCGCGAAGTACGCGGCACCAGCTCCACCGTTGTCTGCTCGTGCTCCCGGCACTGATACTGAAGGGGGGGCACGCAAAGCATTATCGTTTATTCTTCTCTCCAGATGAACCAGGTCTCGTTGGGGCGTTCCACCTGTTTTTGAATCCAGCCAAGCTGGCCTCATTGGCTGTGCCGCTTCCCCTCCTCGGAACTGGCGCAGCGGCTCACTTGGCGGGGGCGCAGCGGGAACGGACGCAGGCTCGACGCAATCGCTGAGCGCACGCACGTCATCCATTTTACCCCGCTGCTTCTGCAGCAGTTGCAGCTCCATATCCTGGTCTGCAGACGAGATGATATCGTCCCCGGTGTTCCCTCGCGATCGCGAGCGCAGCAAGCCCTTTGTCGGGTCCGGAGTCGGGTGCCGCAAGGCGCCACTCGCTTTCATGCGGGGCGCTTGAGTCATCTGATCAGGGTGTTGAACAAAACGACGCTGTGCTCCCCCGGCACCAGGGCCTCTGGTCGAGTAGTGGGACTTGCGAAATTTTGGAGAAATTGAGGAAAAAGCTGTCCGCGCATCACTGACCAGATCCATGTAGTTATTCCCCTGCTCCTCGTCTTCTACTGCGCCGACGGATGGGTAGCCAAACTGCTGTGGTGGGTAGTTCGATCCAGCTCTGGCGCCGTCCTCTTTCATTCCTCCCGGATGCAGCCGCTCCGCAGCTTCATCGCTCCACAAACGCAGTTTTAAAGCTGCGTTTTCTTCGCGCAAGGTGACGCACTCCTGATTGCGAGTGTGGGCCTCCAGATCTGTATTGTCAAAAATTCGGAAGTTTTTATTGAGGATCTAAAGATTTGATCACATGTGTCGTGTCCGCGGTGTCGTATCAAAAAAGAGCAGAAGACTTGTTCCTCGGTGGCACCGGCTGTCAAAGTCACAGCTCATTGCGTCGTCGGACCCGAGTCAAGGAATCCTCCAACTCTCAGCAGATACTAGATCTGAGAAAGTACACGCAGTATGAATATGAATGTGGCGACGGCACCACGACAGACCCAAGAAATGTTAGAGTTAGAAGAAAGAAGACCAACATTTCACATTTCAGTAGGAGGAGCGCGATTCTTATCGAGGTACAGATTTTATTTTGTCAGGAAGGTTAATCGAAGTACAGAATTCTTCTCCGCGGCTCTTCGCTTCGCGGCAATCCTTCGTGACTCGATCTAGGTTTTCTGTGAGCAACCGAATTTCGTTCTTTAGCGGGCGCACCTCACTTTCCCTCTGCGCCTGCCACTTTCTCTGTTCGGACTGCGCAACTTTGCGAAAATCGTCCTCCATCTTTTGCTTCTCCCCAGCCAGTTTTGAGACCATCTCCGCGAGCTCGTCCGCCTTCGCCCGGATCTCTTGCTTGTACTCTTTTTTTAGCCGTGATAACGTGTCTTCGAGTTCGGTCTTTTCCCTTTTCAACATGGCGTCCGTTTTCCCGTAGGCCTCGCACTTTTTCTGGAGATCGATGTTCTCCGCCCACATCTTCTTGTTCGCACTTTCCAAAGTGGCCTTCTCCTCGGACACCTCGCCTAGCTTCAATTCGTACTGCTTGCTGCCCATCTCCGCCGTCCTCTTCTTCTCCAGTAGCTCGTTTTGCAAGTTCTCCACCGCGAATCTCCACTCCTGCTCCTTCTGCTTCTGGTCGCGCTCGACCTGGTAGAGCTGCTCCTTGAACTTCGTAGCAAGTTCCTGCTCCGTACGCAACCGCGACTCCATGCGATCCCGACTGGTTTCGACTTCGGCGCACTTCGCCTGCAGACTCCGCCTCTCCTGCTCAAACCGCTGCTCCAAGTCGGCCCGCGTACGCTGATGCCCCGCGTCTTTCTCGTCGAGCTGTTGTAGTTGTAGATGTTGTGCAGTGTTCGTTGCGTGCTTGGCATCTCTACTTCGTTCACCAAAAAAGGATGGAGTTCCATTCCGTGTTCTTCAAGAATGCATTGCGGATATCTTGCAGTTTTCGTCCACATAGCAATGCGAGGTAGTTTTATCTAGGTCCTCACCACGAACACGACTATGTTAATTTTTATCAACTACACCATATTTTCGATTCCGTTGCTTGTGCTTCAGTTTCATGGATTCCTGGCACATTTTTAGAAACATCCACGGTACTGTGGTCATGTAATTTGTAATCACAATCGTGGAAATCGAAATCGAAGCAGTCAAAGACAAAGGGTTACCGAGGTTTGAAACTTTTGCTTTTGTGAGCGAAGCTTCTCGGCCACTGTGTGCAGGTCTTCATTCACTTTTCTTTCCTTTTCGAGTGCGAATTTTTCTGCCTGATCGGTTTTCTTTCGCAGTTCATTCATCTTTTGCTCGTACACCGCTGCCATTTCCCGGATTCTTTCCTCCCATTGCTTTCGCTCCTCACGGGTTTTCTGTAGAAATAGGTCGTGGTCCTTCGTCACGGTGCGTATCTGTTCTTCAAGCCGCAATTTTTCTTCGTGTGTCTGGCGCTCCAGAAGGGAGGTCTTTGTCATTTGCTGCTTCAACTCGCGCTGCAGCTCATTCAGGCCTTTCTGTGCCAGGTGATATTCCTGTCGCAAATCTGCGATTTCGCGATCTCGGTGCTGCAGGACGCGCAGACTCTGGCGGTAGTCAAACTGCAGGCGCTGCTGGAGCAAGGGGCCCTCGGCCTCATCGATGTAGCTTTTGTGTGCCCCCGTCGGATCATCCGCCACGTGCTCGCGGCTGCTAGCAGAGACGGCCGCGCGTGGGTCGTTTCCGCCGCCGTCGCTGCGTTCTCCGTGCCCGCTAAGAAAGCTGCTGTTGGCCCCTGCAGCCCCATCTGAAGATCCACCTGCTCTCGTGTGAATGCTGATGTTGTTCAGCAAATCTGCCAGCCCCGGTGTTGGTGCACCGGGGTACGAAGCAGCAACCGTGCGATTTTCTGGATAGTAGCACTTCGGACGAGACGAGTGCGTCGTGGTCGCGGCGGCAGGATTTGCTAACTCAACATCATTCGACGTGTCACTATATCTCGTCGGAGGACCGTGTTCCATGGAATTATGTTGAACCTTTCCGCCCAGACCACGAGGCACAGGTGTCTGCTGGAAGCATTGCGCAAGCGATGATGTTCCGGATGCAGTGGCGGGGCTTGTCCTTGAACGTGCGCCGGCTGGCAAAGCAGGATTGCCATCGTTGCTTACTGAAGCGGTTGATGCGCCAAAAACAGGGCCGCCTCCTCGTGCATCCTCGCGCAGAAAAGGATTGGTATTCGATCTTGCGGATAATGAGTGTGCTTCGGGTTCATCTCTCGGTGCGCCACTGAATTCCCTTGCGACTCCTGTCTGGTCCAAAGCAATCCCCTTTTCCGGAGCAGCGCTTTCCCTATCCCCGGTCTCCCTCTCGTCCCTCGACATCTTTTGAATAATGTAAATGGATGTAGTAGTACAGTCGCAGTTCCGATGGAGCTCAGGTCGGAGATAAAGGTTCCGACTCGATGAAGAGCTGCACGTGGATGCGGTCTTTTGATTTCATGCCAAAAGAAAAGTGCGACGGCCAACATAGAGACTAATTGCTCTCTGTGGCCTCATGACAGAAGCAAAAGAAACTGCGCATCGGAGATTCATGCAGCAGGCCCAGCGACAGTGCGAATGTGGGCGCACCTCGAAATGTCATTATTTACCCGTATCTGTGCTAGGAGTTGCCCGACCAACCGCGTCTGCTGTTACAAGTACAAATTCAAATTGATATCCTTGCAAGTGCTGCAGCGGCAGCCAGGAAAATAAACAGAATTGTAAAACTAGCTCCTGGAGATGGCGAGGGCGGCGGCTCTTGCCACCGATCAGAATCCGGAATGCGTGAGAGTTGTAGACCACAAATGGTAGTAGAAGTGGTTGTCGTCCTCGTCTTTGTCACTCTGTCACAAGATACATGAGGATTGATGGTGAAAGTCGCAGAAAAGACGACATTAAACAAAAAATTAAGGAAAAGCACGATGACGAAGAAACAAGCCTACGCATCGACAACGACGACTATATGCCAGAATGCTCGACGCATTGCGTACGTCTACGTGTTCGCATCTTATGTTTTCGTGCGACTTAGTACTCAAGGTCCGTAAACAAGTGCAAACGAACCCCAATTCCAAATACTCGATGGGTAGGGCACCACAGGTAGGAACTGTTTCGTGCCAGAAGTCGCGACACAAGTAAGATGTTTCTACTTTACTTGTTCGATTCTTCTGCTGTTTCCCGTCTTTCTCTTTCATTATGGTCGTGAAAGCAGATTGATTGCCATTGCATCAGTTCAAACATTGTACAGGTTCATGCACTTGCTCTTCTGGTGAGTCTGAGTGACGCATGAAGTGGTGGAAACTACGTACTATATTGTCATTGGATAAAAAGGATAAGGAGCAGCTTGTCCTCGTCTTTCCTTAGCCCGAGTGCCCCGCCCTTCTTGGAAGAGCGAGACACCTGCAGGACCGCGACCGTATGTTGATGTGCTCCTCGTCGCACTCGCTCGTCCAGCTATGTGTTGTACTTTTGGTTTTATCGAAGAAAAAAACTGTATCTGTTACACATATGCCGAAAAAACACCGAATTTTTTCTTAGTAAAAGTAAAAAAATATTTGAGCTGTCGAACCCCGCGGTACCTGATGTCGGTTGATGTTTGTATTGCAAATTATGTAGATATAATCTAGCTACGGTTGCTTCAAGTTAACTAAGTAGCTAAGGAGGCAGGTAGTTTATATTCTCGGGACCGGAACCGGACAGCGACCAGCAGTAGACCAGGATGAACCACTCTGGCCCCACCTCGTAACACCAGGGGATTCTGTACGTACATGAAGTCCTAGTCGGTTGACGAGCTTGGCCTTATCCTCGGTGTCCAAATACAGCAGTGCTTCGGTGAACCTGATTTGAGGTTGTTTCAGAATAGACCATAATTAGCATGACAGATTCGCAATCCAAGTAGCCAAGAACCATAGAAAGTGAGTCTTTTTGGTGTATATAGTGGCAGGCCCCTCCCGTGTTGAGGTACCCCTACCAGCCCCGCTAGCGCCACCCACTGTAGAGAGCTGTCCCGCACCCGGAGTTTTGCCCCAGAGACTCTGCCTCGAGGGCTTTAAAGGGAAGCGGCCTGCTGTCGAGGCCCTTATCTTCAGGCCTTTAGGACCCAACACCAAGAAGCCCACTCAAACATGGGCTCGCAGCCGCATGAGATTGAAGAGTGGTCCGTGAAAGAGATGACCGCGATTCTAGCGCGGCACTTTCATGTTCAACAAACCCCGCTCGTCCAGCTATGTGTTGTACTTTTGGTTTTGTCATCATGTATAGGCTCTCGGAAATTCATGTGAGCATTGCACCAGCAGTTTGTTGTGTATTTAGGCTCTCGGAAAATTTGCACTAGCGCCAGCAGATGCCCCAACTACCTCCTCCCCCAACCCCCGCTACCTCCCCTGGGGCCCGAGCCTTCTCCTTCCCAACCCAGTCCACCTCCTCTACAAGTTCAGCCGCCTACTCCCTGAGCCAGGTCTTCTCCTGTGGGCCCCGGCCCCCTTCACGCGGAACCCAGACCACTTCTTCCACAGCCCAAGCGCCCTCATCCGGAGCCCGGGCCCCATCCTTCCAAACCTACGCCACATGCTTCGGAACCCACGCGCCCCTCGTCCCAACCCGGAAACGGCCCCGGCCCTCACGCTGCTTTCTTCTAAATGGCCAGACCCGAGGCACTTCAGCTTTGAAGGCAAAGCCCATCGCCCCCTTCTGAGCTGAGGCCGCTCAACCCTTGCAGACCTACCTGCCCCAGAGGCCGAAGCGGGAGGAGCCTGCCTATGCTGGCATCCACGTGGGGCCGTGTCATTTGTCCCGCCTCGAGCCACCTCGCAGTCGGGGGCGGGTTTTACAAAATTGGCCGGAGTTGAGGCGCTTCACTTCACGAAGGGCAACCAGCTTGCCGAACCACGGCGAAGGCGCTCAGCTTTGTTGGCTTTGCTTGTCCAGGGCCCGAAACCTCTTGCGCCCTGGCCTATGCGAAGCCGGGCGCGGACCTAATGCCCTTCCTTTTCCGAGCTGGCCCTAGCGTGGCGCCACATCGACGACGACTTAAAACACCCCACAAGAGAATGCCTGGAGGGCGCCGGAAGGAGGGCTCGGGCAGCCACCTTCCGGCAAAGCCTTGCAGCTACACACCGCTCGTCCAGCTATGTGTTGTACTTTTGGTTTTATGGCGATACTAAGTACGGATTTCTCAAAAGTGGAAAAAAAATTCAGGGTCCTCACGGGGCGTCATAGAGCTCCGCTGAGCGTTTCTGATGAGGTCGCGACGCGCTCTTGGTCGCTTTGTCATGCTTAAGAAGCTAGCTAGATGAATACACACGCCGAGCCTATGAGCTACGCCGGGCACGTCCGGAGACTGTGCCAGCAAGCAGGCGCAATGCGCGGACCTTGGCGGGGCTGCCCCGACAGAGTCTGCGGGGAGAATTCTTGTCGCCCGGAGCTTCTGCCCCCTGCTTGCGTCGATGCAGTGCCAAATGAAAAATGGACACCGTACGATGGGAAGGACGCTAGCCACTGTGCCCACCCTTCGTCCCTTCGGGGGGCGCTGGCTGTCGAACTCGCAAGACACCCCCGGGGGACTCACATGGACGCAGCGTGGCGAGTCCCCTCTGCATACGGGCCAGGCGCCGTTCTTCTGTGCTCAGGCGCACCACCCCGAAACCGGCTGCATCTACATAGCGCACAAAGCTTCTTTGCGAGCTGGCTCCCGGCTGCGCCGCGAAGCACCGCGGAAAAACTGAACAAACAGCCTCGCCCGCGAGGCTTGCGGGCACTGACAAAAACGGCGCGCAACTGGTGCTTTCGCACTCCTGCAAAACGTGTTTCTTGGCCTGATGTCTTGTTCGTGTCACCCCTCCGGGAGGGGTACCCAGGAGGGGTAGCCAAAAACGCCCTTTTTTGCGCTTCCCCCGATGCTACGAGGGGTACCCAAAAAAGGCCTTTCAGGGGTAGCCGAAAGGCCGTTTGCTTCTTTTTTGTCCGGGGGTGGATCCGGCCTTTCATTTTCTGAAATGAGCAAGAGGCGAGTGCGTTCGACGTGGGGCTTGCCAGGATGTCGGGAACCGCAGCCCACAATGGGGGTCTATGGAAGACGGGAAGGGCAAGCCTCTAGAGGAACTCACGGAAGAGGCCGCGGCATCGTTTGCGAACGGGCGGAGCGTCTTTTTTTCGCCCTAGCCCGCGCCGTGCGTGTGCTTTGCATTTGCCAGCGCAATATTGCGAAGGCAGTTACCTCATCGCAGGCAAACCCTCTCCAGAGCTTACCGCGCTCGTGTTTTTTTGCCTTTTCCTTAACCCCAGAGGGGCGGCGAGTGTTGTCGGCGTGCGGGGCAACGGGATGGCGGCCGCAGGGCTCAAAGGTAGCCAGCTACGTGTCGCACTCGCTCGTCCAGCTATGTGTTGTACTTTGGGTTTTGTCATCATGTTAGCAATAGGCCAGACCCGGCAGGCCCTTTTCGGTAGGTCGGTAGGTAGTTAAGTACGGCGATGCTGTGAACTAGATGGCATTGGCGTTAGCTACCTCGAGCGTGGTCGTAGTGTCTTTCCTCCCGTGACTTTACCCTCCTACCTACCTACCGTCATCGGGTCGGCCACAGTCATGCACGTCTCAGCGCGAGGCGAGCTACCCGACCTACCTTCTACTATCGGCCGAGCTGCCACAGAGCATAGGTCTCGAGCCGCCCTACCTACCTACTAGTGACTAGCTTCCGTAGCTGGTGCGGATCACAGGGCGCCCATCTACCTACCTACGGCCCGCCCTATCTCTTAGCAGGTTCCTTCCCTTTCAACAAGTCCCGACGTGCCCTACCTACCTACTTCCGCCCGGCGCCGCTAGCTCGCGCGGGTCAGAGATGATCTCCGATCTGCCCTACCTACCTACTGCCAGCGACTAGTAGTCGCTGTGTATGCGGGTGGCGCAGATGAGAGATCCCCGACCCGCCCGACCTACCTACTATGGAGCGCGGCCCTTGCCTGCCGCTAGGCAACATTCCCGGATCTACTCGACCTACCTACTTATGTGCATTTAGGTCGGGAAGGTCGAGGCTTCGCTTCCGACTGGCGCCAACTACATGCAGGCAATGCCGTGCAGTAGGTAGGGCGGGCTGATGCCAGCTAGAGGCGCCCAACAGAAGCCAAAAAATTTCCGCACTAGCCCTACCTACCTACTCCACCCGGTTGCCTTTTGACCTCTGTGGCTGGCGGGGGTCATAGGTCCCCGACCCATCTACCCGACCTACCTACCATGTGCCGCTGACTGCAAGTGGCCCGGGCCGGGGGACTGCAACGCGCCCGACCTACCTACCCCCGCCCTCTGGCTGGTGGAGCTGGCGGCGCTTCGAGTTCCGCGGCCGCGCCCTACCTGACCTACCTACCAGACGGCGGGTCTGGGCTGTGCGTCGCTGGCGGCGATCAGAAAACAAGCCCGGCCTTCCGGGCCTGGCTCCGACGGCCCGTAGCTGGCCCCGACCGGTGCCAGCTAGGCCAAGTGCCCGACCTACCTACCAGGATAGTGGCGGGCCGGCGGGAGCCAGTGTTGGGTTGCCCGGCCTGCCTCCTGAGGTGTGTCGGCCGCCTGCGCAAATCAGGGCTAGGCGGTCTCCCCGGTCCACCTATTGCTGTCGTTGTGTGGTGGCGCGGCTGATCCGCGCCACCACACTGCCCTGATCCCTCCGGTCCGGGCAAGTGTTACACCTGCCCGGCGACCAGGGAGGGCAGGTGCTGCACTAGCATCACCTGCCCGACCTACCTACTGCTGCGCCTGCCGCCGGGGTCTGGCGCGGGTGCGCCCTCCCCCTCTGCCCGAGCTACCGCACTAGCCGGGGGAGGGGCGTCGGCCAGCGCTCTAGAATACAGGTCCCACTCACGACCTACCCCAATCGCCGGCACAGAGGGCCCACACGCAGCCGAGCACAGGTGGCTTAACTTAAAACCAGGCCGCCCCCCCGGCCTAGCAGCTAGCTCATATGAGGCAGACCAAAACTATTGTATTGTGTCAGCTAGCAGTAGCTATCATATGCTCGTCCAGCTATGTGTTGTACTTTGGGTTTTGTCATCATGTTAGCATTCAATTTCGCTTCGTTCCTATCGTCCTATCGAACTTGACCAGCCACCCGACACGCCCTATGGCGTGATCGGAGGAGAGAGGGCAAGGGCGTCTCGGTCCCTCACCGTAGAGACAGTCGCCAGGGATGTCTCAAGGCCCCTCCCAAGATGTATCCTCTGTCACCACGAAAACCACGTGGGCACGAGGAAACAGCGCACCGGGTGGGTGGGCGGGATCGAAAGAAAATTAAGAACCATGGCACGACCCCCGCCTCGAATGCGGGTCCAGTCGTGCCGCCGTGCATTAGCTTACCAGGGATCTGCTAGCCCTCATCCTCCAAGGCCAAAAGCAACAAAAGCGCCTCAACCGTTCGATACAAAACCGTCAAAGACGCAACCTCGAGCACCCTGAAGGCCATCGGCGTAGCAGCCTATAGCTAACGAGTCGCGCCCCAAGTCCCGGTAGCCCGCAAAAACCCATTCCTGGTGGTGCTGGACAAGAATTGCAAAGGCGGAACCAATTTGAATAACCAGCGCGCCGCACTCATAGCTCAACGGCCCGGCCATGTTTCAAACAGCAAACTGAGCCAGGACGCTGACGTCCTACACGGGTCCATACCTCAACCTGTAAGCCGTAGCACCGCTGACCACCGTGCCTTGGGGTTCCAAAAATAAACAAGGGATGGCACGGTGAGAGAGAACAACTACACCCCCAGACAAGGCCTACATCCCGGCACATGATAGACCACTTGAACAAGTGGCACCCGCGCGCACCTCCTGGCGCTCGCCGTAAACCCGGTAGGCCCCCAGTTCCGATAAAAGTGAAGGGACTAAAGCCGACTTGCCCATATTACCCAGGGCCCAACGACGCCGATCGACCCGAAATTGACCCCCTAAGTGAGGAAGCAGACCAACAGGGAGCAGCGCGACCTCCGAAGCCTTTCGGAGACATTAGTGCAACACGACGGAAGTGGAAATGGACTCAGACCCGAGCTAGTGACGAACGTAGCATCCCGAGTGACAAACACGGACAAGTACCGCGGAGAAGATCGCCAAAGCCGCCGCCCAAAAATGCGAAAGAGACCTTACCCAAATCATAGCCGGAATAACACACCCGGAAGCCAGAGGGTAGTGCAGCCTGCCGAACGCAGTAAAGGAGATATCCGAGCAAACCTATCAACAGGAGACTGTGGCGCACCACAACCTAAGAGCCGCCAAGGCGCCCTGGACTTCGACTTGGAATCCGAGGCATACAACAGCCCCTAAAAGTACAACGAACTTGCGCCGCGCAAAAAAATGGCACGCGGCCCCCTCCTGACCCGGGAAAGGTAGACCCCCTAGCAGCGAGGAACCTCATGGCAAGAGCCCTCGGGTCCTGCTCAATACAACAGGCAGCTGACTGAGCGAAACCTTGCTGCGATATCCGCGTCGTCCGTGCCTGGAGTAAACAATCAACGGAGCTACCGGGCTGTCCTAACCCGTCTCATTCGAACTTCCTAGTAGCGCCCTGGTGCCCCAAAGCAACTTCCCTCCGCCATGAATTCGACGCCACCAAAAATAGCCACGGACTCAGCCGTCATGCCCCACAGCAGGTCCTGTCCTTCTCCTTATCTCTGCAGCCTGCCTGTTCCCTGATTCTTGTCCCTGGCCCTACCTTCGAAGCGTGTTTGCTTAATGCCTTACCATGCGGGCCCCTTCCTAAGTCGATGTAAATCCTGCAGCCTCACGCCCTGCGAGAGAGTAAGTAAGCCCTGCACCAGCCAGCCGTCAGGGACTGCCCTGTCCGTAGATAAAAAAGCCTCTGGTTCCTTGTGCCAGGTATGCCACTGAATGTGTGACAAGGTGAGTAGCCTGCCTCCGAAGCCTTCGCTAACTTAGCCCGTATGTACCACCGAAGCCGCGAAATGCGAGCTCTGTCATCCTAGCCAGCACCCACAGTGCTTCCACCCCCTAGCGAAGAAATAAGAAATCATAAGCAGAAAAGTCAGAAGTCAAAAGGAAAAGCTCTGCGCTGACCTCCTAGTCCTAGCCAGACCGTGCGCGCGAGCATTAGCAAACCGCCGTACTCCTCCTGCCACCATGATGTCCATCCTTTACCTATTCCTTTACCATTTCCTATTCCTTCCGTATCCTTGAATGATAATAAAGATGCAGTCCTGCCGTGCCTGCCAGGGAGCCAAACCCGCGTCCCTGAGCCCTGACGCCCTGCTCTCCGAACCAGAGCTGCCTAGTTTTTCCGAAGGAGAACTTGAGGGCCACCTCACCAGGACCAGGTCCAGTCGTCGCGCCACAAACTCGCTCGTCCAGCTATGTGTTGTACTTTGGGTTTTGTCATCATGTTAGCATTCAATTCAAATTCTGAGGAAGAAACAAGATCCCCTCGCCACTGCTAGATAGAGTCTAGAAAAACAAAAAGTAAGTGCCGACTCTTAGTTAGATAGAAATGGAAGCTGCCTCGTCAACGCGGCCACTGAGCCCAACCAGAGCAAGACTGGGTCTTGTACAACTTTCCTGCGTTGCAACTGTTCAGAATTGAAGACAGCATACGACCTACACAGAAGTGGCTTAGACAAGAACTGAAGATTTCGCATCTGCATTTTGATTAGAAAAAATTTACTAAGGAAATTGTACTGAAGAAGTAAGAGCAACAAAAGCCGTGCCGTTCATCTTCCGCAACTCTCAAGAACCCTGCGAGGACCGCGGTTATACTACTCCTCTCTGATAAAGTTGATCGATTTTTCCGCTTGCTCGGCAGTAAGCTCCTCGACGTCTGCCGCCTCGGCAATAGATTCGATACCCAGGATATTCTCTCCGCGCTTTATCTGGAAAAAGCCGGTGCGCACCGGCGCATCCGCCTCCTTCAGGTACGGATCCGTTTCGCCCCAACCATCCCCGAGGGAGTCGCCCCACGAATTCTGCAGGACCCAGTACTTCGTTCCGCTCGAATCCTCGCCCCAGCCGACCAAAACCTGGATATTGTTACTGCGATGTAGTTCAACAGACTAGGTCAATCTTTTACAAGATCGCAGCTGCTCGTGCTGCTCGCAACCCGACTCAACAAAGCGCTTCGGAGCCGTCATCATAGGCCAATTATCAATCATCAAATACATCTGATCTTGTTAACGCTCCTGCAGATAAAAAGCTAAAAGATCATGAACACCAGGGCCAGAGGCAAACAAACCACAGTCACTATAGCATAGAAGTGGTGCAAAGCTTCAGCTTGTTCTACCACCGCGTGATCCACTCTTTCCCAATTTGGGTCCATCGAATGGTGCAGGGAGTCGATGCCGCGGGTCTTGCCGTAAATCCCGCTCTCGTAGTACATGAAGGCGTTGTCGGGCTCGAACCCCAGCACAAAGGGTCCTTTGTCGTACAACTCCTGCATGATGTTTTCCTCGTCCGAGTAGAAGTAGCGACCGCCGTATGAAACCTCAGGTTGGAAATCCTCGAAGTGGAAATAATTTGTAATGCAAAAAACGAATCCAGCTCAGACGCCATTTGTAGTCGGCGCATGACAAATTTTCCGGGCCCTTAAAGCATGTCTGTCATGCAGGTTGGGGCAAAGTGGTGCCCTTCTCTCGTGCCAAGCAGCACTCCAATTCGTCACCCCTAGCAGGACAATGGTCGGTCTCCATTGCGTCCTCTGCAATACAGTCTTTTTTGCCCTGCATTTCATGCATCGCAAATTATTTCCACTTTGAGGATTTCCATTCTGAGGCTTTGATACGCCGACGTAGTGGACGTCCTTCGTGCGGTACCTCAGCTTCTTATGCAATACAAATTTCCTGTACATGTACAAAATGCTTGAGAAATTTTCGTAAGTTGGAGCATGCCACTTGTCATGCATACCCGACTGCACCACATCAAAAACCTTTGCACCGTCGCCGCAAGCAGCTTCGGATGCCACTTGTCATGCTGAATAGGATTGGAAAAAAAGGTTGTCATGCAGAGACAGCATTTGTACGCGTACGGGAAATTTACTGTGGATACTTCTCTTGCGGACAAGAGGCAGGGATCGGCTTGCACTCCGAACCGTCGCCCCATCCGCCCTCCGGAGTGCACTCCTCGTCTGCGGGCGCCAGGCCAAACAACCGCGACCACTGACCAAACAGGTGGCTGTACCTGAGAGTTTCGTACAAGATAAGACAAGTCGTGGCTCTTTGGTTGATTATGGAAAAATTTTTGGGCTGATCTACTCAGCTTCCTTCATGCATTGCCATTTACTATCTTTTACTTTTTCAAAACTCTGAAAGTGAAATACAAATACGATGTCAGAAGAATTTCCATAACTTGAAATGCGGGCTTGTCGTGAGTAGAGAAAAAGCACAAATCACGCACAACCTAGATGAAGGAACATCAAGTACGTACACATTTTTTGGGTGTAGCCCTTGCACAACCACTACCTGTACCTACCTCCACCTGCACGATTATACAAAAATACGAATTGTACCCGCCATCACAGCCTTGATTGAACTCGGAGCAGCCGAGGGCATGTTCGTAGGAGAACTTCTGGCTGTTTTTGAGCGCCGTGTGGATTTCCGCGTCGCTTGCGTCCTTGGCCTTCAATTCCCGCAGTTTCTTGACGCGCAGCCTGGCGTTGAGCGCCTGCGTCGCCGACAGGACGTAGCAAGAGCCGCAGTTGCCTTGGTTGATGCCTTCCGTGACGATGAGCGGGTGGCCGCCGTCGTTTGGATTGCGCCAGTCGAACTGCTTCGGAAGTGCCCGCTTCTTCTCCGTTGCGGCGGCCGCCGCTTTCGAGAGGAGCTCGGATCCATTCGCTTCTTCCTGCAAAAGCGCCAGATTCTGGATGTGCTGCGAGTTCTATGGAAAGTAAGGACTTTTTTGAACAAGCTCTGTGCGTTGTTTGATTCAGATTCGGTGACTATTATGCGGTTCGAAAGAGGAGTCTGCGTTGACCAACAACTGAAGTGCGAGCACTTCTTACTTTCATGATCTTTCGGTGATTGTTATTGTCTTTGTATCGGCCGATCTTCGTACTTTCCACACAACTTCTGCTACTATGCCAGAGCACAAACTTTTACTTTGTTGTGCTTGTGCAGCTGCACCAATTGCAACGATCATTTTGACGTCCGCGCAAGAAACGTCAGCACTGCAAGCACGGTTCCAGTACTTTTTACTTTTGCCTTCCTTTCCATAGTGCACCCGATAACACCTTTCGCGGCTGCGGAAATACCGAATCGGTGTCGGGCGTAATTTCGCTCTGCAATGTGTTCCGATTCTGCCGGGGGAAGAGCCCCGCGCGGCGGCCTGACATCAAATTCAGCTCCCGTGGGGTTTTGTCGAGAAAGCGGTCGTACACTTTCGCTTTCCAACCTAAATTGGCCGCGTTAATCTCGTCGGCGATTTTTTGGTGTTCGAGACGCGTGCGCACAATGCGGCTGCGGTCGTCCGCCTCCGCGTCTTCGTCTTGCAGAAACGAAGCTTTTATGCATTGCAAATATGTCTGGGTCTGGAACTTTGTGATGCTAAAATGTGCAAGAAGGAGTCACTTCCTTATGCAGGAAAGCATGACAAGGTTGCAGCACGCTTTCTCATACGAACTCTGGATGAGAAACTGCGTTTTTGTTTGACATGAGAGGCTACCACCTTTGTTGGTCATGCAATACAGATTTGATATGAATGCAAGACCAGCATTACAAGTTCCAACTTTCCAGACCCAGTTATTTTTGCAATCCATAGCTTTCTGCATCAAACTATCCAAGGACTTGTCCTCGAATGGAGTGGATGTGCCAGGGCTCCTTCGACTTGGTGCGACGATCTGCGTAGTTGTACTTCCAGTCGTCCCACGTCGCAACAATCCCTTGCTATTGATGACATTGCTCGGGGTCGGGGACGACGCAAAGGTTTCAGTTTGCATCAACGACGAAGATGATGTTGAGGAGGGGGCGTCTACTGCATCGGTTTTTTTCCGCAGCAGGTGCGATTCCAGATTGGAGGCCGCACCCGGAGTGTTGATCGCGTGTATTACAATGAAAAATGCCCTCACCCCCGACCTTGGGAGCATTTGTATTGCAAACCTTTCCAAATGAAACACTTGCCCTCTTGCATCTATCAGCATCACAGGTTTCCAATCGTGGGTAGCAAAAATTTGCATTGCAAAAGACCGCAGCAAGAGTGGCGCTTGTCATGCAAGCGATGCGATACACGCCTAGAGCTAGACTCTGCATCAGAAAGATTCATACTCCTTTCATGCATGGCAAAAAGTTTTCATTTGGAAACGTCGCATCACAAACTTAAATTTTTGCACCTTTGGGGGTGGGGGTATTTTTCACTGCAATAGCGTGCAGCTTTCCTTCGGCGTCGTGTACAACGTTGGGGGCGACATTAAGCTATGCATTGCAAAAGCATCGCACTAGTATAAATTGCATCACAAATTTTGGCAAGAGGGATGAAAGTGGAATTTGTAATGCTGTTTTCCCTTAGGAAAAACATTTGTCATGTGCATTTGCAATTAGTACGAGTGCGATACTTTTGCACAGGATATAAGTCCCGGGATCTTCTTCACCGTGGGCGCCTCGTGCCTCTTGCTCTTCTTGTCCATCATGACAGTAGCTTGCTCCTCGTCAGAGGACGTCGTCGTGGTGGAGTTGCCGCCGCTGCCGTCGATTTGCCGCCCAATCCAACACCCGGTATGATACTGATCCCCGGGGTTGTCCGTAATGGTGCGGTACCAACCGACGTCAAACCAAAAAAAAAGAGAAAGTGCAGTCGCTTTATCATTTTCTGACTATGTCAATGGAAGGATGAAAATTTATAGTAAAAGTATGTATGCAAGTAGTTTCTTTCTGACTCTCTTCTATTGGACCTGCCATGGTTACGGGTATGCGAAGATATATGCATGTACTAGCACCATCAGCCTGAACCTGATTCGTTTCTTCTGCGGATGGTACAATTTTGCTTTCTTTCATGGTGCTTTTGCTTCTATATCTAAGTGGTCTTAAATTTGCTAGTGCCAAGCACACTTTCATCTTCACGTAGCATAGCCAACTTCGGTGAGCCCACACCGGGACACGTTTTTGCCGCTACCGTCGAAATCAAACGCGGAGAAAGCGAACAGACGCAGCTTTCCAAGCTCGATTTCCAGTCCTTCGTCGTACACCATCGACCAATCTGACGGGCCCATGAAGTGATGCTGCGTGTGCGTCGCTGCGGCGTTTTTGCCAGCCTGCATTTCTTGTTGCAACAGGCTGGGGCCCTTGGTCGCGATGGAGTGCAGATTTTGCTTGTGTCTTGTCGCATCATCCAGCACATTGTCCTCGCCCTCCTGGTGGACCTGTTCCTTCGCACCGTTAGCGCGTAGCAACGACAGCAAATTCAGGCTGCTGCTCGGGGTACTCTCAGCGAAACTTGAAGCTTTCAAGTGCGCTTCTGGCGTCTCGACAGTCGAACTTTCGAACAGCACTTTATCTATTCCAATCTTGAAGCTCGGCTGCAGTGTGACCTTCAAACGGAAGATTTTTATTAGAGAGGAGGCCCTCATTGCGCGACACAGGGGGTAATCATGTTCGCGACAAAGATCTTCACACTGGTAGGGACCGAAAAGTTGAGGGGCGGAAAAAGGAATAGAAGAGATAAGGAAGTGATAGAGAAACTGTTTTCTAAAAGAACAAACGTGCTAAAGTAATTGATTCCCGGCTCAGTTAGAGAGTACTTCCAATTTACTTGAATAGCGAGAGCTTTTTCTCCGGGGAGTTTTCGCTCTGGCTGCGAATGCGGCTTATCCGGTCGCTGATGTCCGTATCCACAAAAAAAGAGCCATCCTCATCCATTTTTTGTATGACAGACACTGCTTGGCTGCTCACATCTGATGCATGTTTTGTTAGGTTGCATGACAATAAATCCCATGGCGGGGTCGCGGATCGGTCCTGTTTTGTGGATAGTCCGCAAATATCGGAAAACGCGTTGCCGTACGGCTTGTCCTTGGGAGAGCCGAACGTAAACTCCCACTTCTTACCAGTCCCGCCGCTCTCCCCTGCCAGGTCCGAAGCCAAGCAGTGAACCGGCAAATCTGCAACAACGCTGTCCATCTGGTACAGCTGCAACGAGACCGCCGCAAGAGTAGTGGCGGAAATCCTCATCCTCTGCATCTTCTGCGGAGCAGCACGGCATGGTATTCTTCGCCGGCCTCTGTAGTCGTCGCCTGTGAAACAATTGCTAGATGAGCTTATTTCGTCCAGGGATGAACTTGATGACGCAGAAGTCGCCGAGCCGCTAATCCAAGCAGTGGCACGACAGCTGCTCAACAAAGTAGACCCTGGTGTGCTGAAAGTGGGAGCATACGAATTTCCAGCTCCTCGAGCGTCTTGGCTATTGTCGTGGACGGACGGTGGAGTCGTCCATTCCCGCGTGCCGCAGCTCTTTCTGGATGGGCTCGCTTCGCAGCAGAACGACCAACCGCTGGCATCTTCGTGTGGACCACCCTCCATCGAATTCCGCCAGGTGCTTTCTTTCTCGTTGCGGTCTACAGTTGTGAAAGTTTTTTTTGTACTTAAGTAGTACATCTTCCGAGGGCCACCTGGGCGACCGCACACGCAAAGCGTAAGCCAGGAAATCGTAGTACCGACTGACCACTGCCGCTCACAGTCACACTTAGAGTTAGACTTGGCAGGGAATATAAAGAAAACCACGAGGACAAGCAGAAGACTTAAATTTGCAAGCAAGAGTGGCCCCGCCCCTCCTTCACATAACTGGGAAGATGTCCCTCTTGTCTCTCACGACTTTTATCAGGGTGATTGCCGTGACCGTGTCGCTCTCTGTGGCATAGAATTGAGAGCGGTACTGTCGACGTTAGGAACACCACTACAAGTAGGGGGGGCAACCAACAACAGACGCGTTTGCGGTCTGTCCCTCAAAGGAAAATAAAAGAAGCAACTTCAGTCGGGTTTTTCACGTCTCTGCCTCTGGTACGATTTTCATGGAAAACAACAAGGACGAGGCCCTTCACCATGTTGGTCCTCGTCGCACTACCGATTTATCAAGCGGGACTCACTATCCTGTTTCCTTGAACCACGGACCGCAGCGGACTAGGGACCCTAGAGGATTGAAGCGCCTTTTTTCTTTCGGTTCTCTATGTCTAGCAAAATCAAAAAGTTGTATGCACGACCACGAAAAAGCCGCCCAGCTTCACAGAAGAGCCCGCATTCTTTTTTTATGCCCAGAAGCTTTCTTGTCTCACACAGCTTTGCACAAAAATCGGTTGCTCATCCACGGGGTTCGCAAACTTGTGAACCTGGCCCCAGATGTCTTCTTTCATCCGATAGCCGGGGTGCGCATCCCAGAAGCTCACTTTTGCATCTTGCTCGCGGTTGTACGCAGCGTACTTGAGCGTTTCGCGTTGTCCCCCGTCCACAATCTGCTTCCATGGTACATATTCGATGTTCTCCATCTCCGCACCGCCACCTCCTGCAAAATGGTTCGTTTTCTTGTTTGCACTTCATACATATCAATGCTGGTACTCGCAGCGCGTGCGCGGGCACTACTTTAGCAGATTCAAACATTGAAAATTACTTCCTGTGCTATCCTTTAGAATTAGATAAACTAGAAAGTCGTCGATGATATTTTTCTAATTTATTCCAGAGGAAACTGCGCCGGAAACACACGCGCAGCCACCGGGGTATTCCTTTTGTCGGAATACGCATATCGATAATGCGGACCCTGTCACTGTTGGTTGATGCGCACACGTCATATGCAGATTTAGCCTAGGTGTAGGCTCTTTTCTACGTATCATGATAGCCTGTTAGGTCGTTCTGTTGATGTATGGAAAATGAATTCAATATATCTATGAACCATGCAAATTATATCATCTGCGTCCTCAACCTCATCAAAAGCCTTACCGCCTCCGGCTCCCCTGCCTGCGGCCACTGCCGCGCCTAGAGGGTTGCACACGAGCGGACGTGCTGCCACCATGCTGGCCGCGGCATTTGCGGCTGGGTCGGCGGTCGCCAGGTCGAACTTGCCGTCTTTCCCTATGGCGTTCTCAAATGTTACATTCTGAACTGTTACATGCTTTGTAATGCAAAACCACAATCAGAAGTGACACGATCGAGCTGCTTCGCATGACAAATTCTCGAAGAGCCAAACAGGCTGAGAATCTGCGCCAGATCTGTCATGCAAGACGCGCAAGGTGACCCCTTTCACTTTTGCCATTTTTGCATCACGAATCCATGTAACAGCTGAGCAGAATGTAACAGGTGAGAACGCCATATTCCCCGTCCGGTAGTGGGAGAGCATTCGGGCCGGGTTGCACTCCCACACCACGGAACACGTTTTCTGGTATTCGTTAATGGCGGTGATCACCCCCTTCGCGCCGCCGCCCCCGTCTTCGTTTCCGTACCGGTTCAGGTCCCAGTCGGCTCCGCGTTCCACGGCCAGCCCGATGCGCATGTTGTCCGCGTGCACCCGGTTTCGCAACTGGAGGTTGCGGTCCTGGTGCTGATGTTGCGACGCGACGGCTCCAGCTGCTCCTGGTGCGCCGGGGAGCACCTATCAACTGTAAAAGTGACTGGGTCTGGAAGAATCTGAATCCAACTTGTCATGCTGATTTTGGATTCTAAAAAAATCTGTATTGCATGAGCAGCAAGAGGAGGCAAATTTGGATACGCGGAGAGGGCTTTTGTCATGCGGTATAGGCATCAGGAAGCTCTCACAAAATCTGTGATGCTAGGGCATGCATCACAGACAGCAGGAGTCATGCAAAATGTGCAAGACAAGCGTGGCAATCTTCCAGACCCAGACACTTTTACATTTGATAGCACCGTGCTCCGGACGACCAAATGATTGTACACGTCCGACTGGACCACTGGATGCGTGCCCATATCAAATGTAAAAATGTCTGGGTCTGGAAGAATGCAACTTGTCATGCTAAATCTGAAGCATGCAAAAATCTGTGTTGCATGATTACCAAAAGTCGTCCAGTTTTGACCAAGTCGGGAGAGAGTTTCTCATGCAGGATAGGCATGAGAGAGATCGCACAGAATCTGTCATGCTAGGTCCTGCATTCCAGACCTCATGGGTCATGGAAAAGCCACATGACAAATCGCGCACTCTTCCAGACCCAGACACTTTTGCAATCCATAGCCCAGACTGGAAAACAAGTCGTCCAAATTGTCCCATTCGCGCCACCCGCTCGAAACCTTCAGGGTGGTTTTGTCCACAATCTTCCGGCCCTCGATGCCCTTTTCCAGCGCGCGCTCCTGACCGTGCGCTGCGAGTAGCTGTAGTTTGGCGTTGTCCAGCCGGACAAGGTTCTTCCCCATGATGGCGGGGTCGGAGCCGGGAGGTTGGGCGCTGTCAGTCGTGATGTGGGACACGAATTATTATATCGCACGAACATCAATGTATAAGTGTGGACGAAGCAACATACATGATTTCGCTCCACTGAAGACAAGGAGAAAGGTGCTGCACAAAAAATGGAAGGAAGTAAATCCCAGTCTCAGCAAGAGCAAGTTTGAACAACACGTGGAGCTGAAAATAGTATAAATTAAATCAGGAGCGCCCCTTCACTTTTACTTAAGGGCAGAGTGTAGATTTTTGAAGGCTCGAGTTGCTCCTGGATCAAGAACTACAAAACACGATGAACAATATTCATTCGCATAGTACACGACAGGTGGAGCCACTGCTGCGCCACTTGTTGCGCCGACGATTTGGGTAAGTGAGTTCAGGGAGCCAGGCAGCAAGGTGGTTTCCAAGTCCATAGCGGGCTGTTCCGCATTTAGTACAAAGTGTAGCACGACCATGCCCCCGCGATCCAGCTTCAGCGTTCGCGCAATCGGAGTGCGGTCTATGGGAAAGACGTCGGTGGTTCCCAAAGTATGCGGCTGGTGGTGGTGCTGCTCGCCGTGCTTTCCGGTCGTCACCACGGACGTGCTGATTTGCAGCCGGACATTGATCACCGCAGACTGTCCTGGTTTCGCGTCCACAGGGATCCTTGGCACCCGGAAACACTGACCTATGTCCGCTTTCCGCAGGTGGAGCGCACCCGGGATGGGCGTTGTCAGAAAGGGCCCTAGCACTTCAAGCGTTTTCTTTCCGTCCGCCGACTGCACCCGGATGTCGATCAGGCCACTCCTGAAATGTATTGACAGGAAAAATTGTTCTTCGCAGTATTTTTTGTTTTTGGTCATGGTCACTTTCAGTGCACAAAACTGCCAGTGCAGATGAACTAAAGTGACACGACTGATGGTTGTCTTGCTGCAACTACTCCTACTGCATACCATGACCTTGTTACTCTCACCTGTCCAAAGCGTCCACATGTGGCAGGTCTTGCACCACCTTTAGATCCAGTACCGCAATCCGGCTTGGACCTCGACTCGATTGCAAGACCGTACTGGAAAGAGGGTCCACGCCGCCTTTCATCATGGTGAAAGACACACTGGCCGGCGTTTTCCGACCGGACTTTGCGTCCATGAAATACTCCTTGACAGGCTGCCCGAGTACCAGGTCGGAGTGTTGCAGGTCAAACTTCTATGGGTTACAAATATTTCCGGGACTGCTGAAAAGGTGCTAACTCGTATATCCATGCGTTCTTTCTGTCACGCTTAAAAATGTCACTCATGCATGGAGAGCAAAAGCTGCTCTCCTGATTTCAATCCAAGATCGAGTTGCACCAGCTAGAGCTAGCTCGGAATAAGCACTGAAGAACTCTTCAGTGAGAAAACATGTGATTTTGAAGGCATCCATGCTGCACACCTGGGTTCGATCCTTCTCCTAGGTTGGTGATGCAAAAGCTGCATGACAAACCTCGCTCTGCCGTGTTGGTGTTTCGCTTCCAGACTACATGATATTTGCATTTGATAGCTTGGGCGTCTTGACAACGGCTTCGGTGCTGAAAAAGCCCTCCTCTTCTAGTGCCAGCTCAAAGTGAGAAAAGCGATCCGGGCTATCGATCACCAAAACTTCATCGGAGAAATCCAGCTGATTGCCCGGTTTCGACGTTGCCGAACTCGCGACAGGCACCTTTAGCAAGTCATTGTTGTCCCCAAAATTGGTATATCAAATGTAAAAATGTCTGGGTCTGGAAGAATTGCATGTTTGTCATGCTTGTCTGGCATGACTCTCAAATCTGTCATGCACGTTACCCTAGAGCGCCATTTTTCTGTCATGCAGAAACGCAGTTTGTCATGCAGAATAGGCAACACCTAGAACCTCAGAAACTTGTCATGCTGAGCGAGCACTTGTGGCCTCCTCATGATACGCCAACCAGCATCACAAGTTTCCAGACCCAGACATTTTTACAGTTGATATGGTAGCCATCGCGTTTCGGTCGGCGTTTCGTTCGTCGGCCAAAAGTGGCCACGCCTCCACGACGAGCTTGTATTTGGCATGGCCGAGATATCCAGGAAAAAACACCCATCCCCATCCAATTTGTCATGCAAAACATGTATAAAATCCACTATTTGCCATGCAAAAAATGGATGGGGATGGGTGTTTTTTCCTGGATACGAGAAACATCATCTGTCGGCTGTCGAAGCCGGCAATATCCGTTATTCGAAGCCCAACTTGGTTCTTTCCACACATATCCTGGCAAAACTATTCTGCGGAGCCTCGGTCTCGGTCACCTTTTCTTGTCAAGCTTGGAGATGAGAGACGCGTTTTTTTTTGGCCTGCGGACCACTGTGGGTAGTCTACACGACAATCACAATCTCAACTTATTGCGCTCGAGCACACCATGTAGACAGACGCAACACGACCGTGATGAAAATGAGGATCCTAAAAATGTCATGCCGACCTCCCGGACTACGACTCACTAGTTTGCATGTCGAGAATTTCTAGAAAGCATTCACATTCTACTGCACCAGATGCAGATGATGCACATGCAGTTGCAGTGTACGCGCGCGACGGTAAAATCAATCAATGGGAAGCAGAGCATTTCACTGACCCGCGGGTGCCGAAAAGTTTTGCCCTGACCATAAAGCACGACTTGCTTGTTGTTTAGCAGGCTCCCATCCGTCTTTGGTAAAACCGCCGACCGCGATCGCTGTTGATCGCTCCCGCTGCTTGACTCGACAGCTCGCCCTCGCGCGGAGGTGCTCGGCCCCACCGACGCGTGTCTGTTGCTCGTACTACTGCCATAGTTGTAATTCTGCAAGCCCGGCATGGTGCTCGGCGGACCTGCGGCCTGAGCAGCACTCGGGTTGGTAAATTGCTGCGTGTTCGGGTACATTGGCGACTGGGAGGGTAAATTCTAATTATCGATGCAAAACGGAACAATTCCGTAGGCCGACCGTCAGCACGGGATCAAGATCATCCACACATCGTGTAGAGCATTTAACATAAACGAGCAAGTGAAGTCAGGACGTAAATGCCTTTTATTGTGGTTGCTGTTGCGATACCAGGAACGGTTATGCAAGGAAATCAACAGATGTAGTGTATCATGTAAAGCACGAGCAAGACGACCACCACAATTGCGCACTATCGGGCGGTTCGTTCTGCAACAAAACTCAATCAGAGCGACAGTGCTTCTAACTCCGTGTTGTCACTGAAACGGATCCACGCATGAATTGTGTGGCTGCGCTTGATGACCTCGAGCGAGTTTTTGCTCGGAATTGGGAAAACTGTTTAAGTCGTAGTGTTCGGTGCCAATACTGAACTGCTGCACGTCCTTCGAAGTGCTGATATCGTACCGCTGCGGCGTCGACATGACAACGTGCCGTGGCCGACGCCGCGGGCTAAGTAAAAAAGCTGCCCCAAGCGTGTGTCGCAAGCGATTTCTCAATACTGCTCCGCCGGGGTTAGCGCTTCTCCGTTCTACCTTGACGTAACTGCCTGCGCCGCACAGTGGGGTATTTCTTGCCTACGGGTCGTAGTACCGGTAAATCGATCGGGGGATCATGTCCATAGGATACAGGATGCGCACAAATTGTTAAATCGTCGTGCTGCATACGGAGAACAAAGATTCACACTCACGCTCCTCGATTGTTTTCTTTTTCTTTTTGTCTGCCACGTTGGAATTTCGTCTACGTCGCTCTACTTTCGTCCAACTTCACTCAGAAGAGCATGCGTCTAAATCGCCTTCGCCACTCAACCTCATGATCTTCAGCATCAAACGATTACGATACCTTCGATCTGGTGCCTCACGTGGTGTCAAAAATGTCATCGGGCCTTCCTTTTTTGCCTTGCTCAAACCGATGCCCATCCCCTCTGACGAGAACCGCGATGGACAGCTTTTGTACCAAAGCATTGACTTCCATCCTGATATTTGTTCGGATGGAAATCAACAAAACTATTTCTTAGGTGAGCGATGGAGACGCATGCTGACATACGGAAGAAAGATCGCACGGTAAGTCCGAGTGCAACTCTAACTGTTGATTTTCAGTATGATATTCTTGTGAACCAATGCGCGCTGCTTCTCGTTCATCACTGAGACTGATCGAGCTCTGCTTCCTTCTCCTTCATAGCTCGCCAGTCTAGCGGAGCCTTCTCGAAGTAAAGGTTACTGCATTCCACACCGAGTGCGGTGTTGCGATCCTTGACGAACGAGGAGATCATTTCCCTCGCAGAAGCCAGCCCGTACACGTAGATCGCGAGGAGACTGGGAACGACGCCCGCTACCTGCCGGGTCAAGCTGCGGCCCAACAGCCCAAACGACTGCTGCACTTGCTGTGCCTGCATCGGCGATTCGCACCTTTTTGCGACGTAATTCTTCACGAAGCTCATGTTGCTCCACCGCGCCTCTATCCGGTCGAGGCGGGCTTTACCGAACTTGTTGCACGCGAAAAAAATCGCCGCGTACAGACCCACGATGCCCCCCATGGCCAGAGCAGACGGGTTCTGCGAGGCTTCAATCAATTTCTTGTCGAACAAATCCAGACGGTCGGCGGGGTAGTCGTGGACGAGCTGCGCAGTTTGCATGATCGCACCGCGATACCGCATGGCCGCAAGCAGCCGCTCGAGCGGGGCGGGAATGCTTGTGGTTCGCGCAATCGTGGTCGCGGTCTGCGAGAGAATCTGTGATCTGGAAACGGAATCTCCTCCTGCTTCTGTCGATGCCAGCTGAACTCCCGTAAGCGCCGTACAGCTTGTCCCAGTTGTCACGGAGCCAGATGACGAGGCTGCAGCCGGACCTGCAGGACTAGGAGCGAAACTTGAGGCGAGCATTGCTTCGGCTTCCGTGTAAATAAACTAATGAGTACTAGGATCTTCTTGTTGCAGCTTGCGGAGATAGGAATAAGTACGCACAGCTATGAGGCTCTCTTGCTTTTTGAAATCAGTTGCTGCAAGGGAGGGTGGAAAGTCGAACCATTGCCGACGAATATTTCTAGTTTGGTAGTGAGTTACGTGGTCATAGAAAATGAAAAAAAAAATGTGTAAACCTAAACCAGCCCAATTCCAATTCGGCGGAAGAAACGAGGACGATGCAATCCTTTTGCGAACGCGTGCGCGTGCTTGACGTTGACGCTGAACAGCTTCGACCATAACACCCATGGTCATGATGTCATAAGAACGAAGAAAAGAAATTCTTTTATACAGCGCTTCCACGTCGAGGCAGTAGAAAGTCGCTTTTCATAAGATGTGATATACAATGAAGAGGCATTCTTTTGTTCGTCTCCATTTTGAACCAAATTCAGAAGAAGAAACTCGTCGAAGAGCCTCAAGCTAACGGCGTTGGTTGGATGCACTCCGTCATCGTACTCACTAGTTTTCTGAGCTACAACAGGGCCTCCAGACGGCGACTGTCTCACTTTTGTTCGTGCTTGCGTCTGCCTAGCGATGTTTTCGAAATCGATGATGCGAACTCGGTATGATATGGAAAACCACCCTCGCCCTCAATCTTTGTCTTGGTTGCCCACAGTCTGCAATGCGGGGGGCGAGTATTGCGCCTGCGTCACTACTTGCAGTTGGTGGAGAGTCCGGCTAACTACTGCATGTTCCGTGTGACGTCAAAATTCAGGGTGGGTGTGATTTTAGAAATACATACTCCGTTCTTCCTTGCCATCTCACGACCGGCCTCATTCAAGACGCTGACCCTCCCACCGTACCACCAGTCAGATTTTGAACTGTTTGCGCGCGTCACTATGTTCGCGGTCCGCCATGAAATCCTCGGCGTCACAGCATTGTTGTGCAAGTGCAAAAGACCGGCCCCAAAGACACGCAGCTGCCCTTGCGTGGTGTTTCCATTGTTCGCGGTTCGTCGAGCCACCAAGCTGGTACTGGTTTCGTTTTCCACATCTGAACCGCTTGCTAATGAAGGCCGCTCTTCCATTTTATTTTCTTCTGGAAGACGAAAGAAGTCACGGATCGAACGAACTAGGATGGTTGCGTTTTCGACAAATGAAGCAGCAAAGGGCGGCAGGGGAGGTGCGCTTCTGAGTCCTTTCGAAGCTAATTCTTGTGCTTCGTCATACCACTGGTCCAGTGCTCGCAGCTCCTGAGCCGCAGTGTTACCAGCGTTCTTGCTGTTTCCACCAATCTCGTTGCGAGATTTTCCATCTTCCTGAGCAAGATCGCGGAGTCTCGCAAGAGGCCAGAAGTTACTGTGCAGAACCATTTATGCATGGTGCAACAAGTTGCATCGGTACATGTGAAGTCTGTTGCTTTTTGTTTTTATGCGATATTCTGTGGCCTCAGCTTGTTGATGTTGATCTTCTTGCATGATCATCATACACAATCAAGGAGACACGATAAACCTTTGCACAGCATACGATATGTTCTAACTGAACCTCTACGCTGGTGGGGGGCTTTTTTGCGCTGGCACCATCAACCACACGTCTTGAGAGGGCGCTTACAAAGTCACGGACAGGATTTGCAATCACATCCCGAAAAAAATCGTATGGGGTGCCGCGTTGTAACGTTTTCTCCTTCTCCCGCAAAGGCAAACGCTCATCTTCCCAGGAAAACCGCAGGTGCCGATAGGGCGGGGAGTCGCTGACGCCGAACGCGTTTCGAATGGTCACCACAAGCTCAATTGTCGTGTTTTTTGCTGCTTGTGATCGTCGGCTCTCAAGTTTGACGCTTCTTGGAGGCGTGATCACGCACACCCAGGGGTCAAAATACCTTGCCCAGGGATACCGGTTTTCGAAGTCGGAGAAAACCGAGCTGAGACGATTTGTAATTTTGAACGCCTCGTCGTTGCTATCATCGTGATCCGTCTCCTGCCCACGGGCAACAGGGTCAGAGAACCGCTCTCCCTGCACCTTCCCGCTGATGCCCGGTGCTTTAATCCTCCCTGGGCTAGGGAGATGGCGCGCGTCGTGGTGGCGATTTAGGAAATTTGTGTACTTGCGCAGGCTATTCGGGAAGGCAACGAGTCGACCACCACGTTCCCTGCATCCGTTTTGATTTGCCACTCGATCCACGGAATCTCCGACCACTAGAAAGACGGCGACACGCACACCTGCGCCTGCCGTTTGACGCACAGACGATATAATGCTTTGGGACTGCTCCTCCTGGCCCAAAGCTTTCCAAGGGGCGTTCCTGTCAACGTAGCCCGTCTTGTGCTCCTCATCCCGCACCACATTGAGCCGGTCGGCGTGCGATTTGGTCGCTACGTGCTTTCGGTGCGCGAAGAACTCTGGACAGCCAACGAGCCGTCGATACAATACCGCGCACGACAAGAGGGAGGATATGAAAACACCGCAAAACGACCACGGGCTGGATGAACCCAGCCAACATCCGCAAACCAGTCGAATAGCATATTTTGCAGAGGACGTGTTCAACACGCCAGGTGGATGAGCCCGAGGAGGATGACACGAAGGGAAAGCTTCAGGTGGCCGCATAAACCCTCTCGTTGGTATGGCGGCACGAGCAGGAGCAGCCCTTCTTTACATGTCGTTCATGAGTCAGTAAGACGTGAAGATCACAAAGATAACCAAACAGCGAAATACAAAAAGCGCAACAGATCACTGGGACTCCTGCTTCACGGAAGGCAGTACCTCCGATATCCACGACAGCTAACACTAGGATCTTCTTGGTTGTCATGAAAGCGAGTGCGATTTTCAGAGTTTTGCGTTTATTTGCTTTACAAATCTTTTGGCATGTAGTTGCTCCTCTCATCTTACGCTTGTCATAGGCTTTCAGGAAGACCCGAATCGCGCAGACCTCTTCGATCTTCATACGTACGAACATGAGCAGCCAGCGGCTTTTTACAACTGCGGCATCGGCATGAAAAATCCACGTCTAGAGAATACCTTTGCCTTCATTTGTTCGCATGCGGATGCGCTGGTGGTAAACATTTTCTTACGTCAACAAAATCAAGAGACCGGATCTTCAAGTGCAAGCATAAAAAACTTTACGGCGGCACCGCTGCAACCCCACCGCAAAATGCCGTGAGCTTTTTCGAAAAAAAGGATCGGCGGCCTTCGCCTTTCAAACGCCAGCGCGGGCCGTGCTGCCCTCTCTCGATCCGATTACGATAGAACGTGGAAAGATCTCAAAGACTGGTCGTAGCTGTGCTGCGTTTCCGAGGCCCAAGTTGCAAACTGTTTGCCACACCATGCGCCGCAACCGCTCGTCCTCCTGTTCAGCTTCCGGCGGTTCGACTTTTTCACCAACGCACCCAAGCAATGCCCGAAGAACCACTAGCGGCGACCGCTCACACCAATCGTGACAGTTTCTCCAGAAGAGAAAGGCTATCGCTACGACCTGGTCACGCGCTTCAACTGCCTCAATTAGCGGAAGATGATCGCCCGAGGGGTTACAACTGTGTGGCGCAGCCCCGGAAGACGACGAAAATGCGCCTGCGATTTGTAGCACCAGTGACCAGACCACAGTCATGTCGAGTGAGCCTCTGGTGCGGTCGTCGACAGCCGCGTCTGCGCTCGTTGTCCTCGAACTGAAAATGTAGAACTGGAGGCAGTTGACAAGGTCGGACAGTTCAAGAAGCGCGCCGACGTTGTTCTCGTTTCCACCAACACGGACGCATGCGATTTTCTCGGAACTGCCGAGCGATTCTTCGCGGGAGCAAGAAGTGCTCGGCGACAAAAGGTACTGCTCAATTTTTTTCCTCATGTCCGTCACCGTACGTCCGTCGAGTTCTGCAACGGACGAGTACAGTGCTGCAACCTCGCAGAAGTTGTCTATATCGACGCCGTCCGTCGAGACGTGAGGCCGCTCCCGTCGATGTGTTAAGGAGAGCGCCTCGATTCGACGTGCGCCGTATCGTCGCACTGTTCGTGAGGGTTTTGCTTTTGCGACATGAAAATCGGGCATAGAAAGTTTTTGCACAAGCGTGCTAGAAATGAAAACGTTTGCCGTCGCAAATCCGCGCAAGCACGCAAAGCGTTCGGCGAAGCATCCATCGTTGTGCAGGTCATGTTCGCAAATAATTTCCGAAACTTCAATGAGCGCCTTAGCCCCGGTAGATGAATGCAAGTGCGAGGTCCCTACAAGAAGGCGGTGCAGAAACAGAAAAAGCTCTCTCCTAGAAGTGCGCCTCGGGATTCGATGTTCATCGCTATTTGGAGGACGGAGCGTCATGGACGCGTGAAGTGCTGGATTTTCCGCACGCAGCCTGCGATCGTGTTTGCGAATAACGACACCGATGTGGCCGCCGTGGTCTGTGGGCAAAGGTGCTGCTGGCAAGCCGAAACAATCGTTGGCCATTTCTCCCACAGCGGACCGAATAGCAAGCCATAGTTCATGAAGTAGGGTCTCGTCCGTGTGCTGAATCTGCCCGAAAAGTTCCAGAAAGTCCGCGGCGTCGTAGCCGTTCAGCATACTGCGCGTCGCAAACCTTCGCCGAATCTCCTGGCAGGCCAGCTCCAAGGCCAATGCTGGCTCCCGGCGGCCTTCTTTCGTGTAGTTTCTGGTGGAATTAGAGCAGCTTGGGCTCTGCGACGCTGCGGCGCCGTCCACAGCCGCAGCACAGACACGCACGATCCGAAGCAAGTCCTCTTTCGACCAGAAAAAAGCACGACGGCCAGGGAAGCCGCATACAATCCGACCTACTGCTGCGGCAAGCTGTGATATTTCCGTTGTTGCTGATGTTGCATTGGCCTGCGTAAAAACGATGGAAGTTGCGGCAATACGTTCTTGCAGCTCTTGCTCTACAAATTGCTCTCCACTCCTGCTCCCGTCATCGCTTGTTTGGAGGTGCAGCACGCTATCTGCCAGCGTCACCAAATCCGCCCTCGCAGAATGATTGCGACTTGTCTCGCCTTCCAATCGTTCAACAACCACTGGATCATCGAGCACATCCACAAGCGCCTGGCGGACCTTCGGAAGGGAGGTGCTTGCCGATGGGGAAGAACGTAAGGCCTGCGCCCACTGTAGAAAATCGCAACTCGAAAATGCCGACGATGTTGCTCTGGTTCGCAACACGCGCGCCAGGAAATCGTCCCATTTTTGAAGGTTTTTCAGACGCTGTTGTTCGCCGAATCCCAGAGCGACCGTGTCGTAGTTCCGTTCTGTGCTGCGGTGAGAGTGGTCCTGCTGAGAGCGAAGATGGTCTTCGTCACGCGCTGTGGCTACAACAGCGCAGACATCAGCGAGCAGTTGGAGCAGTTGCAGTGCGGATGTACCAGAAACAGCAACTCCGTGTAATGCCCTGTCGCTATAACTAAGTGATTGTCGATTTCTGGACAGCTGGGGCTGGCTGTGCTCACCCTCGCCGACACGACACCCGAATCTAAAGTGCTGCTCCTTCACGGCCTTTTCAGCATCTCCAAGCGCAAACGTACTTTCCACACGACCCTGTACGTTGCCAATCAAGCAGTCAAAGGTTCGCCTGAGTAGATCGATATCCCCACCTTGCTCAGCAGCATGGCTCTCGACAAGTGGAAAGCGAGCGAAGAATCCAGAAACGCAGGCGACAACTTCGTTCGTGTAAGGATCAAAAGCAAACAGGCTCGTGCTCTGCAGAATTTGGACCAGCTCCGCTCGAAACGCACCTTTCTGTTTGCGGTCTGACGCAGCTGATACTCCAGCATTCGTCGAGGACGTCGACCTTTGCCAGTCGTGTAGATTTATCTGACGCAAAAACTGCGTGATTCGAAGAGAAATCGGTACGGGTGACGCCGCAAGAGGTGCAGTCGCATCTACGTGGCCGGCCCCCGATGGCGACCTGACCGCAGCCGAATTGCTACAAAATCGACACTTGACGTGTCGTGAAATAAATCCGACAAATAGAGTGGCGCAACCACGACGAGGAGCGCGCTCGTCTACAGCTGCCGAAAGACAACTCCTCGCCGACCCGAAGAGACCGCTCTGGATCAGGCAGCGACATTGTCGCTTGAATTCCAGAAGTTGTTGCCCGAGGCGGGGCGAGGCAATCACGGCGCACGAGGACACCATAGAAAGAACAAGCCGGGTTTCGATTCTTGATGGTATGCACTCCAACAGCAGCGATTCTATGCACTACGAGAAGCAGCTGCAGCCGCAGGAGCCTGCGCGAAGCAGGTCGTCTCACTCTACTTCTACCGCGGAAACGAACCGCCGAAGCAGTGTTGCAACTTGTGGAACTTCTCTTCGTACTTCTTTTTCACGATTTCCCAGGCCTTTGCGCCACCGTCTTCCTGGTCGTCGATTTTATAGAACCGCACCTCTGTCAAGTACAGCTTCTTCAAGGTCTCGACCTCGTCCTTCTCAAGTAAGAGCGGGTCGATACCTTCTTGTTCCAAAAGCTTGGCAATGTGGGTTCTTTCCGGATTCAGCGGATTCGTGCCATAGACCCATTTTTCCCACCACGTCGAGGGCTGGCGGGGGGCGTCATTTCGTGCGCGAAAAGGCCAAGATGACACTGTCGCTCCCGCAGACGCACCAAAAGTCCTCCTGCTGGTGCTGGTCGAGAACGTGAATGGAAAATTTTTTGGCGTGCCAGCACGCGGATGGTGATGAACAAGCAGCGACGAGGACGAGCTGCGACGAGACGTTATGATTGGAGAAACATAGTAGCCGCTCGTCCATTTGCTTTTGCACTCACCGGCCGGTGGGGAGACGAACAAGGCCCTGGGTTGGATGTTTCGGGAACACACGCATCGCCTGCAGTTTGTTGGCTCGCGAACCTTGCGCATGTTGTTCCGAGAAACAAGAACAGAACAAGGTGGTAAGTTCGCTTTCTACCAAGAAGGAAAATGATCGCGAACGAAGAAAAGATACCCACACCTCCTGCTGCGCAGTCATCATACATATGACTAGTTGATAAAACCAAATAAACGAGGAGCGCCCTCTTTGTAGCCGAACGCGAACCACCTCTTATCTTGCTGCGCATCACGCAGAGCAGTAGAGAATTCTGGTCCTGCAGTCATGTCCTTTCGTCTATGACACGCAAAACAAAAAGTATGGTCATTTTCAAGATAGTCCTGCAACAAAGGTTGCGAGGAGCAGCTTCGACGGTTGCCGAAAAATATGATTCATTGGTGTGCAGACACGGCCCCCTAAGACGTGAGAGTTTCGGTAGACCAGCAGCAGCATGATTTTTGTGTTTTTGTTTATGATAAATTGCATGAAAAAGATGACTCACAAGTCACGACAGAAGTGTGAAGCTGATTTTCTGGCTTAGATGTGTGCTCCATGTTCCTGTTGACGTTGAGGTTTTTAAAAAAAATCTTATTAGTAGTTGCAGTTGTGTGGGTGCACCTGCTTCAGCACGGTCTTTCTCTTCGATGATGGATAGTTCTTGCTACTACATCATCTACAGGTCCGGGTCCAGGTCTGCTTCATCCTTCGGTAGTTCGTATTTTTTCAGATTTTCCAGAAAGCCGTCCTGGATTTCCTTCTCGGGCACTCTTGTTATGGTTTCGTCAGACGTTCTTGCACATACCCAGCGACTATGCTTTTCTTTCTTTTTACATTCATCTTCGCGATGCAAGTTTCAATCCGGCGGCGGGTGCAAGATTAGGACAAACGTCCTTCTTACGTACGTCGCACTCAAGCGGACGCGCATCAGAATATGCAAGCGTATTAAGTGGGAGCGGCTGCGGCCCAAAAAATGTAGGTACCACGACCTCCGACTACAAAAAGGTTATATGCTCTTCAAGTCTAGTGCGGCCACTTGTTGCTGTTATCCATGGACTACAAGTGGACGAGGCAAACATCTGCAAGCGCGCATGGCAGTTGAGAAGTTATGCAAGATCTGCGAAGGCCATATCCTTGTCGCGAAGCTTCTGCATCTCCGCGTTGAGGTTCTCATGCCACTTGGTCTGCTTTATCAAAAGGAAACATCCCCCCTCCCCATATCAAAACGGAGCTTCTGATGCTGGACTTGTGTACACAAATCAGCTTTGTATTGCAGAGAGGCACGGCGGCCAGATCCCCAGGCTAGGTAGGGACGTATGGGGCTAGTTGTTCAGCCTGGCAAACGGCTTCCCTTTAGTCCCAATAGCATGACAAATCGCTTCCATAATGGGGCGAAAGCTTCTGCCGTTGTCTTCTTGCAACAGAAATGCGAATTGTGGCCTCAAATCAGCGAACACAAATTTTCGGAAACATACCTTTTCGATATGGGGAGGGGGATTTTTCCTCACGATATGCTTTTCGCGTTCTTTATCCGTTTCCTCCGTTTCTTTCTCCTGTTTCTGCTTCGCCTCATAGGCTTTCTGTGCGGTTTTTAGGTACTTCTTCGTCTGCTCGTTGTTCGTCATTTCGGCGCACGTCTTCCCATTCGCCGCTGGCTCATTGTAAGCCACGACGCCAGCATCAATGAAGACCTCGGTGTACGAATGATTACACAATTATGGTCATCGTCATGCTCGATTCCTCAACGGTGAATCAAATGATGTCCTTGCATGAACATGATCGTGGTCAGGAAAGAACGCATTCTGTACCAGAAGCGTCCTCGATGATGAGATCCGCCCCACGTTCCGTATATACGTGACTCTACGATAAACAAAATTTCAGTTTGAATACCTGAACAGTTTTGGTGTGTCGCTTCTCCCTTCCCCAACAAGCCCGGTGGAAGGCCTTGTAGCCATCAGAGTGGGGCACTTCCTGCACTCCGGCGTCGATCAAGCGCTCCGCAATTTGATCCCGGCCTTGAAATCCCGCTCCGTGAAAGACGGTGTAGCCATCCTTCTCGGGAATGGTTACGTCGGCATCCTTGTCGAGAAGCATCTGGAAGGTCTTCAGCTTTCCAGCCAGCATGTATCAGGGTGCGCAATTCCCACTGCAACTCATTCAAAGGATCTCGTATGAAGAACGGCAAGCGAAGGTGAAACACGAAAATAAGCAAACTTGTAGCCTGGTGTGCGTGACAAAAACACTATACGATGAATGTACACGACGCACAAGAAGTCGTCTTATTCTATTGCTGCGGCTTCCACTACAGTTCATTCTCATGCATAAGACAGTGCCGAAGCCTAGAAGAGGTTGATGTAGGGAAGACGAACTCAAAACAAATCAAATTGATTTGGCGTCGTGCGTGACATGAACGTACGTCGGGAAGTTGTGTACCCTGATAGCACGGCGTGCATAATCGGTGACTGGAGCGTCTGGGGCTGCTGTTGATTGATTAGCCGCAACGTAGATTGTCCCACGTACTTGTCCCACACTTTCTGGCCCTTCTCGATAAACGTTTTCACGTAGGACGACTTCTTCTGGTCGATGGCATCGTGCAAGCCGACGATTATAGTATGCCAGAGCTACCATCAGAAAAATCAAATGAGAAGATTTTTTCAAAGGTGGGCGGATTTTCGTTGTCCTATCTACAGTTAGACGACTTCTTCTAGTTGTCCTCATCGCAGCTGCTGGCGAGGCGCAGCAATGCTAAATGCTGACTCCAGGTGAAATTTTTTTGAAAAAAGTCCGGTAATTGTTGATTCTGACACTTGGTCCTGGATACAATGCTTCCTTCAATTCAAGTGGCTTGGCGTCGTCGAAAGCATTGATGTAGTTGTCGTCTGTGTCCATGAGAACAGACGTGAGGAGCCGCGCATCGGATCCAGGGTTACTCGCAGCAACAGACTGTCGGCCGATAGTGTTATCTTGCAAGTAGAGAGTGAGCAATAGACGTGCACCAGCAGCACGCCGCGATTTCCGGGCACAACCGGGAGGCGGGTGCGACGGCCGAGAAGCTGTAACCATCTTGAATGACGCCGTTAGCGAACGAAGCTTTGCGAAAGTTGAAAGCAGAGGCAGCAGTAGTTCCGCTACTATTATTTGAGCTCTTCACTCGAGCCCGATCCTCGACCTCAATCTTGTGTCAAGCCTACGGGAGTTTTGAGGTTCGTCGACATGCGCTGTTTCAAACAAAACATCCACTCATGAAAGAAGGAGCGCAAAAGCAAAGCAAGACGAGAGTCAATTATGAGATATTCAACACCAGCATCGACCCGCTCCTGTTCTGATGAATGAGGAAGCCAAAATAATTCTTACCTGTGCCTGATCCTGAATACTGATCTTCCGGATTGTACTTACTGCTAGAGACAGCAGCAGCGCCGGAGGAAACGGGAAAGGACCCTGTTCCGATGCACCTACGTCCCGCAGAGGCACACAATCACAGCATTTTTCTTAGTGCCTTTTGATCGACCTGATCCTAATGCAAGAGCAAGGATCACAGTGACAATCAGCGACTTGGCATCTTCACTTCTCGGAAAATGTTGAAATGTCTGCATCATCGTCTTCCATCCTCCTCCCCGTAGAAGTAATATGAGGAATCCTCACGTAGAAAATATTTATTGAACCGAGGTATATGCATAGGCCGCATACCAAAGCAAAATCAGCAAAAATATTAAAGCGTCAAAAATTGAAACGGCGATATAGAACCTATTCTTGTGCCTGCAGCCTTGAAAAAAATCCCTAAGGTATTGATCTTGCTAAACCTGCTAACGAAACAGAAACCTGAGGCGCATCCAGAAACCATGCGCTTGTGATAAAGCTAAAGGTCGTCCATACGGGACGAGCATCGATTTCTAATTCTCACTATGTCCATCTCTGCAACCATGCTAGCCATCAACGCAACTTCAAAAAAAAAAAAGCGCTTAAGTATTTATTCTGCCTTTCATTTTGATCTCCTACTACTTGTTCTGGTCAAAAAATATTCAGTAAACGTCAGCAAAAAGAAACATCCAAAGCTCGAAAAACCGTCCTATGTTTTTTTTGGATCAATGACAATGATCTTGGTCATGCCAAATCAGTTCCTTCGTAAATCGATGAAAAATCTGCAGTAGTGGATAATTATTTGCAGTCATACCACGTGTCTCCAACTTTTCCGTCTACGACCAACTGCGTCCGGAACCGAAAGTTCCCCCCCTCTGACGGGAAAGGGTTGGACATGCAGTCTTTGACGATCCGCAGCGCCTTATGGAAGTGTCAGAATCGAAATTGACAAAATCGAAAAATTTGCGATGCACAAAATCGATGTCAGTTGGAGCCTGGCCTCTGTTTTCAAGTGGCGCATGACAAATTTCGGGAGTGCCCAATTTCAGTCTCTCATGCTGTTTGGGCAAAGAAGACTCCTCCTGCAATGCTACTCTGGCAGCACATTGCATACCCCTAAACAGGCTCACAATCGGTCTCATTTGCCTGCTCCCCAATGCAGGCTTTCAGCGCCATACATTTTACGCATCACAAATTTTTCGATTTTGTCGATTTCGATCCTGACACATCCATATGCCTCCTCTCCGTGTTCCCGTGGTCCCTCGAGGATCACCTCGTCGTGAATCTGGAGAATCAGCTTGAAGCCCCATTGCTGCAAGGTCGGATGCTCGGCAATTCTTAACATCGCGAGCATTACTATGTCCGCCGCCGATCTGAATGAGATAGATTTAATTATACCTGGTGCCAGTCACTACTTCGCTGATGTCGAAGAGATAGCTCCATCTTCAACTGAAATCTATATGCGGAGCATGTGCTACTTCGTGCTGTGAGGATGAGGGCAAAGCGAATCTATTATGTGGTGCTGGCCAACTACATAACATGGAGTCGCGATGGAGATGGTCCCGTATTAAGGTGGGAAGGAGGAAAAATCTACATCAAGTTAGTATTCATTGTACCCCTGGATTTTGTGGTTGATCCCCGCTCGCTCGCTGTGAAGGCGATGCTTCACTTCGTGGTGCAGAATGTGTGGCAGCATTCTATTCCTTCCGAAGAGCGACGCGGTCTTTTTCCGGCGCCGCATGTGCTTCTCGATTTGCCGCTTCCACTTGATAACCTCAGGCTTGAAGTGGTACCACTTCTCGATAACTTCTTCAGCTTCTTTCGTGCTCACATCGGGCTTATGCGTTGTAAACATGTCCAAGTCGTCCTCAGCTAAGCGTAAGACCAAGACAGTACAACTACCGAATGCAGCACCCGCCTACAGGTCGCATGCCCGCTCTGGGCCGCGACGCAATCAGCTGCTATCCAGATGATTTATGAGTAAATTTGAGCTTGCTCCAGCTCCTCTACCGGAAGCAAATTCCGCTCATTTCTGATGACGTACACGGGAAAAGGACCGCCGTGAAGATTCATCACACATCATAATACGCTTGTGCATCGTGGTGCTGTGCGGCAGGGGCAGGGCAACAACATATCAAACATCAGAGCGTATTTCAACCTGCTTACGCTTTTCCTGATCGAGACATGTATGCTTCTGATACAGCTCCTTGCCGATGGAAAACGCGCTGCGACCGTAGGCGATGCCGAAGTTCATCGTTTTCGCGGCCTTTCTCTTGTCGCCGAATTTTTCCTTGATATCTTCGTTGCTAAACTTATGATATTGCACAAATACGACTTCTCATCTCCATGTTGGTCCCCCCTCGTTTCGCATTCTTTTTCTTCGACCTTATTCGACTCGTCTCTGAGGTTTTTTCTATTTGGACCTATGATGTTCGTTGTAGGTCAGTATCATGAATAACAATAATGCTAATGGTGTTTTGTTTGCAGCTCGAATGCGTCATCTAGACAAGTGCAAGTTTCAGAGCTCGAATCCGAATGAATACATCAAAATTGATGCAGAAACAGCTGGTGCTTGGTGGTTTACCGTGATGCAATCATGCGAGGATCGACGATGAGGAAGTTCACAAAAGGAAGTCGTAAGTGGTCCTGTACCCCTCTGATATATTTCTTTCTTCCGCAGCGGTTCACCGATTTCCTGCGGATACATCTCCGCTGCCGTTTCGCTATGGAAGTCCCCTCCAGATTCGAATTTCTCCAGCATGCTCTTGCAGTTCGTCTCGTGCGCAAAGACTCGCAGTTCTAGCTGCGAAAAGTCACAAACGACCAGGCACTTGTTTTCGGAAGCACGAACCGCACGACGAATCTGGTACACCTGTTGACGACGGAGATGGAATGACGCGTGTAAAAAGACATGTTTTTTTTTGTGATATGCAGTGGCTAAAAACAGAGCATCTACACCGACTCATCCACATCGTCAACATCTTATAATTGAATTTTCGACACGATAGTACGTCTTTGTCCAGTGCTGGTTGATTTTGCAGGTTTGGTGCGCGGCAAGCTAGCCGTCCCGTCGACGTGTCTAGCATCAGACTCGGATGTATCCTTCCTCGACTGTCGCTAGCCAGCGCTTTCTATCAACTGTAAAAATGTCTGGGTCTAGAAATTTGTGATGCATGTCAGTGAAAAGAAAGCGCACTGTAATGCGCCGCCAGGCATGACAAATTTATCCGTGGCTCCCTGTTGCGTATTCCGCATGACAAACAGCGTTTTTGCATGACAGATAAGAGGAGCTCTTGCTGGCCACGCAATACAGAGCTCCGTGTCATGCCCAACTAGCATGACAAATCCCGCCTCCTTCCAGACCCAGACATTTTTGCTTTTGATACTTTCAGTGGTTTAATGAAGTACGCAAGCAATGTATGGAAGTCTCAATCGGGAACTTGTAAACGACAACAACAATGTATCATGCATAATTTCATGCTTTTTTACTTTTGGTTTGGTCATGAGGTGCATTACCGATTCCCCAGCTGACGCTCCCATACATTGACTGTGCTTGTTTTGCCTTCATCAGTGCTTCTAGCAGAGGCGCTTTTGCGCGCTCGCTCTCGTAGTAGTGGTTTGCGCACTGGTCCCGGAGTCTCTCCAGTGAGGCTCGACAAGTTCTTGTATCAAACTACAGAAGCTAATTCAAGCTAGAGCTACTTACTGCTACTACCGACTAACACCGCCACTTGCTGTAATCCTTTCTTCTCCGAGCGTCAATGTATGTACTGCTTCGTGCACCGTGATCTTTACATACACGAGAGTAACTAAGTTGAAGTTTCTATGCTTTCTGTCTGATACTTGGGCCAGCCGCCTTGTCCAATGAACTCGCGGTCGTGTCGCACCGGGCGCAAGTTTAGACCGCAGACAAGAAAAGTCTCCTTGGTTTTCGTCTTTGGGCGACCAGCGCTCGGAGCCGGTGCGTCCTGGTCCTGAGTAGACCCCCCGTGGGTGCCGATTTCCTCACGCGTGGTGGAGTTGCTTGCGGTGTCCTCTTCAAGAGACGTAGTACCTACCGCCGTTTCGGACGGCGAACTACATTCGTCACCTTCCTGTAGCACTTCGATCGTAAACTCGCGTTTCGGCGGAACCATTTTCGTTCGGTCGCGCTGATTCCTGACGGCCTGTCCGCGTTGTCCGACCCGCGGGCAATAGTTTCCGTAGAGAAACTATCCACAGGAAATCTCCCATACAAGTACAAATGCGGTCTCTGGATGACAAACCCAAGCCTTGCCTTCAATCGCGGTCCGCATGACAAGCATATCGAGTAGTTTCTCTCAGTTAGGAAAGCTTGTATGTGCATTTTGTGCATGTACTGTAAGTCGAAATGTGTATTGCATAGAAACACCCGCAGCTGCTCCGGCGAGCCTAGGTTCAACAAATCTGGCCTCTTCATGGCAGGTAGATGCTCCTGAATCCAGTCGTTCACCTCTTTTCGATATTTCTCGACATCAAGCGTCGCCTGCTGCTCCACCCGCTCCAAATGCTCGATATCGATGGGCACACCCAGAACTTCCATCTCATTCAGCAGCTGTCCGAATTTCTGGTAGTAGTTTTCGTAGAACACCCACATATTCCGAGACCGCAAAAAGTGCTGGAACGCAGCGGATCGCCGTTCAGGTGCGGCACCAGGAGGAGTCCTGAAGGAGCTTTTGACGGCCGCCCCCGCATGTTGAGAGGATGCTGCAGATGATCGATTTCGGCTGTGCAGAGACTGGGGCCCTGAGGAGGCAGCGCCGCGCCACAGGCCGTGTTGGCCTTTGCTGTCGTTCCAAGAAGAGATCCCTCGCCTTCCCCGATGCTGCTTGGCCCGGAAAGATCCTCGACTAGCGGCTGCATTAGCGTGGGCAATTTGGAGGTCATCGTCCTCTTCTTCGCTTATTTGATCGCGCGCTGAAAACGAGTTCGATCTCATGGAAGTAAAACCTTGCGGGCTACTTCCTCTCTGAAGTATGTCAGTCGACCAATCCTCCGCGGTGAGTTTTTTCCGCAGTTCGTGAAAGAGCAGGCCCGTGTATCGTGCGTCTGAGGTGGCGTACTCCACCCACTGCGGAAAACTATATTCATCCGTGTGCAGGAACTCAACTTGCTCGGTATGGCGTTCTCAAGCGTTACACTCTCAAATGTTACATGAATCTGTCATGCAAAAGCACCTTCAGCCGGCAGATGATCGAGCTGCTTCGCATGACAAATTTCGGAAGGGCTAAACAGCATCTGAATCTGCGCCAAACTTGTATATGCAAAAGGCGCAATCTTCCTCCTTTCGCTTTTGCCAGTCTTGTATTACAATTTTCATGTAACAGTTGAGAATGTAACATTTGAGAACTCCATACTCGGATTTCTGCACTTTGCGCTGCCGGGGAATCCCGAGCACGAGGTCTTGCAGGAATTTCGGGTGTGATTCGACGTCAAAAACGCGAACGAGGTGTTTCAGTCCGTAACCGCGCATCTTGCCCTTTTCCTTCGTTTTGTGTCGAAGCCGCTCCATTTTCTTCTCTAGGTACTCTAACGCTTCTCGCCCGGCGTCCCCGACCAACTGGGTAAGCGCTACCTGCCCGCCGCCGAGATCCTGCCGGTCCGTCTGTTCGGCAGCCGCCATGATCGACTGCTCCGTTGTTTCGACGTCTTGCTCGGATTGCAGCAAATACCGCTCCCAGCGCCGGCGCAGCTTGTTCAGCGCATCGATGGTGTCGCAATCGTCCACACTCTGGAAGTGCTCCACCAGCCGTTTTCGCATGGCCAACTGGTCTTTCAAGGCACTGACTCTCTCTGCGGCCACATTTGCACTCATCGCGTGTCCAGTAGTAGTTTCCGAACTGGTACTAGTGGATCTACTCGAGGATCTACTTTTGGCTTTGTCACTTTTATTTTTTCCCTTCCTCTTCAAGCCGCTAGCCGACGTCACTGCAGCTGCCGAGAGCTCAACGAGGCCTGCGTCCAACATTTCGAGCATTTCCCCTGTGCGAGCCAGCTGCACTAGATTTCCCATCAACACAAAGTCTTTCTCCTGCACCGCTCGACGCAGACTCTCTTGAAACTCAGGGCTGACGACCGCGGCAGATGCAGTTTCAGGAGCTCCCTGTTCATCTTGCGCTTCGCCACCCAAGCCAGCTGCATTAGGTTTAGAGTTCGAACACCCCGTCGACGCAGAAGATCCGCCCCCTCTCGTCGACGAGAAGCTACTGGTACTCCCCCCCGTGGTGAACTCATAGTCGGAGAAGTCGTCGCGCTCTTCCGAGACCCCGCTGCTCATCAGGTTCTCCATCAGCTGATCGCGCAGGGAACTCTCATTCTCCAAAAACAGTCCCTCGTTCGTGCGCTCGTTGCACTCGTCAAGAAACCGTACGTCTTGCTCCCAATTCGCCAAACTGGAATCCTGCAATCGCGCCAGGTGCAGCGTGTCCGCGTAGAAACCTTGCAGCTGTATGCCGGCGCGGAGCAGTACTTTGTAGTCGTACGCAAAGTTGTGGAAAACCTTCCGGTACTGCGGGTTTTCGAAATACTCCTTGAAAGGACTACCATCTCCCAGTAAGGTTTGTCCCATAGAAAGTCTTCACCATCTTGTTTTCCGTCAAAGCAAAGTTTAATTTGTATCGTGGTACGCTAGCGCTCGCAGTGCTCCTCCTGCAGAGCAAATACATGTAGCAAATCTAGAGGAGGAGGATCTTTTATTTTCGGAAACAGCTGGAGACTGCTTTACATAGGGTAGCTTTGAGTGGTAGTTGTCGATGAAAAGCCGGGGCCCGTTACCAAAGTCGACGTCATCACCCACCCAGCAACTCGCAACAATCAGCTCGCCATGGTGCAAAGGACTTTGTGGACTGCGCAACCGCCCGAGCTGTTGTGTTGATCTTTGTGTGTCGTGTGTGGCAGTGGAAAAATAGAAATACAATGCCGCGTCGTCGACAATTATAATTCATCAGAATCAGATGCTGAGATCAAATATGTGCATGTCATCAACAAACTCATGTATAACCTTCCCACTTACAACGCTGTGTAAGCATATGGTACCTGAATATCCTTTGACTCCGTGTCCCAGAAGTGCGGGCGGTCGCCCTGTTTCTCCAGAATACGCAAAACCCGCTCTGCATCAGCGTGATCGAGAACAAGCGTAATTCCCTTGCCGCTGAGTTTCTCTTCTAGGCGTTTTCGGACCTCAGGACTGGCAATCGGATTGTAGAGTTCGCGAGGCGGAAGGACGGCTTTTACAGGTGGTGCCTTCTTTTTCTTTTTTCTTGTCTCCTTTAACGCTTTTTCAGAGCCGCCGAACTCCTCATCTGCTGCCTGCGATAGCAGGGCTTTCAGACTCATTCCCGAGGAGGTCGCCTTTTTCTCCGCTTTGGCTTTGCGTGCCTCGCCACCACTAGCGGCTGCATCTCCTTCTACATCAGTAGGTGGAAAATTATCTTCGATATCTACCGTGCGTTCTTTCGTTTTTTGCCCTGAAGTGACGTTGTCGCTGCGATCTGGTATCGTTGACCGGGTGGCCGCACTGGCTTTCTTCTTCACCTTCTTCAGCCCCGTCGTGGTCCCCGTCTCTGCTGGTACGTAACTGAGAAGGTCAGGCCAATCGATTTGATTTCCGTATGCCTTAGCCGGACTCTTCCACGGGACGTAATCCGGCAGGCTCCAACCAGAATCTTCCAAATCTTTCACCCACTGGTTCCACCCATGATGCCCTCCTCTCGCCGTGTAAGCGACCTTGCGCTCCGGCAAACCTGGGAAAATGCGATGAACAAAGTCCCGAAAGTCTTCATAGCTGAGAAGCGGAGGCGCAGGCGTGGCAGTTTCTCCGGCTAATATGCTATCTGCTGCGCCGCTGCTTGTTCTCGCCGATGTTGTGCGATGCCTGTCGTGCGGTTTCGCTGTCTGAAGGCGGTACGTTCGTAGGATCAACCCGTCAACCTGTTGGACCACGTCCACGGTTTTGGCTTTCCTGCAGTGGCGAAAGCGCACACTTCTGTTATGATCGAACACGTTTTCATCTTCGCGACCAACTAGGCCAGCGCGATACGCTAGGTCGGCGCTTCCATTGGTGGTGTAAAAGGAAGCCGCACGATCTACGCCCTCTTTATTTGTGGAGTCACCAGCTGATGACCGAATGGATGACGTGGAGCTGCTGCTGCTACCCGTACCCACAAGGGGCTTCCGAAGGGATGGCTGCGAAGCAGCTCCAGTGCTTGCTGCCGCGTGCAAAACATGTGTGCTCGTCGCGCTGCCGCTGGCAGAGGTAGGCCCCAAATGAGATTGCAAAGCGGTAGCGGGTGCTGCGCTTTTCAGGCTAAATAACCGCGGCCTCGCTTGGTCGCGCAACCGGAGTGCAACCACGGCACGCAGCTTTTGTGAGTTTGTGTGAACAACGAGCATAATTTCGATCAGATGTTTACCGGTCTCGTTACCGCCCCGTTGTTGATGTTGCTCGCGTCATTTGTCATCAATTCAACGCTAGAAGGCAACTTCTACGTGGGTAGCAGATCATATGAGTGGTTGTTAGTGCCGAGCCGCCACTGTAGACATGGGTGACTGGCGCCCAGCCAGAGCAAAACGTGTGTGTCGACGCTGATGTTGAAGTAGATGTTACGGAACTCTTTGTGTCCTCCATTTTTCGCCGTGGTAGCGCGACCACAACGCGCGGCCTGTTCCGGGTTCCATGACATGCCCTACGGTGGGCCTCCCCTCAATTCATTTTCCACTACGATTGATAATAAAGTAGAAAAACTACCATGGCCCCCAAGATAAAAATGAGGAAGCGCCAATTGCTCCGTCATCTTGATGCATGCGGAGCACACCGCTCCCTCGCAGCCGCTGGCCACTCACTCGTCATCAACACCGTAAAAATACGGAAACGGAAATGCACGCCGTTTTGTACTTCTACTTTTAGATTACCCTCTCACCGCTTCTCGCCTACGGCATGTAAAGAATCCCAAACCCAAGAAAGAGAAACCTTCGCCCTGGTCTTCTTCGTACGAGCGTCTCAGCATCAGGGAATAATTCGACCCACCGTGGTATCCCACTACAATCAGCGACGCGTTCTAGAATTGCATGTGGAGACAGGAGATCTACTTCGAACAAAGACATGCACCGCCAGGATAGGACGTCAAGCGTGCGTACAGATGCACTGTCCACGTAGCGCACGCGCACCGCACGCAATCGCGCGGTTCCCCCTCTGATCTTCGCGATCCACAAAAAGAACGTGAACGCGCAAGTTTTCAAAGTTTTCGTGATTCCGATGGTAGCATGTCGTTTGGGTTCTTGACCCGAGGGCAAGCAAAGTATCAAAGACAGTGAAGTGCCTCATCATGTCACAGCGCCGAGTCCAAGTCGTGTCCTCGTGCATCGGTCCTGCTCTGATATACTTCACGGCCGACAGTTCGTGAGAACGGCCGGAAGTTCGTCGTGAGAACGGGCCCGCTAATATTAACCTCGTCAGAGCGGCTGCGGCCGAAGGATCCTTACTGCTCTCACGCTGAAACGCCCAGAATACCCTGGTCCAGCAGGTAGCGCAGCTTCTGAAAGAGATCCATGTCCCGCCGCCCGATGTCCCGCATGTCGAGACCGCGGCCCGCTTTTACCATAGCGATGACTTGTTGCACTTTCGGGTCCATCATCGCCTCCACGACCCGCGGATCTTGAAACTTGCGGTTCTCTGTACGGACCAAAGTAAGAGGAACATTCACGACATACAACGCATGGCAAGGGATTTATATATTTTTGTTCACGACGACTTCACTTGTATGAATCAGCATCGTAAAAAAAGTACTACCTTCTTCCGACAGATTCATGTTTTTTGCGGCTTTCCTGAAGGCTTTGTCTGGTGCCATCGGCTTGGTAGATTTTTTGGACACCTTGGAAGCGGCCGTAGGCTCGCTTCCGGTCGTTCCCACTCCAGAGCCTCCAGTGTTCGCATTTGACGTGTTTTGGTTCTCCTTCTCCGCCTTTTTTGCCAGAACGTCGAAATGCGTACCCATGAGCCGGGAAAAATCCTCCATGTATTTCACCACCTCCTTGTCGTCCTGAAATTTTGCCTTTGCGGCGACAGGGTCGCTGCGCATCATCTGGATGCATTCCTGCACTTTCGGATTTTGCATACCTGGATGTTTTTTCATGTTGTTCCTGAGTAGAGGAGCAGTTGTGACTTTTTCACTTTATTCCAAAGTCAAGCTGATTCTCCCAATCCTGCCACGCTTTTCATGTTTTGTACGACACGCACACGAGAACTTACAAGCGACAAAAGAAGCAGCACTAGCCCTTAGATTGATCTTTAAGTAGAAAAGAAACAAGAAGCACCGCACAGGCCAAGTAAAATCAAGAAACCCTAGCGCCAGTTTCCAGCTTACCCGCAACCAAGTCCGGCCTCGACGCAAAAACCCGCGTTAGCTCTGGCGTCAGCCAATTGTTCGTGTCCTGCAGTGTGCTTTTCATGGCGTTCTGCACCTCAGGCAGGGAGAGGTCGGGGGCTTTTTTCGTTACTTTTTCCGAGAGATCTACAACGTCCGTTCTCTTCTTGTTCTGTTGTGCGCCTTCTGCAGCTTTACTTTTTGAACCGCTCGCCGCTTTGGTGCCTGCGCCTTTCAAGAAGCCTTTCTTGAACAACCCACCCTCCTTCAGGAGCTCTTTCTGCTTTTTCTTTTCTTCTTCTTTCTGTAGCTGCTTTTTTTCCTCTTCCTTCTGCTGGCGCTTTTTTGCCATTAATTTCATCAGTTCGTCCTGCGCGTCATTGCTGTGGTCGATTGGCTCTGCAACGGCCGCATTGTCCTCCTCTCCCGCGGCTGCTATCGAACTTGTCGCCCTGCTCGTACTGCCCGGATTGTTGATCAGGAATTTCGAAGCAACGAGCTCCTCGGGTGCAAGACTGCTGCTCGAAGACGCGGAGTTCCGGTCTCCAAAGGTCGTTGTATCCCGAGTGATCGTCGGCTTGGAGGAGCTCGTATCTGTTGATGAAGATCCGGCGGAGTAGTTGACATCGGGTGCTTTCGCTTTTTTCCCCCCGTCCTCAACACGCACATCATCCGCGGGCTCCGTCTCTGTCGTACTGGGTGTTGTAGTGACGTCGGGCTTCTCCTTGTTGCGTGGGGACGAGCTGCTTGTTGCCTTCTTCTGTGCCTCTGCCCCCTCGGCTTGAATCGCGCTATCGCGCGACAAGCCGGACGGGAGAATATCGTCATCCGAGTCGTCGATATCGTCCAGGCCCATTGTTCGTTTTCTAGCCAGGGATTGCAATCGCTTGTAGACGGGTGAGCGTTGAGCTTTTCTTTGTTCTTGATACACGCGGTCACGAGTCTAGAGCACGACAGGAAATCATATGAAGAATGTCGGAGCCAGTAGAACTAGAAAAGTCGGTTCGATGACTGACTTGGCACTCAGGCGTGCATCAAGGTAAGGAAATTTACTTCAACAACTGGATCCAAATTCGCTACTTTCTTCCTATCAGCGAAAGTGATGACAGTGTTCCCTCCACTTTGATCGTTGTCGCAAAGGAGCAACCTTCTCAAGAGAACTTGGCATGGTGAGCAGCATGAAGAAACGACAACTCAGCTCCTTGCCTCGTTTGCTGAGCCTCTAGCACAACGCTCGTCATCTTCTGAAGCGACTTTCTGTCCCAGTACAAGCACCCACGTGCCCCATGAATTGCGAGAACACAACGAAACAGAAACAGGATCATGTTACTTTGCTAGTTCTTGGGAGAAGTTCGCGTAGCGTAGATGTCGCACTCGCACCATTCACCAACTTTCCAACAGAACAGACCAGGGCGCATTTTTGTACTGTATATTCCTAGCCGAGGAGCAGGTAGAAGAGGAGTGCGAAGTGTCACCTAGGCTGAGCCGGGAAACTCGTTCTCAGTGTGTTTCTTTGCACTGCACGACGATGTCGATGCCGAGGAAATTCTGCCGCAACAGGATCGAAATTGCATCGATTACCCATCAGCGCCAGGGTTCTCTGCGTTGCTTGACGCGGAGGCGTTTGAATCTGAATCCGCCGTATCGGAGCCTTTGCTTTTTGCCGGTTTGTTTGCTTCTTGCTCCTCGTCCGTGCTCATAACTAGCTCCTCCGGGTCCTGTGCCTGCTCGGTTCCAGGCAGTTTTGCGGCCCACGCCGCTATACCGCCGGCAAAGAACGCTCCGGAGAAGAACGTGAGCATGATGCTGGCCTTGTGCAGGTCGTAGATCTTATCGAGCGTAATTTTGGACAGGAAAACCCCGTCGTTGACGACGGATGCAGTCGTACCGTAAGGGCAGTCGGTCTCGTAATTGAAAGCCGTCGCGGCCGCGTGCCGATGCTCTCCCGGTTCGTGCCGGAATGTTGGATCCAGCTGCAAAAAAGAACTTTCTTGAGTTTTTACTTCTCCAAGCATGGCTGCTGGTGTCGGCCACGGTGGGGATGCCGTGAGTCTTGACGCAGATGAAAAGTCGGATAGAACACCACCGAGGGGGTGTACATCATGATCGCTCGTCGCACTACTTTGGCTGAACAAGAAATGACGCAACATTTTTTCTTTATTGTGTTTTCCCTTTCCGCGTCAAATAAAATTTTCAAAAACACCCCAAATTCTTGAAGTGAATTCTTTAGCATGCAACGGCTACACGACGGACCTAATAGTAGAACATCACTATGACGAGCACGATACTTTTGTTGCGTCTGAAAGGCAGATATAATGCACCGGCGCAGAGAAGATCAAAAACGATAACGATTCAGAGAGTGCGAGTGCCAACATTCAAAGAAGCGACGAATAAATCAAGATGACGAGGACGACCCGAGTGAATTTGTATTTTCATATGTAGTACGAGGATAAAAGTTCTTGTTCGTTACCGGTTTGCGCAACGAACACAAACGAACTACCTAACATTCCACGAGCTCATCGAATACGACAAACAGGTCCAGATCGAACAGCAGAAAGAGAAAAAAACTAACTCATGCACACCATTGCAGGCCGAGACCCAGGCGTACAATGCGCAGAGTGAATGAATGTAATTAGACACTCCTGCTTCTGGTTCTGACTGCTGCTGCGACGCTTCTGTACTGATTCATCGACGAGTACTAGGTCTCGGACAACATGGACGTCTTCGTTCGTGTTCGCACAGATTTCCGTAGGTGACGAGAAAGCCTTTTTTCGAAGAACACAGCAAGAATTGCGTGCAACATCCTTCACACGAAAATAAAAATCCGAGGCGCCGCCATGTCCGCTGTCGTCCACGTTGAAAAGACGTGCCAACATTCATCACCATACAGAATGACAATGATGGAAGAATAATATGAAAAATATGCTGAAACGAATAGACTCACTCATCATCCACAGGCTGGTTTCTTCTTCTTCTTCTTGACACGTTGCATATTATAAGGTGTGCTGGATTTATTGGCGACGACATTGAGGATGCATTTTGATTTTCGCGATCTGTTGGCGTGCCCCTTTTCGTGCGTTGAGCGAGTTCATGTTGAAACTATCGCCGTGAATGTGCACTCGCACGGCGATAACTACTGAAACTCAAGATTTTCGTCTGATGTAGAGCAGAAATCGAACTACGAATTGACTTTGCTTTTGCTTAATAGTCGGGGCATAATTATGCAATCTATATTCAAAAATTAGCGCATTCCGTCGCACACCTTGTAGTTTGTGCCAGGTTGATGGTGCCGATACATTTGCCAGATCGATAAGGAGTTTAAGCTTCATCTAGATTTGCTGGCTGTGCGATCGTCATTCGTGCTCCCATTTCGGAAGAAGAGCCATATTTCCGAATCTTGTCTTGTCGAAAAAAATCGGAAGTACATTGATCCACTACTTCCCGCAAAAAATACAGAAGAGCTTTCAACGTCGTGCTGCACTTACATCAGAACCCAAAAGCGTAAAAAGCGGAACGACGTAACCGTAGAACTTGTCGTGTTTTTAATATCTACTTGCATCCATGTACTTGTACTTTGCGCCCGAGCAGCAGCAGCACGCTCACACTTCCCAAGATCTGGAGGCCCCTGCTCTGTCCTTTCTCCTACCACGTGCCAACCTATGAGTAGCACCGTGCGAGCTGCTTACACAATTTTCGGAAGGCTTCGCGCGAGATTGCAGTACTGGAAACGTCATCGGTCTTCACGTCGCCGGGCTCTTGAAACTCTGCTGGAAGTTCCAATTTGGCGTCGTTCCCAAGAATAAGCGCAACTCCTCCTTGCTCGATTGTGCCACTGTTGTCAAGATCAAAGTACTCGAAGACTCGGTCAATAACAGCTTCGCGGCAGAGAATCTTCGGGTTCGCCGTTGCGGCTAGAAACTGGGTGTATCCGATCAGGCGCGAGTGGTACTCTGCTGAGCCGACGCGCAGGTCAAGCGAGACGAAAAGAAAGTCCAAATCGTCGTCCGTGATCATTTCGTTAATACCGCCGTCCTCGACCGAATTTCGGAACGCCCGCTCGATCGCCTTCTGGTCCAGCAAACCCACCTTTGCGCGATCGACCTTTTCGAAGAGTGCGCGCTCCGTCTTCAGCAGGTCGTCTTTCAGACTGGCTTCCCGGACCGCCAAAGTCTGCAAGGCGCGGTAGAGACGGGGCTTGCGGCTGTGGGGGAGCAGCCGCTTCAGGGCCGTGGCCATGTCCTGCGTCATCAATTCCTCTCGTTGTCGGCACCACGGATGAAAAACCACTTCAGCCGCGGAGGGCCGCTTCTTTGCGTCCTTCTGCAGGAGCCAGAGGATGAGATCCCTGCAGCTTGGGGTCAGAGCCTGCAACGGCTCGGCGTGCGGTGCCGTGTGTTTCACCCGGTGGAAAAACTTCTTCGGCCACTTTTTTTGCTGCACAGCCTCGATTATCAAATGTAAAGTCAAAGTATCGTACCAGTATGAATTGCAATACAAATTGACTTAGCATTACAAATTAAATTTGTATTATGCGGATTTGCCTTAGCAAAACCACAAAGTTCTGTATATGCATATTTGGAATTAGTACGAATACGATACTTTTGCACAGGATATCGGTCAAAAAGGGATGCTCCTTGGTAAGAAGCACGTAAAGCATCACCCCGCAGGCCCAGATATCACACTTCTCGTCGTAACCTTCAGCGAAAATTTCATTTATCTAAAGCGCGCAGGTGACGTGGGCAGCACTATCAAAATCCTCATCATCATCATCTATCAAGTCCTCCGCAAAAATGACGAGAGTAGGAAATAACTCATGAAGTACAAGTTCCTACTAGTGCTGAAGACGACGAAACACAAGAAATGCCGACCGAGTCTTCATTGACTCTCTTCCAAGAACACAGCAAGCAATGACGCAAGTCCAAGTTTATTTCAACACAACTGTACCAACTTTTTGGGCGTGATCCCGGTCACACACTTCGGGACTCATGTAGTACGGCGTTCCCACGATACGATGCAGGTCCCGTCCCTCTTCGATAGCCGCCAGTCCAAAGTCAACCAGCTTGACCGCAGCGCGACGAGAGGGAAACTCGAGTAAGCAGTTTTGCGGTTTGAGGTCCCGGTGTACCACTTGCAACCGGTGACAGTAGTTTAACGCGGAAAAGATCTGGAGGAAGCTCCGCTTCAACCAAGCCATTTGCGGATGTGCGTCGCTGACCAAGGAGTTGGTGGAAGTAGCCGACGACGAGGCGCCGGACAAGCTGCTACTCGGCAGCTGTTGGTGTGACGACGAGGAGCGCGATGCGGATGAAGACTTTATTGGCTCTGGAAAATGCAACCGCGCTTGGTGATCTCTTGGAATCCCCGGAAGCTTCTCGCCCTCGGGATGCGGTGGAACCTTTGCTGTTCCCGCACTTCTCTTCGCAGCCTCTTGGCCTGAAAATCCAATCTTTGTCCCGTCGCCTTTGCTCCGACTGGCAGTTTGCAGCCTGTTGGTATCGTTTTCGTCCTCCGAGGAGGACGACGAAGACGACATGAGGGGCTGAACCACGAAGCTTTCGACAGGCACGCCTGGAGCAGGCCCCGTAGGAGGCTCCTGGACGTGCTTCGAAATTTCTCGGTGCTGCACCAAACTTGTTGTAGCCAGCTGTGCGAGCTTTCATGCAAAAAAATGACCACTTGTACTACATACAGTTGTTGTTCCGGCAACGACAATAGTGTGGTGGCGCGTTCAGAAAAAAAAAATCGCAACATTCGTCTTTCCGCTAGGCGAATCAAAGACGGTTACCTTTTATCTCATCTGCGCGCGCAAGTGCAAAAGCATTTTACTTTACTTCACCTTTGCAAAAAACGCAAATAGCCACTTTTTGCTGTGATAGCACCGCGGTCGCAGACATGATCTGCTCCAGGTTCTGTTTGCGCGGGAGCAGTTTACTGCGAACCGAGGAACTGCCACCCCCTCCGAAGTTTGTTTTCTCTTTAGAAGCAGTGCTTGCGGCAGACGAGGAGGAGAACGGATTCGTCTCGACATTGCGAGCGTCCGCGTCTGCTTTATCAGCAAGCTCGACAAGAACCAGCTCAGCCCCAGGCGCAGGGTAGAAAACGCTTGTTTCTCGCGGGGCCGGAAAAACTTGTTGCGTTTGGGTATTCGACGCATAATTTGCGCCGGCACTGTATTCAGAAACCACGACTCGCTCTAATTCTGCCCACCGTGCAACTTGCTCAGACGTAAGTTCGGAAACCCGATCGCTGGCCAGCAGAGGCTCGCCCGCATCCTGTCTGAGTAGCGCACTGACCGCTGGTGCCAAGGACGCAGCTTTAGCAGAATCTAGGGTCGCGCTCATCAGCTGCGCAGCTGCGGTACCTGTGTAGGGATCGACATACCCACCTCCTGCGGCTCCGGTGTACATGTCACGGAGGCGATTCGCGAGAGCCGTACTGTTTCTGACACTTCCAGGCAGCGAGTTGGGCTGACTCGTACCAGCTCCCCGACCTTGTTCGGGAAATAAAGTTTCTGCTACTTCATCATCGCTGTAACCGGCACCAAAACGGAGCGCGCGCCGGCGCTCCTTCGAAAGAAAGTCAACCTCCTCAAAATTCGAGTCTTTGCGTTCTCGAAGCGACTGCGGTTTCTCGTTCGTCACAGCCGCACCAAAGTCCGACGGAATAGGACCATTGTTCCCTGGACGAGTTGTTCCGCGGACTCCGATCTTCCCGGTTGCGTTTGCCCGAGGAGATGGAGGTTTTGTTTTGGACGACGCTTTCAGCTTCGACTCGGCACGCCTGTCGCGTTTTGAGCGCTGTTGCATCTCTGCACGAATCCCGCGTCGCATGGCCGCCGACATGTACCGACTGCCTTTGAAACCAGAAATGCTAGCACCCGCATTATTCACCGCCGTATTGCCACCGTGGTCCATGGGCATGGCAGCGGGGGTGGCGCTAGAGGTCGGCGCTGAAACATCGGCGCCTTTCGTGTCTGCAGTTTCGGTGTAATTTTCTTGGAGAAGTAGAGGACCAGCAGGCTCTAGTACTGCTGGCGCCGCGGTCAGTGATCCACCCGCTCTCGCGGATTCTGGCGAAGAAGCGATCGTGGAGGTCGGGGTTGCAGCGGACTGCGACAAGAGTGCTTGTTCCCGTTGCAGAAGCACCTGTTCCCGAGCCTTAAACACCATGTCTTCCAGTTCTCCCCCAGCGCAGTACTCCATCACCATGTACAGAAAACCCTTCTCCTCAAACCACTCGTAGATCTTCACAATGTTTGGGTGGTCGAGGTTCAGCAGCAACGACAACTCCGTGGACAAGAATTTCTTATTCTGAACCTTGATCGGGATCTTCTTAACCGCCCGAATTTCATTGGTCCTCAACTAATACAATACAAATGCCCGACCGCGCTGCACTGCATAGGTCTTTTCCGTACAGTTTTCTTGCTAAACGCCATTGAGCTCCAGCTCCTGTGTCATGTCTATGTGATGCAAAACTGAAATTGTAGTCATTTCTACGAAATAATTCAAAATGTGCGCCGGCAGTGGCCAGAATTTGCAGCGGATACCGATGTCGTGCGAGGAACACCGCGCCAAAGCCTCCCTCGCCTACGAGAGCACCTTCGTCTTCGTAGTAAGCCGCGAGCGTCGGTCTCTGCGGTTTCTTTTTGAAACGGTCGCTCCCGTTCGTCGTGCTGGTACCGGACGGCGCCGTTTTGACTGTTTCTACGCTCGATCGATGCTCGCCGCGGCGGAGCGGGGTACCTGTTGCACCGTCCTGATCGGTCGAGGAGCCATCACCTGTCGATGACAGGTCCACACCTGCAGGAGGCCGCTGGTGCAATTCTCTGCCCTCGACAATTCCGGGCAGCGCTGGGATGGCGGCCCCGATCAAGTCGATTGGTGCAGCAAGGGCGGTCGTGGGTGCAATGGTATGCGAGGCAGCAGCTTGCGTGCCGCTGGGCTGCTCTACGTCCTCTGCCACGTTGCGGGGAGCCGGGGCTGCGTTATTCGCCTTCCTTTGATGCTTTGGCTCCACGACGTTGCGATGATGTTGAGATAGCGTAGCATTTTCATTTTCATCGCCAAGAACACGCCCGGTTTCTTTGTCCCTCCCAAATGACAGTGGGGGGATAGTTGGCCGGCCCGAGGAAGAGGATTGGTCCGCCTGCTGTTCGAAATAGTCTCTGTAAGCGGAGTAATCAATTTCCTCGTCAGCAAAATTCACACCGCTCCGCTCACTTCTTTTCAGCACGAGATTCTGGACGTTTTGCGGCGCACGGGAAAAGTTTAATAGCAAGTCCTCCTCGTTCCGGAGGGCAAGCTTCTGGGACTGGTTTCTCCATCCTGGAGGCAAATTGTACGCCTCGTTGTTAACGAGCCGCTGTCCATGATGCTGTGGTGGCGGAGGTCCCTGGAGAATGTTTCCGGCGGTCTGCGTTTGTGGCGCTGGCGCGGGTAGGAAATGCGGACTATCGTAGTTTTGCCGTTGCCCTCGCTGTATGTCTTCATCCGCAAGACGTGGACCACAGATAAGTCCGCAGCCCCGAGCGAGAAATCTACCAAAAAAAACGAAGCACGTTTCCGTTTCAGACAGGGCGATCGGGGCGCTGCTGTTAGTAGGGTCGTTGTCGCCCATAGTGCGGTATGGGATGAGGTCGAAAAGGAATCTACTCAGGAGGCAGATTTGCAATAAACCCAGCAAAGCAACATTCTTGTGTCCCCCCGCGGCGGGTAAGAGCGGGCAACTAAACTGAGTAAAGTGCCACCTAGGTCGTATCTATGGGAAATCAATGTAGCACCAGCGGGTCACTCAATCAAGAGTCAGTTTCAATTTATCAAAAAGCTCAAGAGGCAAACCTGATTACTAGCGTGGTACGCGGGTGCGCTCAAGACTTCATCAGTCGCTGGCTACCTTCAGCTCATTAATGGTCTTTCCCTCCTGCTCCTGCTGCTAGACAGCGTTCAAGTGTCGCTCAACGTTGCCTCGTCGAAGTGCGTTTTCTTCAACTGGATCATTGAATGAGCTCCTCCTTACTTCCTCTCCTGCACCAGTAGTTCGAGTGACTACAAGCGGTTAAAACGTAAATGGAAATTATGTCAGCAGCACGATGACGAGATTATTATAATGGTCCCGCTGCGACAGTGACGTTGCAGCTCTCCTTCTGGAGGGTAGGAACAGATACGAATGCTATTCCGTGAGAAAAATGACTCTGCGCCACGTGATGTTCAGTCAAATTTCAGCTTTACCAACATTGCAACATTCAACTTGCTTCCGTACAAAATAAGTGTTTTTGCTGGTTTAGGTCCGCTGCCTGAAGTCGCGGTCTCGACTATTGTACGCCGACGGTGGCGCTTTCGGGAAAAGCCCGCGCGCCAAACCTGCCTTGTCAACTTTTTGAGCAGGGAGAGTATTTTTGGAGCCTGGAGGACCTCCTGCGTCCTCGTGGTCTTCGTGCAGAAGATCACCGGGGCTCGTGGAACTTTTTTGATCACCAGCGTCATTCTTTGCATAGCTGCTTCGTCGTGCCCCCTGATCGACACGTTGGAAACGTCGAAAAACAGCGGGAGACCGCGTCTGCGCGGCGCTCGATAGTTCCTTTTTTGGCTTCTCGGCCGGCCGTCCATCGCGTTGCTCTCGCTCGAAAGAAGACTGATCTTCGGATTGGCTCCTGTTGTAATTGTCATTTCCAGCTGCATCGGTCCGCCCTTGTCCCCCCGCCTGCCCGGCATCTCGTATGTCGAGTCGCCCCATCTGTTTCGTGAGTTCTCTAACGTGGGCGGGGCTCGTGTCTGAAGACACCGATGCTCCTGCTTCTTCGGTGTCACTCTTCTTCCTCCGAGAGGAGGACATGATGTCGCGGCCTTCGCGACGGCTGCCTTCGCGTGAAGAGCGTCCTCGTGAAGATCTTCTTGATGATTCCGAATCCGACCCGGAGGGGGAGCCCTCCTCGGAACTGCTTCTATCATTTCGGCGACGGCCCGCCCGAGAGTAAGCACCCGAAGATCGTCCAGATGAAGATGCCGAACGGGAGGAGCTTCGAGATACAGCGATGAAAAACGTATTCGCTTTCAAAAATCAAATTTTTTTCTGCCCCCCTTGAGGGTGGGTCCAGATAGGACCCCGTCGGTGGCCTCGTTGAACTGGAAGGCGTCGGGCAGGTGAGTCGCGGGACCTTTTTTCGTTACCTGAATTGCTGGAGTATGTTGATGATGTCACTTGAGTAGTCTTATTATCTAGCTAGCTTGTCGCGGTGATAGGTAGTGTAAATTTGAGCTCGCATTTGAAGACGTTTTTTTGCATAGTCCATTGCCCGGAGTGCTGCTGGTCCGGAGCTGTGTATCGCCTTGAGCGGCATTTTGGGCACCAGTCTGGTGCCCAGACCGGATGGCATTGCTGGGAGGCTCCTGTCGCTGATGAACGTCTACCTGCTGCCGACATCTGTCACAAAACGTCTCAAATGCTATCTACTTTACACTAGCTATCACCGCGACAAGCTACATACTTTCATTCGCATTCTCATTCATCACTATCAGACTACATCTCAAAAAAAAGGAATTGATAGGTCGGAGAATCCGGAGCCGCTTGTGGGGCCACTGAGCCGGGTGACGCGGATGAGGACAGTCGGGCCGGATGCTGCAAGGGGGCTTCAAAAAAATTTGAATTTTGAAAGCGAATACGTTTTTCACCCTTGTACGAGATGGACCATCTCGTCGTGTGCTGTACTTGCGAGCAACGCGACTTCGACTTCCTGAACGACCACTGGACCCGCGACGATGATGTTGTGCTTGCCGACGCGACGCGCCCGAACGCCCCTGAGAGCGGCGACCAACCGACGCGCGGCTGTTCGACCGCGCCGCGTTGCTGTCGTCGTGGTCCACACGCCCCACCTTATGCCTGCGTCAACTTACCCAAACTCAACTTACCCAAAAATTTAACTAACCACTTTAATTAGCTACTTAGAGTCCGAACCTACTATCCGGCGCCGCTCAGTCTACACTTACTAGTTGAGGTAAATAGCTATTTCGAAAAGGACGTTTTCCGGCGTGTGTAGAAGGCGCAACCTCCGCTACCAACGATCACGGATCCCCTCCCCAACGATGCTGTGTCTCATGATAAAACTCCTTCGAGTTGATGCTATCAAATCAGATTATATTGCTTTTGCATGGGGCATAGCATCGGGGAAGCAGTATACTTTTAGGCATGGACCAGGGGGATGAGTGATCCCCCTCCCCGATGCTAGGTTTTGGATTGACAAAAAATCACCCTACCAACGTGATTAGACAAAAAAGATGCCTCGGATTTTTTTCAATTCAATGGCATAAATGATAGAATATCTCAATACCTGTCGCATGCTATCACTTCGTGTATAAATCCAGCCAAGGTATGAAGCTTGTGAATGGTGTCGCAACGCGGTGGCAACGCAGCTCAGCCTCCGCGATCGTTGGCAGCGGAAGGGAATCCGTGATCGTTGGTAGCGGAGGTTGCGGGTTCTACACACGCGTGAAAACGGTCTTAATTAGCTATATGAAGTTCTATCTAGCTAAGGCTAACCATAGCTACTACTTTTAGGCATTACAAATCAGCATGCTTTCTAGCTATGAAAAATCGCTAATAAAGTTTTTGGGTAAGTTGAGTTTGGGTAAGTTGACGCAGTCATACACCTGATATCAACTGTAAAACTGTCTGGGTCTGGAAGATTGCCAGGTTTGGTTGGTTGGTTGAGTCTGGAAGATGCAGGCTTTCTATGACTCATGAGGTCTGGAATGCAGCACCTAGGATGACAAACTCTGTGAGATCTCTAGCATGTCTATCCTGCATGAGAAATTTCCTCTCAACTTGGTAAAAAACGACGGCTGTTGGTAATCACGCAACCCAGATTTCTTGCATGATTCAGATTCAGCATGACAAGTTCCATCCTCCCAGACCCAGACATTTTTGCACTTGGTACCTGAGAGCGGCGACCAACCGACGCGCGGCTGCTCGACCGCGCCGCGTTGCTGTCGTCGTGACCCTGAGAGCTACTAAGGGGAAAAGTTCAAGAATAAGAAAACTGACAAAAAAATCAACACTCGACCCCTCGCGGTAAGTTCAGTGTACCTGTGTTTTGTTTTGTTTGCAAATGCTGCTCATCTCATTCTTGAAAAATACACAACAAGAAAAGGTGGACATCAAAGGTCGCGCAGGAAATTAAACCGAGCTGCTTTCAGAAACGACTTGCCATGACGCTCCTCCTGCAGAAGGTCTTACCTGTGCCGCGACGGGATACCAGACGCAATAAAGTACTAATCTCCACACACTAAACTAGCTAGATAAGACCTACTCATCACCCTCCGTAAAGAATCAAAGCCATCAATTTTTTATGCCAGCACAGGCGAACCGACCACATCCAGGACGTTGGAGGCCGGTGTCGTGACCTGTCACACGACGTTCGCCAAGACCTCGAATCCGGACAGCTTTTGGCGGGGAGCAGCACATAGACCTTCACGTAGTTTTGTTGCACCACCTGGTGCAACATGTGGACATCGTGGCGTACTTGGTGCCGGGAGAAAAGACGCCGCTTCGTGGTTGGGTCTCTCATGTACACCAGCCAACAGACCGCCAAAGCCAACACCTACGTCTATTTTTTTTGAACAATGAAGGCTATTTATGCTGAGGAAACTAGCTCAAGTAGAATGCTAAACTTAACTAGTTTAGTGTGTGGAGATTAGTATCTTTATTCCGGGAGGAGAAGGTAAGACGCCGAGGACCTGCAGTTTTTTTTTTGGTTTTCAAAGAAACAAATGCTATCGGAGACAGCTTCGTCTGCGGAGTCGAGGACGGGATGCTCCGCTACCTGGACCGACGGGACCTGCTGCCGTACCATACCGCCACTCGGACTTCCGGCACCCTGCCGCCAAACCTGGAATCGGACGCCTGGCTCTGGGATTGCACCAGGGCTAGTGATGATTTTTTTGTCGAAATTCTTATTCTTGAACTTTTCCCCTTAGTAAGAGCGGCGACCAACCGACGCGCGGCTGTTCGACCGCGCCGCGTTGCTCTTGTCGTATCTAGCACGGGCGGTCGCTCCGCGACCGCCGGAGAGGTATGGAGTAGACAAGAAAACGATGGGCCCGATTTCCCAGTAGGAAGGCTGCGTCCTCAGTCGCCGGGAAGAGGCAGGAGGCGATAAGCGTCCAAGCGCGTGTGCCCCTGGGCGCCGGCGACCAATGGAGCCTCACGCCCTCGGGCCCCCCCCTCGACAGAGGGTGGGCGGCGAGCCTTCTGGGCGGTTTGCAATTCTTTTGCGAGCACCCCTTAAGATGAGTGAGCTACTATGTGCATGTTGCTGAAACCCACGGGAAAGTGGCGCCGGCGTAAGAAGCCCTACTTACGCAAAGGGACGGGCCAACCATGCGCAGCGGCCCGACCCCCCGCGACGGGAGTGCGCACGGTGCACATGAGAAGCGAGCGGGGCTGGAGAAAAGCGGCGGCCTGCCTTCGTGGAAGGCAGGAATACCCACACCACGGGGGAGCCGGCCCCGGCCCGCGAGGCACAGGAAGGCAACACCAGGCGCAGCGCCCTCCCGGACCCCCAATGGCCAGCAGTCGCGCGTCCCGGACCCCCCTCCCGCTTGCAAAGCGCCGCGCGCCGCCCCTCGCACCGCCAGAGAGCATGGCGACGGACTGCCCACTGCGAGTTTCTCCGCCAGGGGCAAGGCAAGCCTGTTTCGCGGGACAAGAAGCGCTCTGGGCGCGCTTGTTTCAGAGCAACCGGGCGCCCACAGAGGCGTCGGCGGTCGCAGGGTCGCTCCTCGCTTTGGCTTTTGCCCAGTTTTCTACTAGTACGCGCTCTACTAGTACGCGCTCTACTAGTACGCGCTCTACTAGTACGCGCTCTACTAGTAGCCCTCCCCTGTTCTACTAGTAGAATTTTTGCTCGCCTGTCCCGTTAAATTTACTAGTAGCGTTTTTTACTAGTAAGAGTTTGCGGATTTTTGTTACTAGTAAAGATTTTACTAGTAGAAATCGGGCCATACGTCAATCGCATTTCTTGCCGTATAGTATATAGGGTATTGTCGCGGCTGCTCGACCGCGCCGCATTGCTGTCGTCTGGGTCCACTCGTCGACCAACCGACGCGCGGCTGTTCGACCGCGCCGCATTGCTCTCGTCGTCCACTCGCCGCCCATCTTCATGAAATTCGCGGTCCAGGTATCAAACGAACACGAAGAAAACTGCACTATAAATGATGCGACCTTCAATCATGCTCATCTGTTCTTTTTCTTCCTGTTGCGAGACTAAGTGTAAGTAAAGTAGTATGCCGGTTCCGGCTGACCACATGGAAAACAACAGCAATGCAGGCTTTACAGATTGCGTCCTCAGCGTGCCCCAGCGGTGACTTACAATTTTTGTCTGTATAATCATCTTTGAAGCCAAAGACGACCACGCAAAATCAGAAGCCGAGCGTTCAAAACGTTGGTTCGTCAATGATACGAGACGCTCGTCGACGTCCCTGAGTTTCAGGGTGAAACGGTGCTCGTGGTCGTCGTAACAGTACTTCATGAGGCACCGCGGCACTACGTGAGGGTGGTCCGTTTTCCACTTGTCGTAATTGTCAGCGGTGATGATGGCTACGGTGTCTCCCCGCTCCCAATCTTCTTCGGCACGAGATAGAAGCCACTCATCGTCGTCCTCTCGGTTTGGGGCTTTCAAAAACAACCGACCCTGGTCTGCGGCGACGAGCTTTCGCCAGTATTTATTGTCGTCGTTAACCGAATATTGGAAAGACAAACATCAAACGTGCAACAGTCATATGTCCTGGTCCTCCTGTTGTTAGCAATAGCATGGTGCCTGTGCAAACTCTCTTGAGCACGCCCCCAGAGAAAATAGTGGGAGTGGCAAGTGCGCTTTGTTTATGTAGATGATCCTACTTCTACTACGCTGCCGGTCGTGTACGGGTACTACGCACGAGAAAAAGGCATCAGGAGTTCAAGTTTGGTATTACAACCATAATGCAGACGCAGAAGCACCTGGCAGCGCACATTGCACTTTCAGAAGCAAAGCTGACTGGCTTGGACTTATGCACTTTTGGGCGGCGTAACTGCGCTAAACGGCGAAACGTATTTTCGCTGAAAACGATCCGTAAGGCCACTTCGATTTTTCGGCTGGATCTTCCCGGTTTCTGTACGATGGAAGTAAACCTGGAAAGGGGTGTTGCTAGGCGGACTCGTCGATCCATGTTTCGACCGCTGTCTTGACCTCCGAAATATTCAAAGGCGCTGCTGCAAGCAATCCAAAGCTGCTTCGGATCGATACGGGGAGGAGGCCCTCCTTGCTCGCTACGTGCACGATCGACATCTTGCAAGGTGCGGGACCGACCCACATTTGCGCCGTCGAGGTAGATTCGCAGTACCATGGCCCTCTCAGGATTAAGATATCACAAGAACCTGCAAAAAGTCGCAGGTCACGGGCAGCTTTACATTCAGCAACGCCTACGTTTGTCTCAAGTGCTGGGCGGGGCTCGCGTTTGATATTCGAAAAAGAAAATACTTACTCGCGCTTAGCGCTGTGCCAATGCTGACTACTTTCGTCGAACTGTTTCTTTCTGTGTGTGAACACTCCGAGAATATTAAATGCGACAACAGTCCTACCGCAGTGGCAAAGATATTATCTATGACTTTTTTGTGTTTGGAGTTCGTCTACAGTGTACAACAAGAACGAATATTTCCGATCAAACTAGATGTCACGCGCATGCTGGCAGCTCGCAGCTCCTAAGGTTCTTCATATTTCAGTTTTTTCCCTTCGTTCTTCGTCCCGTACACCAAGCTGCGCGCCTCATCTTACAGATCTTCAGAACTCGGTGGATCATGGTCGTAGTACCAATAAATATTATTGTAAGTTGTTAAAGTTAAACAAGTTAGAGTTAGTCATAGTCTTCGAGTGCGACCAAATTCACATTGATTTGTACAGTTACATCATACAGTCGGGTTGTGCTTGTCCATCCTACAGTCAGTGTACACACGTAAACAGAAAAGTGAAAACAACAGAAACTACAGGTATTGAAACTACATCTACAACGAAAATCGGAAATTACGATGAAGAGAGCTTAAAATTAAATCTAGGATTCCATAAGCGTCTGGCTTGTCGCTTTAGATTTTTGTACTACATTATCCATCCTGGTGGCGTTCACGCAGAGTTTTCTGACTTACTACTTAGCTGCGCCTAGGGCTAGGCTGGTCTACCTGATAGAGCATAATACATAGTGCGTCTGCGTACCTCCAGTTGTAGCCTGAGCCATGAATCTGCTCCAGTTAGACCAGAAGAGTCATGCTAAAAGTTTGTTGTCCCGCCGTGCAATTTCTCCGATGGTTTTCTGCCTTAATAACTTGGCAGGAACTGCCTAAGCTGCTTGAACGATTAGCAGTTTAAGCACTCTAATTTAAGTCCTCGGAGGACAAGTATTTCATTTCGAAAGTGCCATCTAGTATTAATTTCATTTTGTTTATTTTGGTTGTACTCAAGGTGAAGTACTAGTCAGTGTTGTTACAGCGCTCCTTGAAGTACTACTGGTACAACATCTACAGATCAACATGTGACGATTAGCTCTAGCATTGTCGACGTGTTAGAACTCATATTTTTTTACCTGACGAGACAGAAGCAGAAGCCACGAGACTGAACGGTGAAGAATATGCTCACTGCACGTCGCCCTCCTGTGCTTCATCCCCATTTGTTGCGGACTCGTCCCCCTCCACGTCCTCGTCGTCCACGGGCATTACTACTGATCCTTCGTCCCGCGGCACCAGCTTGAGTGCAGCTTGATGCATCGGCACCCCGAAGCGTCGAAGGATCTTCTGCTTCGCCCGATGCAGGACACAGTGCACCGCTCCACCTTCCTCGCCGTAGAGATGCTCACTTTCTCTCCCAAACGTGTGAGGCATTCTCTGGTGCAGGGCGGTCGTTCCGACGTCTCCGAGTATCCACAGAAAAAGACTCATCCGCATCCAATTTGTCATGCAAAACACGTATCAAATCATGTGCTTGTCATGCAAAAAATGGATGTGGATGGTTTTTTTTCTGTGGATACCGAGTCCTGCCGTCTGCACGAAGGACGGCCCCTGTTCCACGTCACCAGGAGCCACGATGTTGTCGGCTTGACTGCTGGCCGCAGCGTCAGCCGCGTGCTGGTCGCTCTCATGATGTGGTTCTGGAAGGGGGTGTAGAAGATGGTCGTGAATCACATCCATGGCGGTTTGCCGGCTGTGGGATTGGACGGTCGACCGCCTCGTGGAAAATTTGCGGTGATTCAACGTATGTTCTTCCTGGTGGAGTCGCTGTTCGAGGTCGCCCAGTCGCGCTTCGTTGTAGCCATTCGTGCGAACGTCAAGGTGCTCGCGCTCCTCCTTGCTGCACCCGTCTTGCTCCAGAATTTGATCCCAGATGTCCTCTGGCTGCAGGCTTCGGGCGACAAGGAACGCCACAGCACTGGTGAAGGCGAGCACGACCGGCAGACACTGAGCCAATTCCTGGCGGTCCGCGAGGGGTATCATTTCCTGCACGATAACAACTGCTGCGATCGGCGTGCGAATGTATGGGAGCGTCGGTCGGGAAATCTTGAAGAAAATGGACGAAGATGAATAAATATAAAGCACCTTTGCTGTTGCACGAAAGAAATTGGGAATGCAAAAAATTTCGTGCTTGTAAACGAACGCACCATGGATTATAGACGGGAATCAGTGTGTGTTGCGACTCTGAGAAGTCGTGAAACTTTCTTCGATGTGATGACATTAATTGTGTCGTATCGAAATCGATGCCTTTTGGAGGCGATTTCCCACCTGGCACTTTCATAAGATGACAGCGGAAAAGAGTCCAGCCATGCCGAGAACCGGAAATATGCGGAGCTCCCGCGGCCACGGCAGATACTTGTGGGTTTTCGCGTAGTACTCCGATGCGGAATAATTCACAATCTCCTCTGCTGTTGAGGAACCGAGCTTGCTTGCTTGTAGCTGCTCGCCCTGGGTAAGCGCGGAGGTTGTGGTCGTCGAGGTGGTAATCATGCTGATGTCGGATGAAGATGATGACGAGACAGTCGAAAGCATTCCCGCTTTGCCCCCGTGAAGTGCGACTTCGTCCAACGGCTTCTGAAAGAGCACGTCCACAGTTGCTGCGTTGCCGTCGTCCAGTGCGGTCGCGGTGCCGAGCGTGCTTGAGAGAAAGGGCGGATTGCTGCATCCGAAGGTGTCGCCGATGAGCAACGCAAAGGCCAGGCCAGCGAGACCGCCAATGACCAACGTTGGAGCGAAGATGCCACCGTTGCCGCCAGCCGCCACAGAGAAGGACACCACTGTGACTTTCAGGAACGTGAATACTGCGATCACAAACCAAAAATAACCACGCGGAAATTGTGCCCAAGTCGTAGACACAAACCACTCCAGCGCACCTTTACCTGTGATGCAATAAGTTCTTTAGGTATGCGTTGTATGCAACGTTCTTGCATAGGTGGAACAGGTGGATCATTCTAGCTAAGTTTAGGGAGTCACATTCTCAGAATGTGATTGCAACGTCTTCACCACAACCTGCTATTGGCAAGTATCCACGACGTGCTATTAGTAAGGAATGAGGAAAGAACAAATAGTACTCGTTCCCCAGACGGCAAAACCATTCTGCTGTGTCGTGTTTGCATGCTTGTTCATGAAAGCCTCGGTCAGGAAACACGACAACCCTCCTACAGCGAAGGACACCAGTGCTGCCATGAAGCCTTTCGCGAAGATGCCAATTCGAGCCATCTTCTCGCTCTTCTGCTGCCGGCGAAGAATCTATCCAGGAAAAAACACCCATCCCCATCCAATTTGTCATGCAAAACATGCATAATTTGCACTGTTTGTCATGCAAAAAATGGATGGGGATGGGTGTTTTTTCCTGGATAGAATCATCGCCCGAAACGTAAGCGTGAGCTTCTGAAAGAAAACACCAAGACCGCCGAGAAGGCAACCGAAAGGAAAGCAGAGAAGCATCCACGCCTGTAGCCCCATGTCGACAAGATTGAAATTCTGGAAGAAAAACGCCGATCCGAGAATCTGACGACTGTACTGCACGGCGACCACGGAAATGGTGAGCACCACCAACGTGCGCTGCGGGCTCTGGGCCACGATATTTCGATATTCCTCGATGGCGTAGAGCACTCCTCCAATGGGACAGTTGAAGGCTGCTGCAGCGCCGGCACCGACGGTGCACACAATGACCAGGTGCAGATGCTTGTCGGGGAACCAGTGGCTGCCAAACACGGAGCCGAACAGCTGGTACACGAAACAGCCCCAGGCAGCAACCACCTGCAGTGTAGGTGCCTCGACACCAAGCGGGTTCAGGAAGCCGAGGTAGATCCCCGTGAGGACGAAGCGAATGATTCCCGCTCGGAGCGTCACGGGCTGATTGTACGCGATAGCCGCTTTGATCGCCAAACTTCCGCCGCCGGCACACTCCGGTTCCACGTACCGCGTCAGCACACCGCAGATCACCGCCGACGCGATCAGGCCAAAGAAGATAGCCGCATAGGTGAAGGCGCTCGGGCGCGAGTCGGTCTCGTTCTCAACGGCCGGCGTATACGTGTAACTCTTGAGAACGTCGTGCATCCAGAAGTGTTGCACAAAGTGCACCCACTGGTGCAGGGCCCAAATGTGTCCTGGCTAAAATCTTCACCCTCGCCCTTTCGATCTCAATTTGTCAAAAAATGTAAATGCGCATACGAAGATTCATGCGTAAATAGATAGTATACTGCTCCATTCATTGATAGACCAAAAAACAGTACAAATTTTTGGGGGCTGTAGTGAAAATTTCATCTCGGATAAGTTGATCACCCCGATTCCAGCGCCAATGCAGAACACGAGGAGCAGCATCAGCACGGGAGGCTTGAGGGTCCACCCCGGCTCTTGGTCTTTGCGTGTGCTCAGGTAGAAAAAGTTGAAGTGCGGGTCGTCCCATTTCACCTCGAGATAGTCACCGAAATCATCGTCTTGCGAGCCGAGACCCCTGGCAGAGTTGAGCTTGGTTGGCCGTTCCGATATCCCACAGAAAAAAGCTGGCAGGGCATATTTGTAATGCAAAAATAAATAGACAATAGACACCCCTAATAGCTCGTAGAGCCCTGTCATCTTCCACCAAGTGAAACATCAATGGTGAGGTGCCCAGGACCCCTGGAGGTGAGAAACGAGGGTGGCACCTATAGTCGACCATACCAACTGGTCAACCAGGAAATGAGAAAGTGGGTAAGGAACACAAATGTCCCGGGTAATATCCCGCACAGAGGTTGTGCGGGATATTCAGTTTTTGTTGAACAAAAACTGAATATCCCGCACAACCTCTGCCAACCGCTGCCCTCGATTTCACAAATGAAAAGGCAAGAGCCAATTCAACTCCGGCAACTCTTCCCGAAGAAAGCTCAACCACCTCCCGCCAAGAGCGAGCAACGGGGCAATGCCCTGAGGGACCATAAATACACAGAGAGATCTGTCATGGGCGGCCTCATAGCATGCTATTTAGGATACGCAATACAAATGTTTCTGTCTATTTATTTTTGCATTACAAACATGACCTGCCAGTTTTTTTCTGTGTGATATCCGAAGAGAAGTGAAAAGATGACGCCCGTGGACGCGCGCCGCGGGACTTCTCAGCCCCTGTGCGGGATGCTGAACCACTAGAAACTTCTCTCGCAACGTGATCACCCGCATCTTCTTCGTCGTCGATGTCGATCTTGGTGCTCCGCACGCGTCGCCGCAGGCTCTCCGTCTCCGCTTCGTCCGAAACCTGCAAAGGGTTCGGCAGCATTGCCTGCTCTTCTTCCGGCACTGGCACAGGCTCAGACATCTCGTTGCGCGCGTTTCACCCGGACCCGTGGCCACAGCGTCAACAACGATGGGGTGATTTTTTGATAGCTCGCAAGTGGAACTGAATGGAAAAAGACGAGACTACTTGCAACCAATTCCTCGCTCCTCAACAACCGGGAGGGTGAAGAGAAATGAATCCAATTCACAGGAGCACGCCGGCCCTGCAGGTGCACATCATCAAGAGGAAAATGGAACCGTTAAATTTCTCAGTAAGCAGGTTGTTCTGTTTTAAAGTTGATACCTTGATGACTTTATTCAAGACATCATCTTCATTGCTTCTACCCTTAGCTACACATTGAAAAAGATACTCGTCTCGTCATATCTTTTACTTTGCAACTAAGAATCACTATCAATCTACTCCCTCTCCAGTGTCTAGTAATGATACTTGCCTCGTCTAAAAAAAAAGCCAAAGGCATACAATCGTCGTTCACATTCCATGCAAATCGACTCCGGCATTTACATTTTGGGTTGCGCCACGACCCATAAATGCACGATAATACTCGATACGAATCGAATGACATCCGACTGTCTACACGAGTGCAATTCCAATCGACACGATCCCTGAGTGTCGAGAAAAAAGATCACTTTCCGCTACAGATCATTGTTCTGTGCTCGCTCTATGTCTCTCTTTGCACTTCCATTGAGCAGGTTAAGATCGATGTAATGTTGATGTGGACGAGGGGACGAGTAAGAATTTGCACAACAAGATTCATCTTTAGCCTCTTTCTTCTTGGTTACTCCTATGATAGGCCCGACATCATCGATGAATGAGCACGGGAGGTCTGTGTCCTCCCCGAGAGCAATATTTACGAAAATACTCCCTTCGGCTGCTACCTAATCCAAACCTTTTGCTGCAGACGAGGAGCCGGTGCTTGGTGACGAGCACCAGTTTGTTACCAATGTCGTTGCATTATACCTTGCACGAAACGACTACACCACGCTCTTCGCGTAGAAGAGGCTTTTCTGATGTGTTGCTGTAAGAGATGAAGAAAACCACCAGAATCAATCACAGAAAGGGGCGAAGGAACATGCGTACAGTCACAAAGAGTGCGCATCCCGTTTTAGTCACGATAATCGGTACAGAAACAAACACGCTCTGTTGCTTGCTTAATTTCGTAATTTCAAATTGTGTTTCTTGCTGTTTTTCTTCAACAACAGCATTTTTTCCATTCATAATTCACTTTTGCATTTTGGCAGACAACAACAGGGTTTCAAATAGGGTTGGCTTTTCGTTTTGGCAGACACAATTTTCCTCATGAGCATTAGCTGCGCTGCTGCAAATCTAGCGACTTACAACAGAAGTAGCCCATGCCAGTACTATATCAGTTCGTATAAAAATGAAAAGTTATTATTACGCACTATTCTTACAAATTCAAGAAACTATTATACAGGGTTTACGGATTGATGTCGCCTGCAGCAGCTTCCGGCTCTGCCGTTCTTGTCGGAGACATTCAGGTGAAACATCCCAAAGACGACCGCAAGAACGTAGTACTTATTCGTTTCCTTCATCAAAAGCTATTTGCTTATGTTTCCGTGATGTAGGTCGTGGTCACCAGAGCTCGCAAAATTTTCAAAAGTAAACATCCAGACTCGACGAGCTGTTGGTGTTGCCTGAACCTGGTGGGTGCCCTTTTCACAGTACCGAATATTACTCTGCTGACATCCCCCAGGTTTGTTTCGTGGAGTTGTCCTCTCTGTTTGTTCCTACAGACCTACTTCTCGTGTGGAGGTTGTCGTGTCCCGTTGGCAAGCGCAGCCGAAGCTATGGATCAAAACACTTCAGTGAAAATACCCCCGTGTACTTAACATTTCATCCAAGAAGCAGTGTTTTTATGTAAACCTCGTCGAACAGCTGTATTAAGCGTGAGGGACACCAACTGCATGTGCATACCTACGTATCTTCAGTGTCATTTTTCCTTTTTTCGTCCGGTCGTTGATACTTCATCTGCATGCGGGCACAGCTCGACCTAGCGTCCGGAACGAGTGCTGACGCTGAGAGGGCAAACACGATGATCCACTCCTAGGGCTTCATCATGCTGAATATCTTGTCAGATTATCGCTATGGTTGTCGTCAGTCACGGTGGAAAATTGATCCCGCCGAAACCTAGACGACATGGAAAGGTCATGCTCGTGATGGAGCTGCGGCAGGTTGCAACGAACAAGTACACGGTAGAGATGAGAAATTTTCAATTGGAATACACTGAGTCAGAATGATCTTCAGATTTGAATAAAACCCTGGGACACACTGTTCGCATAAAACGATGGCGCATAGCGGTCCTTCGCGTTGCTCGCCTCCAATTTTGAGGATATACGCTTGGGCTGCTGTTGTTGTTTGATTTGCTTGAGCTTTTTGCACTTTTCTAGTGTTACTAGAGACAGATGTTCCTACATGTTCTCGACAAGAATCCTCGAGAAGCCAGAGAGAGTAGAGGTAGACGAGACAAACAAAAATAAAATCTAAATCAGAACTCAGTGGTGCGAGTTCTACTTTATACTGCCCGCTCCGTCTCTTCCTCAGAGAACATGTGCTCGTCTATGAAAGTGCACAACTCCCCCTCCCCCTCATTTGTATACCATGAACGGCAATACAAGCATCAGCAAGAGTGCCGGTTTTACATGACAAAATTGCACTGGAGTATAGTGCTATTGGGGCTACCAGAGCTTGTCATGCAAACAGTGCCAAGACCAAGAGGCAACGGGTGGATTCATTGGATTGTATTTTGCATGACAAATCAGGGGGAGGGGGAGTTGTGAACTGTCATATCGTCCGAGACTTGTTGTGAACCCATACTGCTTCCTCGGGGCGCCAAAAAATCGGTTTGAGCCGCCAACGCTGGATGCAGGTGCCTCTGCAGTCGTTCCAGAAACGAGTCGCCGTCCGTATGCCCCGCTCAGGTGGTGCATTCACAGCTGTATCATCTTAGTCATGCTTTGTTTGGGATGCAATAGAACCAGCGCAGGTATCCGATTTTGGAGGGATTATATCAAGGCCCTACGTGGTAGGTAGCGCACGTAGTTTGCAAAGTGCTGCACCACTATAGCGCGATTATGTTTATGATGCCCACGACATTTGCAAAAAATTCTACCGTGACCACAAAGCTGCGCCGAAATCTTGGTTCCCTCTTTTAGTGCTTTCATTGCGTTGTTCCCAAACCCAACTTTATTCTATGCATTGCATCAAAAACCGTAACCGATATTCATATTGAAGCGAGAAACTGTAACAGCTGAAAATGTCACAGCTAACCGGGCCATACATGTTGCCACTGGCCGCACTTGCGGTCATCAGTTGCGATGAAGAGCCACGAGAGTGGTCGCGCGCGTCGTCCGATTGGAATGCCAGCGGCTGAAACGTGCGGGGAACCGATCCCGCTGTCGCCGGAAGGTGGGTGTGCAAGCGATGAGCATCATGGACCACAGGCAGCTGCCCCGGAAAAAAGTTACCAAATAGCGGCGCGGGTACTAGAGACGCAGAACGTTCCACGTCGTACTGCATCTTTGGGAGTGCTCCTTGGATCACCTTCCGCTGCTCCTGCTCTTTTTTTAGCTGCACGAGTTGCGCCAGATACTGCCGGCGCTTCTCCGCCTGTTGCTGCATGAGAAGAAGTTCTTTTTTGTAGTAGGAAATGCTGTAGGGGATACCCAAGTTCATGTAAAGCAACTTCGGGAGTTTCACCACGAATTCGGACCGGAGCACCTGGTCCAGGGTGATGCGCGACTTCGGGTTCTTGGTCAGCATCGCCTCCACCAACAGTTTCGCGTCCTTCGGCACAAAGGGTTCCACCTTGGAGGGCCACTCGGGATTGGACTTCCGGATTTTCCGATACACGGTTTCCGCCTCGGAGCCCGGAAACGGGTACCGGTTGCACAGCAGGCGAAACAGGACCACTCCCAGCGATATCCAGGAAAAAACACCCATCCCCATCCATTTTTTGCATGACAAACAGTGCAAATTATGCATGTTTTGCATGACAAATTGGATGGGGATGGGTGTTTTTTCCTGGATAAGCGACCACACGTCGCACTGCGCGTTGTACGGTGCGCCCGAAAGCACCTCCGGGGCCACGTAGTAGGGGGTCCCCACCTCCCCGCGGACCTGCCCAGATTTTCCCGGTTGCACGGCGCCCAGCCCGAGGTCAATGAGCACCACCTTGTCTTTCTTCTTCGACAGGAGCATGTTCTCCAGCTTGATGTCCCGGTGCACCAGGACGTTTTTCTCGCGAATCTTCCCCTCCGGCGTCATCTGGTAGCGCAGCAGAGCCAGAGCCATCTGTGCAAAATACTTTCGAATTGCCTCCAGCGGGAGCGGGAACACGGAGGGCGGGTGGGTAACGGAAGCAACCGCCCCCGGAGCAGCGCCCGAAGACGCTGGACCTCCGAGACTCAGCGGATAGCCGCCAACTCCGGCTGCTACAGCACCGCCGGCATGGCCGGACGCCGCGGCAGCCAGCATGGCCTGCTGGAAGAGCATCTCCTGTTGCTGGGGTGTCATTTGGTTGTTGCCTCCGCCGGCAACCAGTGTATGAAAGTGAAAATGAATGCCTCTAAAAAGCCCTAGCCAAATATAGAAGAAAGCACGAAAGGACGACAAGAATGTCTGTGCAGATAATGGCGCAGTGACAGATCCGTCGTGGTCCGTAAAATAAACTCGTTCATGAAAACTAAATATGAAGAAAGTGACTTCTCGTAGACGCATTTTCCCGCACGATACATCAGCTGGATGCTTGCGGGGTCGACGCCGCTGTTTTGCAGCCAGAACCGCTGGAGGTCCTTCTGTTTTGCGTTGGCGTGCTTCCGGAAGTATTTCTCGAACTCCTCGGACTCGGGGACGAAGGCCGTCAGCAGAAAAAAGCTGTCGTACGTTTCGAAGGACTCGTGCAGAGAGACCGTATAGGACTTTTCCCGGTACTCCTCCGCACTGAGCACCTCCGAATTCTTTTCCGCGAGCCGCTCCGCCTCCTCCAGACTGTTCAGCTCCGTGTCCGAATCGCTGCTGTACCCAGCCGCGCTGGCCCCGCTGACCGTCTCCGCGGTGGTATTCGTCGACGCATTCGAGTGTTGCCGCTGGTGCTCGGATATGCTGTGCAAAAGCATCGCACTCGTATTGCGATCATGCATTTTCTTAAGGTAGATCAGCATTACAAATTTTGTTTCTCATGCTGAGGAAATTTGTGATGCGACTTTTACTAGTACGATATTTTTGCAATGCATATCGGACAGCACCTCGTCTTCCCCCTCGCCGCTGGACTGCTGGATGCTCCGCGTGATTTCCTCGGCGACCTTAATCACCCACTCGTCGTCGAGCAGCTTGGACTCCATCTTTTCCTTCTGCAGTTGTTCCAGGTGGTCCTTTTCGTTCGCGCGACACAGATTCAATAAATACCGCTCCTTCTCGTAGTTTCCCTGCTCTTGCTTCGACAGCTGCAGGTCCCGGTCCATGGCCTTCCGCTCCCGGGGGTCGGTGATCGGATCGCCCTTCTGGTCCACGCCGGCGGACACCAGCTTTTCCGCCACCACGTAGGGGACGAACTTCCGCCGCACAATCTTCACGGCCACGGGGTACCGCTCCAGAAAAACCGCCTTGCAGACCCGCCCGAAAGACCCCGTGCCGAGTACCACTTTGTTGGACGAAGATTGCTGTGCGTTGCCGTTGGTCCCGCTGCCGTTGTTGCTCGCGGTGCTCCTCGCGGTGTTCGATCCGCTATCGCCGCTCACGCCACAAGTCTCGAACCGGAGCAGAAATGGGTGCTGCAGAACCGCCGAGGGCTTGAGCCCGCGGCTCTTCCGATGCGGGTTCAGGTATCCACGAAAAAACACCCATCCCCATCCATTTTGTGCATGACAAATAGAAAGAGTGGATTTTATGCACGTTTTGCATGACAAATTGGATGGGGATGGGTGTTTTTTCCTGGATATCAGGAGCTGCTGGATCAGGTCCTGTGCGGCTTTCGGGATTGCTTTGTGCGCACGCCGGCCGGAGGATGTGGTGGTCCCGACCTGCGTGGACGACCCCAGGTCGGTGTACCAGTGATCACCGGAGGAACTGCCGGCGGACGCCTGGCTGTTGATCGTGCCGTTGCCCCCGCCTCCTGTCCAGCCCACGCTCCTGTTCTGCATTTGTTCCAGGTTCTCGTTGTGCAGGGACTCGGAGAGCAGGACACTGGGGTCCAAGCTCTGGGAGCTCGCGACGGGCGGGTACGGGGAAGTTGGCGACGTCGGAACCGCTCCGCCGGACGCCCTATGCAGTGCCAATATGCCCTGCGTCTTTAGTCCTCGCCGACAGCAGGAGTCACGCGCTGCTGCTGCGATAACACAACTCAAAAAATTGTAACGCAGCTTCAGCACCAACCAGGATGTAAAAACGGTGGGCGCCGTCCATCCCGGCCATATGTCAAGATGCTAAGCGTATTACAAGTGAGAGACAAGGGCCGCCACGGTTTGATTTTGCTGTGGGATTTCGTATGCGCAATGCAAAGGAGAATGAGAAAAAAATCCAAACGAAAAAAGAGTGAGAACGAAAAATATGAAGATCTGGATCTCCAGCCAGCGGGACCACATGGTCAGAGACAGGCACATTTGCGGTTGGTACTTGCTGCGCTTCTTGTCCAGCCGCATGAGCATGAGGCGCCGCAGCTTGTCCGGTGTCAATTCCAGAATCTGTTGGTAGATCAGCGATATTGAGTGCGCCGTTATCTGCTTCTGCTCGTCGCTGCTGCGATCGGCGAGACCACTTACCAATTGCTCGGGCGTCACAAAGAGTTTCCGGCCGCGATACAGCTCGTACAACATGACACCGAGCGCGTAAGCGTCTTGCTCCTTTGCAATCTGCTGGCCCATTTGCAGCGTGCCGGCATTCTTGCTCGACGAGGTTTCGCGGACACGAAATTGCTCCCGCCATCCGACAGTCTCCGGACACAGGTAGTTGTAGAAGCTTGGCAGGAGGAGCTCTGCCACATCCGCTTTGCCGCCGGAAAAGTCCTGCTCGCCCTGATCGTCGTCAAAAGTGTCCCAGGTTTTCGGCTTCACGTGCCGCAATTGCACGTCGAGGGTTTCGAACTCGTCCCCACCGACATAGCTGACAATCACGTTCTCCGGCGTCAGGTAGCCGTGCGCCGTAGTAAAATGCAGCTTCGTCAATTCACGCGCAATATGAACTGCAAAAGTATCGCACTCGTATAAATGCATTACAAATTTTCTCAGCATGAGAAATGAAATTTGTAATGCTGATCTCGATTTGCCTTGACAAAGAAATTTGTAATGCAAGACCTGCATTTATACGAGTACGATACTTTTGCACAGCATACGCAAGCTGGAAAAACAGTTTCCGTACCACTTGGTCGCCGAGCACAACTATGCAAACGAACAGCTGCTTAACCAAATTGCCAAATAATCAGGTACTTTCTAGTACTAGCGTAAAAAACAGTAGCGCTTTCTATACATAGAAAACTGCCACGACCAGAAACCGCGCCATTGCGTTCCGTCCCAACTAGGCAAAAGGAGAGAACACGCTGAAGGAAAAATTGGAGCTGCATGAAACACGAACAGATTGATGAAGCGGAACTATGTATCGATATTTGGCAATTTACGCACAGCACGACCACGACCTGCTCTTTCTGTCATAACATCGGCAACAGACACCTGAAGCATATTTGCCTCGTGTAACAAGGCATGCAGTGTAAACCGCACTTGCTTCCCGATCAGCTCAGCGTTGGTACGCGGATGCAATTGCTCACTGGAGCTGCCCGGAGCCGCCGCCCGCTGCGGGTCCTCATGTGGAGAAAGTTCCTGCCCCATCTCCGTCCTGGTCGCCGTCCGCGGAATTAACAGCGCACTCTTGATTTTGTTGGGTGACAAGGAATTGGGATTGTAGAACCTTTCGAGAAACTCTCGCTCGTGCACCCCGATTTGCATTTGCGGAATCACCGCTTGATGCGGAACAACAACTGCACCTGACGGTGGCTTTCTCATCTTTGCGACGGTGGTCTCATGTGGTTGTACCCCTTCCGTTGTAGGGACGACAGCAGCAGTTGTTCTTGTCGCGTTGTTGAAATAGTCAAGCTTCTCAGTAGTTGCACCAGGAGAATGTCTTGCGCTTGCCGCCAGTGGCAGCTCTCCGCTGGTTGTTGTTCTTCCCCGAACCTCCGTGGTCGCATACACAGGAGGTTGGTCGTGGTGCGCGGCCGTCGCGCTACTCTTGGAGGTCGGTCCGTGCTTTGTGCCAATCAGGAACGCTTGTTCAGCACTGTCGTCACGTTGCAGCTGGTGCACGCCCCGCCCCGCCGGAGGAGCCAAACTGGGGCTCTTGATCTGCATCTGCGGAATGGAACTTTTCGGGGGCGCCTCGGGCAGCTGCTCCTGCTCCTCGCTCTCAAACACCATGCTGGTACATATCCTGAGTAAAAACGTCCCCACACCAGAGTCAGGATGGGGATTTTGCAACACAAACCTAGGAGTTTTGTGAGTCACGCATGACAAGTTGCACTCCGCAGTGTAGGGCAGGTTAGCAAGTGCAGCCGCGTCACAGATTCATCTGCTCATCCTGTTCACAGCATCACAAATTCCAAAACACGATTGGAAATGGCTCTCATCGGGATGCGCATTACAAGTCTTCCTGTCTTTGCAAATCTGCATTACAACTCTGGGGTGGGGACGTTTTTACTCAGGATAGTAGAGTGCGCTTGTTCGTCATCGTCATCGTCGTGCTCTTCCCTCGTCGCATCCATGACAGTAGACGTAGACGACATGCTCGAGCTGTCAATCGTGGGTCGCGCTTTAGCCACAGCTGGTGAACCCTTCTGCTCGACGTCCACATCCATCTTCTGAGGAAGATCGTTTTCGTCATCTTCGATGTCGCGAGTCGATGAGACAGAATTGTCAAGCGAAGAATCGAACGACTTCCCGACAGTGCCACTGGCGCTCGGACTCGCGTGGTCCACTTTATTCGCAGGAGCGATGCCCACAATTTTTGCTGCAACATCTTTCTTCTCGTCCGGTGTTGTGCTGCCTTGGTCATATTTAACAGCATCATGGTGCTCATCCGTCAAATCGTGGTGGACGTCAGGTTCCTTTCCAAAGGTGTTGAGGAAAAGCTCCCCGTGATTTTTTGACGGAGGTGTAGTTGTCTTCTTTTTGTAATTGCCAGCAGATGATGGAACATTGTCGATGGGCACTCCGGTGTAGAACGTCACAGTGCTACTTTTTTGACTCGGAGAAAGGAGCGCCGTAGAAAGGTCCCCTGCACCAGCCACGCCACCGACCGTTGGAACGCGTAACGACTCGCCGTTTTTGTGCAAGAAGTGTTGGTGCTCCAAGAGTGTCCGCGGGCGAGCTGCCACTTGCGGCAGATCGACGCCTAACGAAGGCGGCAACTTGCTGGCTGACTTTGGATAGAAACTAGCAACCTTCGGCAGCGGCAACTCCTGAACAAGCGCCTCATGCCGGATGTTAGCAACAGACGGCTGCAGTGGAACGGCCGCATGCACCAATGACAGGCACGCAACACATAAGCACAATAACATTGCGAGGACCTCCGAAGGTGGGACCACGTGCACACGAGAAAACTTCTTGATGTTTTTACAGCCACTGGACGTCATCTTCTTTTCAATTATTCACGACTTTTAAGGAAACACGCAAAATAAGAAAAGCAATCGACGACGACCAATGCAGCGGCGGAGGAGGTGGACAAAACAAATTTGTCTTGGTAGAGCCCGGATGTTTACCTTTCAGCAGACAACAGAAAATCTCGAAGAAGCGAACCTACTGTATGTCGCTGCTTCTTGATTGTGTTTGATAATTTTCGTTTCTCCACTTCCAGGGTCATCAAGATCGGGTAGTACTCACGTACCAAATAAAAACGCGACTGTGAGGACAAGAACCAGGAACGAGACGCTGTCAACATTTTCGTTGAACCACAAAAAATTGTTTCCGAACATCGCCGGCAATACGAAGCAGTCATGGATCTGAATCAACATCACACATGATGATGATGATGAACATGAAGCAGTAGAAGTCGTGTGGTTGTCGACACGCTAAGTACCCTTTTCAATTTTTTTTTCGCTTCGAATGGAGACAAGGCGTATAAGAAATTGAAATTCGCCTGCAGCAGCAGCACCAGACACGCAGGGCTACCGGGCCCTCTAAATGCCATGGCTTCGTGACGAAAACAAGAAGTAGAATGTCGTCGATGATGACAGAGAGAGACAACGAAACACACCCGCCGCAGTGACTGTGACATACCCTGGTCCCTGGCAGCGCAGAGATCGCAACCGTAGCCGCGACACGTGATAACACATTGAAAACTATATCTACAATCGGATGAGGAAGAGGATAGGAGGCACATCACACTGCTCGTTAATATAACCATCCCAACAGCGGCCTACCGTCCAGCTTCGACTTCCAAGCCAGATATCGCACTTGCCCACCATATGCGCGCTGTCTCGCAGAATACCACAAACTCAACCTGGTGTTGATAAGATTCGTAATTAGCTCGATGAACAAGTTAAGTACAACTCTTACGATATCAGTGCTCTCGCGGATCCTTCATTATCTTTTTTTTTCCTGCAGTAACTTTGTACATTTGTACGTTTAGTGTTCACGCGAGCTGCAGCGGTCTATTAGACTCATCTTCTGTATGAATTTTTCATCATGCATATTCGCCTCTACGCGAGCTGGTTTCGGCTTAAATAATGATTTCTTTAATGCAAAAAAAACGATTTTGCGTGACTGTTGTACAAGCTGCACGTTTTTCGTATCACTCTCGAGCGTGCCACTGCGTAACAAAGAAGATCATGAAAATTTGTTCGGGAAGATATTCGACGCAGATGCCATGCACCGCAATCTTGAAAAATTTTTGATTTAGTGTTCGAACGCGACAGCATGCGGCAACGGATGAATCAGGTATAATACTTATACAATTTGAAATACCTTCGGCCGAACCCTGTTTCCCAGTCCCACGGATTTTGCCAATTATACACCATGCTGCCGGGCTCCAGGACAGATACGACAGGATTCATATATACCAGCAAACGATTGGTGGCCTCGGCCCAAATGGAACCTCCCATTACCGGCACATCGTGGACAGAAATAAATAATACCCAGACGCAGCCCCGCCGCACCCGCACTGGCGCGGTCCCTGAAAAAGAGGCAAAGGGGAGGGCCGGGTGACCCGGTCGGATTCCGGGGAGCGCGAACTCCGTCGTCGATCCGCGCCTTTTATTTCGGAAAGAAACTACCGTAGAGGTCGATTCTCGCCAGAGGCAAACTTTCTTTGCGAAAAAAAGACGAAGGAAACCAAGGGAGCCCCCGCACAAGGGAACGGGGTCACCCGCCCGAGGACAGCGGCCGCCACCTTCCCGCAAACGGAATTTTGTCGAAATCCGGGGTATCCGCGATTTTGTCGAAATCCGGGTTGTTCTCAATTTTGTCGAAATCCAGGTTATTCCCGGTTTTGTCGAAATCTGTGTCGAAACCGGGATTAACCCGGATTTCGACAAAATCGACCAACCCGGCGAAACCGCGGACCCGACCACCGCGGATCCCGCCGACGGCGGCGGTTAAAGTTAGAAAACCCCGGATTTCGACAAAAATTTCGACAAGAAAATCGACAGACAGTGTCGCCCGCGGTTATTTAACCCGGATTTCGACAAAAATTTCGACAATAACCGCGGTTACTTCGCGGCTTCGACAAAAACCGGGCTAATCGACAAAAAATTCCGCGATTTCGACAAAACCCGGATTAACCCGTTTTTTTCCCCCTCACACCCAGGTATACCCTATGACATTCGGGAATACCACCGCGTGAAAAAAAAAAATTATGAATATTTGTTCGGGAAGATTTCGATGCAGATTCCATATGCCACAATCTTGAGAAATTTTTTATTTATTGTGTACCTGTCGCGTTTACTAACTTACACTATTTGAAATACCTTCGGCCGAATCCAGTTTCCCAGTCCCACGGATTTTGCCAATTATAGACCATGCTGCCGGGCTCCTATCCAGGAAAAAACACCCATCCCCATCCAATTTGTCGTGCAAAACATGTATAAAGTCCACTATTTGTCATGCAAAAAATGGATGGGGATGGGTGTTTTTTCCTGGATAGCTCCAGGACCGACACGACCGGATTCACATATACCAGCAAACGATTGGTATCAAATGTAAAAATGTCTGGGTCTGGAAGAGTCATGCTGTTTCTGCATGACACAGAAGGTCTGGCATGGAAGCTCTAGCATCACACGTTTCGAGGAGCCTCCGCAATGCCGAATCCGCATGACAAATCCGCCATTTTGGTGACAGAAAGTGAGCAGCCTTGTTGCCTATGCATCAGAGATTTTTGTGTGTTCTGAAATGCGCATCACAAGTTCCAATCTTCCAGACCCAGACATTTTTGCACTTGATAATTGGTGGCCTCCGCCCAAATGGAACCTCCCATTACCGGCACATCGTGGACAGAAATAAAAAACGGCTTTTTCCTCTCTTTCTCTTTTTTTCTCTCTTTCTCTTTTCCGCCGTCCCCTTTTTCCTCTCTTTCTCTTTCTCCCGTCGCCTGGTCCCTTCGCTTTGCCCCTCGGACCCGTCTCCCGCGCTCCCCCCTGCCCCTGTGGCCCGCCCCCTCATTTGTCTCCCCCTCCCTTTGTCCCTTTCGCCTGTCCCTTTCTCCCTTCCCGGTCAGAACCTGGGTCGCCTCCCGGCCCCGCGGGGACCTACAGCGTGTCCCTTTTGCTTGTCCCTTCGTCCCTTCGCGAGGAGGGACAAGGGACGTTTTCGCCGCTTTCGTCGCTTCAAAGCGGTCCCTTTTCCCTTGTCCCTTTTTCGGGCCAAAAAAAGGGTCAAGGGACAAGGGACCCCCCCACACCAAAGTATAGCCTTCTTGTATCTCTTTGCAGTATACCACCGTGGAAAAAAAAAGATGATCAATATTTGTTGCGGAAGATATGGAAAACTTTTCTTCTTCTATATTGTTAAACGCGACAGCATGCTGCAACGAATGAAATACTAATACATATAACTTATACGTATTTGAAATACCTGCGGCCGAACCCTGTTTCCCAGTCCCACGGATTTTGCTATCCTGTGCAAAAGTATCGTAATCGTATAAATGCAAGTCTTGCATTACAAATCTTGTTCTTAAGGCAAACCTGCATTACATTTCTCATGCTGAGGAAATTTGTAATGCATTTATACGAGTACGTTACTTTTGCAAGTCATATTTGCCAATTATATACCATGCTGCCGGGCTCCAGGACCGATACGACCGGATTCATATATACCAGCAAACGATTGGTTATGGAAGCGTCAGGAATGAAATCGTCAAGTTGAAATAATTTCTCATGCATAAATTGCAAGGCATGAAGTCCCTCTCTTGCAGGGACCGCAAGTAGTGAGGCCGACTGTCAGCCTGTTTGGGGTCTGCGGTAGAGCTGCTGCAGTAGCATGACAAAAGACGCCTTCTGTCCCAAAACAGCATGACAAACTGGATTTAGACGCGGCCGACATTTGTCATGCACCGCTTGAAAATTGGGCTTCCAACTGGTATCGATTTTATGCATTACAAGTTATTTCAACTTTGTCGATTTCAAACCTGACACTCCCATATTGGTGGCCTCCGCCCAAATGGAACCTCCCATTACCGGCACATCGTGGACAGAAATAAAAAACGGTACGAGCGCGTGGTGGAGTGCGTCGAACTTACTCTGCAGTGTCTCGAAGTTTATTTTTAGCCTCTCGTCGTCCGTTCGTTCTTCCGTCGTCGCGGTCTCCTCGTCAAGTGAAGCTGGATTTTCGGTTTCCCGTTTTGCAGAGTGATCTTTTGCAGTGTCTTCTACGCCTTTTTTCCACTTTTCTGGTGCCTCACTGCTGAATTCCCACATGGAATTCAAAATCTTTACTTGCCACTTCGAGGTTTGCAGCCCACCGAAGGCGGCACCCGTGTCCGCAGCAGCCAGTCCCCAGGTGATAAAAACCCGTTTGCATTTTCGCAGAATGTCGCGGACGTACTGCCCCGCCACCCGCTCGTCGACAAGCTCGTTGAATGCGTAATTGGAGATGCAGAGATCGTAGCTAAAGTATACGCCGGCGGTGCTTTTGGAGAAGTGCCTGTGCGTCTTGGTCGCGTTTACCAGCTCTTGCAGCCATGGTCCGCTGGCAGCAAGCGGCACCGCTGGATTGGGAATCAAGGACTCTTGTCGGTGACGTTTCGATCTTTCCTCCTGATCATCATCGTAGTCTGGCGTGGACTCGTCGGCATCCGAGTTGTAGTGCTCTTCGACGAAGACGTCTTTTGCATCAGGCTGGATCTTTTGCCCAGCCGCTCCGTCGCCTGCCACATACTGCAACGTCGAACGATAGATACCACGCAGCAGCGCGGTTGCAGCGTCCATCTTGCCGTTGGTGTTCTTCATAGCTTTTGCCTTCTTCCTTTCGCGCCGAAGGCTCCGACGCAGAGTTTGCTCTGCCCTGCTATTGTAGGTACGCAGTTTCATTTCCAACAAGACACCTGCACGTCCTCCGGAGAATTTGTCTGCATCACGAGGACCCGTCGTCGCTGCCGCATTATGTTCGACATTTTCGGTGCTCCCGCTGTCAAGACTCGCCTGCACAGCCACCAAGCTTCTTTGCAACGTCCGTAGCGCAAGCTGCTCCGCTTCCGGCAAGTCAATGAGGGTATAGCTCGCTATCTTCATTTTGTAGCGCGCGAAGAGCGCATGGCATAGCCCACCAAATCCTACGCCGATCTCTGCAATGCGGAAGTTCTGCAGGGATCCAAACAGGGTTTCCATCTCCAAAACTTGTTTTGCATAACCAAGCATCGTGGCGGACACAGCTCCAACCGGATCGCCCCAGTCAAACGCATTCCCAGAACCTGCTTTCGAGGACCCGGAAAGCGCAGGGGCTGCATCAGCAGCCGGGGGCTGCGTCGCTGTGCTACCAGCATTCCCGCCATGAGGTGAGGCTCGTTGGCCGACCTTATCCGCAATCCTCTGCAAAAGTTGTAGTATCGCGCTCGTTCTACTTGGAACACATTTCATTTGACGGCCGCGGCCACCTGGCTACTATTAATTACGTATTCTTATTCAGCATAGCCGTACCACTTGCAGTTGCACCAGATAAACGATGTATATCTTTTTCCTTCTGAAAAGACTTGCGTAGGTATGCAATTCATCCAATTGCAATTTGTACTAGTGCGACACATTCATGTAAGTTCATACTTCTTGTTTTGCAATGCTGTACGATACATACTTTTGCAGTGCCTATCCATCTCTCGTAGGTGTGCGAAGTACCGGCGCGTGCCTTCGATCTCGTTGTGATGTTGTATCCACCTGTCTGCACCTTGCTCTGAGGGCCCGAGTACTTCATCCGTGGATTCGCAGCACCGGCTTGATTTTACCTCGTTTGCAGTGGGAATGCCCGGACTCGAGTTCGTCTCGGCCCTGACGTGCTTGCGAGCTCCTTTAAGGGCGCTTGAGGGACTCTCTTCATCGTCAAACGCAGCCAAACCTCCAGGTGTTGCGGACGCGAGGTTGCCACGCCCCGCATCCAGCTCTGCTCTCCACTTGTACTCATCTCGCTGTGCTGTCGTGGCTGCCTCTGCTCCCCCCTTTCTGTGACCTCCTGTGCTAGACTGCTGATACTGATAGTGCGAACCCAGCCCCTTTTCTTCGAAAATCACCCGACGAACCCGCGCATGGTCAGTCTCATTTGCAAATAGGAGTGACAAATCCAGGCCTTCACAAAAATTGCGCGCGAACACGTGCTGGTGCGTCCGAAGCCAGCTGTCGCGACCGAAATCTGCGGTGCGAATCCGGTGAAAATTATGCTCGTCCTCGTTTTGGTGAAGGCCCTCGATTTTTGGGTAGAGAATCTTCTCCGAAATGGACACCGGAGCTTGCGCGTTTGCGTTCCCCTGTGCCAGATCCGCACTGGTCTGCGACGAGGAGTCATCTCCCGTTGCGCTTGTCGAGCTCGACTCCGAGTGGTGCATATTTTCCACCGCTTGCTGCGCCGGCGCTGCGTGCGCCTGCGCTCTGCTTCCGTGGAGACGGTAGCATAAACAGGCATCGCCCTTCTTCGAATCCGTCACGGCTTGGCCCCGGACACTAAGCATCATGTACAAGTCGCGCATGTAGCGAAGATAGGCATAGCCACTGTCGAGCTCCGCTCCGCCGATTACGGCGCGATATTTCTCTTGTTCCTTGAAGGTGTGTAGAAGCGTGGCGTTGTCTGTAAGCGCGCGGCGAATGGCATTGCGATACCCGAAGTCCGCAAGGTCGGATTTACTGCTGCGCGCTTGCTCCTTCCGGCTTTCCCAGTGGTTCGCAATCTCCAGCAACGTATTTGCCGGTAGCTGCTGCTCTTTCCTTGCTACTTGCGAAAGCGGGTCGACGCCAGTGGCTTGCTGGTGCTTCGTGATCTCCGATGAACGGGGGATAGATTGATACTCATCAACTGCTAAGCAGAGGACACGAATCACCAAGTCGGAGCTGGTAGCGCAGAGCGTCACGAATCTGAACGGGAGGATCGGACGAAATGCCATTTCGACGCACCAAGCCAGCAGCAGACTGCACTCTATACGCACAGCAAGACGTCGTGAAGAAAATTCGCGCGCTCTTCCACAGCCTGCTCCTCGATTGCTGCGAACAAACAAGAGACGGATAAATATTCTTCTGTGACGAGGTTCTTGTGCGAAGTTGTGTGTCTTTGCACCACATCCGGAGCCTTATCCAGCATTTTTGTCAAACTCTACACGAATGATGCTGAAGACTGGCGAAGTACATGAGAACCCCATGCACGGCGTGCGCCATCTGCTCCGCGGAACGCCGCCGCAAGACGAAGCAAACGAGGAAGACGACGAGTGTTTCGGTGCGGCTGCCTGCTCGTGCTGAGTCTCATCCATTGCCCATCGGATAGCGCAGAGACGACGTTGCGCTCGGATGTATACGTAGAAGTGTTTTTTTAGTTTTACGACGCAGCTAGCGCTATCTGAAAAGAAAAAGCCAAACGAAAATCAAATTCGGCAACAACGAGTTTAACGAAGTAGATGATCCTGCGCCCGCTCTTTCCAACCACGGCCAGCAAATGCTGCCTAGTGGTAGCGGTGTCTATTTTAGTGTGGTAGATCTAGATCGCTACTGCGTGACTGCTTTGAAGCTGAAGCAGCTCAGAGAAATCCGCTAAATCGGGTTTGCGTCACGCGCGGTCGATGCTCCACTCGTATCGAAATACTTGCAAAGGCATCGACACGCGTCTTCGAGTGTGTAACAACAAAATTTATCTCATCATAGCTTTGATGTGAGGGCAAAGATGATCCTCAGTAGTCATCCTTCGGCATCAGGCGTAAGCACTAGCGCTCTCGGTCACCAAATCAGAGAAATCCGCTAAAGGTTTACGTCAGCTGCGAGCGACAGAGCCCCTCGCATCGACGAGTGTGTAACAACTGGATAGTGTCTCATCATCATGGCGTTGGAGAGCGCTAGTATGGCCCAGGAATTGATGATATTTTGAAGCCATGCACTTAATTCCAAAGAAACAAAGAGGACCCCATAGTCAATTCCTGTTGAGCCACGAAAACATAGCCGCAACCGTTTATTTCCAGAAGTATGATGGCTAGGCCTAGGGCTAGGTGTAGCTTGGTAGCCGAAATAAAGTCTTTCGGTTGGGCAGATGATCCAGGTGGTTGGCAGACGAAAGCAAAACGTGAAAGAATTCGCATGCAGAAATATCTCGACTCAGGAGACCGCAAAAACAACCGGGTTGCACGCAAGACCCATATTCGAACAAACGCCTCCCATTGGGGTAGCAAGAATGAGCTGGGAAACGGCCCGTCACACTCCGAGGTTCTAAAAATTTAGTTTTCATCGCACAAACATCACATGGTCCACGTTTTCAATGTCACTCTCACTCGTAGTAGTTGTCTTCCTTCCGATCTAACGAGAGTACGGTGTAGCAAGGAGCGGATTTTTTGTTCCGACTTCGTCTAAACCTCCTGCATATCATCCCGGAAATAGTGTCCGTTTAGGCGACGCACTTCTCGTACAGAGCCTTCTGGGCGGCATCCTTCAGCGTCTTTCCCTTGGCGGCCTTGATGGCTGTTGTGATTAAAGTTGATTCATTGTGTTAAATCAGACATTTTTGAGCAAGCGCAATCACACTCTTCCTCACTCCCCCGAGAAAGGAACAAATCTCAACATCTGCGACAAAGCATTCCGCTCGCCCCTAAAAATACGAATTCAATACAAAAAAACAGGTTGTACCAGTCTTCTTGCTCTTGATGACCTTCAGCTTCTTGGAGAAGAAGGAGGCAGCGCGGGTGCGGCGCTGATCTTCCAACTTCTTGATGAGGTCGGTGCACTTCCAACCGAAGCGCTTGGACAGGTCGCCCAGACGGCAGCTCTTGCGGTACGGCTTGATGCGGAGGACCTTCAAGGCCTGCGGGCACACCTGCTTCTTCTTCATGTCGTACGGGTGCGGCATACCTGAAGTTGCATTTAGATTGAATTTGAAAGGCGTAGTTATCACGTTGCTCTCGCTCTCTTCCAGTTTCAGCAATAGACACAGTGCGCTCGTCTCGTGAATGCAAACACCAACCACTATCTGGAATTTCTTCATGCCTCGCAACCAGACACGAAAGTAAAAGTACACGGATGATCTTCAAGAGTCATTGGATTACAGCCACTAATTTGAAAGTCCGATGCTTTATTTTGATTTCTAGTACCATCGAAGACTTTCAGGCGGTCCAGGGCAGCGGCGCCGCGGGCGGTCTTGTGCGGGACCATACCGCGAACCACGCGCCAGAACATCTTGGACGGGGCACGCTGGTGGAAGGGTCCGTGCTTCGGGTTGACGTTGTTGGTCAGGCGCTTGAAGGCCTGGTACTTGAGCTGCTGGCGGTACAGAGTGTTGGAAATGTTGATCTCCTCGCAACGGACGACGGTGACCTTCTGCCCGTTCAGCAGTTCCTTGGCAACGATGGAAGCCAAGCGCCCCTTCAAGTGGCCGCGGCCATCAATGATCACTTCTTTCTGGAAGGACATTTTTTGTGATTTTGTGTGTGGTGTGATGTGCCTATGCGACTACAACTAAACTCCAAATCCTCGAACGAGAATTCCCAGAGTGTCCCTGTTGAGATAATCAATTTGCGAGATTTGATATTTTGCAGACGTAGCGCGACGTGCGTTCAAAACGGATCGACGGCATGGCCATGATCTCAGCAACACAATTCTTCAGTTTTTAAATTCTTGATCTTCTCCAAATTCTGTATGCTTGACCTTCTAAATCTTTAAATTTTCTTCAGCACCACGCGGCCTGATCTCCGGAACGTACCAGATCTAAAACTTTTTATCGCTCGAGCATTCGCTTACGCTTCCTTGAGGTTGAGTTGTGATCATTTCGGGATGGTTGAAGTAGCGGCTACCATTCTTTGTTTTATTCTGATCTTGATCTTCATCCTGATCACGTTCGATTTCGACCTTGTTAGACACGATTGCACACAACCTTTTTGCGGCAGTTGGCTCACATCGCTTTCCAATAGTGCAAGGCAAGAGGAAAAGAACTGACGAAGATCTAGATTGTGTTAGTTTGCTTTTACATAGTGAGGATCTAAATCATGTCGCCGATCGAGATAGCGCAGATGCTCTGGTGAAAATAGATGTAAGTACTTGTCCGCAACCGACGTGTTGACATTGATTTCAAAGTCCGTTGAAATCAAGTTCCGCAGCAATATCACGAAGGCACGCAAGGCTTTGCGAACATTCCATTTGCGTTTACTGCCGTCTGCCTTTGTGACGCAGCGCTGGTGGACCCTTTTCAATCCAGCGGCCGGAGCAGCTGATTTAGAACTTCAGGCGAATATTACGGGGGACGACTCGACTTGTCGATAAAATGATTTTCAGTTTCAATACTCGAAAAGTGAAATCATCAAAGTACTTACATATATTGGCAATACATACAGCACTGTTTCTGTGGTAGCGGCGGCGCTTCTGAACAGGGTGTGACAGAGGGGTCCCCTCTAAAATTAAATTTCGGCGTCCTCGTCTGCGTATAGTTCTTCTGCTTCGCTAGACTCAACAGAAAGTGATGTTTTAGAAATTCAGTACTATCTAAAAACCGAAAAGCTCTTGTTGCGTGTCAAATGTGATACAAGTTGCTGATTGTGATTTTGCTTCATCTCTCTCACTGGTTCTGACTGTGGGCTAAAATCCCCAGTACCGAGAAAATGCTCAACAGGCACGTCGTCTTGCAAATCGTGGTTCCGCACTCCGCGCCAGCCAGGTTAGGATTCACAACAGAGTGTTAGTGATCCTTGGCATACTAGTCCTCCTATTTCTCGAGCTCGAGTGGGTAGCACCTCTTCCTCTTCCTTTCGCCGCGTCTGCCTCCTCGATAGCTGGAATTCGTAGCAGGGCCAGAACCAGGTGGAAGGATGAAGATTTTCTAAAATGGATGTCTCTTCTCAAAAAAGTCGTCGTTTACTTCTGCCTCGTGAAAAAAGCGACACACGTCTCGTTCCGGTTTTAGTCCACTTCGACATCCTCGACCTTCGCTGCATCTTCAAAAGTTGCGTCGCCCAAGTCCGGGATTTCGTCCGGCTTGGCGCCGGCGCCGGGCATAGTGCCGGACGCCTCCAATGCGGACCGCAAAGACATCAAATTCTCGGAGCCTGTTTTTTTTTTTCTATCAAGGATTGATTTTGCTAACTACTTACGCGAGAGGACTTCAGGACAAGCAAGGAGAAAGCCCAACGATACGAAATGCGCTACATTTCTAAATGCAAAAACAAGAATAGGTTCGCGATTTCTCTGCTTACCGAGCTGATTGATGACTTTGGGGAGCATTTCCTGCAGCGACTTGGTCTCCGGGTTTCCCGCGACGGCGTAGGTGTTCGCCTGCAGGCTGGCATGGACCTGTTCGTAGATATTTCAATTTGAAATACTAATACTTAAACCGCGCTGGGATCGTGAGGCTCTCGCTGCATGGCGGTGGCCGCATGCGTCAGAATTTTTAACTTCACATACTATCCTCGTCCTCCTGTCAAAAATATGCGAGGGTCCTCATGCAGCTGCTGCTAGAGTCTTTAGCTCAGCGTCAGCGCTTCCTCCAGTTTCTAAACTAATTAAGGTCTTACCTTTGGGTCCTTGAAATGAATGACTTCATTTTTGTCCGTAAACATGTTGACCTCCTCGATTCCGGGAATTTGATTGAGACCCATCTTCTTAAATTGCGTCACCAACTTTTTGTCGTCACTGTTTTGGGAAAATTTCATAAATCAATTTTCAAGTAGTCCTTGTTGCATGCTGACGCAGAGTATACCGTTGTGCCCAAGAACTACACTCCTTCTTTAAATCGTATGTGCTCTGCTTCGATGCCTACAAAGGCAAAACATAGAGTACTTGACTGTGGACGCCGTGGACGGCTTGGCCTTAACTTTTCGTCTCTGCGTTCCCTTTCCTCCGATCCGGGAGTCAAATTTGGCCTGCAACTTTCTGCGGGCTTCCAGGATCGCTTCGTTCGTCTCTTCGGCCATCTTGGATGATTTAGGTTTTTAGAAAACTAAAAACTTTTTGGGGAGACGGGTGAAGCAACAAAAAAATCTAAATATTCCAATGTTGTTGTCGTCCCTGAAATTTAAAAATGGAAAAGAGCAGTGGGGCTGCAGATTTGAGAGATGGCTCAGTATCGATAGTGTTTTCGAGTAATCGCCAATGAAAATTTCGCGAGTTGTTCCGGAACAGAGCTAGTTTAATCTGGCGGTTCATTTCTTCAAGCACAAGGAAGACCTTTCTGATTCTGATAGAGTATCGTAATCTAAAGAAAAATCGAAAGGGAACTTTAGATCGTCATCTTCAGGTTTTCGAGAGCATTCGCGGTCGCGATCATTCGTCAATGCCTTGTCAGTCAGACAAACAGTATGAACATCGACCACAACAATCACAAGTTACTCCGCCTAATGGTCCACCACGAGGAAAGTTGCATCTGCAGCGCGGTGGAACAGTGCTCGTGCTGCATCCGCTGAAACAGACCTCACCATCAACCTCAGACGGATCTTAGGACGACGCAACTGGTGCTGCTGAAGTACGAAACTGGTGAGGCAGCTAGTACCAACGCAGCCAAAGCTGCATCGGGGAATGAGCTCGAGCTCCTTAGCAATAACGCGTCCTGCTTTACTTTCATAAGTGACCACTGCTAAAGGCTGTCGAGTAGCTGTAGTGCTTTTTGTCTTCGTTTCTCGTACTCCGCAGGGTCCATCATATTAGCTCTGCTTTTTTCATCCCCGCCCTCTGCTCCCGCATTGAAATCAAAGCCGCTCGCGGCCTCTTCATCCAGCAGCGTTGAAGCTACGCTCACTTGTTTGCTTGTAGGATTCTGATTCTGTTGGTGTACGAAAATAGGCCGGCTCGAATTATTCGCGTTCACATTGCTATTCGACACTCCTGCCACTCCCACGACAGCATTCGACGACGAAGCTACCGGAGCAGCAGGATTGCTTAGCGAATACTGTAGCTGTCGCTCTTGGCCGCCTCGACCTGCTTGCAGATTCATCATTTTTCGCTGCTGGTAGGCATCTGCTCCTGCCGCACCAACAGGGTTTATTGCGCTCGGATAAGGATACCCCAGGGCAGCTGCCGACGAGGACGAGTTACTTCTACTGCTGCCCCCACCGGCGCCGCCGCTTGCAGGGTAAGAGCTCCCGATTGGACTACCTATCGGCGCTACATTACCAGATACGTTTGTGGAAGCCAGCGGATCTAATTCGGCGCCCCCAACGACAAAATGGTCCGCGCCGTACTCGAGATCATCATCGCGATCGTCTCCACCGACATTCGTCACGTTAAAGCCGGCGCGAACGAGCCCGAGGTATACAAACGCCGCTATTACGTCAAGGCCTGCATGAAGGATTGGTTCTATTGGTTTAATAGCACGTGCACACAGAGAAATAACGAAACTTTTCTCTTGTAAAAAAAATATACATCCACGATCTGCTGTAAGTATACCGGGTCTACATGGCGCAGGGAATAGGTCGGCGAGTTTGAAGTTGCGATCTCCTTGCCTGCCGGAGGGATAGAGCGCGAAAAAGCGCAGGTAGGTCCAGGACAGTAGTAGCTGGGCGAAGCAGAAAAACCACTCCGGTGCTAGGGACGTGAAAATGCCGAGAAAAGTTGCGACGGCCAGTACCAGTGACGGAAGTTTTTTCAATGGTACGAATTTTCCGCGAACAAGCGGTATCTGCCTCGTGGGGAAGCGTGACGCGAGAAACACTGACAGTGCTACGCACAGGCAACCGGTACCTGGGCAAGAGGTTGGGGTGAAGGGATGGATGCCGTACTATCTTTAAGTTGAGCACTAACTACTGGAAGCACTTCTACAAGTTTGTCCTGCCGAACTTCTTGTTGATTGCACATACGGTACGAGAAGGCAGCGCCTTGACAAACAGGAGCTAGGGCAAGAAGTGCATTGCTTCTTGACAGTCACAGTGTGAAGCCGGTGAGGCAGCACACAACTACATCTACAGGCAAATATAACAATATAGGGGTCCGAGTAGGCATGTACCACAAAGCGGCTCCACGAGATCTCCCGAAAGCAATCGGAAGACAAACGCAACAGCGCTGACAGCCAGCAGGTTCAGTGCGAGGTGGAGAAGCAAACTGGAGGCGCCAAATAGAGGCTCAAGATCTGTTTCAGTTTTTATTCGTTCTGTTTCCTCTTTGTGTAGAAAAACAAACACAACAAATCATGCAAAACGCGCAGAAGAAGTAGGTCAAGCTCAAGCTGCTGCAGTCACCGGGCGATCGGCAACACGAAAAACAACATTTTTGGATAGAAAAACAAAAAATCGGATGGCTTCTGTAGCTTCCAGGATCATCATCAACGCGCACGAACTAGATGGCCTGCTTTTATTACCCCTCAGCATGTAGTATATTGCCGGCGTTGCGATCAACGCCTTTCGCACGCTCGTATCGAGGAAGTGCCACGTGAGCAGGTTCCAGAAAAACGGTATCGGAAGTGTGCTGTCGCTCACGGGCGGCAGCACCGTCGCGGAGGGCGCGAGTCCGAAACAAAACTCCAAATCCGAAACGCCAAAGACGGCAACCAGCACGGTTAGGGTTGCGACCACCGCCGTCACTGCGGGCGTGACTTTGTGGTCGTTCTCGGAACTGAGCGCGATGCGGATAAAGCTTTCTCCGATATTCTTTGCCGTGCGGATCTGATTCAGCAAGTTGGGCGGTCCGCTACCTGACGGAAACGGCGGCTCCGCTTGCGCACTAGCAGCTCCGATGATGTTGAGGTTGACGCCGTTGGTCATGGGGGCGTAGCTGTCGTTGCTGCTCGGTGGCTGCTTGGCCGTGGAAGAACTCGAGCCTCCTGCTGTCATGTTTCCCAACCCGCCGATGCTCGACATCTTGCCGGTCGTGAGATGAGCACGAACCGATCCGGCGTCTGTCGCTATTGCAGGGCCGGTGCTCGGGCTCTGTATTTTCGCTTCTGGCATGCAAGCGCGACAACCTGCGGTGGCTGCTGCGTTCACCGCCCACAAGTAGGGACGAAGAAAAGCTTGTCCTGATCCTCCTCGTCTCGTCTCAAAGCAGGCGCCAGGGACAACTTACTTTGTAGAGAGGATGAAAGCCGTGCGGTTGCGGAGGGCCAAGTATCAGAAACGCGCGGCTTGCGCTTGCAGCTACAGTGCCTGGGCTGCTTGTCTGCAAGAACGTTGTTGTGGCAAAAGAAATAGGTTGACGATGCGAACAAGCGAAGGCACGTGCTCTGCAAGACTTGTAATCGGTCGGTTACACACTCGAAATGATCCCACCTTCCGCGCCCGCCTCGTCACTGGCTATGTCCCTAACCGTGTCTCTTGCGAAGGTACACGGATAAACGAGCGACTCTTGGTCCTGCCTCATTCTCTGCGTAATATCATTTTGTTCAAATTTTTCTTGGGAGCCAAAAAACATGAATCGAGGGCGCAAGCCTTTAGCGAGCAAATATCAAATGAGCAAATGCGGGTCTACTGAAGTTGTTCGCGAGAGGACGCATAATTTTCCTCGAAAAGTAAACAAAAAAATAATACAGTTTGAAAAACGTTTAGTAAGCAGAAGCACAGCACGCTGCAGAAAGAGAGTGGGAGTCACAGCGGGACTGCGCAGAGTGTAGGTGGCATAAGAACGATGTTGCACTGGCATTACCGTGATAGTAGAGTCATAGGCATAGCATTTCCATCCGGCCGCGTTATTGATGTGGACAACACGAGCCACACCCGAACAGGTATAGCAGGAAGACCGCCACCAGTGGCTACATGTTGTCATTGCGAAATTTCACAGCTCGACAATACCTCCTTGGAGAGCCGCAGGCTGCCACTTCCCAAGCGATGACGCCACATCATGCTTCTCCTTCAGCGTGAAGATGTCCTCGATTTTTTGTTTTCCCGTTTTTCTTTTCTCATTGTCATTCTCATTGCTTTCGCAAACGCGAGTGATCCCCCAGCTAACAATCCATAAACCAGAAATCAGATGACACACTTATGGTGCCCTGTAGATAAATGTAAATCAAGTTTGAAGCTTCATCATGCATAGAAGCTTTGCATGAGAACAGTATAGAGGAATATCGAACTTTACAATTCAGATGCGAAGGGAGTCGGTTGCTAGACCAGCACAGCAAGCCACTTTGGGCCTAGCGCAAGTCTCCGCTGGTTATCTGAGAACGAGAAGTACTACTAAAATAAAAACTATACGCGCTTTGCTCATTCTCCAACAATTACAAACGTGCGGCCTCCGACCCCACTTCTACAACCCGGAGTTCGAGTTGTTGACGAGGAAGTTCATTTGAATATTTTTCCGTAAAAAAGCAGTTTACTATATTTTCGAATTGATGATGATGCTGAAAGTAAAACGTTGTAGAAGAAAAACGAGTTCGCATTCAAACTTCCATCACGGTCTTTTTTACCGCACTAATCTTCTCTCTGCCGCACTTAGGCGGTAAGATAGACAGTCTCCGCTTCCACCATGATCTTTTTCTGCTGCACCATCTTGGCCAAACACGCCTGAAACATCAGCGGGTCAATATCCATTTTCTCCTCGATTCTCTGCTTCAACTGGTCCACTGGTGCGTCGTATCTCTTCAATTCCGTAAACAGTGTGAAGATCGTCTGCTTGAAGGTGCCTGTGGTAGGGTGAAGATTTTCGAAAATAGTTTGTTTAGAAGTTCTTCATCTTCAGTACTAGAGTCAGCTAGTGGGTTCCTAGATGCAAAGACTACACACTCGTAAAAATGTGACTGAATTGTACCCATAACTGCTTGGTCGATTTCTTCGTCCGCAGTTTTCTTTTGTCTCTTTGGCTTGGGCGCGGCACTGCCTTCTTCGTCGACATCCATCAAGTCGTCATCTGCGAGATCGAGATCGTCGTCGTCCTTGCCTTCCTGCATGAGATTCTGCTTCGCTTCCATGCTCCGCGATTCCAGCAAGAGCTTCCTGGTAACCTCGACATCATCCACGGTTACTTCATTTGCCAGCCGCAGTTTCGCGTGGCCAGTAGCTAAACGGATCATCGCCTCCAGCGTTCCTGTTTTGGTTCAAGTTGCCATCTAAAGGACTTGACATCCGGCTAACCTGCTCCCGTCGAAGAGGTTCGTCTTCGTGCATCTATTTTTCTCTCTCGCCGGAAAAATAATGAAAACAGCACGCACATGGGCATGCAGCAAAGCTTCGAAAGACTTACTTGTCGTAACCGCTAAATTCCCCTGGGACGTGTTGTCATGTTTCATAAGCTGCCTGAGTTCCGCATAGTAGACCCCGATTTTCTCACACGCCGCCTTTGTGAGTTGCGGCTGCTGTTCCTTCTCCTTCGCAAACCTGTTGTTTGGACAGCAGGCTGAATATCTTCGAGCGCACGTTACCACGAACACTATCTGCATTGCAGCGTGGTCACGATGAAAATGAGAAACACTCCTAAGCAGTACTTCACAACAAAGTAATTTTCATTTTCAGGAGGCGGCATGAGGAAATAAAGACGTTTTTTACTTGAGATATCGCTTGAGGAAGTCAAGTGATAGAATTTCCTCGGTCTGACCATCGGACATGCTGGGATGATTTTTCTGAAAGGTGTCCACTTTCTTGTTCTTTTCGCCTGCGTCCTCAGCGATGTTTGTCTGGAGCATCGCATCGTGCTTGTCCTCGACGTCGCGCTGGGCCATCTTTCGCTCCTCCCGGTATCGGAGCTGCCGCAACACCTGGTCATAGTGGAATTCGACAAGTGCTGTAGGAGAACTACGAGAGCCCGATGATCGCCATGATGAAGCGAAGTCACTTGTTTTGACAGAATAATCAGAGTAGTAGTGTCAGAGAATAAAATATTTCCGCAGCACCACCTCCCCTAACCAACATCAAACTGAAGCTATCACGTCGATTCAACCACACCCAGAGAAGCCGTGTTAGTGTTTTTGAAAATCATTATCATGCTTCGTCCACACCTGCTCCGAAATTTTCCGGTCCTTGGTTTGCGTGATTTCGTCTTTCATGACGTAGATCAAATCGAATCGGGACAGCAGGGAATCGGGCAGCGCAATATTTTGGTGGAGCGACAGCGAATCGTCCCAGGTACTGTAGATCGGGTTTGCCGCGGCCAGGACCGAGCAGCGGGCGTTCAGGGTCGACTGAATACCGGCCTTCGCGATGGTTACCGTCTGCTGTTTATCAAATGTAAAAATGTCTGGGTCTGGAAGGTTGCGAGACTTGTAATGCAGGTTTTCCATGACGTATGAGGTCTGTCATGCATGGCCTAGCATGACAGATTCTGAAGGACCTCTATCATGCCTCACCTGCATGAGAAACTGCCTCTCAACTTGGTCAAAAGTGGACAGCTTGTGGTAATCATGCAACACAGATTTTTGCACTATCCAGAAGTAGCATGACAAGTCGCGCATTCTTCCGGACCCAGACATTTTTGCATTTGATACTGTTCCATGACTTCGTGGATGGCGACGCGATCGTTGACTCCCATCTTATATCAAATGCAAAAATGTCTGGGTCTGGAAGAATGCAAGTTTGTCGTGCTTGTCTGGCATGACTCTTAAACCTGTCATGCACGTTACCCAAGAGCCCCACTTTGCTGTCATGCAGAAACGGAGTTTGTCATGCAGAATAGGCAACACCTAGAAGCTCAAAGGCTTGTCATGCTGAGCCAGCACTTGTGGCCTCTTCATGATACGCCACCCAGCATCACAAGTTTCCAGACCCAGACATTTTTACAATCCATATCTTGTCGAACTCGTCGATGCACACGATGCCCCGGTCTCCCAGCACCATCGCACCCGCCTCCAGCGATCGCTCTCCCGTTTGCTGATTTACCTTGACCGCCGCTGTCAGACCGACGCCGGATGAACCGCGCCCCGTGGTGGAAATCGCGAGCGGGGAAATGTTCATCACAAAACGCAGCATCTGGGACTTACCTGAAAAAGATGTTCGCGTTTCATAGACAGGGAAACCACACAAGGCGGCAGTAGCGACGTTGATCCCGCTGTAGCGGTTCCAGCTCCACCGCGTAAGGACACAGTCAAGTAGATTTGTGAACATCAAACGAGCCAACTACAACTAGAAGGTCCGACTATAGAAATAAGGCATTAATACGAACTAAGTACCGCAACTTGGGTCCCCGACGAGCAGAACGTTGATGTCGCCGCGCAAGTGCGTTCCGTTTTCAAAGTTTTTTTCTGCGCCGCCCACGGAGAGCAGGAGCAAGCCCTTCTTCACGTCCTCGTTGCCACTGATACTTGGCGCAAAGGAACGGGCGAGCAGGTTGAAGAAGTCGGGGCGCTGCGAGATCTGCTTGATCATCCGAACTTCCGAAATCTTGATGTCCAAATCGAGGACGTGCTCCTTCAGCTTCTTCAGCGAGTTTGCGACGATCCGGGTCGGAAACATGCCACTGGTGATGCCGTTGGAAACCTTCGGGAAGGCTTTGTAGACACCGATCACACGCACCCGGTCGCCCGGCTTCACCTTGTCGACAAGGTCCTGCTCTAGCATAGCGGCGACGGAAACGGGAATCTGACCCGTGGGTGCATTTTCCGGAGCCTCCTGAATCACGATTCGCTGCTGGTCTTTGTACCTTTTATAGCGAGTGTTGTTGTTGACTACTTTCTCTATATTGTTCTGACATTGGGATTGGTCCTCGTGCAGCAGTAGCAGACCATGCGCTGCTTGATTGAGTGCTGCTCTACTTCTAAATGTGCTCTTTGCTGATGGCGGACCACCGGGGTTTCTTCACAGGGAAAAGCGTCAACACAGTATCACTGACGTCGGAACAAGGACAAGCGATACAACCGTGACTCGACTCATCATCAAACGAAACACGAAGAGGAAAAACTGAATGTGTACTGGCAGAGTCCGAATTCTTCATCCCAGAGATCGCCATTTTGATCTTCCTTTAAAATCCCGTTGTATTGGATGTCCTGCCACAGAAGAGACCCGTTATCCCGATGCTCCCGCGCCTTAGTCTTTATCTGTGTTGCGCGTAGTTGTTCGGAGAGGCGATTAAAATCAAGTACATTTTTGGTGGACATTCATATTCATTCATCCAGCACAGAGACTCAGAGTCAGAGACACGTATCCATGATTGCAGAAGTCACGTTATCTTTTGCCCTATGCCTATTTGATATTTTCCGCGTGAGTACAAATGCTGCTCTGCAGGGTGGCTTGGACGATTTCCACGTTAGGTCATGGCAAAAAGTCAAATCAAGAAGGAGACGCAGTTGTGCTCCGGGTAATGGAAAAAAAAACAAGTAGCATTCTGATTTACATTTATTCATCAATACCGGTCCGTATGGGCCGTCAGATCCCGGGTTATCGCAATAATAGATGGACTGGGTCAGACGGGACTGGATAGAGGATACGGACGTTACCACACCTGTCAATTTGCATCGCATCCTATGTATAGAGGTAGGTCTCATGGAAGGTAGAACTGCAGCTAGTTCGAAGTAGCCGTTGCACCGCGCCATGTATTAGTCATTGCCGTCGTGTTTCTCTACTCATATCACAGAAACATCAACAAAGATCTACCTAATCCTCATTGTCACTTTGGCACCATTACATGCAATCTATCTCATGCAATGAAAAAACAAATTTTTAATTTTTTCCTCCTCTTCACAAATGAGTACCCTCGACGCAGACTAGTTTCGTGACCAAGGACTGATCGAGGCCGCGTGGAGTGACGTAATGGCGACCAAACTGCGCGTTCACCGCGATTCGCACGGGCCGCGGGTCCTTTTGAAATTTCTCAAATCGGTTGCTGGTCTGGCAGAAATTTTGAAGACCAAGTTCGAAGCAGGGAAGAAAGTGGGCGGGTTTATTCATCATATCCTTGTAGGTGCCCTTCACCTTGTTTTCCAGGTCGAGCAAATTTACTTCCAGCCTGTAGCATTGCTTCTCCGTTGAAAACTCCTCCTCCAACCTCTCCTGATACTTGGAGTCCTCCTCGAGAAACTTTTCGAAAAGCTCAGCCCGGTCCTTGATCAGTTGGGCTTCAACTGTCACCATTTTGTTCCGGACGCTCTCGGCGTTCCCAGCAGGAGGGCTTTTCGTAGCTACTGCTGTGCAGGCTGCACACGAAAACGAAAAACTGGTTTCCGCTCGCTTTTGTGCAGCACTCGTAGGTTGATGTATCTCACTTCATTTTTTTGATGGCATAATCTATGCTCCTCGGTGGACGCTGACTTCTATACCAACAAGTGTATCGTCGTGTGACTCGAGTCGAATGTGAATTTCGAAATGTAAACGCAGGTCTCGGTCAGGGTAGTCTCCTCCTAGCTAAAAAAATAAAATTTATTTTTTGCATTTAGCACTTGTCTATGTCGTTCGTACTTTTTGCCGCACCATTTTCAAGTCACACCAGTAGATGAAGCACCGTCCTTCTCATTCGTTCCTCTTCGTGACGACAACCTTTTGACTTAGACTTGCAGTCTTCTTAGGTCCTGTGGACTTCACAGCAGCTTTCACCAGACTCTCTCGCGAGACGGCACTACCAGAAGCAGAAGACGGAAGTTGCTCGTACAAAGGCAAAGCTTGCTTTAATTTATTTCATCGAAGCACGCACAAAAATGCAACTGAAATTTCCTTCGCACGACCTGCCACTTCGCTTTTATTTTCGTTTACTCGAGCGCTTTGCGTTTTGGTTCACGTCTAACCTGAGAAGTTGCACTAGCTGGACACAGACGTCTCACGCAAAGACGAATCTGCAATTGAGGTGCAATACACGTGACCCGCGGACGACACAGGACTCGAAGGTCCGAAGAGAACACGGTCACAGAGTGGATGATAAATGAAGGCGCGCCGCGATAATTGCGACGCAGAGAGCAATTGAACAAATCTTGTCGGTTTAGTACAGTTACAGCAAAGAGTGCTTGCCTTGTTTAGATCCTTAGCCAGATAGTCGTGTGCTGGGGCATTTAGTAGTGAAGAATTCCTTCAAGCAATCCGTCGAGTGCTGCTTCCTTAATCAAGTATGAAAACGGCGTCGGGATAAAACGCTGCTACTGGTGGTGAGCGCACGGAATGTCGAGATACAAACACGTTTTGTGGTGGATCGATTTTCAAATAAATAAAGGTTACAATCTGCGGCACATCAACGGTGAATACATGTGCTGCTGCCCACCTCGGGTTTCGAAATCACCGAAGGTTGGGCTTCTTGGTCGCGACTTGCGCAGCGGGTACGAAATCGAAAGAGCCTACAGGCATGCGGTTTCTTGTGACACTTACACTTGAATCACGCTTGTCGTGGTACTAGCAGGCAACAAGGACACCGTCTCGTCGTGCTGGAGTCCCGTGCCCCACTTTTTCGCCCGATTTCCCCTGAGTCTCTCCTTTCTCTCGACTTTTGCTGCTTCGGTGAGAAAACTGAAGAGGTTCTCGCTGCAGGTTATTCCCTGAAAATTAACCATCCCCATCCAATTTGTCATGCAAAACATACATAAAAATCATGTGTTTGTCATGCAAAAAGTGGATGGGGATGGTTAATTTTCAGGGAATACAGGTCCTCTCCGACATAGGAGGGCATTCGCTTGCTGCTACAGGAGAAGCCGGCGAGCCAACTGAAGATGCAGTGCGGGGACCAGCTAGGACCGGTTCAGGAATAATAGAGCACTCGCCCAGATCAAAAACTCCGGCACTACCATCACCTCCAGTCGAGGAAGGAAAATTGCAGTGCGCTTGTGTGTTGGTGCCGGCGCCAGGCCTCGAGAGCAGACTTTTGGTTGCATCATTCATGGGCTTGTTTGGAGCGTCCACCTCCCCCTGGGTCTGCGCAGGCAGGGCGCTTTGGAATCGCGTTTGTTCCTTTGTACCCGGCGACAACAAAGAACCGCTTTCCATTGGCGGTGAGGGTTTGCAATTGCGGCGCTGCTGCCACGTCCTGATCCCGCGAAAAATCGCATCAGGCTGCCGTTCCTGCTTCTGCACTGCCGTCTCCCGAACAAGGCCAGCCGGAATTTTTGTCGCTTCTATGCCATAAAGGCGCTTCGCATTTCTCTCGTTCGCACGAAGCACCTCTTCCGGTGTGAGGTCCTTGACAACTGCCACGCTGCTGGCGATTTCTAGCACGTCGGCCGGCCCACCCGTGTTCACTGTGAAATGAGGTGCGTCGGTTTCCAGCAAAATGCGATCAAGCGGAATCCGCTTGACCATGTCGACCAAGTTGACCTTATTTTTCATCGGCGGTCCAGTCCTGAAACGCCCCACCTCCGGCAGACAAGGCCCGGTGCGCGCCTTTGCCCCTTCCGTTTCCGACATCTGATTCAACAGCTCCCAATCCTCGGCGTACGGAAACGCGATGTAGCCACTGACTCCGTAGTACGCGTTCGGAAACTCTTCGAGGATCATTTCCACTACCGTGTGAGAAGCTATGGCACTGTGCCAGTGGAAAGGATGTGCTCGCGGTAGCCACTTGAGCAAGCACTCTACAAAATCAGCCTCGCAGTCGCGCGAATGAAACTGAATGGGAAGCCCCATGCCGACTGCAATCTCGATATTTTCCTTGAGAATCTGTTGCTGTCGCTGCCGTTCTAGTTCGAATTCTTCGCCCATTCTCCCAGACGGCTCGTCGAGTGGTCCGTAACCGGAGTAGTCCAGACCGCACTCCCCCCAAGCGACTACCTGGCTGCCGCACCGCCGCATCGCGTCCTGAAACAGGGTCACCAAATCCGCGTCCCATTCCCAAAGAGCCCGCTTGGGATGTGCGCCGAAGGTGCAGTAGATGTGGCCAGCTCCCAGCTTCACGAGGCGCACCGTGTCCTCAATGGCCGCTGCGTCGCAGCAGGACGTGATCACCGCGAAGGGGCCACGCAAAGCAAGGCCAAACAGGGACTCGCGCAATTCATCATCCGGCACGTCGCAGCCTCGTCGGCCATCCAAAATGAACTCCACATGCGCGTGCGTGTCGATCAGGGGAAGGTCATGCAGATCGTCCGGAACTGTGAATGAAAATGGGTGTTGTGGGTGCTTAGGAATAAACTTTTCTCGGGTCGTCTTGTCACTGTTGCACTTCAACATTCGATCATTTGCGATCGTCGCCGTTCCGTAGCGTACTATCTACAAGAAGAATTACCACAAAAAAACAGGAGCACCAGATGGCTCCCATGAGTAAATTTCAAGCTAGCGCTAGGGCGCAAGAAGAAGCGCAAAACAAGCCACAGCCATCGAAATTTTACAAAAGCAGAAAAGTAGTAGTAGTTGTAGTACTTGTGCAGCTGCTGCAAAACCAGTTTGAACCCCACCACTCCCCGACGACGGCGTTGTTTCGTGGCGCACAGCACCGGTTGCAACAGGCCTCGAGTGCTCGGTCTTCTCGGTCCTGGCGCAGGTAGAGGGTGTGCCCCCGAAACAGTTGTCCGTTCACGAGTTTGATTGCGAGCCGCGCGTGATCCAGCGTCTGGAACTCCAGCACGGCCCATTTCTTGTCGTATCCCTGGTATATGTTCACGTACGTCGGCGCCGCCTGGGTTGTTAACGTGATAAAATCCTTTAGGTCGCTCCACGTGGCGTTTTCGTCGCAAATATTGAGCGCGATCAAGCGGTTGGTTCGTGCTTCCCGGAGTCCCTCTGCTTCGGGACCGTGGATGAGATCCTCCTCATGCCCGCGAACGCGCTGCAACATCGGACGAAACTATCAGTGAACTCTACACCCTAAAGTTGACGTCCCGTAACGCCTCGGGGTAGCTTTCCTTGTGGTCTGGGGGCTCGCAAATACTTCCTCCGAAGATCACAATCATATTTGCGCCATCAAGAGGATGAGGACCACATGCATACGCTTCTTGCATGAACGTTAACCTTCATAGGAGGGAGTAGCGAGATTGCTAGTACTCCTACAGAGTAGCCGCGAGATTTCAATTTCTACTAGTACTACCACCTACTGCTCCACAACCACGCTCACAATCATTATCATACCACTGCACGTTCTTGATATAGTGAATTGCTTGACGTTGACTTCCATGAAAAGCGATCTCACCGTGGCCATAACGAAGTATTTCTAATTTCATAATTTTTCCCGATTCATTTGTTGTTCTTGAAAGCGTTATACCCGGCGCTTCGTCGACGAACCTGATCCTGCCACTCAAGACCTCACGCGTAAGCCCCGCGCATTGCTGATTTCGACATTTCATAATTTTCTAGGAGTCGCGAAGAAATTTAGTAATTTGAGTCCGTTCTTGTGCAGGTGCAGCTGCTCCTCTAGCTACAAGAGGGGCATCACACTTAGGGTTGTTCGTTGATCGAAGCGATCACGGACAGGAATTTACTTTTCATTTCTTATCGTGTTCGCGATCTTTTCGGCAGTTTTGCTTGTATTCAAGCAACGACATAGAAGAACGCGGAGCAGGAACATCAAGATCAACCATGAAAATCAAAAACAAATTAGAAGCTGCTGCGGGTAGCTCTCAGAGTACAAAGGTTTACCGTGTCGGTTGGTTCGATTGACAGCCATTTTGAAAAAGTGCGTTGTAGTGACTTCAAGACCAAGCTTGATACTTGATGAAGATTATTCAGATTTTCGAAATGCGTGCTCCTTCTCCTGATTCATTTTGTCTTACTAGATTGTCCGATCGAAACATTTACAGTGTGAGCGTCTGTGCTTCTGCTTCTGGGGGCACCAGCGTGTAATATTTTTGCATCTTAATATAATCTTGTGACGCGTCGCTGTCAAATGAAAAGGAAAACGATACATAGTGCGACACTCAAGAAAACGAAAAAGGTAGGATCGCTTCACTTACGCCATCGGAGGATGTCCCGAATTCTTGTCATCTTCGGTTTATTTGTCGCCCTTGTAAATTGAAAAAGTATACCGTACGGGAGGGAAGCGGGAGTCGGCAGCTACTGTCGCAAGAAGAGCACCTAAAAAAATGCTGAACGCCGAATCAGACGGGCGGTGAACGTGAAGTAGACTCGAGGCACCATCAGAGAAACCGACGACCAGAAACTTCGCTCATCAGTCTTCGTACAATTTCTTCAAGTGGGTCGCAATCTGCTTCTTGTATGGGGCGCTGACGGAATTGTCGTACTTCGTAGCGTATGAACTGCAAAAGTATCGTACTAGTATAAATTGCATTGCAAATTTTTCCAGAAGGAAAAATGAAATTTGTAATGCTGATTTCGCTAAGAAACAGGATTTGTCATGCATGATTGCAATTAGTACGAGTACGATACTTTTGCACAGGATATAGCGTTTGCCGTCACCAGGTCGCGCAAATCTTTCGCAATCTCCTTGATGAGTTTTTCGTTCGCGTCCCCGCCCACTTGCCTATCAAGTGCAAAAGTGTCTGGGTCTGGAAGGTTAGAACTTGTCATGCTAAATCCGAATGATGCAAAAATCTGTGTTGCGTGAGTGCCAAAAGCTGTCCGCTTTTGACTCAGTTGAGAGGGAGTTTCTCATGCAGGAAAGGCATGATAGAGACCTCAAAAAATCTGTAATGCTGGGTCTCGCATTCCAGACCTCATGGGCCATGCACAACCTGCATCACAAATCTTGCATTCTTCCAGACCCAGACATTTTTACATTTGATATTGCCGCAAAACCAACATCTGATTCTCGTACGCGCGCTTGAGGTAGAAGATCAATTTTTGCACGGAGAGTTTTTGGAGATTGAGAAAGCACGGACAGCTCTTCGCCGGTCGCAGGTCGATGATACCGTGGTCAGTTCCGTTGCGAAAACAACCCGGAAAACTTTCCAATTGGTACACCTTTGCCAGTCCGGTGGTCACATCCACCGGCTTTTCCTGCAGCCAGCTAGCCACAGGGACCTCGCGGTAACCTAAGGGTCGTGAGAGAAAGTGTCGATGATCATGTCAGGAGCGAAACCTAAGCAACAGCAACACCCGCCGAGTTGGTCTATCCGGTTCGAGATGACTGAAAGTTCTAGCTAAATTGAAACGCTCATGAAAAGCAGCGCTGTGCGAAAATAAATGCTGTGAAAAGCTGCGCACGCGCAGGGCTAACATTACCTTTCTTTTTCAGTGCAGTCTTGTAATCGTAGTTCTCCGGAGGCCACTGCGGAAACACAAACCACCAGCGGGCCAGAAGATCGGAAATTATCTCGGACTTTTTATTATCCTGCGCCAGCTGACGGGTTCGGTGTGTGGACCAACCGTTGATCCTTCGTGCCTCTTCCGTCTCCGCCTTTTTGTCGTGCTTGTCCTGTAAAATGTGCAGGGAACCAAATAAGATTCGACGTGTTCTCACCCTCGCGCCGACTTCAGCGGTGAGGTCAATATAGTCAGTGGACGTAGTGACCACGCAGTTAAGGCAGTATGACGCCGGGATCGCCCCACTGACAGTGAGGCACTCATAACACTGCATCTGCAGCGAGATCAACTTTCGGTCAGCGCTAGTACAAAGATAAGTACCCGAGAAGGATGAATCAAAGATGTAGTAAGGTAGGGATAGCAGTTTAAGCTTTCGCTCTTCAAAAGAGTAAACTATACACTTACCGCGTCACACATGGGAACGTCGTCTGGTCCGCTGTGCAGCGGCAATAGCCGCTCTGCTGGTGGGAAGACAGGCTCGTCCATTGTGCGCAACTTCAGTTTTGTCTTTAGATCGCACTGCTTCTGTTGTTCCGATCCCGACGAGGCCCCCGTTCCAACGTCGGTGCTGCTGACAGGCGCGACCGGCGGCAGTAGGGTCGCCTTCTTCGACGTTGCTGCTTCGTGCAAGACGCTAGATGGTTCCGGTCGGGTGCTGATACCGGTCGGCTTTGTGTTTGTGGTAGCCGGTGGTTTATCGTTGTGCTCCGCGCGCTTCGACGGTGCGACATCGACGATTTTCATGTCATCACTGTCGTCTTGGTCTTGTTGAGCCGCAGTTTTGTCTTCTACTTGCTGCTCTACCTTTTCATCCGGCTCTGGCTGTCTATCGTCCTCGATCTCGTGACCATGCGCCTTGTCGTCGCGGGGATCCTCATCATCTTCCGTTGCAGGCTTTTTGTCGTCGTCGGCATCTTCCCCGGGGGCTGGGAGCTGTTGGCCCTTTTCTACTTTTCCTTTCGCAGCCTTGGCCATTTTCATCGGAGGTTTTACGTTGTCCTTTGGCTTATCTTCTTTCTTATCCTTATTAGGTTTCTGAAGATTTTTGCTGCTAGCAGTCGGCGGCTTTTTTGCATTCGCTGCGTTTTTGATTACGGCTTTTTGTTGTGCTTGTCCCTTCGCCGGCTTTTTGTCTTCCTTCGGCTTTTCCACCGGCTTTTGCTCCAATTTTTTCATGGGCGGGACAATCTTCATGGATTTGTTGTCTGCGACGACTGCAGCGGGCTCTGCTTTCTTCGCCGCTGACTTCATCACTTCCTTTGTCTTCGGGATCGGCTTGTTCTTCGCGGCAGGCACGGCCGCTGCAGTCTCGCGCGGAGTCTTTTTCGCGTTGGGCATTTTCAATGTGCTACAAGTGTCTAAGTAGGTTACTATCTAAATACGCATACTTTCTCTTCAAACTTGTACTTCATAAATGTTTCGGGCTGGGAATATGAGTTTGTCACATATACGACCTAATACAACAATACGAACAGCATGTGTTTTTCTGCTCTGGCTCTTTGATTATGGAGAAAACCACCAGGACTCACTCAATTTCAATTTTCCTCTACGAACTTCTCCTTGCGATAGCCAAGTTTGAAGATTTTGGATGTAGGTTGGAAAGAGGGCTGTTGAAGAACCCGAGGGATTACGTCGTGATTTCACAATCAATAGAATACGATCCCCGTGACCCGACAAATATTTCTATGATGGCGGGGGCGATAGCGACTACGATGCTCATGGGTTTCTAGGTCAAATTTTTAATTTTAGTTCTCTCTGGTTCACATTCTAGCCGTTGACGAGGGACGAATTCTCCGATGGCGAGAAGACATTATCAATACGGACACCGTGACCGTCCGACATCTCGACGCACATGATCACCGCAGCATTCAAACGCAACCAGTACCCGCTTCCGGCACCAGTGCAGTATGAGGAAGAGCAGTAACATGTCGACCACAGAATTGACGACGGATACATTGAAATATTACCAGTGTGCTAGGAGCACACACGCGAGCTCCTGTCGCCTCTAGGCTCTAGCATCAGGGATGTTGATATACTCGTGCAGCAGGGAAAAGACGGTGATGACGACCCGGCTCCTCGTGCATCGTCCCTCCCACCATAAACAAACCCTCTCAAGAACAACACATAGAAGCGTGGAACGAGTTGAAACTCGAGTCAGTCTCTCTCCATACTGAGGGGAGAAATGCATATTTGCCTTTCACTCTCCAACACGTCTCGCTGTCGCTCGTCGATAACACGAATGAAAATAGAACACGACAGCGCGCGACATCATGGCCGTGCAGAAACACCAAGTACGCCTGAGGCATCCAGTACCTCAGGCAAAACGTGGAGCGCGAGCTCGTAGCTTTCATTTCAAGATTTAGATTCATCACTTCGATTCACACATCATGGTTCACTCTCTGTCCGGCTCTTGTGTGGTTTCGTTGTAAATACTCTGAATTGATGTAGTTTTTATCCCGTGTACAACACAACCCACTGTAGCTGGCAAACACGTGTTACAGTTCGACCAAAGACGAACTTTAAAGTCGCAACTTCGAGCTTCTTGTCTTACATCATGCGGCGGACCAACTCGTTGATCATCTCCTCACGGTTGCCCCAGTCTCCGCCCTTCGGCTCCTGGAAGCCGTGCTTCTTCAGGACGAAGCCACCGTTCGGGGAGGACAGCTTGAAAGCCCACAGGAAGGAGTTAGCCTGCTTGAAGTTCGGGCCAACCGTGAAGATCTCGTGGATCAGGTCATCGACACCGTGGATGCCGTACTTGCCGAGCGCGGTGGAGATCACTTCGTTGTCCTGCAACGGGATGCGTTCCTTGTTGACGCGGGCGAACCCCTTCTTGAGGACCAGCTCCTTCACGGTCTTCAAGTTCGGGTAACCGCAGATCACGTACGGCATGATGCACTTCAGCATGTTCATCATCGGCTTCGTGCACTTCACGAAGACGGCCTGTAGTTAGGTTGAGTCAGAGGATTGCGGTTGGTATGCAGAGGACATAATTCGCTCGGTTTTTTTTTCTATCCACTTCGTAATCGTATTCACTTGTACACAATACTGGTCCGACCGATACGCACCAGACAGTCATGCTTCTCACTCGCAGCTCTCTGAGTTTGCCTATTTTCGCTGAGTGTATTACAGTCCCAAACGACAACACAACTAAAAATCGACATTCTAAAAAAGCAAAAAAGTAGTGACTCACCTTGTGCAGCTGGTCCAGACGCAGAAGCTTGAAGATCTTACGGGGCTTCGGGGCCATCTTGTTGATACCGGTAATACGGATAATCATCATCATTTTCGGCTCCGGCTCGACGAAGAAGTTACCTGTTTTTTTGATTTTAAATTCATGTCTCATCGCATTTTTCGGGCGTCCGAAAAGCAGCAGAGATACTAGTTGTGTTTTACAACCCGAAATTTCAAAATGATGTCTAAGTTGATCTCCTCTCAGACAGAAATGTACCAGTGGCCTTGGCCAGACGACGCTGGGCGATCAGCTGGGCCTTGTCCGTGCGGTACTGTTTTTCGTACTTGGAAGCGCGCATCTTCATGTCGTGGCGCTTGACCTTGTTGGCCTTCTTCATTTCAGCCAAGGCAGCAGTCTTCTGCTTCAGCAGGGCGGCGTTGCGCTCAACCTTCTTGGTCAGGTTCTCCGGGACCGCGACGCCCTTCGGGGCGGTGGTCTCTCCGATCAAGAATCGTTCGGCCATTTTGAGTGATTTGGTCCTATGTGTGATGTAGACGAATCTAAATACCTTGATTACCTTCAAGGGTCCCTGTTGGTTGTGTACGGTGCGTAAAATCAAATTGAACCCTAAGGTACCTTCGACATGCACTAGACTATCAGATCAATTTCTTTAAATTTCAAGATCCAGATTTTCACGGACATTGGCGTCACGTGCAGGATCCTTAAATTTGCATTTTACACAAAAGATCTTCTTGGTGCGGAGCTGGATGCGGCTCTGGTATTTACACGGAAAGAACCACAAAAATCATTTGTTTACGTTTAGATCGCGATGGCTCGGATCAGTCAGGCTAAATTTCTGAAATGCCTTGTCTAACATCTTTTGATCTTATTTTGCATCTCCGGTTAGTGAGGAGATGTATCTACAGGCCAGTCTTCGATCTCTTTGTTCTCACGCGTGGAAAGAGCGAGGCACCGAATGCGACAACGATTAAGACGAGGACGCCACTTCCACGACCAAAACAGATGCGATTTGTGATCTCGAGAGCCAATAGATCTTCGGGTCTTACGCTTGTATTTTGATCCTTCAATATGTGGCTTCTGCAGGGAGGAGATCCTCGAGATTTAGTTTTAGATTCCCGAATACGAATTAGAATTCACGAGTAAACATGCTCTTGAAGTAGCGAAGCACGACTACAGACTGCGAATAAAACACAAGAGTGGCGCAAAACGGATTTCAGCTCGATTCGCGGACTCAAAACCGATACACCAGTCGGAGTTCGCGTAACATTTTATTGGTCTGTACTGGCGGTGGCATATCTCACATTGTTTTCCCTTGCGCTTCTCCTTCTTCTTCTACCGTCTCTACAAGAAAATTTTCGTGGTCAGCGTCAAAATTTAGAATCTGATGCTTGAAAACCTCTTCCGGAATGCTGAGTGACTCCATCAATGAATCTAAAGACTGCTCAGTTGCGCTCTCAAAGTTCTCTCTGCTCGGGATGATCCAGTGGCCCAAAGATTCCAAAGACGCGAGGGCCATGGCTCCTGGGTTTTTGCTCTGAGGGCAGAAAAAATCGCGCGCAGCTACCATCACACGTAAAGCCGGGAGTTGCGCCTGCGGACGTAGTGCTTTGTCGACTTGTTCATCGTGGCTGTCGATGCTGATGTCTTCCAGTGTGTTGCTTTCCTCAGCAAGGCCTCCCGGATAAACTGTTACATTGTGCGTCACGTTTCGCTGTTGCATATTCGTCACAATCCGCATCACGACTGCGTGGAGTAGGCGATCCGCTGCTGAGGATGTCTTGTTCAACATCTCAAGGCCGCATCCTTTCCCAGATTTAGATTTAGAAGCCACAGTCTGTCGCACCTCGCACATGGAATGTAAGTGCCATCCAGGAATCCTGCATATTTCCACAACCGATGATCCTTCACCACTACCGTCTGATATTCTTACCACCGGCTTCCTGGGAAACGAATCTATGCCACATTTCTGCGGCCAGGCAACTCCCTGCCAGTGCAAATGGTTGACGCTTGCCCCAGCCCCCATCCCGTTAAACGTCAGCCGAAGGCGCGCCGTTCTTCTCGCAAATTGCAGCGCTGTCAAAAGACCGTCCGCGGTGAGAAATTGTTCTCCGACGCCTTGCGGTATCAACAGAATGTGCAGCGCCGCGATGGGGTGGAGGTTTGCAAGAACGTAAACTCTATTGTCGTTCCACTCCATCAAAGGGGCCAGTTTCCTATCCTTCCCTTTGAATTCCGGTTCCTGAAGGTCTTCTTCTACTGATTTGCCCACAAGAAGAGCCTCTGTCTCTAACTGCTTAATCTTGGAGAAGTTCCACGCGGCAGGGGAAGTCGGAATAAAGACATCCGAAATTTCGACACCCATGACGCGTTTTGCCGTTCGCTGCGGGCTGAAGTGCGCCACGTGCTTGGCTCCACACTGCTTCAGAAAAAGCCGATCGTCTTCGTCCTCTTCGAAAAGCTTTTTCAGAGGATTTTTCGCATTTTCTGTCGCTGCCTCGTCGTCATTCGTATTCTTGATGCATTCTCCAGCCACGCTGCGCGCACACTCCGCGACGGTTCTAAGTGACGGTCGTTTATCTTTCCAAGCTGCCTCCAGAAGGAGGTCAAGTTTTGTGTGACCACCCACCATGGTCGTGCGTCTCCTAAGACTTTTCCGATCATCGTCATCCTCATCTGCTTCGGCGCCGCGCCGCCGCGTGTGAGGTGACATTTCTGTCTGATCCTACTCGTACTCCTACGACGTAAAGAAGCTCAAGTTGCTGCATCATGAGTTTCGCGTGTGCAGCGCGAAGGTAGGACAATTTCATGTATCAACTCGCCACGATGATCGTCTCAGAAGCTACGAGCCTGTGCAGATCATATTCTCTACAGCTTGATACTTTGTCGTGTCAATCCCGGCCGGCCGACTACAACATGAGGAGCTCCTGCATCTCGTCGGACCAACTGGTGAACACTCCACGAGCTCCTGTCGCAAATGCGATCGCTACTGCTCATTTGTTTTGATTCGACACGAGCAGGAAGAGCCCGGCTTTTTTATCGCATTACTTTTGCTTTTCGGTCAACGTCATCACTTTGAATTTGAAACCACGAAGAGAGACTCGGACTCCTTTGTGATCATACATGGAATCTTCAGAGTCATGGATGCGGGTAGTTCGATTATTTAAGTTTCGTACACGTACAGAGCAACTCCAGTGAGTTGAAGTGGAAATCGACGTCCGTTTTAGAACCGTGAAAAAAAATGCGCTAGTACGCTAGGAGCGAACATTTAAAAAAGTCTAAGTCATCGATAGTGCGGGGCCGTTTCTCGGGCAGCCTCGTGGAGTTCTTTCCCGTCGTTGCAGAGATGGAGCAGTAGAGGCTCTACTACGTCTACGGGTTGTATGGAGGCGTCAGGATCGAAATTCGCAAAATCGAAAAAAAATCCAAGTGCCCCCTGGAGGGGTGCCGGGATTTCGCATTTCGATTCTGACACACTCGGACCTTTTCGAGCTAGCCGCGACGGTATGCTTGAGTGTGTCAGAATCGAAAGGGGTCCCGGAGGGGGTGCCCTGAAGGCCCCCGCCAAGGACTGCCATAATTTTTTTTCGATTTTGTCGATTTCGATCCTGACGCTACCATAGGTTGTCCTCAGAAGCCATGATGGCGGTCAGCCATGATTCGAAAAAAACCGAAGTACAACGTACGCAGTGAAAATCACTGCTTCTTTTCCAATTCGACTTTTTGCTTTTCTGCCAGAGCCGCTTGTTTCAGCTCTAGCTTCACCGACGCCTTTGTGTCGTTCACCTTTTGCATCTTCGCCTCCAACTCTGCGATGTTACCCCTCCTGGTTCGCACTGCGTCTTCCATTGAATTCAGATCGTTCATGTAGCGCGCAACAAGTTTCTCCTTGGACTCGCTCGCTGTCATTTTCTCGAGCGCGACGATGTTTTGGCGCAACCGCTCCTGGTCTGTGAACAGCTTCGTAATGAACTCATTATCGGCCTCAATTCCGCGCTGGATCCCCGCTGCTTCCACCTCTCTTCCTCGGATCGCTTTGCAGAGGTTGTAGATGGGGGTCGGCAAAAACTCGTACTCCGCCTCGTTCTTCTCGATGGCGCGCAGCAGGGCTGCGTCGGTGACAATCCCAAACTGCAAGTTCTCCGCCAACAAGTTGTGCTTTCTTGACAGAAACACGAACTGCTCCATGCCCTTCACCATACTCGCAGTCAGCACCTTTTTCTGCACCAGCGCCTCCCGCCGCGCTGCCGCCTTCAAGAAGTCGGACACTTGCGGCGGACGCTGCAGCCGCTCTTCGACACCCGCAACCTCGGCGACGGTGAATTCCACGGACTGTTGCGGCTCCAGTGCGACGCAGAAACGAACGAAGTTGGTCGTGCGCTTTGCGACTGCGACGTTTTTGCTTGCCAAGTCCTCCTCGACCACTTTTCCAATGCAGTACCCGTTGTCCCGCGCACTAGCCGTGTGGTCGATGTAGAGGCAGGGGACTGGCTTTTTCGAATTGTTACTGACCGAGTACCGGAACACTTTCACTTTCTTGTGAACCAACACGAACATCTTCTCGCCCCCGGCCGAACGCTCGTCAATGCGGACAATTTCTGTATTCTCCTCAGTAAGCGTCCGGTCGATCGCGTTCGTCGTATCGAAGCCGTATTTTATGATCTGGTCGTCGTCCGGCGTCATCGGCGCAAACTGCGATTGGTTGCAGTAGACGCCGTTGTCGATGATGGTCAACAGTCCGGGCGCAAGGACCACAGCGCCTTGATGTTCCTGCTCAGCGTTCGCGCTGTCTCGTTCCTCAGCTTTGTTGAACAAGTGTACTCCCTTGGCTGCGTTCAAGGGATTCTCGTTGAAATCATACACCAAAGCTTTCGCGCCGGTCAGCTTGATCGTGTTCACTTTCACGCTCGCAGTTTCGCCACTGTTGATGGAAACGGAGTGCGGCAGCTGGTAGGCGACTGTTTCGGTCAACTCACTGGTCTGCAGCGCGTCCAGCGATTCGTATTCATGATCATCGGAAGATTTTGCTTTTTTTGCAGCGACGGGCCTGGAAGTTGTACTCTGAGGATCCACCGGGCCGTCATCCTCAACATCTGGTCCGCCACGCAGGCGCAAAACTAGATGCAAGCTGCTCTCCTTCTGGATGTTGTAATCACCTAGCGTGCGCTGGTCCTCCAATTGCTTACCTGCGAAAATCAAGCGCTGCTGGTCTGGTGGGATGCCCTCCTTGTCTTGGATCATCTCCTTTACCATTTGTATGGTATCCGAGCTTCCGGTAAATAGTGAAAACGTTTTTCCCGTCAAAGTTTTGATGAAGATGCAGTAGCTACTTGCGGCGATGACCGCTTTATTGCTTTCGGCGGAAGATGTCGATGCACTAGCTTGCTCGACGCCTCTCTTGTTTCCGCCGACCAATAGCTCCAGCTCATTGGCAATGAGACAAAGTTGGACGTCTCGCCAATCTTCCTCGCTGTTGTTGATCACCTGGGCGAACATCTCGAGGTCCATGGCACTGTTCGTGCCTGCAGTTGCTTGACTGTCGAGCCGCAGTTGGTAGTTACACTTCCACTCCTTGGCGCTGTCAATGTATGTGACCTGCAGTAGTGACACTGGTTCGTTTTCTTGTTCCTTGCTAGTACTCGTCGGGGTCGGGGTCTGTTCCGCCAGGCGAGGACCAGATGCAGTCGACGCGTTCCCCGGTGCAACCTCAATGTCAAAACAGGTCCGCTTGTCTTCGTCCAGAACCAGATCGTGCCGAGAAACGCAATCGAATAGCATGGCCGACAAAGCGTCCCGCAGCCGGGCCTCCGCGAAAAACACCGACTCCACGTGCTCCAAGGGAATTCGACTGATAGTGCCGGATTCAAACAGCACGAGTGTCTTCGGACGCATTTCCGTCACGAGGTCAGTTGTGCCGGCTCCGTGCATATGAAATGCAAAAGCATCGTACTAGTATAAATTGCAATACAAATTGGCTGAGCATTACAATTGAATTTGTAATGCGGATTTGCCTTAGGTACTGGATTTGTAAAATGCATAAATGCAATTAGTACGAGTACGATACTTTTGCAGGGGATAAAGCACCACTTTTTCTTTTTCGATCATCATGATCGCGCCCTCGCGGTCCTCCGCGAGCCCATCCCCGCGGGGGTTGGCTGGACTTGTCCCCAAGTTCCTTGCATTCGCCGGTCCACCAGGACCACCCGTGGCGCTCGTGCTCGACGAGGTTAGCTTCACCCGCACCTCTGCGCCGCGACAGGATTCCAAAAAATCCCCGAGGCGGTCACTCACGGAGATTGTCGCGCGGCGTCGCGAAATCGGCTGAAAAGAGGACGCATTGCTCTGCACGCTCTTGCGCTGCCGGATAGAAACCGCCGAGTTCTTCGCGGAGGTTGTACCAGATTCCGACACTACGCCGCTTGTGGGATTCGTTTCTTGACCTTGCTGGAAGCGGCACGAAAGTGTGTCACTTACCAACGGTGCGCGGTTGGCGGGGATGCGGAGGGTAAAGCTAGCACTCTCGTCGTGCGCCGGTGTAAAAACCTCGCGCTCGTGGAGGGCCAGGTTGTTCTTGTACAGCGTCACCTTCTTTAGCGGCAGCTCCGGAGCCCGATTGATTCCGGGATTGCGCCTCTCCTCCTTGCCTGCGCGCGAAGTGCGCGGCATCGCCGACAAAGACATGTCCAACCGGTCTGGTCGATTGGATCAGATTAGGCTTAGTCGTGGCGCGCGGTTTTGGTTTCTGGGATGAACAGGGGACGCGCTGCTTCAACCTTGATTCAGTGTCAGTCGTGCAGTTGCAGGTGTGATCGCGCGCATACCACCTCCTGCGTCTGCGATGACAAGCAAAATAAACACCTACTCAAAAGAATTGTAGCTCCCTTATTAAAGCAGCTCGCCTAAACAAGAACGTGCGGTAATTTTCACGAGCTGCTAGGGGTAGCTGCAGCGAAAATGAATATGGGCGCACAGCTGGCGTCCAACGACGTCGACCAGGTTCTTGCGTATGTCGCGACGAGGGAACGACTTAAATAAGTCTTCTTCGCCAATGGACCTGTTTTTTCAAAAACATCAGGTTAATTTCCAGCGTCGACGAGGCTCGATAAAGTTGTTGAGAAGGGCCGCGCGCTAGCCACAACTAGGCGCCCCTTTGTTATGTGCTCGGCGTCCGCGACACCTCAAGCCAGTATGCACATGGGGGCGTGACGACACAGGCCACGAGTCCCCCCGCAGGGCAGATCATGGGCAAGCACCTGCAACAGCAGGCTGCATCCCATGCCATCGATTTCGTGCAACGCTTTGCACGCACGTGCGCGCGAGCTCCGCGAGCCGCGGATGCTACGCGCGCGTGTGAGTAAGGTCCGCGAGGAGCGGGTGTTGATTCATTTCTTTCCCTGCAGGAGGGGTCGCAGCCAGTACCGCACAAGGGGCTGAGGTGAGACGGGCACCAGCCGCATCCAGTGGCGCACCCGGGCACGACCAAGACAGCGGCGCGCAGCAGCGGCGCATGCGTCGGCAAGTTGCCACGCGTCATGTGTCCGGCAGCAAGAATCTGCGCACATGTCAGTCCACGCGAGACGGGGGCGGGAGGGTGTGGTCGAGCAAAGACGCGGACGCTCATCGAGCGCCAGCGCCTCAAGTCTTGCTCTGCGTATTTGCAGATTTCTCGCCCGCTATTCAGCGGGGCGCATTTCGTGGCGGCGTTTGCCTTACCACGATCGATCTCGCCGACTAGGAAATTAACCAAAATTTAACAAGTGAAATTGACATTAATTTCCAGCGTCGACGAGGCTCGATAAAGTTGTTGAGAAGGGCCGCGCGCTAGCCACAACTAGGCGCCCCTTTGTTATGTGCTCGGCGTCCGCGACACCTCAAGCCAGTATGCACATGGGGGCGTGACGACACAGGCCACGAGTCCCCCCGCAGGGCAGATCATGGGCAAGCACCTGCAACAGCAGGCTGCATCCCATGCCATCGATTTCGTGCAACGCTTTGCACGCACGTGCGCGCGAGCTCCGCGAGCCGCGGATGCTACGCGCGCGTGTGAGTAAGGTCCGCGAGGAGCGGGTGTTGATTCATTTCTTTCCCTGCAGGAGGGGTCGCAGCCAGTACCGCACAAGGGGCTGAGGTGAGACGGGCACCAGCCGCATCCAGTGGCGCACCCGGGCACGACCAAGACAGCGGCGCGCAGCAGCGGCGCATGCGTCGGCAAGTTGCCACGCGTCATGTGTCCGGCAGCAAGAATCTGCGCACATGTCAGTCCACGCGAGACGGGGGCGGGAGGGTGTGGTCGAGCAAAGACGCGGACGCTCATCGAGCGCCAGCGCCTCAAGTCTTGCTCTGCGTATTTGCAGATTTCTCGCCCGCTATTCAGCGGGGCGCATTTCGTGGCGGCGTTTGCCTTACCACGATCGATCTCGCCGACTAGGAAATTAACCAAAATTTAACAAGTGAAATTGACATTATCGTTATAATGTGAGTGCATCTACATGCCAGCCTCCTGGTAGTGGCACGTTGTTGATCTTCTTTTGAAGCAATCGACACTGTTCTCCTCTTCGTTTTTCTAAGTGCGAAAATCTGGAGGTGGTCGCGACCCCGGCGTATGCGTATCTAGTGTAAGTAGAAAAATGTAATGCCTCTCCAATTGGCGAGTGCTGTTTTTCTTTTTGCTCTACGTGGTAGGTACATGCTGTACCGACGCGGGAGTTGCTTTTTTCATCTTCAGTACTCAAGAAGCCCGAACATCGACTGGTAGAGCTCAATATTTTCGACCGATTGGTATTGCCTGCTCGTCATTTACTCCATTTCAAAACTGCACTGGGCTCAACAGAAGAGCAACATTTATCTTTCATCGAAACAGTACTATTTCGGGGATTTCGATCATACACGACGCAATCGGATGAATTTTCACCATCAGATACTAGAAGGTAGCTGCAACACCAAGTAAAAAGAGCCCGCTCAATGATCATGCGACGCCACCACGCGGCACCCTGTACACCATCCCGCGTCTAATTCTTCGCGGCATTTAAGTTCTCTTCCTGCTCCTTTGCGGTCAACACACCAAACAGTGCTCCCAGCCGCGATGCGATGCTCGTCGTCGTTTCGTGCCCGGTCATCTTTGACTAGCTGCCGGTCACCGCGATTATTAGCTGCATGAAAAGTGAACTTTGCCTTTCGCTGATGGAGATGAAAAAACGCAAATTCCAGAGTAGAGCGGCGTTTCATATTTTGTGTGGGGCGTTCACGTTCTTCTGATGTTGACAGAACTTCAGATTGAGTGGCAGCTGCGCCATTATCTTTGACAGGACCACGTTGATTTTCTACCTTGTTTTCACTCAGCTCGACTCTTGATGGTGTGGCATTTGGTGATGTCTGCTGTTGTAGCGGTTCTGGATACAACTCGTACGTCCGGTGGACGAAGGCCGAAGGAATCACCAGAACTTCTCTAGTACGGGCGACAAAGACCTCGTCTACGCGATCGCGGGGGGGCCCACCGCCCTTATGTCGACCGCTATTTATATTTTCGTCAGCGGCTTGCGTTTCGTCTCTTCCGCTCACAGCCAACTGGAACACTGGTCTGAGCTCGTAGGCGGCACCGAAAATGAACTCGCTGCTGGGAAGCGCTCCCAGCGCGGGCGTTTGCGGCACACAAACGTAGCTCCAGCGGTCGCCGAGTTCCGAAAAGCAGTCTGTTTTGCTACGGAGGTCGTGAAGGTGCATGTTGATACGCTCCAAATCCGTCACCAAGGGCGTGTGAAGATGATGAGCCGGCACCGGTTGATGTTTGGCGTCACCTCCTACTTCATTCTCTGGCTTTGATCGCTGCGACCCCCGTCCCTCTTGTTTAACCACACCGGTTGTGTTAGTTGCTGCGAGAGAAGATGAAACGAAGCTGCTGCCTTCAATGAAAAGCCCAAATTTCCGGTCGAACACAAGTTCGTCGCCGGCGCTTCGGTCCGCCTCCGGCAGCGGATAGAACAGCCCAAATTGCGGCCCTCTGTGCAAAAGCTGCGACCAACGCTGCGAGGAAAAGCCAAGCGAGAAGTCGAAGTAGATTTTTGCGTTCGCGTTTTCCGCTGCGTAAAAAACCGCATGTTTCTCGTCGAACATGCTGTGTGCCGTGCTCAGGATCCAGTCCAAGGCACAGAACTTGGAACCCCTTGGGGTCGGGACTGCGGCGGTGCCATCATTGTTCGCCACGAAGTCCACGTTTCTTGTCAGACACCCCGAAAGGAAATAAAGCGACTGCTTATGATCTTCCAGCTCGGGCACGACCCCCGTTGTACGACCAGGAGCGCCGCTTCGCTCGGGCACGCTTTGCTTTCCAAATTTGGGTATATTTTTGAAAGCCGTAAACTGGCCGGAGAGGTACAATGCTGAACGTCCTCCGTCCAAGCAGGTAACGACATCGTAGGACTGAAGTAGATCCATTGCGTGCGGACGAGAGGTTGACTGCGCTTCGGTAGTGAGCAACTGCAGGAGATTTGGCGACCACAACACGTCCAAATCGGTCCATGCCCAGTGCGAGTAGGGCTCCAACTCCGTCGCGAACAGCGCCCCAAACAGAGCCTTGAGGTCATAGCCCTTTGGGGCGTTATCATCGGCAAAAGATTCTTCTACTACATCGACACTAAATGCCTCCAAGCTCTTTACTTCGCCGCGACGACCACCGCCGCCCGCCACGCCGGGCACGTTCTCCCACAAACGCTTGGCGAGGCAGCTCTTGTCCTGGGGACAGTGGCGAAAAAACACGTTTGGTGCGGCCGCATCGCGAATCTGGGCGAATATCTCGGCCTGGTCATCATCGTCCACCGGGCGACTGTGAAACACGAAAAAGTCGACGCCCTTCACCATCCTGGCGGTTGCGACAAACGCCATCACGTAGTCTGGCAGCGGGCCAATCCAATACGCCACGATGGCCAGAGGCTTGCGCTTGCTGTCCTTTATTCCGCGATCCTGATCTTGTGGAGCCATCCGGCGCAGGGGCTGTGCGGTTTTTCCTGCCGCCGTCTCGTCGGGCCGCCTGGGCTCCGGTGTGACGTACGAAGGACCCTCGGACTCCGGCTCAGCATGGAGGTTTGGTGTGCTGGTCGCCGTTTCATCGATTTCGCATACTCCGATATCGACGTCGACACAATCTTCATCGTTCTTCTGGCAAGCGGAATCACCAACAACACGCATGATCTCTGGGTGGTCGTCCCACTGAAGAGCTGCCGCAACATCTTCATGATCAGCAGCTGCATCAGACGCATAATTTCGAGGGCGCGATGACGGCACACTGCGTCTGTAAGTGCTGGGGACCGTTCCTGGTTGACTACAACTTCCACCTGGTTTCAAATCCTGCTCCTTTCGATGTGAGTATTTCGGGTACTGCTCGTTGTTCGTGCTGTTCTTGAGGCATTCTTGGGAGTTCGTCTCGGTCCCTTCGTGATGCGTCAGCGCGTTATTTGTAGTTTCATCGCCTCGCGTTCTCGTTTTGTTGCTTCCCGAATTCGACGACGCCGCTAGTGTCCCTGCGTCTATTCCGCGGCCTTCTCCAACTTCTTGTGGGAGCCATTTCATACCACGATCCGTTACATCTAATGGCCCGAGAACCTCAATGGGCCTCGCTTTCAGATTCTTGGCGGGATTCTGCTCGTGGCTTTGGAACTTGCTCAGGTTCGAATGTGTGGCGGGTCGTGTGTTACTGCGTGACGCGGAGCCACCAGGAGAAGTTGCATGAGCCAGCGGACCACTCTTCTGTTGCACGGCAACGTTTGGACAGCCTGTTGACCTCGTGTCGTTCAGGACAAAAATCGCACCTTTACTTTCATGACATGCGAATTTACTTTTGCGAGGAGGGTCGCCAGAGCACAGCCGGAAGCGGTACCGCTGGCCCGAGACGGCTTCGCAAGGCACAGTCCAGTTGAAGGACCCGGTGTTGGCTGTGTTCCCTGTCAAGGCGATTGCGCTGGAAGTGTAGCTCGAACCGCTAGGATCTTCGTAAGGCGATGGATGCAATACCTGGCCCCAGGCGTATCCTCGATTGTACTCCTCACTCCGCACGAAGTAGTTCCATCGCAGCGTGATTGTCGAATTGAGCCTCGTCGCCTTGACGTCCTCGATGTGGATCGCGTGTTTGTAGTCCTCCTCTTCACCTTCATGCTCGACGTCGATCCAGAGGCGCGGTTCCTGCCCGTCCGAGGTGGGTGGCGGAGCGAGGTGGCCAGGCTTGTTTCCGGGTGATTTTGCCACTGTATGCGCGTGTGCCAGCACGGTTCCTTGCAATGCGAACTGGAAATAGACGGCAGACTTGAAATAAATCAGTAGCGGGAGTGCGAGAATCACTACGCAGCTAGACGAGAGGACCCCATGGTGTATCGTCAACATCGTCATCTTGTTCAACACTCCACACAAAATACTGTAGCAGCGCTTTAGTTCTGTGGATCACAATCCTAGAGCATCAATTGTTCGTCCGATGCGAATACGCACCGCAGAGCCGCCGGGTGTTTCGAAGCATCCAGCATGCAACTCTAAGTGGTTCTCGACAGATGAGCAAAATGATGCTCGTCCTACATCAACATGCTCCGGTGCTGGATGATGTCGATGTGTAGTAGACGGTACTTTTCATGATGATATTATGACAACTCGTGCTCCTCGCGAAGTTCCTTATCTCCTGGGTGCCCCTGCCAGGCTCGATGACATTTGCGATGTTACGAACTTGCTTCATCTAGGAACGACCCCAACAACTACAGCCGTACAAGACGACTCAAAGCTGACGAACCCGAAAATTTAATTTGGGTGACAACATTGATCCCTATGAGCTGCGCCTTTGCGCTTTGCGCAGGTTTGCAATTACGCGAGCCGCGCGACTTCACAACGGCCCGGCCCTGTTCTTGCGGCCCGTCGTTCACGGACGTGGTTTCTCCCTTCGCGAGATTGAAACTACAAGTATAACCAGCTTTCGACAAGGCGGTCTCCATCGTATTCCTACAAAAATACCAAAAGGCCGCCTCTGAGGCAAAATACGGCATCCAATCGACCGCACGCATCCGGTTCTTGAAGTTGAAACCGGAGGAGCGCATATTCGTTTCATCCGCAGTTATTCGGGTCTCGAATTTGCCATCGCTCGCCGCTTCACGCAGACGCGCCAAAAACAAGGGCGCAAGGTTCTCCGCGGCAGAGTCAACCACTCCTTTTGCTTGCTCATACAGTTTTTTAGCGGAGAACTCCTCTCCTCGCCATTCCGCACTTGCATTTACGGAGCAAACTTTCAACAGGTGCTTGGGCGTCGCCGCAACGCCACAACAGGTCTAAATACTTCACGCTGCCAATTACTTACACATTGAGTTGCTTTGCGAGAGCCGGTCCGAACGACCTGCTGACTTTTACTCCAACCTCGTCTAGGTCATGAACATTTTCGACGTCGACTCGCAGCATCGCGACTCTTTTTCGAAAAGCAGAGAAGATTGTGGCTTCAGCGAACCCGTCCCGCGTACAGCGCAGCTTGTCAAGCCGCGCCGCAACGTGTCGACGCAATGCATCGTCTTCACGTGTATAGCAATAGTCGTATGGAAGGGCGACAAGAACAGTCCGGCCCGACAAGGGAAACGGGGAGTATGGACTCTGCAAGGTCTTGAAAAAAGCTGCTCGGAGACGCTTGACAGAAACAGAATCCGTTTTCACTCGCTCCACGTTCTCAATGTTGGCGAAGTGGTCGAGAGGATCGCGAGCACTGAAATCTCTCTGCGCCAGCTTGTTGTCATACTCCTCGGTCCATTCCGTCACGTCGACGCGTACGTGCCTAAAGCCAAGGGCCCTGAACATCAATAGGCGGCGATTGTCCGCGGTGTGGTACTGACTAGTGTCGGGATGGCGGGCAACCCGAATTCGCGGAATATTTCCTAAATACAAGATGAAAGACTCCGGATGTGCATGACCATCGCTGCAGACAATCTCGATCATGCGCTGGAACATGTGCGTTCCGTCGCTGAACCTCAGTTTCGCCGTTTTCTGCGAGAATGCAATCCAATGCGTCCAAAGAAATGCGTCTTCTTTCAGAACTCGTGCCGTATTTCCGCCATGTTGACCGCCTCCACTCGTGGCATGCGACGAATGGCCGCCTGAGCTCGGACCGACAATCATGGAATTCGTCAACCCTTGCGCCCGTTTGTTCTTGATCCACCTTTTTTTCCGTTCCGCACCGGACTTCGGCATCTTGATGTGTTCTTATATTGCTTTGTTCGATTGCAATGATCGATGAGATTCTAGACGAGACGAAAATCTAAAGCTACAACGTCTTCGATTGGACCTACAATCCTAGTCGCAAAGAAACCAACAAAATATGTCTGCACGTTCACACAAACAACAAATGCAAATTAGTTGGTACTGAATACGAGAGAGACCATGAATAAATGGATCTGAGTTAAAATATTCCTCAGTGCGTTTTTCTCACATTTTCGTCGTTGTGCCGCTGGACTATTTTGGGGTGCAATGCGAAGCTGCTCGTTTGGTGTCTACATTTTTAGATCCTTCAAGCCAAAAAACTACGATCTTGGGGGCCCCAGGGCTTGCACCGTAAGCGGGCCCTGCAGTGCGAGCTCCCGACCTCCCGAACAAGCTCGTCAGCCTGAACGTTTGGAGGATCCCAAGAGTTACTAGATCGGGAAGGTGAAGCCTAAACGCAGCGCGCTGAAGGATCTGAAAGCTTCTAAATCTGCTGAAGTATTTCGTTCACAATTTATTTGCACAAACTACACACGTTCAATCTTTAAATAGTGTCGGAAAAACTTACTGAGAGATCAAGAACCATACGCCCACCTTCGTCGGCAGCGCCTTGGTCCAACTTATCGATATGGTAACAACTGAGTAGGAGGCTTCTCCGGTGTAGTTTTTTTTGGCTTCTCCATGCGAACTGGAAATAGACGGCAGACTCGAAAATCAGTAGCCGGAGTGCAGCGAGAAGCACTACGCAGCTAGACGAGAGGACCCCATGTTGTATCGTCAACATCGTCATCTTGTTCCACACTCGAAACAAAACACTATACTTACTTCGCAGCGCTTTAGTTCTGTGGATCACAGTCCTAGGACATCAATTGTTCGTCCAACTCCGATGCGATGAATACGCACCGCAGCGCCGGGTGTTGTGAAGCATCCAGCGCGCAACTCTAAGTGGTTCTCGACAAATGAGCAAAATGATGCTCCTACATCAACATGCTCCGGTGCTGGATGATGTGTAGACGGTCACGGTTGTACTTTTCATGATGATATTATGACGACTCGCGCTCCTCGCGAAGTTCCTCATCTCCTGGCTGCCCCTGCCAGGCTCGATGACATTTGCGATGTTACGAACTTGCTTCATCTAGGAACCTCAACAACTACAGCCGTACAAAACGATTCTACGAACCTCAACACTCCCACTTGAGTGCCACTGCCGCCCGACCTGCGAAATTCATTGTGGTACGACCACAGGTTCAGACACAACACACAGACGGGCAGAAAGAGTTGAAGTCAAATTCTCAATCTAATCTATCGAGCATGTTCTGCAACTGCGTGATCGTGTTGGCAGTTATGCAGCAGTGAAGATTCTTGGTACTGCCTGTCGTGCCAGGGTCTACTATTTCCAGTAGTTCTCGATCTCGTGCTGTTATGATCTACGTCGTGCGTGATTCACGGTAGCTGCCTCTGCATCACTTCTTCGAATGCGTTCTTTTCTTTTTCAATGCGGGACAAAGCTGCGATCAACCGGCGAGGCAAGCACCGATCCCCGGAATGCAGCACCGGAGGGGGTCGGGCTGAAATTGTGCGGGTGATCAGAAGATATGGACGAAAGACGGTGGCGCTGTTCTGCCGCGGATCGCTCGCCCGCCACAGCCAGCACTGCTCTCTCCAGCAGTTGCATGGACAGCTCTTCGCCCCGCTCCTTCGCGAGCGCCCGTGCCAGAAGAATCGAATTCTTGATCTGCCGCCCGTTGAGCACGTAATTTGCCAGCTGCGACAACAAATCTTCCGTCTTCAAGATTTTTTGCACGTGCTTCGATTTAGAGTTGAGCAACAGGTTTCGCCACACCTTCGCCCGCCCGTCGAAGTCTAGTGCCTCGTAGCCAAGCATCACGGTGATGCGCGAAGAAACCGCGGGATCGATGTTTCCGACTCGATTGGTGGTCAGGAACAACCCCCCACTGTAGTACTCCAGGAGACGCAACATGACACACACGATCGCGTTTCGCTGCAATTCCTGGCTGGTTCGGGCCTCGATGAAAATATCTGCCTCGTCAATCAGCACCAAGGCATTCCACTCGGCGCACATCTGCAGAACCTGTACGTGATGGCACGATTCGTGTCGTAATACAGGAAAATCACATTTCGGCTAGTACGTACATCCTCTTCATCTCGATCATCCAGGAGGTAGATCGCGCGACGCTCCTCTAGGACTAGGTGGACGTCGATGCCAATAAAAACCAACAACAAGGCGCCCCCGTAGGATAAATCATCACAAGTACTAGAATTTGAACTTCACCACCTTGATGTTCATTTCTAGCAGACTATGTATTGTACGGCGCATTGAAGACGTGACCAGAGTGAGCTACCGGTATAGTAGGTCGTAACGGACGCAGTTTACTACGCACAGAAGTCTAGCTACAGGGGCACCTGTGATAGTGTCTTCTCGACTTCCGCGGCGGTGATGCCGAGGTCTCCAGCTGTGACCGTGTAGAGTGGCTTACTCAGCATTTCGGCAATGGCCTCCGCGGTCAGGGTCTTTCCACAGCCCGGTGGCCCGTAGAGGAGGAAAATGCTGGCTCCCCCTTTGTTCGCGATCACGTCGACTTCACCGTCTTCGTCCGCCTTTCCCGCGTAGCGTGCACAGGCACGAATCAGCTCCTTCTTTTCCGCCGGGAGCACCAGCTGCTCGAACGCGTGCTTCTGAAACTTGATCGGGCGGGTGTTCTCCAGTACCAGCACCAGCTTCCCCCAGCATCGTGCCGAAAACGAAAACCCCAGCACCATGGGCCAGCAGGCGAACAGCTGGTCGTGGTGAAAATCTTCGTCGTTGATGGTGAAAGTCGTTACGGGCAGCGCGCCGCCCGTGCGCTTGGCCTGCTCGTACACGCGCAGGGCTTCACGGACCGAGACGCTGGCACCGTCCGCTCCGCGCGTCGGATTGTGCCCCTCGAGCCCGGCTCGCGTGTTGTCCACCATGATCCTCCCCGTGGCCTGCAGTGGGCGGGTAGCGCGACCACCGCTCCCCGCACTGCTGCTCATGGTGACGGGCACCGGAAAGAACGTGTCGGGTCCGTACTGCAGGTAATGGTAACCCGTCGCGATCTCCGCGTACAGCATGCCGCGGACAATCAATGCCTGGAGCATCCGCGCCTCTTCCACATTTGGCTGCGCCGACGTTGCGAGGGGGCGGTGGCGGAAGGCCTTCAGCGGCTGACTCCCCTCGAACTCGGAGTAGGGCTCGCTGATGCCCACGAACGCGAGCGTGTCTCCCACGGACACGATGAATTCGAGCATCAGCACGAAGGTTCGGCGCGTCTTGCCGCTGGCCCGCGAAATCTCCTCGGTGTAGGAGGATTGCACCACCGTCGCGCCCAGAGCCGCACCCTGCAGGTTCTCGGGGTAAGTCACGACCTTCGTGCCGGGGCGGAACACCTCCTGCATGCCCGGAAAGAAGTTGCAGGTCTGGCTTGCGCGAATTTCCGTGACTTGTTCCGGGATGCTGGGCGTCGCGTTTTCGACCCTCACGAGGAAGGCGGCCAGATCCCGGACCTGCACGGGCCGGGAGGTGACTTTCAGGCCGCAGCTGGTCAGAAACTCGGCAAAGCGGTGCGGCTTGGTTTCCTCCTCTTCGATGTTTTTCCGGGCCTTGTTGAAGTTCTGGCACTCGCGTTGGAAGGCGCGCAAGACGCCGAGTTTGAGGACGGCGCGGTGGCGCTGGATGGGTTCGCCCTTCGCCAGCGTGTAGTCGCAAAGGCGGTAGACACAGGGCGCAAGCGGAACTACGGTGGTGTCGCCCTCCTGGGCCACGGTGTGCGCATTCGTTTTGGCAGTCGGCGTCGCAAATGTGAAGCAGTCGGTACCTTCGTCATACTCAAAACTGGGCACCGCGCTCGTATCTCTTGGTTGTTGCGCGGATTTACTGGAAACTGAGCCGGTGGTGCCCTTCCCCGGTGCGGGCGGCGCGGCTGCCGGCTTTCCGCCGCCGCCACCTTTCAGCACTGGGGCGCCGGCGGGAGCCGGACCGCCGCTTTTGCCTTTGACACCCGCAGAGCTCCGGGGCGCGGCCGCCGACGGTGGCGCGGCGCCGCCAGTGCTCCCCGAGGCTTGACGGCTCGAGCGCTGTGCACCATCTGGATGTGGAGCGCCAGAACCGGGGGGAGAGGAACGCATTTCAAACGAAAAAGAGCAGCCGGGCGAGTCAGTGGCATCTATGTAGCCCCTTTGATAAAATGATTTCACGAACTACATTGTTACAATCAGTATCCTTTGTGGTCTCGTTGTTGATAGAAAAACTCTAGCGGCAGCACCAGTTATGGCTCTGAAGCAATGCAAAAATCTGGTCTAAAAATGCCACGCAGTCGATGCAAACCGTGCTCCCGCAGGCAGAAGCAATCGGCGAGTCAGATGATCATCATCCTCATCTTCATTGGAAGATTCCTATGCGAAAATGCTAGCTCTTTCGGAAGTGACCTCTGCAGCCTTTACTTGTCGCACTATCGCCCTCAGCTGCGACGTCACGTTGCGTACTCAGACTTCTTGCTTGTCGTGGTACTGCGTCGGCCTGGTGGCGAAAAGCTAGCCTCACCCTGCTGCTCCTCCCGCTTTTTGCGGCCTCTGGCTTCAATTTCTGCGAGAAAATTCATTTTGTCTTCATACACGAGGAGAGCGGTAAAAGCGTTTCCGACGGCGATACGAATGGGATTGCATTCTTGTTGGATACACAAAACGAAAACTCCTTATACATAGTTCGTATTTCATTCTAAAAATTAAGTATTACAAGATGAAAAGCTGGCTGTTGTTGTTGACAAGAACGCCGAAGAGCCTAAACTACAATGAGATCAAATGCAGCGGCCGCTGGTCTCTAGTAAGTACTACAGCGTGCGTACTCATCAAGACAATGAAGACCGAGAAAACACATCTTCTCGTCGCCATTACTTAACAGGAACGTCCGGGTTCTGTTGCCCTGACACTGCGTTGGTTTTGTTCTGCTTCCTCATCAGAGAGTCTTTTGTTTCTACAGTTTGTACAACTATCGGTGCAAATGCGATTCCGCGTCGGGCACTTCTTCATCAGGGTTAGTGGCCGGCACAGAGTGAAGTGTGTCGCTGTTTTCGTCGAACGAGCGCTATGTCATCGGTGTCGCCAACAACTTGGATTTATTGATATTGCATCTAGCGTCGACAACGACACACCACTACCACTGGCGGAAGACAACGGCCAAGAACTAATTCTAAAGCTAAAGGGAAATCGCAGTAAATAAAACTCAAAGCAGCAGTCTCAGTCTTAGATTTTATCGTCAGGAACAGGAAGTACTTCGAAGCATCAGTCGTCAATAGTGAAGGAAGTAAAAGAAGCTCATAGCAGAAAAATTCCGTTCGAATTTAGGTGCTGGCGCTTGATGCGCATGGTACAAGAAGCGAATCAGCATCAGTGACTGCTCGACCACCTGGAGAAATCTAGATCGTCACCACGACACTTCTTGCATTCGTTGGACGGCGCTAGCTTTTTTTTTGTGTCCAGTTGAGCTGGTCAGGCGGACTTTGTGGTATCTTTAAATACCCTCCGCCGACCAAGTCCTCGGGCCGCTAATGCAACTGTGTTGTGTCGACCGTTGTCGAAGTAATGTACAAGTACAGGTGAGGGAAGTACAAGTAGAGTAGATGTAGACAACGTCGGCACCTGTGTCTCCGTTTCTCGCCTCTGATGCAGCACGCTCGGGGGAAATCATTTTCCAAGCATTTGGCGTTTTTGCTTTCAGATAATATACTGTAAAATAACTGCAACTAGTGAGTTGCAAAAGCTCTCTTTGGCTTCACTTCCGTATTCCCTCGCCATGCGAGGACATCCGCCGTGCGGACTTTTGGTCAGCAAACTCTAAAAAAGTTGTTTCAGTCTGGTTTTCGGACAAGAATAAACAGATTAGCGAAGTCGAAAGACAGGCACGCATACACAGATTAACAGAGAAAGACAGCTTCGCAGACAGTCTTGTGCAAACTTGTTTCAGGAAAGTACGCATATAATTTGCTTTTATTGTTTTTTGAGTAAACTACAGCTACACTATTAAATTCAGTTTGGAATTTAAGAAGCATACAACATAGAGTAAAAAAGCTCAAGGTCGAGTCAGTGCAGTGGTGATTGAGATTGTTACAGTCGGGTTAGTTTGCTTCGTTTGTCTTGTTGTACGTTGAAGCAGGCTGAGAACCATTTGACATTACAAGAGGTATCCGGCCACAGTCCCGGCCGCAGTCAACAGCATGGCCGCAAAAGCCGCTATGCAATGAAAACATGTCCTGGTCAGGGGAATAAATGCAGCACGTCTTTGGGAATGGAAGTGGCCTGGTCTGTCTGTCTTTTTATTATCGCCATCCCCATATTTGCTGTGCATGGCTGCATTGAATTTGAATGTGCCCGTGAGGAGCACAACACAAATGATTAGAACTCTTCATGCAGAACTCGAGAAGCTGAAAAATTGATTCGGAGTTCTTGCGTATTTTCATTCAACAGTACGCAAATGCTCGAATGCCTCCTCTGCCAGAAAAATGACCGATACTTCTCGAAGTTGATCGCGAAGAGACATCATGCAAGCCTCCACATTCACCCTGAGCGAGAAATATTTGCACTGCATACCCGTGTCGGTCTTGCGATTCGCGCTACCCAACGGTCCGGCAGTGATTGGTGGGAATGTTGTCGTTTCTGAAGCGTCATACTTCACATAAACACAACTGTTCTCCGTCGAGATGAATTCGGTGCGATTTCCGAGGACAAGACGGGACTGTCCAACAGGTAGCTTGCAGAGGTAGAGCCCTTGATACGTGTCCTCTGCTATGTTGCAGTCGCGACCTGATCGATGAAGGGGTGAGTTGGTCGTGCCGGTAGAAATATCGGCCGACTTTTACTTCATCATTCCTTTACTCTTTTTTTACGAAGGAACCTCCATGCAACTACCGAATTGTCGTGTGGTTCGCTTTTGTCCGTTAGTTCAAGGCAGGAGCTAGCGCGACCACGCCCAGCCCTCACAGGCTAATACAAATCAAAATTTCCAATTCCATACCAAGCGAATCCTCTCCACGGAAGAGGCACACCATCCTTACGAGAAATAGAAGCTTCTGTTTGAGTTTGTAGAGATGAATCTATAAATCCTCATACCGTATATGCCTCCACAAGTGGGGTCAGCATCGCATGCTGCTTGTGCTGCGGGTCGGTCCCCGAAAATTCTGTATCGGATGCTGTGGCAGTGCTTTTTCGGTTCGAGGATGTACACGGAGTTCGACACCGCATCGTCGTCTGTAATGCCGCGCATCATGGACTCGGGGGGAAGAACCTGTGACGTTTCTACTTTTCCCGGTTCAAAATAAATATCCACACTGGAGGCCGGCATCCAAAACTACTGTATTGAGAGCAACGTCATTACGGATATTGCTATGTAAAACTAGCAGCTACAACGACAGCTTCCTGCTTACCTTCCACAGTGCGATGTCCATGACGCTTGGCGGCGGGAGTGTGGTAGGCGGCCTGCCGTCATTCTTGGTTTTTACTGGCATACCCATAGTGGTTGTCGTGGTTTCCGTGGGTATCGTATCTGGGCCTTTGTAGGAAATAATGATACCATTCTGGTCATTTACCATACCGCCCGGAGATGTTGTCAGGTGCTTGTATTGAACCTCGAAGTAGCGCACACCGGCCTCCAATACCTGCCGTCGGTGATCATGAGTCAGAATATTTAAAAAATAGCTTGCTTTGAAAGCAAAATAAACTGGCTCGATGCACCCGCAGGTGCTCGAGCTCGGGAGAAGCTGCGTGATTGGAGATCGTATATTTTCCTTGACTCAGACCCCCAGTACCAGTAGGGTGAGGAAGCACACCAGATATTAAATTCATAATAAAAATACAAAAAATTACCGGCATCGAAAGCTCTGCCTCATAGTATAAGCCGACCAACTGTGATGCCGAGCCATTATTCTGCAAGACGAGCTGCCTGTCTTCCCCGGATCCGAAGTACATGCGGGCTTCTGTGTCACACTGCAACAGAAACTGGTATGGTCCCGTAGTCATGATTCGCAACAAGCCCTGCCACCTCGCTATGTACTCCTGCTTCGGGTGAGGCCATCCAGGTCCTGTTTTGTAGTTTGGTGTTGACTTCATGCATTTATGAAATCGTTTGATCATTCTGATTGCAGAACAGAAGAAGTGCCTTTGTTTGGCTTAGCCTCATCAATCAAACAGGCAGAAAAAAAATACGCCATGGGTCCGGCGACCGCGGATAGTTAATGTCGGAGGAGTTCGTGGTCACATTGAGGTTGTCCGTCCTAACTACACCTTCCCAGGTTGTTGGCCAATTTTGGGGCATATGCGTGTTGTCCCATGTTCGCAGCTGTTTTGTTTTTGTTATTTCAACATCAGCTTCAAATAGAAATAAGCAACACTGGTGCAGCTACCATGATGATCTGACTTGTCAATCTATGCATCAGTACCAGTAGGCTATTCGTACTAGACATGAGCAACATGATACATACTAGCGGCCATCAATGTCATAAAGAAACTTTCCGTACATTTGTGTAAAGCTCGAGTTTGAGCCCTGGTGTGCCGATGTAGGTGTCGAATCCATCCTGAAACGTGTCCGCTAGTGGCATGGCTCCATGGGCGCATATGTAGCAATCGTTTTGATTGTGTGACGTCACAGTTAGCTGAAGTTTTTATTTTCTTTGTCGATGAGATTCAATTTCATTCATCGCACCCATTCTTGTGATATTCCATGACAGACAGCGCTGCAGCTATGGAAAATGAAAGTCAGTCGAATATGTAGTCGCTCGGAATGCAACACCGACAGTGCCGAAACAAGAGCCACCGAAATCAAAAGTAGATACTCGGTCAGAGCGGTAGGGAGCTCCGGCCTGCAGGAGTCGCACACATTGGACGGCCTGTGGGCTTGCGAAGGTCGCACCTATGTACGTACCCTTATAGTTGGCCTCGGACGGCGTCTGCCCGTTGTAGCGATCGTCGAACGATCTGCACATGTCCCGATTGGGGTCTGATGGTGCATTGGGTATACCGTCGCAGTCCAAAGATTCCGTACCGCACTCGCTGATCCATTGCGTCTGAGGCTTGTTATCCATGCCATTCACGGGGGCAAACCTGCAAAACGTTGATGATGTTTGTATCACAAGATCACTACTGATGCTCGCCGAGCGTGGGTGGCAGTATAAACCAAGTAGCTCTACTAACGTCATTTTTTCTCAATCGGCATGGCCCGCGGCCAGTGGCATACTACATTGCTTCGGAGTCAGCATGTTGATGGGCGGGTTTTGAAAACATAGATAGCATGCGTGAAAGAACCACTAAACAAATATTACCCTTGTCCTTGCTGGCCGCAAGAGAGGAACCGCGCTGACAGTGGCGTGTTCCACTTGAGTTTGTTTTCACACTTCCGGTCGCTGAAAAACTGCACCTCGAGGACGCGCCACCCATTGATCAGGGGGTCGGAGTTGTGCACTAGCCACTGGGACATTGGCTGGCAGCCCCGCCACGATTCCGGCGCGCGGCATGTGGTCAGATCCAGCAGTATCCACAGAAAAAAAACCCATCCATATCCATTTTTTGCATGACAAACACAGAACTTTATGTATGTTTTGCATGACAAATTGGATGTGGATGGGTGTTTTTTCCTGGATAAGCAACGCCTGCTCATCGGCGTCGGTTTGCATTTTTCGCTTGTTTTTGTTGCTGCCCGCCTTGAATGGATTTTCGAGGTTTCGGATGTACTCCTCTGCGCTTTTTTCTAGTACCATTTCGGCACCGGCTGCGGTTGCCGAGTCTTCATACGTGTGTATCGTGCCGGTCCCGCTTGCTGAAGAGGACGATGGCGATTTGTTCGTTTCTATCAAATTTCTGGTATTTTTCGTCCTGCCAGCGGTGCTTGAGGATGAGGAGGAGGAGGACGACGACGTTGACGGCGCGCCACCACTTTTTGCACCTACTGGGGACTGGCTCGGTGGTGGAGGGAGAATTATCTCCGTAACGTGAACATCGTCCTCTTTTCGATACTTCGACGATGAGCTACTCGAAGATGACGACGACGATTTTTTTGATGTGCCGTGAACCCGTTCGTCATATGGGTACGTCCGTATCTCTGGTTGCTGCTGGAGGTGCGCGGCCTCAAACTCTGCAGCGACCGCAACCACCTCATAGATGAGAAACTTCGTACACGCGGCGCCCATTGTTGTGAAGGTTCTTGGGAGATAGAAGAAGGTCCTTCAACTCAACAGGGTCGAAACTTTCCTCGCTGGGTGGAGACGAGCAAAATACTGTCAACTTCTCCCGTTCCTGTGCGCTGCAACAGGTGCAGCTGTCGGCGGGGGACCCCTAGGTTTTCCTTTCGGCAAGGTGCGGGGCGTCGTCACCGCCTCCGGGTTCTTTTCCGTATCATCGTGCAGTGAGCACCACAGACGAAGATGGAAGAAGAGCTGACGTTGCGAACGTTTTAAGGACAGCTGTCCGATTCAACGAGTTTGGGTATGGTCTTCAGGGTCCGAAAATTTGGAATTGGATGTGCGTCGGCGTCGGGCTCGGGCAGCTACAAGAACGCTCCTTGTCGCGGAGAGAAAGACTCGCTGTCGCTGTGGTCCACTGGTACACTGAGCTGCGGGAGACGAACGTTAAACGCGGCAGACAACGAATTCGGTGCGGCTGCGACTACAGGCGCCTCGTGATCATGCAGTTTCAGGGCGAGGCTTCGATGTTCGTGCACTTGACAGCTTATTTGAATTTCTTGTTTTCAAATTTACAAAAAACACATACAAAAGGGTTCAAGAGAGGCACTTATCAAAAATCAATAGTAAAAATATCAACGAACAACTCGTCCGTGCTTGCTCAGCCTAGTAAGCCCTAAAGAAAATTTCAAGGGATTATGAATTCGAGGGGGCAGCAGGTGTATGCACTTCACTAATATCTTAAGTCAACAGACGAGGGTGACATGTTCTGCATAGAAAATCGAAAATCTACTCGGTCGACACGAAAACGAAAGTGAGGAAGTCGATGATGAATGAGGTCCTGCAGTTTTTGTCATTTGTCGATAGAATTCGGATATTAAGCCTCTTAAGCGTCCTCTCGCATCTTTTTTCGCAAGTCTCTTCACAAAGTGGACGACGAAACTTTTCTCTCTTCGACCAATTCTTCTGCGAAGCTAAAGCTCAAAAGTAAGTTCCCTCCTATCGCGATCGCTCGATATCGGGCCCTTCACAACGGCCACGCATACTGAATCAGCTCAGCTCTCGCTCCTTGTAGAAGTTCATCTTGTTCGTAGTGATGCAACTATTGGCTCACAACATATCACGTATCCCTCATAGATCGCTGGAGCAACGACTGTCTCTGAAATATCAACACGAAAATGAAGTGGAATCTCGTCCAAGCCCCGAGATCGTTCAGTTGTAATGTCTGTTGACATCTGTCAGCTAGCTTCTGATTTTGTAGAAATTTTGAACATAGAAAGCAATGCACTAGATCCATTTCATACCATGAATATCTTATTGTCCTGATCAACATCTGCAAAGGCAGCTTGCAAGCGACTCCGGTCATAATTCATGCTTGCTCACCCTGCTTGGCCTTGATCGGGTGCGGCACCTGCGCCACCCCGATTTTTTCGTTTTCGGTTCCGCGTCCTCTTCTTTTTCTCACCATCGTCCTTGTCGTCCTTTTTTTGTACAGCAGGCTGTTGAGCCGGTTTCTTTTTCTTCTTCATGCAGCTCAACGGGTTAGGTCGGTGACCCCGCATTTTTTTCTTCTTTCCCTTCCGGGCTTCCAATGCAAGCTGCTGCTGCCGAAGTTCGTTTTGCAACACCGGCAACTTGTTGATTTCCCACTCAGAGAGCCCGTCGATGCGCGATTCGTTTCTCGCGGAAAGAAAGGAGTTAGAAGCTTTTGAGAACGGTTCCAGCCGCGGCACTTGGCCGTTTAGTGTGAAAATTGGGGTTCCGGGTATTTGTCGCAGTACTTGCTTCACTTTTTCGTCCTGTGTGGCTACAAACCAGCAGCGGTAGTTCTTCTTACCACGTTCCTGCACATCCTCCCGCCTGAGCTTCGCGGGGTTGTCCTTCTGTTTCTGCTCGTCTGTTCCTGCTGTCGATGCGTCCACCGACGACGAAGCTGCGCTAGCGGCTGAGGTGGAAGATGGGGAACCAGCGCGCTTTGGGGCGGTGGCATCCGAAGAAACGATCTGCTCCGCGACGGATTGCAGTGCCGCTCCATCGGCGTTCTTGGGACACGTTTGGAAAATCCGGCAGATGCACTCCGCAGAGATTGACTTTGATTTGTGTTTCTTGGAAGCTCCACCTGCCGCATGCGCAGCGCCGACACTGTTGTTCTTCGCAGAGGAGTCCTGCTCTACTACTTCCGGCGCTGCACCAGGGTTCGCCACGCTGGCAGCGGCTTTCGCTGCTGTCGTCCTGTCCTTTTCACCACAACCGCACTTGATCTGGTAGAACCCCTCGGCGATTTTCAGTGCGCCACTGAACTCCTTGCCTCGCGTTTCGATCAGGTGCTTCAGTTCCTGGAGCCCGCACGAGGTGACCATCGGAGTCACCTTGTGCGTGCCCAAAATTTTGCACAGCTGCTCCTTAATGTGGATTTTGGACTCGAGCGCCACGTGGATAAAAGTCGGATCGAAAAGGACTCGGTACGGCTCGTGGAACCCGAAGGTCATCTTGTACCGTCGCAAGTCCTTCGACACCTTTTTCTGCCGGTCGACCTTCATTGTGCTGTAAAAGTTTTCAACTTAAATATATATTATGTTGAAGCAAGCAGGAGAAATAGATTTACAACTCGTGAAAGCACTTCTTCTACTCCGGTCACAGCACTGATTGTTTCTCGTCTAGCGAATTGATGCGTGCACGAATGTCAGCGCCAACCTCAATCCCAGCAGAAAAAGAAGAGGTGGCATCGGCTTGTTATACCATGTGATAATGCCTTACTGCGTAGAAAATTCAAAGACATGTCCTCACCCTGCGCATGGCGAAATGAAGAACAAAAGCTTGAGAATGGGATCTTGACTCCAATGAAAATTGTCGTAGTCCGCGGTGCCAGGAGCTCGCTAACGAACCTGTAAAAAACTAAACAGGATCAAAACGAGATTTGCAAAAAAACTGCCGGTCAATTCCATCTGGTGTCGTGGAGATATTTATCTGGTGGAGATCCCTTGTGATCACAACTCTATTCTTTCTGGAGATCCTTTTCCTTGGTCGTGATCCTTTTTTTTGCTATTGCGATCGAGGGAACCGCTTTTTTATCTTTCTCTCTCTTTGCATCGGGATCGGAAAGCTATCTTGGACAGGAACGGCATATTTATCGAAAGCTCTTCTGATCTTCAACGTCTGTCGTGCAGCGAAGATACTATTCTAATAACCGCAAATCTTCGCTGTGCCAATGTTTCCGGCACTTGGTTTCAAACCACAAGCTGAGGATGAGACCTCTGTCTGTTTTCTACTTTGGCTTTAAGCTTTTTGTTTTTTTTTTTCTCGTTTTGCTTTTCTCTTCCACAAGTTGAACTTTTGTTTACACTGATACTTTCTCCAAACAGCATTCAAGAAGGATGAGCCTTGGTTTGCAGTTTCTTTCACGACGGGCATCAACTCACTAAAACTATGTGACTCAGCACAGCAAAATGCACGTTTCTCTGTCTAATACGACCAGAGAATGTCGACGCAGAAGTCGTTACTGCAAGAAGGATGAAAGTCCTCGCGTCAGGGACTGCGTTCGAATTCAAAAGTAGAAGCGAAATTTGCATCACCCAAAAAAAAACACAAATGCAAAATACATGGGAAAAATCAAACACATCAATCTGTAGACCACTTAAGGCAAAAAGACAGTTTTTTCTTATTTTAGCAACGGAAATATAAAGCAGCTTTCTTTAGTATGAGAGAAAGCCAAGAGCAGCTTGCCCGCAGAGACCATATCACCACGCAGGCGGACCGCTTTAGTTGTACAGTTCCTGCACCTCTTGCTGTTCGGTCTTCGCTCCCGTTGCAGATCGCTTTAAGAGTTTCTTGAAAGAACTGCTAGATGTGCTGGCTGGCTCTTCCACCGCAGCCGTGCCAGTGGATGTCCGCCGAAACTTGCCGGAAATAAAGTCGTCCAACATTTGCAGCGCGGCGGTTGGTTGATCCATGGGCACCATGTGTCCGGCTTGGTAAACCTGCAGGAAGCTGAAGTTTTGGTAGCTGCGCAGTCTCCCCGCCGCCTTTCCCTCTACGACGTAATCGGCGTCCGCCGCGGCGTTGAACTGTTCTTTACCGGGCCAATCCAGCTTCAGTGTCCACGCCTTGTTACCCAACCAGTTGCAGATGTAGTCCACCTGATGAGATTTGTGAATCAACATTTTCGCGCCCCCTGATTCTCATGGTTGTGCATGCACTCGTAGTTTGTTCTCTTTGTTCGACGTCGCGTCACATCACGAAAAAGAAGCACGTCGCGGTCCTATTGCGAAAAGTAAAAGAACAAAAACAGCAAGAGCAACAAATTTGATTTTGTATACGTCTCCCGCGTAAACGAGGACTTTGATTCCACCGGCAAGCATCTCGGGAATGAGCTCTTGGAAATTGACCATGTAGTCAGCACGAAAAAGTGCGTTCACCATCATATTGCACGAAGCCCACTTGCCTTTGGCACCTGATAGTAAAGTGCTCAATTTACTTACTCATTCTTGCATGCGCGTGTCTGTGGTCCCTCTTGTGGTTGTACTTTTTTGATGATTCTTTTTTGCAAATGTACTAGCGTGGTCATCTCCTTCTACTAGCTATTCTGATGGCATACAACGGTCAGCGGATTGACTAACCCCATTGCGAAATTGAGTTTAGAGAAGCGGCGAAAGACTTTGCCTCTATCGGGTTTCCTGCCACGGCAGCGAGCAGCAGCAGGGCGAGTCATACATTAAGTATATGTATATACCGAGCTTCTCCTGGACGTCCTTGTCGTTCAAGAAGGTGGTGACCTGCGAGAAGTCGTAGCAGAGGGGTGGCACCTCACATTTGATGCGCATATCGTACACGTTCATTCCGGTGAACTGATAGGGCACGGTTTCCGCGTAGTTGCACACCAGAAACGCTTATCCTGTGCAAAAGTGTCTGGGTCTGGAAGAATGCAAACTTGTGATGCTAAAACAACCGCACCGACATTGCCATTGTCCATTATCACTCGGGAAGCAAGCCTCCGCAGGCGCTGGAGCGGCATAGGGTCAGAACCGCGAAAACATCGCGAGTATTTCTTCATCCCCGGGCACTTATATATTTTTCAACCTCCCTTGTGATGCGCATTTCAGAACACAGAAATATTTCTCATTCATGGGTAGCAAAAGCTGCCCGCTTTCTGTCACCAAAGTGGGGGATTTGTCATGCGGGTTCGGCATTGCGGGGGCCTTTCGAAACCTGTAATGCTAGAGCCTCCATGCCAGACCTTCTGTGTCATGCAAAAATCCAGACCCACACATTTCTACATTTGATAACGCTCCCATGCAGCCCGCGGTGCTGCCGCTGTTGTATGACACCCTCAGAATGGAAATCCTCAAAGTGGAAATGATTTGTGATGCATGAAATGCGACACCAAAAACACTGTATTGCAGAGAGCGCAATGGAGGCCGACTATAGTACTTCTACGGGTTCAGAATTGGGCTGCTGATTAGCATGAGAGAAGGGCACCCCTTTGCCTAACTAGCATGACAGACACGTTTTGAGTGCCCGGGAAATTTGTCATGCGCCGACTAGAAATGGTGCTCCAACTGGAGTCGTTTTTTTGCATTACAAATTATTTTCACTTTGAGGATTTCCAACCTGAGGCTTTCATATGTTGCAGGACTGGATGGCCTGCACGCAGGGGGTGACGCCGCCCTTCATGATGGCCTGCGTGATGGGGTTCGTGATCACCCCCTTTTCCAAGGAGCCGCCCCGCGACTTGCCGCCGTCGTAGGCCATCTCCGGGTACCACTTGTACTGCTCCTGCGGATCGGTCAGCCCGTTCCCGATTGCCAGACCTTTCAGGTTGATCTTCTTGCTGGCTTTCTTGTTCTCCTCGAAAATGTAGTGCCCGATCGCAGGGATGTAGTGTCCGGCGTAAGACTCACCCGTGATGTAAAACTCAGAGGCCGCGTACTGCGGAAATTGTTCGAAAAACCCGGTCAGGAAACCGTACATGTCGGCCGAAACTCCCTCCTTGGTGTCGTGGTCATAGTCACCTGGTGGCACATCAATCATGAGCATTTCCAAACAACATGATAATGATCCTCGCTCAACATTCGGCACATAGAACAAGTGGCTACCAAGTCATCCTCGGAGGGGGCACCTGAAAAAAGCCATTGCCATACTGTAACTGTGTGTAGTACAGTGGGACTCAACATACCAAGTACCTTCGGAAAATCCCGTTCCCGCTGGCTGATCGACCCAGATGACGTTGGCATTGGTGTTCCAGCTGTAGGGATTCGGCTTCAGCGTTTTTCCGTCCGAATCCACGCCGCACGGCCCGTTCTCCGAAAGCAATGCCATGATACTGGAGCAGCCGGGGCCGCCGGTCAGCCACAGCACCAGCGGAGCTGTCTTCGGATCAACCTTCTTCGCCTCGAACATCCAAAAGAAATACGACTTCTGGGTTCCTTGGTGTCCCGGAAACGCAATGTACCTACAAAGGAAGTTTTCGCGGGTATTGAAATCATCGGTGCGCTTGCTTCAGCTTCTATCAAACGTCGCACTGAGTTCGTTTCTCCCCATGCCCTTCGAGCGGGCGTGAATGTTTATGCTTTAGTTTTATGTAGCACCATGAAGTGAAAAGATCACCTTCAACATCTAGATGTTGAAGCAAGTGCAATATACCCGCTGTGCTGCGTCACCGTCGGATCACATTCTTTGATGCCACTTTTGAGAATTGTTTCGTGGACAACGGCGGGCTTCGAGGAGGATGAGGAGGCTTTGAACAGATCCGTGCCGGACTTTGCGAGGGTCTCGCCGTACCGGGTCACATTCTGCTCCGCGAGATTCTGGTAGTCCACTATCAGCTGAGCGTGTCCAACCTCGGCACCTAGAAACGCAATGAGCCCGCTCGCCGTTGCGACACGGTGGGACATGTTTCGTTTTCTGGACATCTTGGCTCCGCCTCCGTCTCGACGTGCTAGTTCTCTCCCAGGGCCTGATTTTTCTGTGCCTGTGTGACACTTCGTCTTCATGGAGTTTGTTGTACTCCTGTTGAGTTATATGCACGCAAATACCTTCTTGGGTTTATTTGTTTGTGGTGCCGAGGACAACTACTTTCGTTTGTGACTGTGACGATCAAGCAGTTCTTTCGCGTGGTCGTGTCCCTCCACAGACACAAGACTTACAGATGATACAACGAGAAGTCACTGTTAGTACCGTGTTTGGGCAAACAGGAGAGACCTGGTCACAAGTTTATTAATTATACGTTTTTACATTTTATTCGTGTTGTTCCGGAATGGCTTTCGTTTACAAAACCTTTTGACTTTGCCTTACTCGCTCGTCGTGGTATGTCGTTCCGCTCACGACCTTCGGCTCAACAGTACTTTGATATTGCGTTGCTCTGTTGCCACTGACTTCTTGTTCTTTTTTGTCAAGATTTGAAAAAAAAAAACGAAACCCAAAAGTAGCAAAGAGTTGTATAACGAAAACAGCAAAACGGGTTGAACAATGCAGGAGCAAAGAAAAAGTGATTTCTAGCAGGGCAGCTTCTGTCGCTCAGCGGGCCTGCGCGTGATTGTTCTTCGTGGTACGTGGCCCTGAACACCACGCCGGGACAAGTTCAGGGTGTTTCTGGTTTGGTCGTGGTCCTCCTGCTTACTACTACACACCTTATTTCTACGTACAAGTATGCGCATCTACTCCTACATATGTGCGAGGCTTCAGACGCTTATAACTCCTGCTGGAGGCATGATCCATCCCTCATCTCATCTTTGTGCATGAGTGCTTCTTTTCCAACCGCTGTTTGTGCCAACTCAGCTTCAAATTCTTGTATCGCGGAGGCATCGTTTTCGTTCAACAGGCGGCTCCACCGGGAAAAGAGTACGGACTTCAGGTCTGGGCTGACAAGATGTTCCCATAGAACCTCCCTCCTCGGGTTGGTAATGGAATGCTGTTGGAAGACTTTGTGGAAGCTAATCTGCGGGCTGGACCGGGCAAGGTACTCCGGCGGATAGTCCCGAGGTCCGCGCTGATGAAAGCCTGCGTTGTGGGTCGCGGGCACGTTTGGACGAAAGTCGCCCGCGTCCTCGTCCACTCGCTTTATATCTACCAATGCTTCATCTTCGTCAGCTTCGCGGCGGGGCATAAACCACATGCCCAGGGCCATGTCGTCGGGCGTATCTTCTTTGTAGCAAGTACATCTCTTGCAGTGCTGGAATTTCCGCAACGTCTTGCCCGTTAGAACCATGCCGCCTCCGGTCGTAATGTAGTCGTAGCCAGACTGTTGAGCTGCATCTATGTAGTCATCTTCCGAAGATGATGTGCCTTTCCTCCGCGTCCAGCGGTTGCGACTCACCCCATAGCCGTACTTTTCGCCCAGGTACAGGTCCTGGGTCCTCGGATCGTACTGCTTCAAAACACTAAACAACGCCGGCACATTCCACATGGTATCGTCGTCGGAAACGATAAGGAAATCGACCTCGTCAGAGCCTGAAGGTGCGCGACCTACTTCTACTGATAGTCGATCTTCTTCTTCATCGGTCGTGACAAGGTCACCATTGAAATCTGGTGCTGGACTTCTAGTCGTTCCTTCTTCTTCACCTTTCGAATCCATGCTACCAGCTCTTGCAGCCGCGCCGAGTGTGGGGGCGGAAGTTGTCTGCGAATAGTCGTATTTGAGTAGGCCAACCATTTTTCCGCAGTGTCCAAGTTTTGTGTTGTTGACGGGAAGGATGACGACTTGTTCCTGGACGAAACTCGAGCGCAGAAAATCTACGGCGTCAGACTCAACACTCTGGTAGGTGTTATCCTCTGCGTCGTTTCCTTCACCTTCTTCCGCAGCTCTACCTGACAAGGAGGCTTTATTCTTCGGACTCCTATTTGTCGTGGAGGTAGGGGAGAGACTCGCTTCCATTTCCGCTTTTTCGGCTAGCGATGTTGTGTTATCCAGGAAGTACAGAATCCGGAAGTTCTTCGGCGGTCGCACCCACTCACTCGGGAACGAAAAAGAGTCGCGGAACCCGTTAAGGATGCGACTTTTCCAGTACTTTCCGGTGGTCTTTACGGCAAGCACGATGCTGACGTCCGCCAGATCTGTCACAACTCGAGGCGCGAACAACACCCCACCCCGGCGTCCGAGTTGCTGCAGACGTCCTGCTGCCCCAGCACTTGATTCTGCCTGAAGTCGTGCACCCGAGGATGCAGGTGCAACCTGCGCGGACTCCGCGACCGCGCATTTGCCGTTTTTCCACGGTCGCTCGCTCCCTCCATCGGCATTCGAAGGCAAGTCTTTCGTGCAGGGCAGCTCCGGCAACACGCGCTTGAATTCTGCTACTTCGATTGGCATAGCCAAGTCCTCGTTTTCCATCTCCTTCAAGAACAGCTTATTGTTCTGCAATTTGTAGATCTCCTTCGCAAGTTCAAAAAGCGGGTCAATCGTAAAATCGGTCCTCCGGTGCCCGTCGCCGAACTTCTGCGACAGCAAACTTTCGGCCAGGCCTTTCGAAATGGCAAAGTCAAAACTTCCTGGGTACCGCAAACCGGATTGGTCGTAGTGGTGAATGATCCGCAGAGTGCCCGAATCGGTAATAAGTTTCGCGGCCAGCAGGAAAAGTGCCCCGCTTCCTCGCTTCACAAGCTGAAGCACCATGGAGCGCAGCGAGCAAAAATTACCTTTTCTTGGGTCATGAAACAGAAACCACTGAGCGTGCGGGAAATCGAGCACCAACCGCGAGAGCCAGGGAAGGATGGTCGAAAAACCGTAGGAGTCGGTCGCTTTGTAATCGTGCATGGCGGAGATGCGGATCTTTCCTGCGCCTGCAGCAGTGTCGGATGGCTCACCGAAAGTGAATTTCCGTCGTAGGCTTTCCGCTGCTTCGATTTCCTCCGGGGTCGTCGTCTGAGACGCCAGCGCAATTACACCTTGAACCTCCGATGCTGCAGATCCTTGGCCTTGCGCGGCGGTCGGTATCTCTGCAGCTACGGTTCCCCCGGAAAGAAGTAAAAGAATCGAGCGCTGCATTGCTAGTGTTGAGGAGGACAAAATAAATTTTTGAGGACCTATTAGGTGGTTTCTTAAACCTGCCACAACCCGCAACAACGAAAGCAAGCATGCTATACGCATGGCACGACCACAAACTGGAAGGCCACCAACTTGACGAGAAGACCACTGCGAACGCGACATTTTCTTCACTGCACCTGAATCAGAACAAGGAGACCACTACGATCGCCAAGCGAAATACGAGAGGAAGTCCTTGACTCACAATGACTTGAAGACGAGTCGTCATGTTCCTACATGCGACAGCGAATCCACCCCGGCTTTAGTTACCAGATCATATGGAGGGGGAGATGGTCTTGGTCATGTTGATCATCATCATTCTACTCCGACAACTGGAACACAGTCGAGAAAGATTCACTTGTCACATAAAACGGGTTTCCCGTCGAGGTAGGAGGCTGCGAGTTGTCCTCCCAAGCAGCGTTAGTTTTTTTCATTTGATGCTTGTTGATACAAAGTACATTTCGCCAGCATAGGTACGCAAACCGGGTCGTAAAAACCAATTCGAATTCTACACAAAACTCCGTTTCGCAGCTAGTCCTAGTATTTCGAAGAATCGCGAAGATTGCGATCTCCGAAAATTGCAACGGGCGCGTGCGCGCTGCAACACCCATTCTTACCACTGCGTCTGTGTTTGCGTGAGCATTCTGAGAAAAGAGATGCACTTTTGAAAGCGGTTTTGGATCTCCCCCCAGTTTTGGCTTTGCATGCTTCCCAACTCCACCAGCATCTCTCTCGCCTCCCAATCGTCCTGTAGATCGGCGCTGTGCTTACGCAGAAATACCTGCAGGTACGTTTGCAGCAAGTCGGCGTGCTGGTTCCTCGCGAATTGGTGGCGGAAGAATTTCAGCATTTGCTTGAGTTCCTCATTCGTGCCCCCCGCCAGTGCACCGAGCTCGCTCAATGCCAGATGTACACCAGACTGGGTCTGCGAAAGAAGAAAGGTCAGCGCTTCGTCGAATTCGCTTCTTCTCAAGTGCTTCTGCAGAGTCGAGGCAAACTGATCTTGAAGCTCGCTTACTTCTTGAAACTGCTTTCCGCTTTGCTTCTTGCTATTCTGGTTCATCTGAAGAATTCGACTCATTGGCTCCTTCACCTTCTCTGATGACGTCGGGAGCGATTCTTTCTGCTCGTTTCCACCAAGAAAGAAGCTCGAATTGTCTTTCACTCCGCTCAAATCCGCGTCGGCCAGGAAATCCGTCTTCGAGAGCTTGTTGCCATTGGCCTTGCTCGCTGATGTTGTCGCTTGTTCTACCCCTGGAAGGGTCTCCTCGGTCTTTGCGTTGCCTGCCAGAGCTCTCTCCTTTTCCTTTTCTCGCTCCGCGGTCTCGAATGGATCTTCTTCACCGCCTTCGTTTGCGAACTGCATGAATTTAGTTTCCGCGCCCTCGTAGGTGGTCGGCAAAAAGAAGGGAGCACTCTGCTTTGGCTTTTCAGGCTGCTGCAGCTTGTTTCTGTCTTTGATCTGTTCCCAATGCAAGATCGACTCCCAATGCGTCGCGGGTACAGAGGATAACTGCATTTCTTGCCTGCTTCTCGTCGGACAGACAGATGAGCTTGTGAATGACGCCGATGATGAAGCTTGTTCTGCTTCCTCCATTGCAGAGGGCTTCTTACCCGTGGCGCTAGTTACGGCGCACCTCGCCCGCTCCTCCCTCTCCCGTTTCAATGCAGAAAACACGCGCTCTAAGTCGGCATCGTCCTCGTCGGCGCGCACACCAGTTTTGTTGTCGGTGGACAACTTGTTGAGTTCCTCTTCATCCGAAAGGTCGCCGCTTCTCCAAGCGGAGATGCAGTCGTCGTCGCGCTCCTCTGTGGTCTTGCTTGTACTTTTCGCAATCATTTTCACTGGCTTTCGGTCCATTTGGGTGCCACCATTCGTTTCCAATTCGTCCTTGGCCAATAAGGGCGCCGCCTGGTCCAGCTCAAACAAGTACTTGTTAGCCCACACGTGAACAGCCCCCACGTGGGCGGTTTTTGGGTGAGTCGTCAGCAAAAAGGCATTGTTCCAAGACCATTCGAGTGTCAGCACCGGGCTGCTAAAGTACAGTACGTCGATACAGCGGGCGGAGGCAAGGTCGAAAATCAAAACCTTGTTCTGTGGGCACGATACACGACCAGAGAACGCCGAAGACCCGGAATTTTTCCCTGCCATTTTCCGCCGCTTCAAAGTTGCCGCGTCACCTGTTGCGGACGGAGCGCAGCTGACCGCCAACCAGCGGGCATCTTTACGGAAGCTCATCGCCAGGACCTTGCTCGTAAAGTTCTGGAAATGTCGGACCACCCGTTTAGACAACAGATCCACGACCGCAACGGATCCATCAGTCAATGCCACACCCAAAAGGCTGCCGAGTGGCCCAGCGAAGAAACTGGCGCCCAATCGCTTCGCATCTTCTCCAGGTCTACTGCTCGGTTCCGCGGTCGGGAGATTAATTTCGCTCACGAGAGCCTGCGTCCGCGGTTTCCAGATACGTAGCTTGCCATCAGTGGCCGCGTTGCTTCCAGAAATTACCTTTGTTTCCATTCGGTTTCGCAAATCGACGGAGCTAAGTTTCAACATATGCATATCATCGCATTTCATGATTAATTTATTTTTCGACCGTCTCCGTGCTCATCGTCCTTTTTCGAACGGAATAAAATATATCAAATTTGCATGTTTGAGTTTGTAGGTTGTGACTAGTCAATTATCTTCGTATACCTCCAGCTCCCGCGTAACTGCCACGCATGTGACACTTCCATTGTGCGCTGCGGTTCTACTCCCGTTTTGCCAAAACTCGCCTCGGTGCTGCTGCGATTGGAGAGCAAATCTGTGCAAAGTTCCGTCCGCGTATCCAATGAAAACGTAATGACCGCACGTGGACACGACCAAAGCCGTGACGGCGACGTTAGAGTCTCTTCGTTCAATTCGCTTCGGAACCAAGCTCTGCAATTGCGCGCTCCACAGATACGCCACACGGCAGTCGCGATGAGCCTGTGAGGATCACGTTCCAATTTGTTGCTCTTGTTTGGGTTTAGCAAAGGCGATTAAAAAGAGCGTTGTGCGAAGTAGTAGTTTCATCACATACCTCCAATCGAGGGTTGGCTCATAGATGATCCCATTCCCAAAGACGAAAGGCCATAAAAATTTCAACTTGATGCCAAAAAAAGAAAAAAAAAGGCATCTTTACTGTGACAACCGCGGGCCAATCGAAGTGCCTGGTCGGGGAAAACGAAAGTTGGAAAATCGGGGGTAGGCGGTCCTGCAACGCTTTGGTCGAGAACTGTTTGTTTTGGTGCTGCTGTATGAGAGACACCTTCGCAACATGATTTTCGCACGCGACGAAGACCTCGTGGCCGTCGTCCTTGTAGTATTGCAGCGCGCGGATAGGCCCCGAATTACCTTGGCGGTGGCGCAACGGCCGCGGCAACCCGTCCGGGGTGTCAAACACGTACTGGAACAGGGCGTTCCTTCCCGATTGCGCCAACAGAAAGGGCTGGCCCCGGATGAACTCTACCTTGACTAAATCCTCCACGGGCTCGAAATGCATGGCCTCCTTCGACTCCAGGTCCCACAGAACAAAGCCCGCCTCGCAGCCGGTGACAAGCTGTTCAAACTTCGCACCCGAACACGGATCAGAGCGGAAGGACAGCGAGTGGATTGCGTTTGTGGATATTGAGGCGGCACTGCCAGAGCTCTGCTTCGACTTCTGGCGAAGCGAAAACAGCACTTCATCTTTCTTGGCGTGGAACATGGCGATCCGGCCGGATTGGAACGCGACGGCGACAATGTCCAACACGGACGGACATGCAGCAATGCACGTGATCGGGTCATGATTTCTTCTCTGTGCAGCTGCAATCGATGCAGAATTTTTCCTGCCGCTGCCGGCATTTGCTGCAGCATCCTCATCGTTCATCTGGGGCGCATTTTTATCATCGTCGTTGTTGATCATGAGCTCCTCAGAGGACAAGACCTCGGTTGATGGCGAGCCCGCACTTCCTGCACTGGTCGGAGTCGGTTCCATGTCGACACTAGACAGGTCTTTTTTTGTTGCCTTCTTCGACGAAGAAGTGGGCACGACCTTATCGGAGTGGTGGTTTTGGAACGCGAAAACTTGTTTCAGTGTCTTGACGTTGTACAGAAGCAGCTTGCCCTCTTGCGTTCCTATCAGAATCTTATTCAGATACGTGGGCACCGTCGTCACGCTGGTCACACGATCCATAGGTGATTCGAGGGTAATGCGTCCGTGAAGTGCGTTCGTTTGGAGATTGTAAATCTTTAGACTTGCATGATCCACGCCTCCGGTGATTTCGCCGTCCGCCGCCGCCCACAGGGCTACATACTGCCCGCCGATGTTGAGCATGTTACGGACATTTGGGCACTGCTGAAGCCGCCCGATTTCTACCTGCTTTTTCCATATCACCACCTCCTCTGCGAAAGCGGTCAGGGTCGTCTCGCCAATCGTGCACACGGCCCGCACCTTCTCGTTGAACTCCGGAGAAAGGTAGGAGAGCCGCAACGTGTCGCAGTCATACACTTGGTACGAGTTGTGCGATCCGACGGTCAAAAAGTCGTTGTTTCCCAGCTTCTGCAGAGAAAAGGGAATCCGGTCTGTTACGACGCCAACGGTTCGTGTGGGACGGAACAGGACAGACGTTGGAACCTGACGTAAAGATTTTTTTTTCAAAAGATCATGCATTCCGCTGCAGTCAGCCACTCAATGGCAATAAGCACACAGCTGATGAATTCGTTGCTGGACAAATCGAAAGCATTCAAATACCTCAAGCGCATTGCTAACAGGCCGCTTGTTTCCCGGCCTCGAGGCTTCGGACTTTCCTTTGGACACATTCATGGCGACTGTCGCAGATTCTCTTACTAGTTTTAGCGAAAAAAAAGATATAATTGACGTGGATCACTAGAAAAACATGCTGCAATCTAAGAAGGCGATCAATTGGGAACTATGTTAAATCCAAAGTCACCGAAAATTAATTCTTTTTCAAATCGAATTCAAACCAAATTCAAAATTTCAATGTTTCAGACTTTCATGGTGCCATTGGACACCTGTGGCGAGGGTCATTTTGCAAAAAAAGTCAGCAGTTGCCATGCCCGCCCCACCACAGAACCTGGCCCAGGTTTGGTCGTCATCCCACACAATGAACGCTTTGGGGACAATAGTCGCAAGCAGACTCCCATCACTCACCGCCCGCTCGTGGTGTTGTACCGCTCTCACACTCACACCATCCTCGGCGAGCATCTATCATTCAACGATCCCACCGAGCGCCCTCCGCCGGTTTGTGGAAGGAAAACGCCCGACAAAGCCGAGCTTACCGGGCACCCCTCCCGCCGGCCGCAGGCAGCACGGGGCCGGGCGGTGGAAGACACCACAACCAAAGGCCACAATACACGAGGAGGCTACGCTATGCTACTCGCCCGGATGAGTATGAAAAATAAGCGCCCAACCTTCAGGAGGGCGGATTGCTTTTTTTGCAAGGCGGGACAAGAGAGGCCTGGCCCTTCGGTTACCACCGTCGCGGCCCGCGTCGAACTCCCGAGGCCACCATGTGGGGAGCAGCAACTACCGCAGAGACAACGAATCTACCTGAAGCAAGGCAATTAGCCGCGCAGCCACAGCATTGGGCGTGGACGACCACACAAGCGCAGTGGCCCCAGGTTGTCCGGCTTCCAGCCATCCACTCCAAGCGATGCCACAGGCCTTCGCGCTTCGATGCGCTTTGCCAAAACACGAAGAAGGACACAGGGCGCGCGGCATTTATTGCTGGCCCTAGCTGGCGAATGAAAGATGAATAATACGCGCGCGCGCAGCGCGCGCGCCTCCAGAATACCTTTGCCGCTGCTGCTGTGGGGGCTACCTGGCGGCAATTTTCAGGCATGCTGGCGGTCGAGTGGCCCCGGCCCTAGGCTCGGAGCGTGGCTTCGCCCCCGGTTGACATTTCGAAGCGTCATTTATGGGGGAGGCCAATTTCAAAACGAAATTCATCCCACAGGCCAATTTCAAAACGTGATTCAAATTTCCCGCCAATTTCAAAACGTATTTCAAATTCCCCGCCAATTTCAAAACGAAATTCAAATCTCCGTTCAATTTCCGTTCAAAATCCGTTCAAAGCCCCTTCCCCATATTAGAAATTTGGTTTTGAACGGAATTTGAACGGATTTTGAACTTGATTTTGAAATGAGCCCCGGAAACAGAAAATCGGAGTTCGAATTTCTGTTCTCCGAGAAATACGGAAAAATACAAAAACCGTCTACGAGTGCGGTAACTGGGGAAGCCAATACGCAACCCCCCCTCTTGGCAAGAGAAAAGCACACCAGTCGCCCGGCCCCGGGACTGCTCCGTCCGGAATGCCCTTCCGGCGCCCGGGCTGCCGGAATAAGCGAAACCGCAGGCAGGCAGCTCTGTGGAGGTAGGCGCACTGCGCGAGGAGAAGGGGCCGGCCCACACTTGAGCAGGCAATCCCGCGCCCAGAACGGGACTGGGCCTGCCGAGAGTGCTAATCGTCCATCGCAGGGTCCCGGCCTGGAGACGCCGCCAATGTTGGAGCCACTCCACCGGACGTTGTCGTGTGGTCAGCACACAGTTCCAAGAAGCAAGACCTGGGTCAACCAGAGGAGAGGAAAACACCGCCCCGACGCTGCCAAGTCAGACGCGCTGGCGCTACGTTCTACCCCTGAAGCGCACCAAACACGGCCCGGCTATTCCTATTGCGCTCTGCCCTGCGTCGTCTTTACTTGTTTTAGGGCTCTGCTCGTGCTAGAAACATTGGCTCAACTACCAAAATAGGGGCACGACTCAGCGCAGCAGATGCGCTCGCTTTAACCCCCGTGCTACTGTGCGCCAGCCAGCCAAGCTGGAGCGCTAGGCACTCCTGAGCAGCCCCTTCGTTTTTTTGCGCGAAGGCTGCCGCGCGTCCTCCTCGTCTGATAGAAGATAAACCAGCGCCAGGCGGCGGCCTCAGAGAGACGACGGCGCCTGGTTCAGACGAGATGATTAGGCCATCGCCACAAACAGAAACCATGCGCCGGAAGGGCTCACTGTCCCAAGCCATGGCATGGGACCTGCGCAATAGCAGATACATTCTGAAGCATAGACGCTGGCGCCACTTTCAAGACAACGCCAACGGGTGCGACGGGCGCTTCGCCTTTCGCTCAACATTAGCCGATTTGAGGAAACGAAGGAAACGACTTTCAGGCCACTCTGACGTTTCCGAAACGCCGAAAGTGCTACATTTTGAAATCGGTTTGAATTCGTTTTGAATTAATTTTGGTGTCGTGCGCTTTAGAGTTAAGAACTATGATCATGCTAAGTATCGCCAAATCAATATTTGGTATCCGCCTGTTTGATGTGTTGAAGAGTCACGACAATAAGAGCGATCCACTACGACCACAAGAAGCGGATCTCGATCGTTATTTTCTTCGGTCGACAAACGGGAGATCGACCTGGATCAATTTTTCTCGATCCATGCGCATATGCTTTTAAGATTAAGTTTTTTCCTTTTTCGATCTTTGATCTCTATTTCATCTGTATGATCTTCGGGCTCGTCGCTGGCACTCAAATCATATTGGATCATGCAGTAGACGCTACCGCTTTCTCTTGGAATCAGTTCAATTTCTTGGACCGATGTTCTCATCTGCATTCATCATTTTGAATTTGATCTTGAATGATGAACTGCATCTGCACGTTTGCACGATGAAGTCGAATACCTTACTACTAGAGCACAGCTGCGCACTTGCTACTTGCTTGCGCTGCTTCCAGTGGTCTGCAACATTAGACGAATGTGAGATGAGATAGCGCCTCTGGTGCTGGCGCATCCCATTTATTGTTCGTTTTTCCGAGGCAGCGATACCCGCACGCAAGTCAATAATCAACGAACTAATGCACGAAGTTGGCAGTTTCGAATTCAATTACAAAAGGATAGCAACAGACACAGGCTGACGTGCTGCATAACTTGGTCAACTGAAAATGTACTTTTTTCGCTGGAGGAAGCAACAAGAGCAACTTTCTACTTCAGTGGATATCGTTCCGTCTTATTTGATGAAAGATTCACATTCGTGGTATTCGTTTTCGTATTTCATTCTAGCGTTCTAGAAAAAGAAGTACGTGATCCACCTCAGATCATCTCTTATCTTCGTTCTCAAAAAATCTCTGCCCTTCTACTGCTCATGACAGTTTCTGATCTTCAATAATTCAAAAAAAAACGTCGTATACTTCTTCCTGAAAGAAAAAGAAGGTCGTTAACAATTTGAAATTCTTTCCGGCAATCATCAAGACACGAGATGATATGTGTCTTCAGTTTCTGTCGCTCTCCGCATGGAATTGGAGCTGCTTACTCCCCAAACGCCGGCGGCACTTCGAGCATCCATTGTTCCGCAAGCTGGCGGATTTCGCCGGCGAAATGCTTTCGCACCTTCGTCTCCGCATCGTCAACGACCGGAATACCAAATCGCTCTGCGATCCGCCAGGCCAAATCCGGCTGGATAGCACGTAGGTACTGCTGGAATTCAGTTGCGGCTTTGCCCATTCCTTTTTGGTAGTCGACAACAGTACCCTTGCGCCGGCTGGGTTTGATGATCTTGCTCACCGCCTTAGACTTTGTTCCTGCTTTCTGTGTTGTGCTCTCAGCCACGCTCGCAGCAGCAGTGGCCGCGCTCGCACTCCTCGCGGAGGTCACGGCACTCGAGAGACTTTCTGTTTCGCTGGTGCAAGAAGGACCGCCATTCGTCGACGATTCCTGACTTCCCGCTTCGGTGCTCTGCCGCGAGTCCGCAGCAGAAGTCGCAGTTCCTGTAGACCGAGAGGAGGACGCACCATCCGCGACAGCACCACCAGCAGGCGATATTTTTCCTGCTTGCTCGGCTTTCTTGCCGTTGCCGCCGTCAAGGTCAAGCCCGTTCATGGCTACATCCTCAACGAGCTCGTCTCCTGCGTCTTCTTCCTCGTGGCTGCCCCCTTCCAGTTTGATACTCCGGTGGATTGGAAAAGTTCGCACACGCCCGCTGCGGCTCGGACTTGGGATTTCGATCACGCCGATCTGTTCCGCATCCTCGCCCGCGGTTACTTGTAGTTTGTTCAAGTTCTCTATCGCAGCAGGCTTCAGTTTCAAGCTCACGTCTTCTTCTGGTGACAGCGTGTCACTACTGATGTAGTTGTTGGTCTTATCAAGAACACCATCGGTCGCACTCTTCTCTCGGGGTGACGAACTCGTCACCTTCTTCGCCAGCTCGCCTTCGGCCGCCTTTTCTTTCAGCATCTCCAGAGACGGCACGAGGCGCTGGTGCTCTTGCGCAGATTTCGTCACGCCACGCCCCTGGGAATCGCCTGTCGCATTTGCAGCTGCGTCGTCTTCATGCTGCTGCGCTACAAATTCTAACGCTTCATCCTCTTCCTCTTGTTCCATTGCCAGAAGCTGCCGTTCTAATTTCGGAGCGAAAAAACCCTCTTCTGCATCTTCAGCCTCCTCGTCATCTTTGTGCTTGTGCTGTTCTTCGGCGGCCTTCTCTGCGCGGGCCTCGACCATGGAATGCAACTCCATCAGATCCGCCATTGCGTCGTTCACATCCCTCATGTTCAACTGCACCTGCTTGTCCGTCCCGAAAATGTCTTCCGGCAAAGAAAACTGAAAGTCTGCAAAAGCAAGCGGGTCCAGCTTCTCGCGAGCTGCATAAAGACCAGAAGGAGCGTCTTTAATATTGCTCCAGTCGCTGCTGGTGTTCGTGTTCGTCCGGTCGTTCCCTTCCTCCTCAGGTGGCAGAAGCGTTTCTGGTTTTCTACTAGTTGATGTTGAAGAAGAGCCACCAGCAGCTCCTGTTGTTCGCGATGGCGGAGCGAACGCGGTCGGCTCTCGCTTCTCCGCTGCATTGACCTTCGCCAGTGTTCCACCAAACCGAGTGGCAAGATAATTCGGCGCAAGACCATCACTTTGCCTGCTCTTGTTCGAAGCAAGCGCTTCTCCTGATGTGCAATTCCGTGCAGGCACTGCCAGTCCGTAGAAGAAGCAAACCAGCATTTCCAGATTCTCGCGCAAAGTCGCAAACAACTGGCGGCGCTCTGCGGGAGAAAGGAACGGCAGCATGCTCTGCCACCCGAGGGCATAGGCTTCAACACGTCCTAAAAGGTCGTCGTCAAATTCCGTCACCATGGACTCCCGAACCAAAGCGGAGGTCGTGCTACTCGTGACTGCAAAGGCCGGCTTCGACACCAGGGAATGCGTGCTAGAGGGGACTACTAGTCCACCACCGTGGCTGTCCGCTGCGATGTAGGTCAGCCAATAGTGCTGCGAGTCCTCCTCGCTTTCCGCGATATCTGCTGCAGCGCCGGTCCGCAACTGCATCCAGTAGTTCTCCGAGATCCATTTCTCCTTCGCGGCTTTTTGTATTTTTTTCTTTGCAACAAGCACATCTTCACCAGCCTCGGTCGTATCGGCAGCCGTGTCCTCTGCGTCGAGCGCAGCTTCTGCATCCTCTACCTCGCGATTGTAGTCTCTTAAGAAGTAGTAGAGCGCAGTGTCCGCGACCCGCGTTGTTAACAGCCCGCACTTCGCCTGCACAACATCGAGACTTAGATCTTGTTCGACAGGAGATAATTCGACCAGGTCGCTCGTAGATTCTTGATGTTCCAGCGGTAGCTTTATTCCGGCGCCGTTCTTGCAAATTCCTGGCTGTTGTGAAGAACCTGTTGCAGGAGCTGCTGTGCCCGCACTACAAGGTCGTGCTGCCGCGACAGAGAAAAACTCCTGCAAGCAGTCGGCGTGAATCGCAAACTCTCGAATGTCGCCGGACAACGAGAATGAGTCCTTCAGAACTGTCTTCTCTCCAACGATCTTCAGCAGCAGGTCCCGGGGATCTTGTTCTTTCTTCGTCGTGGAGAATTGCAGCACTTGCATCTTACCCGTGTCGCCGGACGCGTACGCTCTGGTCACGGACGGGATGTCGAATTTCAAATCAACATCTGATCCCGCAGATGAACTGCGGTGATTCTTTTCTCCCAATAGCAAAACATCGCCGGCCACCGTCATGGTCTTGTAGCCATGTCTTTTCTTTTGTAGCGCCGCGACACAGAATTGGTCAAGAAATTGACGCAGTTTGAGCGGGCCGGACAACACGTTAGCGTCACCGTGAAAAAATACCCAAGAGTCGAGCAAGTTCACCCTAGGCTCCACTTGCCCTCGCCGACTTCCAGTAAAAACGCTTCCAGCGGGGGTTCTGCGGCTGCTTGGAACAAAATGCCGGAACAAGTGGTGGTAGTGCTCCATGCTACTCAAATTCACGTGATTTTCCTTACAAGAGCGGTCGTCAGAATCCGCAGCCTCGGCTCCGACAACATCATGAATGTTGGACGACGTCGTGACACTGCCTGTAGACGCTGATGTCCGTCGTGTGGTAGAAGTAGTACTACCACCAGCCGAAGATGAGATAGCGGGACCAGCAGCAGTTCGCTGCAGCACACACTTCAGGCTCCGGTCCTTCGAATACATCGGACTTTTTGTTTCCAGGTACTGAAACAGGTTCAGAATCTCCGTTTTGTCCTGGTCCGAAATGAGATCGCCGAAGGAGTAACTGACCAGCATCTGTGGCTTCAAACCGTGCACGTGCACTTGCTGGTTTACGGACGACAGCGATGCGCAGATCCGCGCGGCTTGCTGGGTGGAGTTCAGGTTTGGAATGGACCAAAGGAAGCTGATCTCGATTCCCTGGAGCTGCGACAAGGGAACACGGTGCTCACGTTTATTTTCGTGCTCATTGTTCCCTTCCTCGTCGAGGTACTGCACAACAACCTGCGAAGATTCCCTCAGGAGGTCGCCCGCGTCATCACAGTAGCTGCGCGCTCTCTCACTGAAAGCGTGCGCTTTATTGTTGGTTATGTTTTTCTTCGCGTCACAGCTAGTAGGATTGGGAACCTTCTTGTTCTCCGCGTGGATATCAACATTGTTAGCCACCGCAGCTGCGCTTTCCGGGCTCGTGTTAACGACTTTCTTCACCACCCCAAAGCGCCCAGTGTCATGCAACACGAGTAGCCCCGGGCGGACAATGCACGAGGATGCCATCGCTACTTTTCCAAACTTGTGATGTGGTTTTGTACTAAAAGTAAGTCCTACTTCTTCTAAGCTGCGACTCTGAAGCACCTGCTCGATAGCATTTTTCAGTGACTGACTACAAAATTCTACAAAATGAAAGAAAAGCGACCGGGGACATCACACAAGGTGAAAATCACGTAGAACTAGAAGGACGAACTGCAACGAGCGAAGAAAAAATGAATTACATACGAATTGATTGACACGCTCTCTACTAGTCGAAACCTCAAGCATTTTGTTTTTGACGCACACGGCAAGAAATAGGAGAAGCGAGCAATTGCTGCATCACAGTTTTTTACTCGGCCGAGGCAATACCAGGCACGCGCTTGTTGCATTTTTGTTTTCCTATCACTCGCTCCTGACTTCTCTCCGACTCTCCTCAGGCCCCAGGCATTTTTCGTCTGGGTGCCAACCTGATCATGTACGTTGTTCATGGTGTGCTCTCTACTCGTACTCAGTCGATCTCGTCTCTACTACTGTCTCACTTTCCTTAAACGCTTTCAGCTACGTGTTGCTCAAAAAGGATCACGTCCTCGTCCTCGGAGGTAGTTCCTATTATCTTTGGAAAAATTCGCACAGACGAGGCTGAGCATGCAACTGCACTTTGCAGATACATTCGCGCGCAGCTCAATAAAAAGCTTGAAGAGCTTTCAGATAAATTGAAAATCGAAACGCGGTTTAGACTGCATGTTGAAACGGGGAGGGAAACGAACGCGAGACGTGGTCAAGTAGAAGTTTCATTTAGTGCTTCTGATGAACGTCCTTTCTATCCTCGTTTATTTTCCCTCCAGCGCATGAAGAAACTATAACTAACACTGCCGAACGCAACTACGCCCGTGGTGCCTTATCCGCACTGTTGGATGAAGTATTCCAAGAGCATGCTCATGTTGGTGCCTTTTACCGCGGACACCTCGAAAATCGGCATGCGGTGCTGAGCGGCGAACTGCTTCGCGTCGGTAACTGCGCTTGCAGTGGCTATCGGGCCTTGTAGCTCTTCGCACTTGTTTGCGACAACGCAAACCGAGTAGCTTCCGCTGTCCGCTCCGGACGCGAGTACCTCCTGTCGCCATTTCTCCAGATTGAGCTGGGACCGACGGTCTGTTGCGTCGCACACCAAGACGATCAGCTGAGCCTCCTTGTAGAATTCCGTCCGGATTTCGCCAAAGTCGTGGCCTCCCCCCAGGTCCCAAATGTTCACCTGTAGAAAACGGGACGGTCCCTCCGCACCCCCGCCCGTACTCGTCCGACCCCCGCCGTTCCGCGCATTGCGGACTTGGTCTTTGTCCACCTGAAAAGCGCACAGGTCTACCCCTATTGTGCGCGCCTTGAATGCCGCCCCCATGGCCGAGTTAATGTTGAAGTAGTGCTTCTGCAAATTGGATCCATTTCTCTCCGCAAAGTAACTGCACAAAGCGCTCTTTCCCGTCAGCGAATCGCCGAGGATCGCGATTTTGATCTTCTTCAAGTCTGCCGGTGCTCGGTGCTTGTTTGCCCCCGTCGCAGTCCTTCGCACGGGGGACCAAAGCCGTTTTGGACCAGAGTCCGAACTAGAACTCGTCGTGTGCCGGTCAGCCACCATGATCACACTTTCTCTTGCAGTGTGTTTGTTGTTGTACAATCTAAACCTACAACTAAACCATGTCTATTAAGATCCCTCCAGAACTGTCGTAAGAGCCTCTCCTTCCTTCTAGTGGCAGCACGACTGCGAGAAAAATATTACTGAACCTGTGCAAATATCACTTTTCTAGGTGATTCAAGAATGAGTCGCTCTCACAGCTCGTGTTGTCTCATCGCTCTTGCTTCTTCAGCTGCGACTCATATGAGAACGAATGTCTTGCAGAAGTAGCTGCAGCATAATCCTTTTTTGACTAGAGCAACACGATCAAGAACAGGAACAAGCGGCATGTATCATTCCGGTGAGATGAATCTTCCCAACCTTCGCAAGTAGAAGGTAGCGACACCGTAATTTTTTTTCTGCTTAGGAATGTATGCGAATCCGTTTCGAAATTAGAGGCAAGAGAAAGGTACCATCGAGCCTATTCGTGTGATGATGCATAATTACAATGATACTTTTCAGGAGAGAGTCGTCGTCTCATTTACCAATACTGGTCCGAGACGGCTGCGAGCGATTTTGTTCTTTAATTGTACATACTGTAACTGTTCTTGTTCTTGAGACTCATATTTTTTTTCTTGGAAAATGTTCAGAGGAAATACACGACAAAATATTCATCGACGAAGTGGAAATCATGTACTCTACTACTTCTAGACTTCTTGTGACACATGTGCTTTATTCGTGAATAAAGTCCTCTCCCCGACGTGACGTCATACAAGGTGAAGTCACTCCACCCAGCACGTTCAAAAAAAAAGTAAGTAGTGCGCAGGACAACTACGACCTGCAGGAAACTCCATCAAGAAAAATATCCGCGATCATGCCAATGAACTGCAGCTAGCTGTTGATAACTTGTAAGATTTCAACATTCTCAGCCGGTTCCTGCAGGTCCACTAGAATCACGCCTTCCTCATCCGGTCGCTGAGGGTTCCACTCAAAACGAGAGGCGACTTTGAAGACGCGGCCACGATTGGCAGACGCAGGGCGGTGTCGCGCGCTCGGGCTTGCAGGTCGTCCGGCCAGAGAAGAACTCGCGCCCCTGGCTGACGCTGGCACTGCGGTAGCGGCGACCGTATAGCCTGGCTTTGTATCCAGGATAACCACTGCGGAAGCGAGAGGCGGTCGCGGGAGCGGCGGAAGGACCAACTGCTGGCGCTGCAGCAGCAGGCGCTGCTCCTGCCGCATTCTGCGAGTAAACACCTTCGCCTTCTCCGCCTTCAGCTGCTCGTCTTCCCGATCCCGGGCGCGATCGGCACTTGTGCGCGTCGCGCGCGGAGAGAGACTGCGCGTCGGGGACTCGGAGCTGGCCGTCGTGGCGTAATTACGTCTCGGCGTCGAGTACACCATCCAGGGGTTGTTGCCGATCGGGATGGGCCGCGAGTTCTTGTCGAATTCGGTATTGATTTGCACGTTCATACGCAGTGCGGCTGCGTGCGCGCGCGTGTCCGCGACCATTACGTTATCCCGAACCAGAACCAAATTATCGGGGCGCGGGGACGAAGAACTTGTCATTCCACGCTGCGACCGAGGCTCAGGCTGCTCGCCACCGCTCGTCAGCATGCTGCGGCGACTGCGAAAGGCGGGGACCGCCGCTGCGGGTGGCGTAGTTGGGGCGGTGGGCGCATAGCCGCCGCCGTGGTAGTTTCGGAGGACTGGAGGGGTCCACTGCGGAACCATGGGCGACCGCGCCTCCACCGAAAACCGCGGCCGCAGCAGAAAGTCTCGAGACACCGGCTGCACTCGGTTGCCGCCCGCCTTCAAATCCGAGAACATGTCACTCCGCAGCCGATTGGCGTACACGCGGCGTCGGGCCAGCCGGTTATGGAAGCGTCAGGTTTGAAATCGTCAGAGTTGAAATAATTTGCAATGCATAAAATGCATGACCCGAGGCACGTGCGTTGCAGAGCAGGCAAGTGAGGCCGATTGTAAGCCTGTTTGGGGTTACAGCTCGAGCTGCTAAAATAGCATGAGAAAATCGCTCTTCTTTGCCCAAACAGCATGACAAAGCGGATTTAGGGACCACCGAAATTTGTCTTGCGCCACGTAGAAACTGGGTTCCAACTGGCATCCATTTTATGCATGAGAAATTTTTTCAACTTTGACGATTTCAAACCTGACGCTTCCATACCGGTCCCGCGGCGTGTACAAAGCTCCGGTCGTTTTCGTACTTGCGTGGTCCTTATCAACTGTAAAAATGTCTGGGTCTGGAAGATTCTGAAACTTGTGACGCACGTCTTGCATGAGCCATGATGTCTGCGATGCACGCCCTAGCAATACAGATTTCCTGAGGGCTTCTTGATGCCTATTCCGCATGACAAATGCCTTCTCAGCGTAGCAAAAATTGCATTCCGTTTGCTACTCATGCACTACAGATTTTTTTGGAATCCAAATACAGGATCACAAGTTGCATCCTTCCAGACCCAGACATTTTGACATTTGCTAGTCCTGAAACGTGGTCCATCGCGGAATGGCGGGAACCAGAGGTCGTGGTGGGGCCGTGGGTACGAGTTGGACGGTTCGCGGAGTCATTGGTGCCCGCGGCGTGCGCGGCTCCTGGAGCGTTGATGGCTGCTCGACAAATCCGGAATCCTCACGTAAGGGGGTATTGGCCGTCGCGCGCGGAAGCTCTGCTAACCGGGCTGGTGGGGCTGGAACCGCCTGCAAGATTTGAATACGAGGACAAACAATCATAAATAACCGATGATGTTGATAGGTAAAAGTAACTTCTACCAAGAGCAAGAACAACACGCTAAAGACGCATTATAGCGGCCGCACTGTTTCCGACCAGTCGTATCGTCAATCGGCAGAGGAGCTACTGGCACAACCAGTGACTGAGTTGGACGTGCACCAGTGTCGCCGAAAACAAGAATGAGTTGTAGAAATCAACAAGGCAGAAGAAACTACGACACCACGTCAGTGGCATTCAATACGAGATCGATACAGCAATGATCAAGGCTCTCGAAATAGAAAATCTCAGAGAATCTCTATTTGAAATAGAGATTCTCTGAGGAAAATAGAAATTCTCGATAAAGCGTATCGCTTTTTTCTTCTTCTTTCTTTCTTTTTCTTTCTTTTTTCTTCTTTTTCTGTTTCTTACTGTTTTCCCACATGTTTTTTACTATATTTCAGCAGCTCCTCCACCAGTGGCGAAGCCGAAATAGAGATTCTCCATCCCAAATAGAGATTCTCCATCTGGGATAGAGAATCTCTATCTGGGATAGAGATTCTCTATCTGAGATGCTAGGTTGCCAGCCAGCAACCCAGGAAGCCTGGCTACCAGCCTGGCAACCCAGGCTTTGCTAGCCTGCCAGCCTGCTGGCAACCCCGGCTTTGCTAGCCTGCCAGCCTGCTGGCACCCAGGCTTTGCTAGCCTGCCAGCCTGCTGGCAACCCAGGCTTTGCTAGCCTGCCAGCCTGCTGGCACCCAGGCTTTGCTAGCCTGCCAGCCTGGCACCCCGGCTTTGCTAGCCTGCCAGCCTGGCGCCCAGGCTTTGCTAGCCTGCCAGCCTGGCGCCCAGGCTTTGCTAGCCTGCCAGCCTGGCACCCAGGCTTTGCTAGCCTGCAAAGCCTGGGTGCTAGTCTGCCAGCCTCTCAACCAAGGCTTGGCTAGCCTGCAAAGCCTGGGCGCAGCCCGGCCGTCTAGCGGCAGCCCGCACGATTAACTTCGCGACGCACGCCCACACCAGCTAGGTGTGGCGCGCGATAACGTAGGAGCGCGCGGCGCTCCTCGAAAATCTTTGATGGACCCACTTAGCGGCCTCCCACCCACGGCGCCAGACACGGCACGCGAGAGCACCCACGCGCCTGCCCGAGAGGTGGCCCGCGCGCGCAGCGCGCGAATTTTTTTTTGGCCCCCACAACGTCGGTCCGCCGCCGCCTAGGTGCGGCGCGCAGAAAAAGGCAGCCAGCACGAAAGAAAAAGCCCAGGCGGGCGGAGCGCAAGGAGTTTTTTTTTTCATTCCCGCAAACAACGCCGGGGGGTCGCGGCGCACGAAAAGGAGCGCGCGCCGCCTGCTCGAAAAAACGGACACCAGACGCGCAAGAACGCAGGAGAATTTATCCCATTCCATCGATCCAACCACGACGCACGGCTGCAGCCCGCGCGAGAGAATTTAACCCATCCCCTCCGCACTCCGCGCGCGCGACCACAATGCGCGAGAACTTTTTTTCAATCCCAGCAAACGCGCCACCATGTGTGGCGCGCGCAAAGAAGTGTGCGGCCGCCCAGTAGAAGAAAAAGCGCGCGCGCAGCGCGCAAAAAATTTGTAGTTCGACCCCACATCGCCACCAAGCGCGAAGCGCGGGCGACGTACGGAAATACGCGACCGGCCAAGGAAAAAGACGCGCAAAAACTTTTTGCATTCGATTCCGCATCCAGCGCCACCAGGCGCGCCGCGCGGGCGACGGGGGTGCGCGGCCGCTCAGAGAGAAAAACTCGCGCGCGTGCAGCGCGCGAAATTTTTTTGAATTCGGCCCCATACCCATCGCCACCAGGGACGCGCGGCGCTCGGGCGGCCGGGGTGCGCGGCCGCTCTGAGAAAAAAACTCGCGCGCGCACAGGGCGCGAAATTTTTTGGAAGTCGATCCCACACCGCCACAACACGCGGCGCGCGGGCGATCGGAGTGCCCGGCCGCTCAGAGGAAAAAACTCGCGCGCGCGCAGCGAGGGAAATTTTTTTGAATTCACTTCCACATGCAGCACCACCAAGCGCGGCGCGCGGGGGGGGGCCGGCGACGGGGGTGCGCGGCCGCTCAAAGAAAAAAAACGCGCGCGCGCGCTGCGCGCGAAATTTTTTGGAATTCGATCCAACACCGCCACCAAACGAGGCGCGCGGGCGGTGGGAGTGCCCGGCCGCTCAAAGAAAGAAACTCGCGCGCACACAGCGCGCGAAAATTTTTTGAATTCACTTCAACACGCATCGCAACCAAGCGCGGCGCGCGGGGGGGCGACGGGGGTGCGCGGCCGCTCAAAAAAAAAAAACTCGCGCGCGCGCAGCGCGCGAAAGTTTCTTGAATTCGACTCCGCATGGCCACCAAGCGCGGCGCACGGGCAACGGAAGCGCGCGGCCGCTCAAAGAAAAGGATTTGCGCGCGCAGCGCCCGAAATTTTTTGGAATTCGATCCCACACCGCTACCAAACGCGACGCGCGGGCGGTGGGAGTGCCCGGCCGTTCAAAGAAAAAAAACTCGCGCGCGCGCAGCGCGCGAAAATTTTTTGAATTCGATTCCGCATGGCCACCAAGCGCGACGCGCGGGCAACGGGAGTACGCGGCCGCTAAGAGAAACAAAATCGCGCGCGCGCAGCGCGCAAAAATTTTTTGAATTCGATTCCGCATGGCCACCAAGCGCGGCGCGCGGGCATGCAACGGGAGCGCGCGGCCGCTCCGAGAAACAAACTCGCGCGCGCGCAGCGCACGAAAATTTTTTGAATTCGATCCCGCATCGCTACAAAGCGCGGCGCGCTGGCGACGGCGCGCATATTTATTTTTCGATACCAGCACGCCGCAAGATTGATGTGGTGCGCGGGCCGGCGAAAAGGAGCGCCCGGCTGCTCACAAGAAAAAGCCCCCGCGACGCAGCGCGCAGAAATTTTTTTCATTGCCGCCACGCCGCCAGATGCCGCGCATCGGCGAGCAAGAGCGTTTGGCCGCTCAAAAAGAAGCCCGCGCGCGCACAGTGTGCGCAATATTCTCAATTTCCCCTACGCCGGCCGCCAGGTCGGTGCGGAATTATTCTTTCTTTCCCCGCAACTGACGGCGGGCAAAAAAAGAATGAAAAAGCTGAACCCCCAGAGGCCGAAACATGCACAGGAACTTTTTTCCCCGTCCATGGGCACGGAACAAAAAGAGCATTTTGAAAAAGTCAAGCGAGAGTGGGCTTTTGCGCCAGAGGAAGGTCGACAGCTTTTCTTTGCGCCAGGCGAAGGCGAAGAGCAGACGCAACCGAAGACAAAGCGGGAGCCGATAGATTCGACGCGGGAGATTCTCTATACGGAGAATCTCTATTGGGGCGTTGGAGAATTTCTATTGGATTTTTTTTTTCTAGACATAAGAAGGGCATGAAAAAAAAAAAATCATTTGTACCTGCTCCACCAGTCCCGCGGTTTCTGGCGCAACTCCGGAAATTTTTCTCTCCAGCACGGCCATATCAACATCCCCTAAGGGTGAAGTATCTTCCAGACCTGCCTCGAGCTCGCGCAGAAGGTTTTCCGTCTGAATGCTTGGAATCTTTGTCCCTGCAGCTGGCTTGGCGGTACTAGCACCCGCTGCCTCAAGCTCCGCGAATGCGGATGCTAAAGTTTGACTAGGTGCGGTGCCAGCGTCCCCGCCGGTCGGCGCTAGTGACTCTGCAGATGCGTTCCCGTTTGCCTCAACCGGGGCCTCGTCGACTCTGCTCTTGTCTCGGTACCGCTTTTGTATTGAGCGCGCTGCGTCATCGCCCTTCTCTCCCAGGGCTTGCGACCAATCCTGCAGATCGCTCGTCATTTGCGGATCGCTTGCCAACACCTGCTGGTTGGCAGTAGCAGCATCACCCCTGCCTATTGTGTTCTCTGAGGCTAAAAATCTTGGCGGCGAAGGGGTACTAGGAGTAGTTGCCGGCGCCTGCGACAGGAGCACGCCGGTCGTTGTACCTGTTGGCGACAAAAAGAAAGCGGCACCTAGCATTTCCTCATCCTGCTCGACGTTTATTTGACCGGTAGTTGTCGGAGCAATTACGGCACTTCCTTTGCTCGCTGCAGGCTCGGGCTCGACTTGTTCGAGATCGAGCACCAGAGGTGTAGATGTCGGAGCTCCTCCTGGTCCCGATGTTGCGTCTGGTTCGTTTTGGTTTTTCTTCTTGTTGCGATAGCGGCTTTGCACCACTGACGCAGCCTTGTCGCCATCTTCCCCGAGACCCGCACTCCATTCAAGGAGGTCCTCTGCTCCACATCTCGGACTAGCAGCAGGCTCCACCACGGCAGTCGGCGTAGTTGCGGCGACCTCAGGTCCGGAAATGGACGTAGAGATGTTGATGACAGGCGTAGTTCTACTTGCGTCAACATCTGTCGGCTGCACGGTCGGAGTAAAGGTCCGCTCGGGCGAGGATTGCTCGATGGACGGGTTGCGGTTGCTGAGAGCCGGCGCCTGTTGCTGCACCTGCTCCGGAGAGGGTGCTGTGCCTAAGCCCATGTTGCGCGAGGACACCTCCACCTCTACCAGGTTCAAATCCATCTCCTCCACATCCTCAAAAACCATGTCTAGGCTCTCGGGGCTCGCACCACTGCCGGCGGCAGGGGGCGGATCGCCCATTTCTGAGCTTTCAGGGGCTCGCACTACCATTGCAATTTATTGCTCAAGGTCAACATTTAGACTTAGATAAAAGGAACAAGAAAAGAACCCAAGTTGAAGTAACAGCGAAAGGGAAGATAATGTAGAAGAACTCGCACCACGGTCCACGGGCTGTGTCTGTGTGGGAACTCAACCTGAAGTCCTCGTGCGGGGTCAACTATGAAATAGGGGGTTTTTCCGTGAGAGAGATCGTGATTCGTTTAAAAATTACCATATCTTCAAGGGAACCTGTTAACGGTTGCAGTCATTGTTTGTAACCGGGTAAAAAATCTTCTGCCACAGTGCTTACCGGCAACTGTGGGTGTCGCTGATGTTTCAGCCGCGCTACTACACTCGCACGGAGACGGACGACAAAGCATATGACACCTTCAAGTGCGGAAAACTACAAAAGAGAGAGCTACTAGCTAAGTTGTAAGCGTTGCGAGCAAGTCCGCTTTGCGAGCAGAAGATGCTTACGACCGAGATCATGAATACCGAAAACGATCGCCGTCGCGCGGCACTTACTACCGGCGTCTAGCTCTGACTTACTTCTTCCAAAGGACGGGAATTGAACGATAACGAAACGATGCTGGTGACATACATTGCACGTACCGACGAGAAATCTTCAATACGTTGCGAAACCGAAATCGCTTTTAGAAGCTTCGTAGTTGCACAGACGCGTATCTTTAAGTACCGATGGATATTGTTTCACTTCGACCGTAATTTCAAGTTTAACACAATCCTGGCATGAGGTGAAGAACATATTACTATTAGCTGACTAGTGCTACATTCCGGCTTTGCTCGAACCCTCGTCGGTAGCCGCTCATGCGTGTATCGGGCAGAGGCAGAGCTGGAGCTGCGCTTTACGTGCGCGTGCCTCAAAACACAATACTTCCTAAGGATTTGAACCAAGTCACTATCTACAAATGGAAATGCGTGCTTTTACTGACATACAGCAGTACTCCAGATGAAGCGCTCAGACAAAACAATGGAAATTAATGGTATTTTTGACAACAACTTTTTATACATAAATAGCTATTCCTCGCTCCTCCTTCAAGCGTATACACAAGAGGGAAATATCAAGCAAAAAGAAATATCAGCTGGTCGTCACTACATCTTACAGTGAGAAGATCGAAACATTCGTGCTGCAGCACAAATAGAAATAAGCAGGACACTGGCTGTTGCTGCTTGTAGTGCGACACAGCTTTCGTCCGGCACACAAGAGACACAGGTCATCTCAACCAAATTTCTGCCTTTGTTTCCGGTACGAACGCCCACCAACAGTGGGGAAGATGTAGGTGGTCATGATCTCAAAACATTAGCAGGCTGGGAATAAAAGCATGCGATGAGAGGATGAATGTGAGGACACTGACTGGCACTGCCAGCAGTGCCACACGACCTACGAAATAAATCTTGGATTTTGCCCGGATTTGCTTTTCTGAGAATCACGTAGCCAAACCCCGGCAGGTCTATGGATATCATAGGAATAAATTCTAGAAGGAAAAAATCCGTGCCCGCGCTCAGTGGTATTAGCACTTTCCGCCGCATTACTCGCAGCACCTCCTCGTTTTGGGGAAGGAGAGGAGGACAAACTGGCGATATCCCGTAGGCTCGCGACCGGAAGAACGGATACGACGCTCTTGTCCACCACCTGGATCTCTGAGATTTTCTTCTGCTCGCTGTGCGGCTTCTTCTTTTCCCCCTCTTGGGCCCGCGCCAGTTCGACCTCGACTGCGCACCGGCGTTGTGGACTTGTTCGCACGGAGTGCAGGTCGGCATTCTCGAACACTGCACTGCTGAGCCGCTCTTTTTTCTGTACAAAGTCCGTGTCGTAGGCGGAAGCCGGACGCTCGGGCTCCGCATCCCACTGATGAGAAAGGTTGTTGTGATGTAGTCAGTTTTGGTTTTCGTTTTGATTTCGTACGTAATAAAACACACGACGCGCTGCGGCTGTAGCGTCAGCGAGCTCAGCCACCTTGGACGATATTTATATTGCAGGAGCTGCACATTGATATTGAAATTTATACAGAAAGACCTGATGTAGTCGTAAGTACCTTTTTCTTTGCTGTTCCCATTTGTGCTTCAAATGCAGCGAGAATCGGGTCTTTTTCGGGATCGACGTAAAATGCAGTTTCTTCGGGGTCGCGAACTAGGGAAAGCGGGCGGCGCAGCTCGACAGCCCACTGCGGCAGTTTGGACTCCCGCGGCCCCGCATGGTAGGTGTGTCGTGGTGAGTAGTCGTGCACGGGATGGTGAGTGCTGGTGGTGGTCGTGCGAAATCCAGTCGTCCGCAGCATTCCTGTCGCGGTCGCCCCGTCGTACGTACCCCGGTCCTGCTCACCGGTCGCGTTCATGATGTCTTCTTGATCAATACTCGACGCGTGCTGGTAGTCTTCGGGTAAAAAACCCGAGCTCGCGGTGGTCTCTCGTTTTGCGGTGGTCTGCAATTGCCGTGCTTGATGTTTGTTGCTGCTTCCGCCGCTCAAGAATGAGCTGGCGGTCGAGCTAAGAAATGCGGAAAACTGAGACCCCACCCGCGCAGACAGGTGAGTTTCTTTACTTCGACCGGATTTTCGCACGCGCATGCCCTTTTGCCGATGCGGGTGAAGCGAATTCTTTGTTTCGTGGAGTTGCATTGGCGGTTGCCGGAAAACGAAGGGTCGCAGACACTTGGTTGCCTCAAAGTTGTTCAGCAGAAAGTATTCCGTTTCGCGGCCAAGAACCGCCGGCACGCTGTTCCGAAGGGTACGGATTTCGACGGATGGGGCCTCGGGAGGAGGGGCGAAACTGTAGACAGAATTGTAACAAGTTCTTTCATCTTTTGATTTGTTTCAACATCTTCTCGTCGGTGGCACTGTTGTTCCGGCCAACCAGCGCAACACGAGGCGGACGGGCGAAAGGTAAAATCAATCAAAACTCCTTGTTGTGCGACGAAGACGATCACGAAAGAATGAAAGCAGAAGGGCAATAAACAAAACAAACCAACCACAACACCGTCACCGACCAAAGCCAAGCAAAACTAAAGATAAAAAGTAAATAGTACGCAGTAACGACGCCTGCCACCCAAGTGCCGCGACGGCCGCGATGAAAATTGCGGGGATTCGTTGCGGTTCCAGCCTTCCCGTCATCAGCTAAAAAAAGCTGCACCGGAGATCCAATCCGGTACTTAAACTTGCCGATGCGGACGCTACCCTTGGCCGGGTAATACACGTAAAAGTCTCTGCGCGTGGTGACGGTGATGTCCTGTCCAGCCCAGTGCCGCTGGTCCTGCGTCAAAGGTTCGATTTTCCGCAACATCTTCTTCGTCTCCTTGTCTGATGTTTGGGTATGTAGTTGAATATGACCATGCTCATTCACTGAAAGTCGTAATCATAAAACGCCGCTTTTTTTATTTTTTTAGCGGGTCGGGGCAGCACAAAACAAAAAAGTGAGCATGAGAGTGTTTGCGTTTCTGTTTCATAAGAAGAATGATAAGGCGTTTTTCAATCCATAAATCAAGAATTACCGTAGCTCCTCCGAAGAGAGGCAAGGACATCCTCCTCGGAACGGCTGTCTTTCTTCTTTGCTTCGAGCATCAATTTTCGAAGGTGATTCTTTCGCGCCTTCAAGAAGGCCTGGATGATCCTCCGTTGGTCCAGATCCAACGCCACCTCAAACTTCTTGTTGACGATTCTCTGTGGAATTTTCGCGACGACGTGTTCCTCGTCGGAAGTAGACTCGTCTCCGGAATGCACCTTACCTCGCGACGTGCTGGTTTCGGTGGAGTCGGACAGGTCATCGCTAGAGGTGTGATCCGAAGCCAACGCCGCGTCCTCGTTCTCGTCAAGATCCTTCTGGTCACCGCCCTCGTCCGATGCCGCAATTCGCTTTCGGCCGCAGAAAAAAACGCACCGAAAGCATGTCAGAAACGAACTGAGAAGGCCCATGTTGTGGCTCTCTTCAACTACTTTTCAGACAGAATCTTCCGATACGAAGAAGCATGGCGTTAAAGTTGGTAGTGACGGTACCGCGAGGAGCACCCGTTCGAGTTATGAGCGTGTCACGTGATTTTATGAGCGACTCGCCCCCGCCCCCGCGTGCATCTCAGCTCCCGAAATAAATATTTGATGTCAATATAAATATTCATCGACCTAAATAAGACGTTATGCCATCCCTATCGTAAAATTTTTGCCACCAGGAACTGGCTGTGACCATACCAATTATCCACAACGATTGACACACACGCACCCACAAGCGCATGCTGTCCATGTAAAACAATGAATCTCCGGACCATTTGCAGGGTGAGGGTGAGGGTCGACAAAAGAAAATATTATATTATAATGCCCGATATAGATATTGACGGATCGATACATTGACGAAAATAATGCCGAATACAAATGGAGGGTGCTCGAGCAGGCGTTTCAAGTCTAGTGGATAATTCTTCGACTCATTACAACGAGGAGACCTGTGAAGCGATGAGACGATTGAAAAAAGCGACGAATTTATTCGTTCGTGTTTCTAATTGTGGAATAAACGATAAACGAAATGAGCAAAGTGACGATTTTTTCCGATGCTTCTCGACGAATCCGACTCGTGTAGGTGATGTTCTTAAAGGCTCGGTCTCGCGATCATCAATCACGATGAATCTGCAACTTTACAAGAGATGAGACATCCCGCACTTGCTAAACTATACTAAGAGAAACATTTTTTTCAAAACCAAGTAGCCACACTCTGCCGATGCTGCAGTTGCCAACCGCGAAAAATGTGAACGCGAATGGCTCTAGTTCGTCATCGAGCGCATTCTCTTGAGGAGCTGGGAAAAAATCAACTTACTTACACTTACTTCTCGACACACCAGAGCCGTTCTTGCAAGTGGAACACAACAACCGCTAATTTAATTAGCGGTTGTTGTGTTCCACTTGCACGCCGAAGGTAGAAAGATAGCTCGTATAATTAAATTATACGAGCTATCTTTCTACCTTCGGCGTGCAGGACCCTCCGTGCTCTGCTTCTTTTTGCACAATTCTTCTGTTGGGTAATCCAACCTCCTTGAAACCGAAACAGCAATAAGACGGGCCAAGCAAAAAAATTGATTTTACGCTTGAACTCAAAAAATGGTAAAGGGTAAAAGTCTTGCCCGGTAGTTGCAAACAAGTCCTCAACAGCAAGGAGCTCAATGAAGAGCATAAGCTCATTTCATCGTCATAGCAACATAATTGTCGTAATTGAAATAGTTGTTTGTCGTCTGTAGTCGGTTGATGATTTCTTGAATGTCCGTCCGGCCGTCCGATCCGTACCTCTTGCAGGCCTCGCTCAGGTCATCCAATTTGATGCAACCGGGTGGAGCTTTCTCCTGTTTTTTTGGTCAAGAAGGCGTTTCCTGAAGATCTGTGGTCAAAAGCAAAGCGGACGCAACATATTTAGTCAAAGTAAATATAGGGTCCTCCTCCTCGCCCGCCATCTAAGTTTTTGCTGCTGCGGGTGATGATTGAAATTATACGACTAGCATAGAAAAAATAGTAAGTTCCCGAGCGATTTTCGTTGGTTTTCGTATTCCTACCTTGATGTATTCTACTTTTGTTCTTCTTCATCTTCATTACTCTACCACTCTTGTATTTTATTTAGAAAGCACCATGGAAATCAACAAATTGTACGTCGTGCTCGGAGAAGAGTTCGAAACTTCGTCGCACCTCGTCAGGTGTGTAGTCGGCACTGATTTTGCATGTCATAGTTCTTACGAAGTCCTCGAATCCGATTTCCCCCGTCTGCGAACTGCTTCCAATCTCGTTCAGAATCAGCTGTAGCTCTGTCGACGAGACCTTGATTCCCAGAATGCGAATTAGGTTCCCGAGTTCCTCTTTCGAAATCTCGCCGCTCCCATCGCTATCAATCAGATGAAAGATTTCGCGAAATTCCTGCAGTTCCGCCTCACTAACCGAACCATCTGCGGAGGGCCCACCGCCACCACCCGACTTTTTGCTGCCCGGAGAGCCGCCCTAAGAATGATCATGGAAAGACACCATGTCCATGGAGGATAATGGATTATCATTATGACCATAGAAGAAGGGCATCCGCATCATGAAATAGGAGCTCCGCTGCATCTGCACACGTCGAGCAACATAAACAGTCGAAGGATAAAAATACCTCAGCCTTTCCCGTTTTTCCTCGCGCGGACTGTTTCGGTGCCATGGTTCTAAAACAATATCAAACAAAAGTCGTGAAACTTTACTTCACACCGAATACGCACTCGAAGCGGAAACTCCTATATAGAATTTAGATTTTTTTTTCTTTCTCATTCCCCTAAAGCTCTACTTAGCTTTTTATTGGCGTGCCCCCGCTCGTAATAGCTACTTCCGGAAGATGATTTGATAAAGTGAAAACGCAGCTCCATCCTTGACGCTAGGCATTTCCGCCACAATGATCACGATGGAGATTCATCGAGCGACCATTTCCATTTCTTGTTCCCAGATTGTAAAGTATCATTTCATCGTGGACATTCGATCATATTTGTTCAGCGAAGCCTCGCTCCTTCTCAGTCTCGTAGCATCTTCTCTTCTCCCAGATCCACGAAAACACCACGACTGCACTGCTTGATAGAACTAAAGCTAAGAAGTGCGACATTCTGGAAACAACATCACGACCTAGCAACACACAGATTCGTGAATAACTGTAGTACGTTGTACTTCAGGCGTACAAGACCACAAGGAAGAGAACAGACGACGATCTAGCTATACCTTTACCTATAGCTTTTACTTACCACTAACATATATCTCTCTGATCTTATACTTCTAGGCACGAAGCTTGCTTCTGGAGAGCACGAGAACGATCAAGATTGCATCAGCCTGATGCGGCAACGGGCTCCGTTAGCGAAATGTAGTTACAAACCTATCTTCTAGCCCGCTCTGTTAAGGAGCTCCGAGCTCAGAAGACTTCTGAGCCTCGCAGCTCAACAGTGCTTCAAGTTTGACGACCTTCACCTTACTACAGAAGGAGGAACACAGGAGGAGCGTTCAAAAAAAGGTGTCCAATTACATTGATAGTCAAGATGTCCACAACATCTTACATTTAGCTATAATAACTTTAGCCCGAGCAAGCTGTCGAATGTTTTTTCTTCGTGAAGGTCGTGGTCGGTATCTTGTTAGCACGAAAAAGAGTATGTAATTCAAATTCGTCAATGCAAGGGTAGTTTTCATCTATCGGGTATATTATATGCGTCGAGTCGTGGGCTCCAATTTGCTTCACTTACTTCACGAGGTGGATTTTTGTGGATAATGATTTCAATCAGTGAAAATCTTCCCACATGAAGCAGGATAAGTGAAGCTATTTTTGAGTATATACACAAATGTTGATATATCATTATCAGCATTTTTAGCTAGAAACGGGAGGTGAGAGTCACTCGTGAGCGGTATAGTGATTCCATCCCTGGTGGAGTGGGAAAGAAGTATTTGAATCAAACAGTACAAGAACTACTAGCTACTCATCACATTCTACTTTTTCGCAGTCCATGTTTCGAAAATTAGGAGCAGGCCGCGGCCTCGTCCTCACGAAGACACGGATCCTCAACGTCCATTGTGCTCCTTGCAATTGCCGCGGACGCGGAGTAGAGCTGCAAGCTCGTCGCAGAAACGGAAGTACCTATCTCAAGTCGGACCTGCCCTCGGTGCAGGACGTGGCACTGCTCCTGCGGACAGGCTTGCCTGTGCTGTTGCAGCTCCCCGCGGTCTACCAATTTGCGCATTCGTACGCGCCGCTGCGGCAAGGACTTGTGCAAATCGTTGTTCCTCTCGCGCGGGTGCGTCCACTAAAACTTGTCTCGCGATGCGCCACCTTCGGTCTAGTTCCGCTTGCTCTAGGCTGGGAGGATCGTCGTGTAGGAACTCTTGCACCAGAGGACCGACCCGGGGCCGCACAACCCCGTCCAATTCTCGGGCTGCGCTGCTCCACCGGAGGGTTCCCGTGGCTCCGGTACGATCGCGACCAGCGTTGCGTCGACCTGCTTGTGCACCAATTTTTGGCGGTGTACTATGATGAAGCGACGCAGTCCGGTTTGTTTCATCCTTGCCGCCTGCTCTCCGACCACTTCTCGGGTTGGCAGCAATGAACTTGGTACTACGTTCAGTGGCGGGTCGAGGCACTCCCTCGCTTTTCGCCCCCCTGCTGTATAGCTTATCTCCGTGGTTTCCCAATGCAACGGTTGCGCCAGCAGGTGCCAGTAGTACCACACCGGCACCATTCGCCGGGGGCGCAACCGTTGGCGGTGCCCATTCGATGTGAAAAGCGATCGCAAGAATCACGGTTAGCACAACAAAGAGGGCGGAAAACAAAAACACGCGCTTCTTGGGAGGCCGTTTCAGCGTTATCACCTCGATGCACTTGTTGGTCGAGTTTCTCGTCGAATAGTCAACGTGGTCCAGCACACCAGCATCCGTCTCGCTTGCAGTGGCAGAAGACTTCAAATTCTTGTGCGACTTTTCGCGTGCCGAAACCTTGGATCCTGCTTGTTCCCCGGAAAGACTACTCCTCGCCCTCCCTCTGGTGCCAACAGTGCGTCGTTTTCTTCTCCTTGCCCGCGCCGGAGATGTTTTTTTTCTGCAGCTGTTTCTACTGGAAGTCGTTGAAGCCGATCTGCTGCAGCTTGATGACTGCTGCTCTCGGCTGCAGTTGTTTCCACGCTGCGTCTTTGCAGCTTCGTCCTCGGGCGAAGTGGGAGTGGTCCCGCTAGCCTTTGTCCCTCGTCGTGGATGATGCGTCAGGAGGCTCCTGTGGATACCGCGGCCCTCGTCAGCGTCGACGCTTGCGTTCTTCTCCTTATCGGTTCGGGATACCAGAAATCTTGGTGATGCGGTCGAAGAGGACGTGCTCGTAGACGCACCATGCGGTGACGTGGAGGAACTGGATATGCACGAGGAGGATCCGCTCAAGCCGTATTCCTGCTCAGCTGCAGACGACCGGCATGAACTCGGCGACGAACCGCTGTTTTTGCTGCAAGCTTGTTCATCTGCCGCGTCACAATATTTTTTATCTCGTCCACCAGCACCAGCGAAGGCGAATCCGTTGTGGTTGTGGTCCATGTAGTTCCTCCGCCACTCACATTTATCTTGCTTGAGTGGAACCACAACACTCTCGGGACGTGTGATGGTACTGGATGGTCGACGTGCGATGGAGCCGATGTAATCAGGCACAGCTGGTGCAGCTCTCCGCTCGCCGCGCCGAGCTACATCATGGTCGGGCTGCTCCTCGCGGTTTATTCCGGCAGGCAGCTTGTAAGTGTAGTGTTCTAGTACTGCGGCCCTGCTCTTCGTAGCACAACTTGATCTACCGCCCGTGGTTCCACGGCGAAGCAGAGTGAACTTTGGCGGCCGACGCGTCGCGTAGGAGCTGGAGCTCGTGCCCCTAGCCCGAGGAAGAGCGCCGCCGTAATATTCGCGGCCGGCGGCGGATACTGGTGCTGTTTGATCAAGAGTCGGCTGGTTTGTGCCTCTGCCTTCTCGTCTCGAGGAGGCTGATGCTCGAAGCTGCAGCTGTGTTGCCTCCAGCAAGGGCTCGCATTCCTCGATGGCGTGGCCGTTTTGGTGTGGTAGACACGTCGGGGCATCGTTCCGGATCTTGTCCATGTCGATAACAACAAACCGGCATGAGAAGGTGCACTAGGATGAGGATGGCGATGAAACTGATGGACTGACATTACTGTGGGGCTACACCTACAGTAACAGAAGTTCCATAGTACTTAGAAACAAACTGTAGTGCGTTGGTCAAGGAAATTCCCGACAATGAATGTTAGCGAATTGTGAATAGTCTTCAAACAGCTTCACTTGATAAAGACTCAATATCTATAATTGGGTTTGATGCTCAACAAGCTATAAAATTGATGAGCCTGCTACGAACCTTGCCTGCTTATCAGATGTAGCTACACCGTGGGGCGCGAACGACCGATGGCTGCAAACCAAGAACATCAGCATCACTGAAAAATGCACGAGGAGAGCAATAAAAAGTCAAAGGCGCATATATAAAAAATCAGTATGAATTATTATATGCGTGGCACAGGACATGGATCTTACTCTTAGAAACTCAAAGTTCCTCGCTTGAGGAGAAATGGAGCCCGGTCCTTCTGATCTTGCTCTTGAGCAATTCAAACAGTTCTTTCATAGCTCAGGTCTGTAATCAACACGTAGAAGTTGTGTCTTTGTGTTCTCGTTGGCTGCACAACAAGAGTACAAGTACAGCTACATCAAAATGAGACTGAGATCGGGTTCGTCTTCGTGAGGCTCCTGAGGATCGTCATCATTGTTCCTCGTATGAAGATTGATTTAACATAAAATGATCACTAAGTAGCTCTACTGTTTGGCGGACGAAAAGGCCCAGACTTAGTCTCAGAATATCGATGAGACTCGATGCACGAGAATGAGTATGAGACGAAAAACGTGAATAGAGATGACAATCATAAAGCCGAGCATGCTCCCGGAAAACGCCTTGCCTTCTCCTCACTGGGTGACGTCCTATCAGGTTGGTTTAACACACCAGGACGCCGCCCATGGGAAGGGCATCGCTGCTCGGCTCCCGTGAAGACAGAGCACTTCTTGAACGTAATAAGCAGTAAGCTTTTCTTGAAATTCTTCTTCTCGAAATATACAACATTCTCTTGTGCACTGCATACTAGTGCCCGAATTCTTTTCGCGATTCGTCAGCGCTGACTTGCAGCACCTCCGCCCGGGGACCGAAGGTTTGCAACGGTGCTGACGGCTTGGGGCTTAGTGGGGCGGGGCACTGGGGGGGCTAGGTTCGGGGGGGACGGGCTTGCCTCGGTGTTGAAGACGGTTTGGGATTTTATGCGCCGGCTCTGCGCCACAGATTCTACGCCTGGCGTGTCACATGACCGTCGTCAAGCTGTACCTTGCACCTGCTTGCGCTTTGCACTGCGCGACACTGAGAAAAGGACAATGTTTAAGGAGTACCTTTTTGTTTCTTCCGTTGCAAACTCGCCCTGCTCTTTGTGATCACTACTCGAGCCAAAAAACAAGTGCAACTTTGTGTTCCAGTCCGAGGTGAAGCAAAGCCGACAAAAACATTAGAATAGAACACAAGGACAAGGTCCCCTTCCTGCATTGATGCCTTTGCTCAAACCATCCCCATGAGGATGACGATCAAACTGAAACCATTTTGACTTTCCCAAAAGCAAACTGCATGTAGTCGGTCTTTGCTTTTGAAGCATCATCCACGTCCACCACTTGTATCCGTCGATACTCATGAATGATTCTGAGCATCATGCATGCGATTGAGTAGTAGTTTTAGTTTATGCTACTTAATCATAATTCATCGCTCAACTTTAATTCAAATTGTAAGCCGCGTTAATTATGAAAGAATCTTCAAAGATTTATGCAAAAAGAATTTAAAGAGTTGTTTGCGCAACGAGTCCTCACCTTCAAACGAAGCAGAAAAATAAATGATAGTGCTAATCTATGGGCCATCTCATAAAAAAAAAGAACAGGAGAGAACGAGTCTCGGAGAAAGAAAAAAATCGAAAAAAAGGATAAAAAATAAAAACAAACATCAAAATATGCGCCACAGGCTGAAAATTATACATAATACTGCTCCAGGCCGCAACGACGAGCTTCGTTACTGTAGTACCGGCTTCACTTTCACTTACTTACTCACATTCAAAAGTAGAAAAAAACTCATAAAGTATTGGAGGCACAAGCTGCAAAAATATTCGAAAAAAGAATCGCGTCGGCGACTCGTGAGGCAGATTGAGTGTAAGACAAAAAGCAAAGACATAAGAAGTGTAAAGACAAAAAAAAAATAGAAAGACTGGGTAAAAAATGGACATCTTCAAACTTAAGCTTTCAAGGCCACAGAGTGCCGCGCCCACTTCTGAAACAGCTGAGCTGTCCGGCAAAATGGAAAAAAAAAAACGTTCAAGACATAAAATGCGAGTTAGCTGCAACATCAGGATACCAGGAGAGAGAGAGAAACAAGCAACGTAAGTCAATCGAAGTTCAAACCTAAAATGCGAAAAAAATCATTGGACTGAATGTTGTGGCCCGTGTATGTATATGCAAATGCAATTGGACGACTGAAAAATGAATTATAAAATGCATGATCTTCAAGTATTTTTGGCACGCAAAACAAAAAATCAGAATCACAGAAAAAATATTAAAAAGTTGCAGCTTCTTGCTCTGACAGCGACTGCTTTCTTGAAATGAAGCTGGGATTGTTCCAGCTTGAGGGAATTTTCGAAAACAGTGCGCAATGATTAGTAGCGTTATCGTTACAAGGCCGTCTCCGACAGCACTTGAAACACGACGAGAGTACAACTACAAGAGAACGCCATCATGCGATTTGGTGTGATATTTTGTCGTGCTTACGCACCAATTGTTGTGCGATCAGAAAGTGCTCGCTCTGCTTCCTCTTGCTCCTCTTTCGCTGAGGCTGAAGCGGTGGCGGGAGGGCTGGCTCCGAAATGCGGTCCCGTGAGTCCTCGCTCGGGGGAACGTGGTCGCAAGGAAGCCGCGAAACTAGCGGCAACCTCGGGGACAGTGGATGGTTGAGAGGAGGCCGCCAGACGAGCGGCAAGCTCTGGCTCGGTGCTTCGGTCCCCCCTGTTCCTCTGAAATGAGTGCTGCTCTTGTTCAAGTACTGAGCTTCCGGGACTTGCGCTTGGCCTTGCAGAGAGGCGACGATGGACACCCGCACTAGGAGCAGGACGCCCACTTGCACTGGTGGCACTTGGTGGCCGACTGTGTCGGGCGGGGGAACTGGTGCTTCGCCCCCTTGGAGGCGTGCTGGAAGCCCGCGCATCAATTGATGTCGGCCGCCGCACTGATGCACCATGAGATTGAGATGGTAATCGCGGGGGCGGACTCTTTGCTGCCGGAACCTCGCGTCGATCCGCGGGAGAAGCGATCCGGTAGTTGTCGCTCATCGCATGCACACTCTTGCCAGATGAACCGAATTCTGAACCGCGAGAAGAGCCTTGGTGAGTTGGATGAGATGGTGGAGACGGAGGGTCTTGCCGCGGTGGTTGTTTCGCCACATTCACAGTTGCTGCTGCTGCAGCTGCTGCTGGTCCGTGCGGCACGGCCGGCGGCGCAAACGGACGAGGAGCGTCGTGCTCCATTTGACTTTGCCTAGTACCCCGCGCCTGCGCGGGGGGGCCATGGCCAGCTGTATTGCTGACAGCGCGTCCTCGTGGAGAAGACGGACGACCCGTGTTTGCTGGCCGGCGGGAGTTACCCAGAGAGGCAGAACCGCCAGTATGATGGGCACGCAAACCCGTTGTACTGGGAAATCGGGTCCTCGCATCGGCTGATGGTGATGGTCCTCTCCTCGAAGCGTCGGCCGATCCTCCTCGCCTCGGGAAAGGAGGCAACAGAGTTGTAGATGGAGTGCCTTTAGCTTTAGCAGAGGACACACTCTGCGCTGAATTCGCGGCGACAGGCGGTCCAGAAGAAGCGGCCTCGGCCAAAGTCGCACCAACACCTGCAGGCGTTGTCGAAGTTGCACCTGCCGCGTTGCTGCCCTCGTGTCTAGCATTTGGCGCTGTAGTCCTCTGAGGTGCATGTGCATGATCTACCCCATGTCCAATTCCATCAGCCGCTCCTCGTCGTCGTCGATCTGCTGCAGTTGTACCACTGACGGACGAATCGTAATCCGTCTTCGTGTGAAAGCGGCCATTAGATAAAGATGAAGGCCTTGCTCGGAGATGAATCGAGTCGCTATGAAACGATGGTCGTGTAGTTGCTCTTGCTGTTGTAGCCGAATTGCGTGCCGGCGCCGACCCCCCGCGGCCTGTGTCTGAACGAGGTGAAATGGACCGACCTGCGAGCGAGGCGGAATGTGTTCGGGAAGATCGTTGCTCAGCGCCAGCATCACCACGACGAGGAATGGGAGGACGACCACGAAAGCCGTCTGATAAAGGTCGAGCAGGGTTTCCCTGCAGCCGCTGATGTGCCGGCTGGCTTTTCGGTTTCGCCTGACCCTTAGCTTCAGCCGGCCTGCTGTCCCTTTCGGCCGCTGCGGCCGCATCTTCTCGAACACGGGCGAGGCGCCGATTCTCCGCAGCCTCCTCTTGCTGCTCCTGCTGCACCGCTTCCATCACATCCTTCAACTTCTCGACTTCTCGTGCCTCTTTGAAGAAGGATGGCGGGCTTACACCGGTTGCATGACCTTGCTCGTCCGCGGAAGCCATGTTTTCATCGTCCTCGGCACTTGATGTTATCCAGGAAAACCCCAAAAGCTCTCCATACACGACCACTAGAGCCTATGCCTATGCTTGCACTCCTATGGGTGCGTCAGGATCGAAATTCTCAAAGTTGAAAAAAAAACCCGGGGGCCCCTGAAGAGGGGCCGGGATTTTGCATTTCAACTCTGACACATTCGCCCCCCCTCCGAGCTAGCCACCACGCTATGCTGGAGTGTGTCAGAGTTGAAGGGGGTCCCGGAGGGGGGGCCCTGAAGGCCCTCGCCAAGGACTGCCAGAATTTTTTTTCAACTTTGTCGATTTCGATCCTGACGCTCCCATAACTCCCCTTTCGTCGATGCTGGAATATGATCGCACACTGTTCGGATGCAAAAAATGAATATATACAACTTAGTACTATCTTTGCTACATTTTCAACGCCGTCCATATCATGCGCCCTGCTTGTCCGCGCGTCTCATCAAGTACTGTGGCGCAGTCAAACTCACGCACGTCTCGTAAGATACTGTGGCGCAGTTACTTGTTGGAAATGCTGCCTGCTGCTGCACTTTGTCTGATGTAGTGTGTGGCGTCGACGACGAAGATATTATCTCTATCATGCGTATTAATCCCAACATCATGCCAATGACTATAGTACACTACCACGAACATCGACGAAAATGTGAAGAATACTTAGTAGTTAGTCTAGTTAGTATAATTGTAATCGGAGTGCAGCTAATGGCGATGATTTGAATCTGTTCGACTCTAAGCCTTAGATTGTCCCTGTGCGATTCACTCCTATTCTTTTTCGTCCCTGGAGTCTTCGCATTTGCTGAATAGGAGTGCAGCTAATAAATATCACTTAAATGTCCGTGCGGGAGGCTGTAATATTTCGCTCCCTAATGCCGCCAGTCTTCAAGATCTGCTCGTCTTGACTACTTGGTAGGTCTCCTTCAGCCTGGAAGCTGGAAACTACGCCCCATTCGCTGGATTCGTTTTGCTTGAACGCCTTGCGACTCAGGGATAGGAGTAGCACCTGTTTGAGCTGCCCTTGTTTTGAAGATGGCACTGCCCCCGGGTCCCGCGGTTGGCTCTTTGATTTTTCCAGGCTTTCAGCAGCCATTGCTCGTTCGATCCGCGCCATTTCCGGAAAAATCGATTTTTCAGTCCCCAAGCGGCATATGAGACGATCTCCTTGCTTCCAAGATTGGACGACGATGTTTTTCACGAGAAAATTCATGCGGCGCATGCGCGAAGCAGCCCCTCCTTCTCCGACAAAGCTACTGGAGTAGCTTGATGGACCCGTGTCGTCGCGTTTGGAGCTGTCCTCCTGCTGACTTTTGCCAGCGCCACTCCCCCCAGTTTCATCGTGTAAGTGTGGAATGAGACCACCTTTGAGGCGAACAACAGTGCTGCTGTCTTCTTCAGACTGCGGCGCGGACCTCGTTTCAGCCCCCACTGCTGCTTTTGTCGTGGGCCCGTCTCCGCCTTCTAGGAACAATCGTTCCTGCAGTTTGGCAAGGTGTTTCAGGAATGGGCTGCTTCTGGTAGCACCCGTCTCCGCGTCCGTGGTCGTACAGAGAGGTGGCGCACCAGCTCCGGCGGCATGTTCGACGCCGGCGGTCCCACCAAGGCCACTAGCGGGAAACAACTCCCATTCGTCGCATTCTGCGGGCACCGATTGAGCTGCTCCTGCTCGCGCAGGAGCCAGAGGCTGGAAGCCGGTGACTTCAGGATCCAGGGGCGCGATGACGTCATGAAGGCAAGCGTCGCCGTCCAGGTGAAGGACTGTTGTCGACGACATCACAGCTATCCCCATGATTCGCTTTGACGTCTGAGAAAGCGGCTCGAGGTTCGTATCATCGTTGTACTGATCACTTTCATCCGGATTTTGTGCATCCCGGCTCTTCCTCCACCACCGCGAAGAGAGAAAACTCCAGATTCTTCCTGGAATGTTAAGTAGGGCGGCGATCGCTTTCCGGAAGAGGGCTGCAAGGACCCAGCCCCACGTTGCCATGAGCGTGCTGATGGCAGTCGCACTGACAAACACTTGAAGCGGAATGTTTACGGCATTAATGAAGGATGTTCCGGGGATCGTCACCGCACCAGCTGCAAGCGGCGAAAGCTGTGACATGACATCGGTTACCGCCCCAGAAAAGATCATGAGCAGAAGTGCGATCAAGCCGGCGATTATCGACCCGAACCTGTTTCTTCTTTTCATCGCATCTGGATCCCGGGTTGTGTCAAGCTGAAGGTGCTTCAAGACCCCGTAAACGCCTTTGGAAAACCAATTATTTGCGTCTTTTGCCTCTGCCCGCATCTGCAATTTTTTCAGAGGACTGCTGCCTCCAAAGGTATTAGTTCCAAAAGGCAACGCAAACACCAGCCGGAGAAATTGATTTCCGATGAAGTAAAGCAGGTGCGTAGCGAACTTGATCATGTGTTGGCCTCCGCTTACAACTGCTTGAATTATGCCAGCCTTTAAACCAAATGAACTACATGCTGCGAACGCAGCTGTCACCGCGCCAGTGAAGTGCCCGACAAGACCAGCTCCGCATCCGACAGCGGCAACAGCCCCCGCCGTTCCTCCGCTAGCTACCGAGACCGTGGCGAACACACCACCCAAGGCGCCACCGGCGGTTACGGCGGCTAGTCCGACACCAACCTCGCAAAAGAGGAACATGATAAAACCTGAACGAACGATACCCCAACCGGCGTCGGAGAAAGTGTGCGTCAGAACGTCCCACAACATCTGCAATAATTCCGCTCGCATCGGGTTCCGAATTGCCCACACCTGCCAGGCCGAAGTTTGGAACAGAGACTTCAGCCATGAAATCAGGCTGATGCCCCCTTTAAGGGCCTGCAAAAATAGACCTTGGCCCGTGCCCGTCGAGGAGACCACAGATCTTAGGAGGGACGCCAGAGGTATCAAATGCAAACATGTCGTCCTCGGGGCCTGGAACGGTTACGATGCAGAAGCGGATGTTTGCCGTACATTACCTGCATCACCCACACCCAGAAGGTCAGTCTTGAAAATAAAAAAAAACACTCACATTGATTATTTCTATATGTCTTCTATCCCGCGTCTAAAATCGACTTAAAGTCGACTGAGGATGTCGGCAGGTTGTGCTGCTCATACAAGATGTTGAAGTGCTATGCTCATGATGTCAGTGTCACTCACACTCACAGCGAGATTCTGAATCACGAGGATTATACTTCGCCCCTCTCCAGACCCTCCAAGCGACACATTATTTGCAATGTTGCGTATGAGCAATTTTTAGCGGGTATCCTATGAGATTCCAAAGCGCATTGCGCATGTGGATCAGCGCTTCGCTAAAGAAGGCTTTTCCGCTTCCATTCAGAGCAACAGTTGACGCAGCCGCATCGCCAGAGGTGATGCCAGCGGTCTGAAAAACGCTGGCATCCGCAAAGACCGAGATTGCTCCGTATGCCAGAAGTGCGACGAAGGATCCAGCCAAGCTCAGCGCCGCGGCTTTTATGTTCTCGAGGATTGCCGAGAACCCCCATGCGCGCGGCGACGTCGGCTGCTGGTAAACCACCATGGCCTGCTGTTCCGACGATTCCGCATTT